CCTTAAGTACTTATTGGAGCAGAAGTTGACTACATCTATACAGCACAAGTGGTTAGTGAAATTTTTGGGTTTGGATTATGAAATCCAGTACAGGAAGGGAAAGGAAAATGTGGCAGCTGATGCCTTGTCTAGGAAAGGGAATTCTTAGGAGAGATGGTTGAATGCAATTACCACAGTTCAACCTTTATGGTTACAACAAATTGCCAGTAGTTATGAAGGTGATGAGGAGGTACAACAGTTGATTGCAACAGCCAGTTTGGACAGTTCTAGCCATTCTGAGTTACAATATGTGGGTGGGTTGCTTAAAGAAAATAGTAAGATAGTTGTGGAAAACAAAGGAGAAGCTAGGCAGATGTTACTGTCTGTTTTTCATGCTTCTTCTCTAGGAGGACATTCAGGGCAAAAAGGCACCTATCAGAGATTGAAGAGCTTGTTTTGGTGAAAAAATCAAAAGAAGGATGTGGAACAGTTTTTGAAGTTTGTGAGGTGTGTCAGAAGTGTAAAAGGGAACATATTCACTATCCTGGATTACTGCAACCCTTGTTGATTCCTCAGCAAGCTTGGAAGGGGATTGTTATGGATTTTATAGAAAAACTGCCTCTTACCAGTGATGGATTTGATTGTATCTTTGTAGTGGTGGACAGATTTACCAAGTATGGTCATTTCATTGCTTTAAAACATCCTTTTACAGCTAAGGACATAGTAGAAGTGTTTTTTAGGGAAAATTTAGATTGCATGGACTGCCAGAGTCTACTGTTACAGATAGGGACAAGATATTTACAAGGCACTTCTGGAAGGTTTTATTTCATACTGTGGGGGTGAAGTTGAATGTCAGTACATCCTACCATCCACAAACAGATGGATAGACTGAGAGATTGAACCAGTGTTTGGAAGCTTATTTGAGGTGTTTTGCAGTTCATCCCCTTGCAATTGATCTAAATGACTTGTCTTGGCTGAATGATGACATAATACCACATTTCACTCAAGTGCAAAAATATCACCTTACCAAGCCTTGTATGGGTATCAACCAGCTGGCAGTCCATTGCGATCATATCATGATGTTGTGATTCCTGCAACATCAGAAATACTTCAACAGAAGCAAATGGAACTGCAAAAGTTGAACGACAGTTTGATCAAGGCTCAGGAAAGAATGAAGTATTATGCTGACCAATTAAGAACTAAGAGGAATTTTCAGGTTGGAGAGTATGTTTATTTGAAACTACAACCCTACAGGCAACAGACAGTGGTTTCAAGAAGTGTTTGAAGTTGATGTACAGGTATTTTGGCCCTTATAAGATACTGGATAAAGTTGGGACAGTGGCTTATAGATTGGAGTTGTCAGTGGGAACAAGGGTTCATCCTGTATTCCATGTTTCAATATTAAAAAAGCACTTTGGTCCTGTGCCTAATGAAGTCACTGATCTGCCTGACTTAGAGAATTGTGAAAAATGCTTCTTAGAACCTGAAAGAATTTTGCAAAGAAGGTTTGTGATGAGAGGAGCTGAAGAAGTGATTCAATGGTTTATTAAATGGAGAGAATTGGAGGTTTAAGATGCATCTTGGGAGGATAGTTTCTTTATCAAAGGTCGGTTTTCAGCATTCAAAACTTGATTCTATGAATACAAGTTTTGTTTTAAGAGGTGAGGAATGTCACGCACGCAAATTCCAGGTTGACGGCCTTTATTCAAATTCAAAAGAGGCGGTTGAAGGAGGCGACGCTGTTTGAACAACTGCTCAAACTGCATTCATGACGATCGTGCATGCATAATACGTGATTAAGTTGTCAATCATTTCTTTTCTGAAGTAGTATAAATAGTCCCTTGAGCTGTAGAGTTGATTTTATCGATTGAATGGTAAAAGAAACCTCCAGGGTTAGTTACCCAACGTCTCTCTGTTTTCCCTTTATTTTGACGCCATTTCCGGCGAAGGTTTACTCAATAATTCATCAATTCATTTCTAAAATTGTCTCAAAACTTCCCTAAACCTAGCAATTAGCTGTTTTTTGTTAATGGACTGACCACCTTCGTTAGAGACGAACCCTTTTTTACAGATTAGCGAGTGGCTCGGTTGATTTACACTCCTAACCCGACACAATTGGACTTCGAAGAAACTATTCGTTTTAAAAGTGGATCAATTTCAGGGCATTTCAGGCCATCGTTTCTGGCAAAGATCCATTAAGCCTATACTAAGTACCGCAAAGAGAACCGAAAACATTGCAGAATAACAACTTTTTTGGCATATCATAACAAGCTACATCATCTTTGTCTCGTTGAAGCAAAATCCTTGAATCCACGAAAAAAAAAAAAAAAACCGAAGAAGAAGAAATAACTTGACAGGAATTTAAGACGTGGGATATGTTCCACACTTCATATTTAATTAATCAAGTATAAACAATCCCTCATTTGTACTTTCTACTACCACCGATCAATGTGGTGAAGTGTAAATGTACACTTTGCATCTTCACCATACTAAGTTTTGCAGCAGTATACAAGAATATCATCATCAATCGCACAAAGAATTTCACCAACCATTCTCAAAGAAATATACATATACATAAATGTAAGAGCAAGATATGCACCATCTGGATGTCGAGGTATTTGATCCCATCACACGCTTCTTAGCCTCGCAAAACATTGGGCCGAAAAATGCATGAGCAGATGAGCAAATAGAACTTTATGCGGTCAGTTTGTCAATCACAAAAAGCTACAAAGGAGCAGAAGACACCCATTTTGGAACTTCCACAGTGACAATAAACTGCATTGAACAGCAGGGAAGAACATAAATGAAATAAGAAAGAATTTCAGAGCCAAAGTACTTTCAAGAAAGATGTTTGTAGTGTTTTCGAAATAAGAAGAAAGATGTTTATAGACTTTCCTCCCATCATCTTTACTTGAAATGCTAATCACTGATGTTGAATTGTAGTTCGATCTATGGTCACAAGTTAAAAAGAGAAAAAGAGGGATAGAAAGAGTTGGAAGCTCTATCAAAATGGGCTATCCCAATCTAGTATCTATCCTGCTTTCACATGCTCGTTAAGTACAGTAGTATATAGATTTACCAAATGCAAGTGATAGGCCTAGAAAATACCTTCAAATATTTTTTGTGAAGCTTCATTGCACCAAGACAGCCTTCTTAGCATCTAAGTTTCAGTCATGTCATTCAATATCTGAGCAAGTAATCGGATACCAATGTTAAAAAAGAAAATACATGAAGCAAACATTTATTTGAAAACACCTCAGACATCTTATGAAAACGTTGGAAGGAAACAATACAGGCTGGGATCATACAAGTGAAATTTAGAAAGAATAATTGCCTCATCTTAACAACATCGTCAAGTCCTCTAGCCTCGTCGATAATTTGGGACTTTTATCTTTCAAAACACTTGCTACAAGGAAAACAGAAATTGGTAGGGGTGCTTCATTACTCTTGCCTCCATTTCTCATATTATCTCTCATATTTCCATATTGGCGTATTGATTTAGGTTTTCCTTTTGATCCTTCAGATTTTTCAGCAGCAGCTTCAGGCTCTTCATACATAGAGAACAAGTCCGGATTGTACTCAGGGCCCACATCATCTATTTAAGAAACCGGACATTGGAAGCATCGAAATTGAAGGTTTCAAGTAACCAAAAAGCGGACTAAAAAATGAAGAACAACATGGATCACTGGATAAAACCTCTAAAATTGGTGTTAAGAAAAAAGAAAATGGATTTCTAAGGGTTTGAAAAATCCTCATAAGCCACTAATTGAATATCAGAATATGTTAGAACTCTACCCTCCATTTATATATTAGCACCTTCTTGTCACACAGAAACTACTCCTTTATAACTAAATTCATGTACTGTTTATCAGTAGATAGAAAATTTGGGAAAATAATTGACTTTAGAGAAGTTCATGAACGAATCCTGTTGATTTGAGTTGGATATGGACAGATCAGCCACAATTGGTTTATTCTTTTAAAAAATTGGAAAAAAAAAAACACAAAAGAAAGGAAAAAAAAAAACAGTTGAGTAGTGTGGATTATGTCAGGGCATTTGGTGCCATCGTTTCGGAACATAATACTATGATGGCCTCTTGATGAATTCTTTAAGGAGCAGCCAGATTCGGAACTTACATGTACATGGTAGTAAAATGACTCGAGAACGTGAAGGAATACAGCTTTGGTGGCATTTTGAAGGTACCGTTTTCTTCATATAGACTTGAAGCAGTAGCCAAATTCTGGGTTACCTTGGATGACAGCTTGCCACCGATCCTCATCATTTGTTGTCTGGTCGTCCATTTTTTCTTGGTTTCACTTGCCGGCGCATTGATGGTCGGCAAGACAATCGCCTGAATAAGCCGGGGGAATGAACTTTGAGCTGGTGATGAAGGATCCATCTTCATCAATTTATACGAGACAAGTAGGTAGACTAGATTGAGGAGTGAAGGTGGGTTCGCGATACATAATCCTCAATGTTTCTTCAAGAGTGTAAAGCTTCCACAACATGTACATTCATATGATATAGCAGTACCATGAAAGTGAATAGTTGGATGAATTAGAAGCTGTTTTTAAACTTGTGGTCTTTTTTACAGTAACCGCACTACTTGCCATTTCATCATATGCAAATCAGTATCTATCTTGCCATTTCATCATGTGCAAATCAGTATCTATCTTTCCTGTTACCTTCGAATGAGAAATGTTCTTCCAAACTTGTTAAATTACTGCTCCGACTCGTCTAATAAAGGCCGAACCATCACTATTTTAGATTCAATTTTCAAAATACAATTCACTAGCTGAACTACTAACTAGTGTTGAATGTTGATCAAGGACAAGTATTTCTACTGGTGCAAGAATGAAGATCAGGTTGAACTAAAGCATAAAATGATTGATTAATGAACGCAACTTGAAACTACAACCAATGTATTGGCATCAACTAGGAATCAGACTGAGACATAACAATTGACCTACGAGAAAAAGCACTTACCAGGGAACAGTAAATACTAAATACACCACAATTTCCTCTAAAATCTGCATCGGCCTTCAAGCAGGACCAGGCTTTCCAGAAAAGGTAAAGCATAGATTGAAAACTCTGTGCCAACAATCTCAAGATCCTTCACTGCTTTGCTATTGTTCGGATCAAACGAAACCAATGATCTTACTCTACATTGGTTGCCAGGCATCATAGCCACAATTTCATCCACAGCCATATTACCCTTGGTTGCCAGGTAATGACCACTCTGTCTCAATCCGATCACTTGTTGAATCCCTTCTTCCAGCTTAATCTTAAACAGAATTTCCCAAGACTCCACATTTCCATATTCCTTCATCACCCAAATGTTGCAGTATCCATTGCACTGATTATAACTGGATACATGAATAACATGATCATACTCTGATATAGCAAGACAATCCTCATGTATAAAAGGCAACAACCTTACAAAATGACGCCAAGTTAAATGTTGAGGCAAAAAAATCTCACTAAAAGTTTCATCCTTCAAATCAAACCCCAAAAATAAGATCCGTTCGCATTCCCCATGAAAAACCAGCCAATGAACAATCCCATTAACGAGCACCGGGGTTGAGGGACAAGAAATATAATGACGGGGAGGAACAATAGGCACTTTCCTCCAACATTTCGAGTTGAGCGAATACACTTCAGCAACCCCACCAATTTTATCTTCAAGTACATATCTGACCACTTTATGATCAAGTCCCTGCAAATCAAAACCAAAACCAAGGATAACATTTTCTGAGTAGGGATCAATTTTGGGTGAGGGCAATTCTATCCACTTTCCCATAGAAGGGTTCCAAACAAAAATTGGTTTTGCGCAAGTTCCATCCACATCATCCCACAAACAAAGCAACCCATTGCAGCTGCCTACAATACGATAACCCCAATCACGGGAACGGGATGCGCGTGGAAGCTCGAGTTCCGAACTTTGAAGGATGAAATCATCATTGTCTGGGTGCACCGAGTAACGCTCTTGTTTTTCACTTATAGAATAACATCGAATGAGAATGGATTTGGAGCTCCTCTCAGTTTGGATCCTGGCTAGATGAGTTTTGATAAACCTAGAACTTGTGATGAGGGCATACCAGGATTTAGAGACTTTGGTGAATTTGACGAGGGATTTGGCCGGAACCCTTTGAAGGATTTCGAACCAGAGATCTTCAGGAAAATTGCCCCACATCGTGGGTTCCATCGTGGTATCCGAGAGAGTAGCTTCAGCCATTAAAAAGGAGACCTCCAACTCTCAACTTCTGTGTGGAATTTTTCTGATTACCAAATTCTGAATTAGGTCGCAGTGTGTCGGCGGCGCGTTGCAAGGAGATGAAGCTCTCTCACGCTTGAATCCTTTCTTATAGCTGAAAAATTTTACTACTCCTTATTAAGGAATTGTATCGACCAGATAGATTTGTTATAAATGGGAGAGTTTTTCAAGCTATTTACTCCCCCTTTCCTTTTATTGGTTTCTTTTTATTTAATTTTTTCTTTATTCTTCTCGTATTAGTAAAAATTAATGTCTAATTTAAAGTTTTCTCGCTTCTAATTCAATTGATATTAAAAATTAAAATTCAAACTGATATTAAAATTTGTACTCAAATTCGTGTCACGCGCGCGAATTCCAGGTTGGCGGCCTTTATTCGAATTCAAAAGAGGCGGTTGGAGGAGGCGACGTCGTTTAGATAGCTGCTGCTCAAACTGCATTAACGACAATCATGCATGCATAATACGTGATTAAGTTGTTAATCATTTCTTTTCTGAAGTAGTATAAATAGTCCCTTGAGCTGTAGAGTTGGTTTTATCGATTGAATTGTAAAAAAAACCTCCCTATAGCTATGGTTAGTTATCGGCGGCTACGCCTCTTTGTTTTCCCTGTATTCTGACGCCATTTCCGGCAAAAGTTTGCTCAATAATCCATCAATTTATTTTCAAAATTGTCTCAAAACTTCATTAAACCTAACATTTGGTATCTAGAACTTGCGGATTCTTGGATCTGTAAGATCAATGGTACCGAATCACTCTACACTTTCGGTTAACGACATCGGAGCTTCACCTGGTGGCTATATTGCGGATCTGGTAGCTGAGATCACGAAGATGACAACTCGTATGGACGCGATGGAATCGAGGATAGAGAAATCACAAGAGGAGAGGCAAACAAAGATTATGGAACGAATCGCAGACCTTTGGACGATCGATTAGTTGAGGTTGAGCTACGTGAGAGAACTGTAAGAGGATCTTCGAGCCGTGAGTGTAAGCTTCTTGCTTCTCCTTCAATTGCTTCAATATCGGGAACTAAGCATGTTGAAAATGAAAAATTAGGCAAGTTTGGGGTAAAATTACAAACAGAAAACTCGAATTGAAGTTTGTGATGATGATAGTAAGATCTTGGATATTAGAGGTTCTAGGAGGAACTGAAACCAAAACTTAAAGTTGAGTTGGCAATATTTCTTGCTAACGATGTTAAGAATTGGTTAAGAAGGTACCAGAATTATTTTAAGATGACTGATGAGGAGAAGTTGGAGTCAGCGGAGTTCTATTTGGATGGTAAGGTAGATATTTGGTTCCAAAACTTTAAAAAAATGTCATCAGTATGCTTTATGTATCTTATTTGAGGAAGAATTGTTAAAAAGATTTAAGGATTTAACTAGCTTGGATCCTGTGGAGGAGTTCAATAAACTGGTGCAAAAAAGAAGTGTGAGTGAGTATTATGACAAGTTTGAACAGCTGAAATCTCAACTCCTGTGTGTAAATCCTTACTTGAGCGAGTCTTACTTTGTTTCCAGCTTTGTAAGTGGTATGAAGGAAGAGTATAAGCCTTTTGTCCGATTTATAGAACCGCAGACCGTGATAAGGGCTTACCAAGCTGCTAAATCACAGGAGCAAAGTCTGAATTGGAACTCTAAACTCAAAAAAGTGGTTGTAAGTCATGACAGAAGTTATAATGCTGAAGATAAGGTGCCTACTCAGGGTGGTAACAACAAGGAAAATGCTATGTTGAAGAGGTTGTCATCCCAAGAAAGGCAATACAGGAAGTTGAACAACTTGTGTTGGAAATGTAATGGTCCTTGGGAACCAGGGCATATATACAAGATAGAACATCTGAATTTGATCATTGTTGAGGATGATGTGGACCTGGACAAGGTTAATTAGTTGAGTGATGAGTTAGAAGGCACTTCTATTTATCAGGTATGTGCCGTATACTCGTTGGGATGATTGTGATGCCATTGATGAAATTAGAAGATGAACCAAGGAAGTTAATTGTGGTGATTGGTTATGTCAACAATAAAATGATAAAGATATTGATAGATACTGGGGCTGTGAGAAGTTTTGTAGATGAGAGATTAGCTTAGAGTTTGGGATTGACGAGGTGGTTAAACCCTATATGGTGAAGGTAGTTGATGGCCATAAGATGAAGAACAATGTGATTTGTTCTGGTGCCAAATGGTCTATACAAAAACTCCATTTTCAGTTTGATTTTAGATTAATGAAGTTGGGAAACTAGGATATGATTTTGGAAACTGAATGGATGTCACATTTAAGCCCCATATTGTTTGATTATGATAATTGTTGTATTGAATTGTCTTGGTAAGGCAGAAAATTCATGTTGAAAGGTCATTCCCGTGCAACTGAAGAAGAAATGCAGGACATTATAAGACAGGCTGCACCAAAGAGGTCAGTTCTCTCTGAATGCTTTGAAAGTTGAGGTTAATGAAATCATAGAAAATGGAGACAAGGTTAAGGTGCGTGTGGATATTCAAATAGTGTTGGATAGATTTGTTGAAGTGTTTGAAGAGCCAATTTCACTACCTCCTGAAAGATCAGTGGATCACCACATTCCACTAAAGTCAGGAGCTGAACCCTTTAAAATCAAGCCTTATAGATATCCTCATGCAAATAAAAATGAGATTGAATTGCAAGTAGATGGGTTGTTGAAGAAAGGATCGCCAAGAAAAGTTCTTGTAACACCCGGGTATCACCACTGTTCTTGACTAAAGTTTTTTTCTTTTTCAAAAGCCAATGTGAAAGACAAGTAGGGCTAGCAACACTGGATGTCCGCTGAGCTCACGCCTAAGGCGCACTTAATACTTAATTGCACAATGAAGATTAGATTAAACTAAACTTTTATTAAAAGGAGGATAACACCTCAACTTCAAATGGTACATTAACTTATTTTGCACTAAACCATGCCTCTACATAATATTAGAGAACGAGCTCTTAACAACAATATTATTCAATCTACTTGGTATTCTAAACCCAAGTAGAGGTTTAGACCATCTCAAGTCCTACTCAAACCTCCGAGAACATTGTTCCTTCCATAGTAGCATGTCCCTTAATGTACTCCTGGGAGGAAGGGAAAATATATAGATATATAGGGGTGAGCGCCGAGCTCAATGAGGTTCTCACTATACTACTACAATAATTTTATTAAAATAATTTTAAAGAAAACACTTGTAAAACAATTTCACATAAAAACAATGAAACATATAATACAATCAAAACACTTAGCATTATCAAGTAACAATAGAGTGGATACGAGGATCACGACAAGGGGCCGTGTCAGGCCTATATGGCAGTGTAGACGGTGAACCCAAGCGAGATCGTAACTCTGGGGCATTTAGCCCAAACATTAACTCTTTATAACTCTTTTCCTTATGTCTCCCTTGGTACCAACTCTTGATGACTCATGAGCATCATAACTCTAGCCAAGGTAACTAGCTATCCGACCAAGCCCGATGCTTGACTCGTTTAGTTTCGCTAACTAAGACAGGGCCCAAATCTCAACTCTTGCATGCACAAATAATATCCGTGGCGATGAAGTACACTATCGGAATACATTCAACAATAACATTGCAAACTCTGCCAAGGTGGTGAACACCATCGGAACATTCAACATTCACTTAATCACTCATATAATCAAACCAACATTTCACACGTAAATGATTAAACTTTACTTCAAATACGATAACAAGTAAAACACATATCTCGGGGCTGTAAAGTACACCACCGAGTCATTTAACAATATGCATTTGATATTACAATAATATTAACAAGAACGTGCTCAAGTGTGTAGTGTCTTTTGAACATATTCCCATACTCTCAGTTTTTAAAATAGTTTTAGAAAGAGTGAGAAAACTCACCGGGACGTGATGCTGTTTCAATACAAGTATCACCTCTCTAAGCCGATATCGAAGCGACTCCAAATGTCAATCTTTCCTTCCTTCCCTTAAGCTTTGAAAACTCTCAAGACTCACTAACTCTCTTGTTTAATTCTGAATTTTTTTTGGTGTGCTTTGAACAAGTTCCCATTCCCCCCTATTTATAGTCATTTTTCACCTCCTTGTTTCACCTTTATGCTTTATCAAACTAGCCTATTAGTCACTAGTCTAAGCTTTCCTAGATGTGACACATGTCCTAGTAGGATTTTTTTATTCATATTAGATTCATGAATAACCATCTTGCTTCACCTACGTGCTTCAGCTATATGTATCATCGCCTAAATGTTAGACTAGCTGACTCATTCAGATTATAGCTGAGTAACCTATTTGCTTCACCTACGTGTTTCAGCTTTATGTTTAAGCATATAATCTGGTTAGTCATCTACTAAATCTCCTAAAATTGCCAAATTTCCCCTTTAGGTTTTGATGAGTCATTGCTAGGATAGCTTAGTCACCTTTTTGCTTCACCTTCTTCACTAGGGTCATAGCTTTGCTTAATCCTCATTCCTAGATTCTCCACATGTCCCATATAGCTTGGCACCGTCGGCAATTGAAGGAACCAAAATAACTTATGTGTGTTGCCTATTTCACCTTCATGTTTCACTATTCTATGTTTTTCCTACATTCCACATGGTCCTTTCAAATTTTCCTAGTCATAATAGCATGGTGAGTATCTTGCTTGCTTCACCAACATGTTTCACCTTATAGCTTGAATCCCTCATCATTATTTTCTACATCTTTAAATTACGTAGGCTAACTAGGATGAATATGTAGCTTATGCATCATGGATTAATCAAATATTCGACCATAATTGCCAACATTAATTATTTAAACCACAAATACGGTTCGTAGTCATTAATTTGATAGTTTTAATGCGCCTTTCCATTGCTACCATAGGTTTTATACCGAACAAGTTCAGGTTAAAGTGCCTTAAATGTTTGGATTGTTACAGTTACAGTCCTTATGTTTCCCCCAACACTGTTAACCAAGAAGAAGGATGGCACATGGAGAATGTGCACTGATTACAGGCATTTGAATGCCTTAATGGTCAAGAATAGATATCCAATACCAGTAATATAAGAGCTATTGGATGAGCTGTGTAGATCTAAATTCTTCTCTAAGATTAATTTGAGAGCTGGATATCATTAGATTAGAGTTTGTAGGGAAGATGTCCCTAAAATAGCTTTTCAAATACACCATGGGAATTTTGAATTCCTGGTGATGCCTTTTGAATTAACAAATGCACCTGCTACTTTTCAAAATTTGATGAATAAGTGTTCAAACCTTATATCAGGAAGTTTGTATTGGTGTTCTTTGATGACATTTTAATATACAGTTTGACCTTGGAGGATTATGTGAACCACTTGACAGCAGTGTTTCAAGCCATGGTGGAGCATAAGTTGTTTGCTAAAAGATCCAAGTGTTCTTTTGCTCAACATTCTATGGAGTATTTGGGACATGCTATTTCTGATAAAGGAGTGAACATGGATCCTGTTAAGGTGCAGTCAATTACTGATTGGCCTATTCCAAGAATTGTTAAAGAGTTGAGGAGGTTTCTTTGTTTAGCAGGATATTATAGAAGGTTTGTTAAAAGTTTTGGAATGATTAGTAAGCCATTAACTAATTTGTTGCAGAACGGATCTTTTGGATGGGATGATTCAGCTTCAGAGCTTTTGAGCAACTTAAGGTGGCTCTAACTACTTCACCTGTGTTTAGGTTACCAGATTTTTCCCAGAACTTTGTTGTGGAAATAGATGCTTGCGATGATGGGATGAGGGCAGTGCTGATGCAGCAAGGACATCCTATAGCTTACTTGAGCAAGGCTTTTTGCAGCAAGCATAAGGGACTTTTTACATATGAGAAAGAGTTGTTGGTTGTGGTAATGGCTATCGGTAAGGGGAAATACTACTTGGAAGGTCATCATTTCATTATAAGGACTGATCATCAAGACCTTAAGTACTTATTGGAGCAGAAGTTGACTACATCTATACAGCACAAGTGGTTAGTGAAATTTTTGGGTTTGGATTATGAAATCCAGTACAGGAAGGGAAAGGAAAATGTGGCAGCTGATGCCTTGTCTAGGAAAGGGAATTCTTAGGAGAGATGGTTGAATGCAATTACCACAGTTCAACCTTTATGGTTACAACAAATTGCCAGTAGTTATGAAGGTGATGAGGAGGTACAACAGTTGATTGCAACGGCCAGTTTGGACAGTTCTAGCCATTCGAGTTACAATATGTGGGTGGGTTGCTTAAAGAAAATAGTAAGATAGTTGTGGAAAACAAAGGAGAAGCTAGGCAGATGTTACTGTCTGTTTTTCATGCTTCTTCTCTAGGAGGACATTCAGGGCAAAAAGGCACCTATCAGAGATTGAAGAGCTTGTTTTGGTGAAAAAATCAAAAGAAGGATGTGGAACAGTTTTTGAAGTTTGTGAGGTGTGTCAGAAGTGTAAAAGGGAACATATTCACTATCCTGGATTACTGCAACCCTTGTTGATTCCTCAGCAAGCTTGGAAGGGGATTGTTATGGATTTTATAGAAAAACTGCCTCTTACCAGTGATGGATTTGATTGTATCTTTGTAGTGGTGGACAGATTTACCAAGTATGGTCATTTCATTGCTTTAAAACATCCTTTTACAGCTAAGGACATAGTAGAAGTGTTTTTTAGGGAAAATTTAGATTGCATGGACTGCCAGAGTCTACTGTTACAGATAGGGACAAGATATTTACAAGGCACTTCTGGAAGGTTTTATTTCATACTGTGGGGGTGAAGTTGAATGTCAGTACATCCTACCATCCACAAACAGATGGATAGACTGAGAGATTGAACCAGTGTTTGGAAGCTTATTTGAGGTGTTTTGCAGTTCATCCCCTTGCAATTGATCTAAATGACTTGTCTTGGCTGAATGATGACATAATACCACATTTCACTCAAGTGCAAAAATATCACCTTACCAAGCCTTGTATGGGTATCAACCAGCTGGCAGTCCATTGCGATCATATCATGATGTTGTGATTCCTGCAACATCAGAAATACTTCAACAGAAGCAAATGGAACTGCAAAAGTTGAACGACAGTTTGATCAAGGCTCGGAAAGAATGAAGTATTATGCTGACCAATTAAGAACTAAGAGGAATTTTCAGGTTGGAGAGTATGTTTATTTGAAACTACAACCCTACGAGCAATGCAGTGGTTTCAAGAAGTGTTTGAAGTTGATGTACAGTATTTTGGCCCTTATAAGATACTTGGATAAAGTTGGGACAGTGGCTTATAGATTGGAGTTGTCGGTGGGAACAAGGGTTCATCCCGTATTCCATGTTTCAATATTAAAAAGCACTTTGGTCCTGTGCCTAATGAAGTCACCGATCCGCCCGACTTAGAGAATTGTGAAAAATGCTTCTTAGAACTGAAAGAATTTTGCAAAGAAGGTTTGTGATGAGAGGAGCTGAAGAAGTGATTCAATGGTTTATTAAATGGAGAGAATTGGAGGTTTAAGATGCATCTTGGGAGGATAGTTTCTTTATCAAAGGTCGGTTTTCAGCATTCAAAACTTGATTCTATGAATACAAGTTTTGTTTTAAGAGGTGAGGAATGTCACGCACGCAAATTCCAGGTTGACGGCCTTTATTCAAATTCAAAAGAGGCGGTTGAAGGAGGCGACGCTGTTTGAACAACTGCTCAAACTGCATTCATGACGATCGTGCATGCATAATACGTGATTAAGTTGTCAATCATTTCTTTTCTGAAGTAGTATAAATAGTCCCTTGAGTCAGAGTTGATTTTATCGATTGAATGGTAAAAGAAACCTCCAGGGTTAGTTACCCAACGTCTCTCTGTTTTCCCTTTATTTTGACGCCATTTCCGGCGAAGGTTTACTCAATAATTCATCAATTCATTTCTAAAATTGTCTCAAAACTTCCCTAAACCTAGCAATTAGCTGTTTTTTGTTAATGGACTGACCACCTTCGTTAGAGACGAACCCTTTTTTACAGATTAGCGAGTGGCTCGGTTGATTTACACTCCTAACCCGACACAATTGGACTTCGAAGAAACTATTCGTTTTAAAAGTGGATCAATTTCAGGGCATTTCAGGCCATCGTTTCTGGCAAAGATCCATTAAGCCTATACTAAGTACCGCAAAGAGAACCGAAAACATTGCAGAATAACAACTTTTTTGGCATATCATAACAAGCTACATCATCTTTGTCTCGTTGAAGCAAAATCCTTGAATCCACGAAAAAAAAAAAAACCGAAGAAGAAGAAATAACTTGACAGGAATTTAAGACGTGGGATATGTTCCACACTTCATATTTAATTAATCAAGTATAAACAATCCCCTCATTTGTACTTTCTACTACCACCAGATCAATGTGGTGAAGTGTAAATGTACACTTTGCATCTTCACCATACTAAGTTTTGCAGCAGTATACAAGAATATCATCATCAATCGCACAAAGAATTTCACCAACCATTCTCAAAGAAATATACATATACATAAATGTAAGAGCAAGATATGCACCATCTGGATGTCAGAGGTATTTGATCCCACTGTCACTGCTTCTTAGCCTGCAAAAACATTGGGCCAGAAAAATGCATGAGCAGATGAGCAAATAGAACTTTACGCGGTCAGTTTGTCAATCACAAAAAAGCTACAAAGGAGCAGAAGACACCCATTTTGGAACTTCCACAGTGACAATAAACTGCATTGAACAGCAGGAAGAACATAAATGAAATAAGAAAGAATTTCAGGAGCCAAAGTACTTTCGAAGAAAGATGTTTGTAGTGTTTTCGAAATAAGAAGAAAGATGTTTATAGACTTTCCTCCCATCATCTTTACTTGAAATGCTAATCACTGATGTTGAATTGTAGTTCGATCTATGGTCACAAGTTAAAAAGAGAAAAAGAGGGATAGAAAGAGTTGGAAGCTCTATCAAAATGGGCTATCCCAATCTAGTATCTATCCTGCTTTCACATGCTCGTTAAGTACAGTAGTATATAGATTTACCAAATGCAAGTGATAGGCCTAGAAAATACCTTCAAATATTTTTTGTGAAGCTTCATTGCACCAGTACAGGCCTTCTTAGCATCTAAGTTTCCAGTCATGTCATTCAATATCTGAGCAAGTAATCGGATACCAATGTTAAAAAGAAAATACATGAAGCAAACATTTATTTGAAAACACCTCAGACATCTTATGAAAACGTTGGAAGGAAACAATACAGGCTGGGATCATACAAGTGAAATTTAGAAAGAATCGTCACCTTAACAACATCGTCAAGTCCTCTAGCCTCTGTCAATAATTTGGGACTTTTATCTTTCAAAACACTTGCTACAAGGAAAACAGAAATTGGTAGGGGTGCTTCACTACTCTTGCCTCCATTTCTCATATTATCTCTCTCATATTTTCCATATTGGCGTATTGATTTAGGTTTTCCTTTTGATCCTTCAGATTTTTCAGCAGCAGCTTCAGGCTCCTCATACATAGAGAACAAGTCTGGATCGTACTCCAGGGCCCACATCATCTATTTAAGAAACCAGACATTGGAAGCATCAGAAATTGAAGGTTTCAAGTAACCAAAAAGCGGACTAAAAATGAAGAACAACACGGATCACTGGATAAAACCTCTAAAATTGGTGTTAAGAAAAAAGAAAATGGATTTCTAAGGGTTTGAAAAATCCTCATAAGCCACTAATTGAATATCAGAATACGTTAGAACTCTACCCTCCATTTATATATTAGCATCTTCTTGTCACTCAGAAACTACTCCTTTATAACTAAATTCATGTACTGTTTATCAGTAGACAGAAAATTTGGGAAAATAATTGACTTTAGAGAAGTTCTGAATGCTATGTGAGCAATGGCAGAAAGCTGCTTATAATTACAAGTAAAGATGGAAAAATAATGAGATCAGCATTCAGAAACAATGCAGAGTTGAATCATAACACTTATTTTCAAACATTTGCTACCATCTACAGTTGATGCTAATCTATATTGGAAGATATTGCTCTCTCTTCAATGGAAGTACACTGTGCCAGTTCAACCATAATTACATCAAAACTATAGGCTTTAAAAGGAAAACAAGACATACCTCCCATAGGTACAATGAATCGCAAAAGGAGAACTCTCTACGAAACAAGACCATAAGCATGCGGAAAGCAAACAGATAATCGCCTCCACCAAGGGTCTCTGAATGAAAGATCAAATGCAATCTTGTTAGTAATCCACTCAATTACTGTCTGATCAAGGAAAATGACAGATAAAAGAAACAGATCCCACCAAAGGAATCGCTAATTCCGTTTTGACCATGTTGACTTTAAAGTGTATACGTGGAAATTCAACATCAGCAAGAAGAATTTCAAACTATCCTTATACCTAAGGGGAACACTAAAACTTCAAAGATATGTTTTTCTGATATATGCTTACAAAGGAGACAGAACCAAAGTGGAAGAAAGACTAAAAAAGAAAAATCCATGTCAAACGAAGTCACAGAATAAAAATTAGAATAACATTAAAGTAGTCCTCCGAGAAGCATATCATGAAAGTAGAAGCCTTAGTTGAGTAATACCAAATCGAAAATGAGGAAAAGCCTAAGAGTAACTCCTCAATTACAAAGAACACAAAAGCCACATACCAAGAAGTAACTGACCAAAATAACTTTGACAAATCCAAAACAAAAGGAAAGCAGAAAACAGGATCCCTACAAATTATAGCCTTGAAGCAGTAAAAGGGGATAAAAAAGAAGGTACCTAAGTGCCGATGAAGCTTAGGATCAATAACTTGAGTAATTGAAGCTAAATTGCTAAGTTGTGTCTCCACTCCAACTGAGCTCTCGGTACACCTGAAATTTCCTCGCTTTGAAGTTGTAATATAGAAAAAGAAATCAGCAACAGTAATTATATTCAGCCTAATTTTATGCGGGTCATCGTTAAGGAAAAGAATACGAAAGTTACTACACTTTATTAGCCATAAATTAAACAAAATGAGGAGATGAAATAGAGAATTTTGAATTATTGAAACAAAAATAACAAGGGCTACATAAAAATTTGGCAAACATAAAAATTCAAGCCACCACATCAAAAGCTAGAAACACACAACTAATCCTTGGAAAAATAAGTAAAAAAACAGATGGTAACTTACCAATCTCCGCATTAGCCGTTCAAAGCACCAAAATGCATCTGCTTCATCTTCCAGAAGGATTATCATAGGAGAGCAGAGATCACTCATTCCTACACAGCATACCCATAAAAATTTGCACGCCAGATTAAGGGGAAAATGCAGAAAGTAAATGGTAAATTATTCTATAACCACCTTGACAATAGCCAACATCTATATCTGACCAGGCGTAAACAGCTAGAATATCCCAGAGTTTTGACAAATTTTCTTTCTTCTCATAGAACACTAGGGTCCTGTCAGTCCGGTGAACATCAAGACCTGAAATGGGTATCAAATGAAGGATAAGAAAAAAAAAGAAGAAAGGGTAACAACCAAGAGGCAAGACATATATTTAGAAAGTTTTCAGTTAAACTGGAGCAGAAGAATGGTTCCAATTGTGAAGAAGAATTTGTAGAAAACGTACAGGACTTTATTAATCAAAACAAACCTATTTGATGCAGCGTAAGCTTCCACTGAATTACTTTTTTGTCTCGTGGGTCATGAGCACAATCTGCAGTTACAGCAATTAGACACATTTCCTTTTGGTGCTTGTTCTAAGCAAAAACGAAGTTGACTGCTACTTTACCATTTCCTTGGTTTATCGATGCCATATCCAAGTTTGCCTCTTGAAGTACTAAAGGATCGTGAATGGGTTCACCATCTTCAGTAATAACAGGTGCCGTTATGAATTTTCCACTCCCAATCAATGGAAACATCTGACGACACTCTTCTTTCATTATGGCATACTTTGCCCTGAAAGTTTTTGGTAGAAATTTAGAGACACAATATGTCAAATGAAAAAAATCTGAATCATAAGCGGGTAATGAATGGGAAACAAACAAAATGTAGAGTTTTGACTAGCAATTGACAGATTCTGGACCATAAATCTTTGATAATGAGACGGCTTTTCTAATGAACAAGCAAAGAAGAAACAAAAACCTTTTCTTTTCCATGTCTATCAAACCATGGCTTCCTTTTTAGATGCATCACACAGCCTTGATTATCTAACGAATAATGTGAGTGCAGTCTGAAAGAGTACACTCTATAAAGAAGCTAATACTTTAGGATGACAGTGCTTTTACGTTTATCTTTTGCTAACTTTCACTCAAAGCACACAAGGAATGCAGATCTAGCCATGAATGTCACTTCAGCAGAAGATTTTTTTCTCGCAGTCCAAGGTAAGTCATACGAAGTATACAGGAATGGTCTATCATGCTATAAATGGCAAAGATCAAAGTACCTACGACGATTTCGTATCTCATCTCGTTCATCAAATGTGCTCTTAGGATCATAACAACCCAAAAGGAATTCCCATACTTCACCTCTAATTGAAGGATGAATACCCTGTTTTGACACAATACATTACCACAAATCAATACACAAAGTAAAAAATATAAAAGAGGTTTGATCTGAAAACCCAAGTGCGAGTAAACAGAAGCACAGCATGTCATACAAAATCATATGAAGTAGTAATTTTGTAAAAGTTTTTAGTGAGATAAGAAGACCTACTCCACGATGAATGCGACTAAGGGTTTTGCTTATATCAAGATAACCTTCTGGAGAAAATGCAGCTTGCCATTTCCGCACACTCAATGTCTTACCAGCCTGGACAAAAGAATAAAAGAACCAAGAAACCAAATGAGCATCAGACAAGCCGACAATTCCTAACAAAATCTTAATACTGGATAAAATTACAGCATCAAGCAACATTGACCATCAAAGAGAGACCACCATTCAACAAATTCAGTATGGTGGGAGGAGGAAAGGCACATGATCAGACAAGTCTTTTCGAGTTCCAAGTTCTACTTTGGCAGCAGTTATTAGTCAAAAATCTCTCCTTGTTCGTCCACCCTATACTAGTACTGTTAGCACCCACAAAACTGTAAAGTACATTTCCCTTCAGGTAAACTACACAGCACTGAAGGATAGGATAGAATAAGCCATCACTTCAGTATGTGACTTAAAAACTCACAGCAGTAAACCCTGCCAATTTACATTTTTAGGAGATTGGCCTTGACTAAGTCATTTCTTTCAACCAGTTATATGAGCAGTACAATGCCTACTTAAAAGACTAAAATGACTCATTCCACAACCATGAAGCCGTATTCAAACGAAATGTTAAACTAATAAAGCATTTGGGGACAGAGATATATCAATCTCTTCAAGCTAATCAATTAAACGTCCCAGAATACCATTTTTTCAAGATTAAAAATGTCTGTTCAAAGGAAATTTCCCCCCAGTCTCCTTGTCCCCAACATTGGAAACGGGAGCATTATGCTCTTAATTTCCCCCGGTAAAACGATTGCAAACCAGCATTGGAACTTTTTATCACTGTGAAAACGGATCCCAAAGACAAAATAACTAACAACAGAAGCCCCTATCTGAAAATGGTTATACTTGACTTCAAGAAATGGAAATGAAAATAACAAGACTCGAGCTTTGAAACATCAATAGCCATCTAAAAGACTCACATTGCCGAAATACAAAGCCCGAAATACAAAGCCAAGAGGAACCGAACATCAACATGGAAACCCGGTAAAAAAACAAATGACTGATCTTTGTTCAAGACACCGGAGCCAAGAAAATGAACACACCTTGATCCGAAATTTGCTTTTGGGAACATCTGTACATTCAGGTCGAACCTGGTAAAAATCATCAGCTGGAGCTCCAGGGTCCCTCCACATTTTGGTGTATCAGGCAACAAGAAAGAAGAACACGCGAAAAGGGAAGAAAGAAACGGCCACAAGAGCAATGTTCTGAAAAGCAGCAGCACCTACAAAGTTGAAATCATCCCAAAAACAGAAAACCCAGATCACATATCTCACCAAATCCAGAAAAAGAATCCCAGATCACATTTAATGATAATTTGCTAGCTAGCTGACCTTATTCTCTACAATGATCCCCAAAAGGGCCGGTTGAAATACCAATCAAGTATATATTGTTCCCTCTTAAACTATTCCTCTCTTCTTTAACCCCCTATTTTTTTCCCTTCTATTTTACATCATATTTTGACAAAGATATTAATTGGCGGTGATTGAGTTGGTATGGTGGTGGTGGTGATTATGGCTAGAGGCACTTAATGGGCATGTGATTAATATTAACCAACTCTAATAAATCACAAACCCATGTTAAGTCCCCCCTTAAACACAACCAACCACCACACACGCACACACACACACCGCAACAAGGAAGAAATGGCCGGTTAATGCGTTAATATTAACGTAAATGGTTTGGTTGAGTTTTGTTTGTCTCTCAATCTCAAATCCATTTGGGGCAATTCATCATTCATGGTGGTCATGCGTATACTATATAAAAGAAAGGTTTTTTAAGGTGTATAATATTCTATGTACATACAAGGAGGAACTTTGGCGTTGTGTAATGGTGGCGAGAAAGGCGAAGGATCAAGGGTTTGGTGCCCACTCGCCTTCTTTCCCGGGAGAAAGGCGACGAAAAGTTGAAATTACATTAGAGCGTTCGGATTACGCACTAACGGTGGCGCGTTGTTTATTTTGACCATTTTTCTTTGGATTTGTTTTGTGACATTGGATTTTTTATCCCCACTTTTTTAATTGTTTCATTTTCTGTCTCAAAGAGAAACAAATAAAAAATAAAAATAAAAAACAGGGAGAAGACTAGTCAACTGTCAACCAAACTTACAAGAGAAAATCAACTTTATGACTCATTCTTCTCCGCGTATCAATTTTGTTGATTGAACTTGTGATCAAAAACACCGTGAAATGCCAATGAAAAACAAAAAAAGAATACAATAACAACATGATGATATGATACTAGTGATTTATTGAAATTTTGAAAATAAAACTTTTGCCGACTTTTTATATTACTCCCTCCGTCCCAAAAAAAAAGTCCAAATTGAGTTTTGAGTTTTGTATTATTTTTCGTACAAATTTGAAAACTCAATGTGGACTATTTTTCTGGGACGGAGGTAATAATAAATAATCTATTAATGGTGCATGGAATTCAAATGTATCAAAGAGGAAAACATGGTAGAAGGTAATCACCAAAGCTAAAAATATACTAGTTGAGCAGAAATTCACTTTCGACATTTTTGTAATCAAGTAGAGGATCGTCTGTTAAGTTTTACAAATTATCGGAGATTAAGTTAACCCTCCCATAGTGAAAGTGAAGTCAATTTTTGGTTAAGGTTCACATCGACTAGTTTCTTTCCCAAACTTCCTAAAAGAGTCCATTTTTTGAAGGGCTTAAGCTGCATTAAAGACCGAGCTACCCACTGATCGAAAGCCCAATGAGATGGAATCAGCTATCAGAGGCCCATCATTTCGTCTCCCCCCATTCCCTTGAGAAGAAGATTTTATCCGAATTTTCTTTTAAGCTTTTTTATTAAATTGTACTCAACACTTTAAAATTTGATATTCCTGAGTTACTGATTTTTTTTTATTTCAATATAATTAGAGAAATAATCTTTACCAAAGTCACGGTACACATCCCTTTTACCCTATTAAAGCAGAAGACATGAAGCTTATGTGGCAACTATGTATCCATCTGTTTTGGCTTCAATGCACCATATTTCATATTTCAGGAGTATTTTTGCCACGTGTAAGTCTCTTTAATTACAAGCTATATAATTTTTTTTTAAAAAAAAAAAACACATGTTTTTACCACAAATAAGGATCAGTTACATTTCAAACAATGGATATATTAATTCAAATTGAAATGTCCAATCATATAGTTTTGCAGGCTTAATATAAACAAAAAATAAAAATACCTAAATCCAGCAATTAAGAATAATGCCTTATAAACTAATTATTTATTATTTCCTTATAACCTCAGACTTATAGGTATATTTTTTTAAGCCCTAAACCATAGCATAAATGATATATCGCTAAATTAATTCCTCAAAAAATAGTAATCCAATTAGATTTTAATAAAATAGTAATTTAGAAGGGGCGACCGGGCATCTGCCTGGGCCAAACATCTAGTATAAATTGAATACAGTTATTCAAATTTGATATCCCCTATCAAAAGTCCTCCAATTTTTCTCGAATCATTTAGTTCAACAAAATAAACTATTAAAATGGGATGGAAATGATATTTTTTAGTATTAACTAGAAATCATAATATATACATTTTGCACACATCCCATGTGCAAGAAGAAATAGTAGCAAGTCAGCAGACTGCATATGCCAAATCCCCAAAAAGCTATTGAACTCCAACAGTACAGGAAGAAGTTGATTGTTGAAGAAATTACATCCGGCCAAGTGTAATAAGTTCATTCATAACTGTTGACGAAGCAATAACCGGTTGCTGGTTCATTAGGAAGCAACACGAACAATTTACATATGTAGATATTGTATCCACAAAAGCAAAACAGTGAAAAACCTTAATCCGCAGCCTAAAGAATCTGTAATGTCACATGCGGAGGCATTGTTCCCAAGAGTTGCTGCTCAGCACACCTTCTGGCCTCCTCTGTTACCCGAGCGTCTTGATTGACTGTCCCAAGATCACAGAACCAATCTTCACCCCCAAATGGAAGCATTATTTCTAACATGATTAGCTCATCCGTTCTAATTTCCTGATCCTCTAATGCAGCTTTTTCGTCGAACCCAGAATCACAGAGCCAATCGTTACCACCAAATGAAGCTATTTTAAAACGTGGATCAACAATAATCGTCTCAAGGGAAATAGCATTTTTTTGAGGAAGTACTTGACGAGTTCAAATTCAATTGAACGGCCGCGATATTGAGACATCTCGACCACTCTAAGATGTTGAAGAGGGTAATTTACAACATCATCTGAATCTCTGTGTGTCACTATTTTCCGCGGGTATAATGTCTGCAGAAACCAAATACATCCCTTAAGAAGTGTGATAAACCAGTTTACTTCTATAGTACCAACAAGATTACAAAAACATGATGTTAGAAGGACGAAACAAAGAGCAATAACAACAAGCATGAAAGAATAAACTAGACTGAATGGTCCAAATACAGAAAAGGAAAATGTAAAAAACAAATGGACTACCTTTATCACAAACTTCTCTAGGTTTGGGAATGCCCTAAAGAACGTAGTAAGTCCGCACATGCTCTCTTTACCAGCTAAACAAACCTCTATAGACAGCTCCTTCAGTGCAGGTAACTGAGGCAGAGATCGTTCAACCTGGGATGACAAAAACAGAACATGATACAAGACAGGGGAGGAAGCAAAAATAATTAAAATATACTCCAGAAGTCACCATAAAGCAAAACTGCGCAAAGAAAATACTACAACAGCACCTTTCAGCAAGATGCATTACCTCTCTAGCCAGGTGCCAATCCAAAAATAAGGAAAGACTCTTTAGCTTTGAAAAGAAGCATGAAAGCCTGGAAACATCATTCACAAAACTGTAACAAGCAGAGAGGAAGCTAATATGAACAAGCTGGGGGACATTGTTAAGCACTAGCGCTCGTCGCCTCCCAATCTCAAGTTAGAGGAGATTAACATCACTAATAATGAGCGTATCCAACTCACACCAGCTAATTCTCAAGTGTTTTAGTGCAAGAGATGGACCACAAACTTCTAAAGTTGTTAAAGACACCCCAGAGCCATCCACAACCAAACTTTCAAGAGATTTGCAGTTGTGCAACAGGAATTCAAGATCTTTTGTACGGACAGATATATATCTTAAAATCAACTCTTTGAGAGAATTCCAACCTGTCTGTCTGAACATTGCTGGACGAAAAACATAAAACTTCCAGGGGTCCACACAACCGTGGCCGTGGCGTGACAGGTTCACTTCTAGCCTTCGAACTCTCCTGTTCAAGACACGGTGAACCCAAGTATCCAAGGAGGTATAATGGTGTTATGGACATCACTCAGGGGGGTAATTGTCCTTTCATAAAACTTAGGGGGGTTTTAGGGTTTGGAACAAAACTCAGGGGTAATTGTCCTTACCCCTTATAATAATGTGATGAAGGCAAACATTAAAACAACAACTCATAGTATAAGGAAAACACTCTGAACCAAAGACTCATAGTGATGAATATCATCCATCATAAAAATCTCACCCTTCATTAAAAAAAAGAGAATAATGAATAAAAATTAAAATGCATGGAAAGCAGCAAACAAACATAATACTACCACTCTATAAAATTACATGTCAATCAACTACTTTGATAGTATTGGCCAATGGTGTAAACAGTTTGTATGATGGTGAGGCTGAAGAGGAACAAAGATGCATTAACAAATAAAATAGCCCATGGACTGGTGAAATAGTTATGAATAAGATGGGCTCGCCATTGATTCCAGTGCCTCTTTTTGTACTGATTAGCCTGTCATGCTCTGAACTAAATTGAAGGACTAAATTATAGGGAATTGAAAGTTTAGGGATTTATTGGTATTTTCTGTAATTTGCGGACTATAAATAGTCTTTCAGGGGTGTAATTTGGAATATCAGAATTATTATGCAAAATTGGATATTTTCCAATTCCCTCTTTCTTCTTCGTTCTCCTCCGATCGATTCCCCATTTTCTCCGGCCTCTTCCAATTTTTCTCCAATTCTGCCTTCCGGCCACCCCAAAGGCCCCCTGGTCGTGACATTTGGTATCAGAGCGGACGATTCTCGGCCGTCTCTGTATCATTTTTGCGATTCCGTTCATTCTTCTTCTTCCCATTTTCTTTCCGTTGACCTCTGAACTCTGAAATCTATTGCTCTTCCTCTCATTTTCTGAAATCTGTGTGTGTTCTTCGTTGCTCCGACCGCACCAATTCAATTTTCGCCCTTTGATTTGAAAAGGTTTTGATTTACGTCAATTTGAAATGGAATACAGGGACATCGACTTCTCCCGGCTTAAAACCTTATTAGCTCTACCCCCATCCGAAATCCTTCCACTCAATCCGACAAAGGCCAACCTTCCGGAACCTTCGCCGGCCGGAATCCCCCTTTTTACCCAAAGACGTCGGCGAGTGGATTGACAAGATGGAGCGACTCTTCTCCTTTAATTCCATACGGCCGGAATCGAAACTCTATATTTCGGAATTCTATTTGGCAGGAGAACCCTTGCAATTCTTGTATGGGTTGCTTTCTATTTCCCAATTATCGACTTGGGAAAGGTTCGCCGAGCAACTGGAGCTTAGATTCGGTAAGGTCTTTCGACCGATGATGGTGGTCGGCTCTTGGGAGGCAACGCCGATGAATTCTTCAGTCGAAGAAGAAGCTAAGCCGCCAGAGGAGAAGCCAACCGAAGTTTTGGCAGCTGCAGTTCGAGATTCTGACCATGAAGACCTAGAATCCGATGGTCATAAAGCGGCAAAATCCGAAGTGACATCAACGTCTGAGGTGCAGCAGTTTATTGAAACAGAACATGCTCTAGTGGCAGAATTCACTGCTTTGTCATATCACCAAGAAGATGAAGGCAATCCCTACAACCTTCAAAAAAGTGATGAACTGGATGATGGTATTGTAGTTTTGGATGGTCCTTATAGCAATACGGAGAGTATGGGGCAGGAATCATTCGAACTTTTGGTTGATGATGAACTGTTGAATCGTGTTGATGATAACATTACATCTTTAGAGACTTTGGTTGATGCTCCTATGATTTGCAATGAAATGGGTGAATTTGTGCATTCTTGTGATATTGAAAAATCCTTTCATGTGGATCCGGGGGGAAATGAGTGCCCTGTTGACGTTGTAGTGACAAATGAGCTTATGTATTCTGATGATGAGCGTTCGCTTGCTGATGATTGGTTGTCAAATAGTCTGTTTAACCCCTTTGAAGGTTGTTCTGGATTGCTATGTTGTATTATTAAAGGTTTATTTGATGTTGCCAAGTGGGGGGAAATATATTAAGAGTTCTATGTTTGTTAAAGGGTCATTTCTTAATGACCCGGGTGGTCTGAAATGCGACTCCAGTAATTGTGTGACTCTAGAAGCAGAAACGTTGAAGGTGTTTGATTATGCTAGAGGACGTAAATGTTGGTCTGAGTTAGTAACCAGTTTTAGAGGAAGTACTAGTACACTAATTCTGCAAAATTCAAGTGGGATAAGTGCAAGTGTCCCAAACTTTGATTGTGAATGTATGATTGTTGATGCCTGTTTGAAGAACTTGGCTAATATCTCTACATGTCTGAATGAGGAAAATGATAATGCCATAGTTGCTCTGGATGGTTGTGATGGCGCTCTTGATCTCACTGTTTGGTTTGAGTATTTGAGTTCTGCCTGTGTGGTTGCTGATGGAAATGGATCAATGACCCTCAATCCTATGGCTGGTAAGGGTGCTCTAAAGATAATTATAAGAAGACTTCTCAAAAATGATGACATTTCCAAAAATGATAATGATGGAAATGGATCAATGACCCTCAATCCTATGGCTGGTAAGGGTGCAAAATTGAGCTTTTTGGAGACTAGTATTTGAGTATTTAGTTTATTCTTATAATTATCATTTTTGGAGAGTCAATTTGAGTATTTGAGTATTTAGTTTATTCTTATAATTAATTCAAACTAGTACTAATCTAGGGAATTTTTTAATAATAAGAAGTTGTTTGTGCATTAAATGTCATTTATTACAATGGGAATTGAATTTCGTTTATTCTCATAATTAATTTGAGTATTTGAAGACTTCTCTAAAGAAACTGTTAATTTATCAATTTCGTTTATTATAATACTCAAATAAAGACTTCTCAAATACTCAAATTCTAATTATCACTTTTGGAGACTCAATTTGAGTATTTAGTTTATTCTTATAATTAATTCAAACTAGTACTAATCTAGGGAATTTTTTAATAATAAGAAGTTGTTTGTGCATTAAATGTCATTTATACTCAAATACTCATTTATTCGTTTATTCTTATAAAAATCGTTTATTCTTATAATCAATTCAAAATCCTATGGCCAAACGCGTGCTCCAAAAATGTGTATTTATGGAACATCCATCTCAGCTCCAATCACCCCTAAGAACCAAAAACATCAAAATACACAATATAAGTGCACAATCTAATCCAAAATGCTATACAAATACCCACAAATAACATGAAACTTCAATACCTATCAGCATCTCAACAGGATTGCAGATAAACTCACCCAAAATAGTACCACGAAAACACTTAAACAGACATTTCAAATACTCATCCATATACTCAAATACTCAAATGATAATTATAAGAAGACTTCTCTAAAGAAATTGATAATTATAATTAATTTCGTTTATTCTTATAATCAAATACTCAAATAAATTTCTCTAAAGTCTCCAAAAATTAATTATAAGCATCAATGTGGGCACACGAATCTCAGTCCAAAATTGAGTTTTAGAGAAGAAATTCCAGCATTGATGCTCATTCCCGTTTGGCCAAACCGAAGTAGGGACTAAACTGAAAAAATGAAGAAGTTTTGGGGTTGAAATGTAATTTTGCCAAACTTGAGGGACCAATATGCAAATCTCGGAAAAATTAATTTGCAGTTGCGAAATTCTAAAAGCTGCTGGCGGCTGACCTAATTTTTGGCATAGAAATTGATTTTATTCTTTTTTGGAAGAGAGGGGCTGAACGTTAGAAGAAGAAGAGGAGGTTAGAGTGGTCCTAAACCGCCAATCTAGTTCTTTTGGGCGTTATTCTTCCCCACTCTCCATAGTTTTATTTCAGTAAGACTTTATTATGTGTAACTAAATTACTTTTCCAATTGAAAGATATTGAAAACTTGGTTCTTAATAGTTGTGAGATCTAAATATTTTTTCATTTTTCAATTCTTTGTAAGTATTTGCTTGTTCTTTTGAATGATTGATATAAAGATTTTGGATTCATGAATAGCTGGTAGCATTCATTATTTCATGATAGTTAACAACCAATAAGGCAGCAAGGTTTGTTGTTTTAAAAGGGACAGATATAATTAAATTACTTGGTAAGTGATTTTGTTATGTTATAAGAACAAGTAATCTGATTTTTTAATTAAACAAGGTTTGTTTCATAGGAATCAGAATTGGGTCTTTGTACTTCATGCAGTCATTTTCTTAATCTTAGGAGGTTCCAGGATTGAATTTCGACTAGTGTGTTTAATGAAAGTTTTCTTAATCACTAAACTTTGTTCAAGATTGAGTTGTTAGGAGGTTCCAACAACGAAAACTAATTTGCCTATAAGTGATTAAACATATCATTGCATCTATGATCAATTGTCTAGACCAAGGAGGATAAAAAATCTTTTGACTAGAAACTTTTTCATAATTTGCTTTCATTTTTTTAAACTATCAATTGAATTTTATTTTAACTACATTTTAGTTTTAAAAACTCAAAACCCCCCTTTCGGTTACTTATTTGAAAGAAACGAATCCACCATTCCCTAAGGAGACGACCTTGCTTTCCTATGCTACTAGTTTAAAAATAGGTTAAATTGTTTGTTGGCTTGACACACCACCAAAAATGGCGCTGTTGCCGGGGAACGGTATTCATTGATTTGTTTCTTTTAATTTTTTTTTTGTTTTGTTCAATTTTTTTTTTCTACCATGGATGCATATGGACAGTAGTTTTGGGACCAACGCGATGGCTTTAATTGGAGTGCCAAAGAGGTACACGTTTCATCTACTGAACAAAAATTAGATGAACTAACCTCTCTTGTGACAAGTTTGGCTATAGGTCAATCGCAACAATTGCAAAGGTGTGGTGTTTGTTTTATGATTGGTCATATAGGAGATTTTTGTCCAAGGTTTCTATACTACCAGCGGAAACGAATGAATGTCATAAGAAAATCTTGGAGATCCCCACAAACGAGTAATGGAAGATGAAGAAGAGTCTACAGAAGTTGCAAATGAGGTAACTGATAATTTTCCTTTATCTAGTTTGACTAATTCAGTTGTCACTCCTTTTTATGATATGTTAGAAGAACCAGAAGAAGAAGAGCATGAACAAGATACTATAGATACATCTTCCAATGGAGAGGTTCATGTTCGTCTTTCGGAAGAATTTGACGAGTTTCCTTGTGATGATGAATTTGAAGAGGAGTTGTGCATCAAAATTAATGAATCTACACTTCAAGGTAATGAGGTAATTTCAGTGGGAGTACATCTCTCTGATATAGTCCAACCGAAATTACTTTTCAAATGCCATGATACAGGTATACCTACTCCTTCATGTACTTTTAGACATGTTAAAAGTGATAAATTTATCATAGATTTTGGAATTAGTGTTATTATCATTCCTCAGTCTGTGTTTAAGTTCTTGAAACTTGTGTCATTGAATGAAACTGATGAAGTTATAAAACTTGTTGATGAGTCTTGTGCTAGTCTTGTGTGTGCTGAAGATGGTTTACCAGTCTGGAAACCCTAGATTCCAGATTGACCGATTTGGACTCCAAGATTGGAAGCTGGATAGCTCTTATGGATGAACGCGATGCCAGAGCACGCAAGGAAAATGCTGAACGCGATGCAAGAATTGACAAGTTGATGGATTGTTTTCAAATCAGCAAGGTCGAAATCCAGAAAAAACTCCGATGGTTAAAGAAAATTCTCAGGTTCCTACGGTGGTACAACAGACTGAGGTGCTAACAATTCCGTCAAGTTCAGTGAGAGCACCGCCCAAGCCGACAACAGAGAATGGAATCTTGTCGACTCCTAGTGGCGAAACCGGCGTACCGATACAAGTAGATAAAGAGCCAATCAACACAGTTCCGGTGAACAAGAGTATTGAAATTTGTACTGTGGAGGCAACGGTTGACAAGCAGAGAGCGCAATCAGGGTACATGTGGTACCAGCAGCCGCGTCTAGACCTGCGGGAATTCTCAGGTGACGATCCTCAAGGGTGGCTGAGGAAATGCCAGAAATATTTTCAGTTGCACCGAATTTCGGAGGCTGAAAAACTGGAATCCATTGAACTCTTCCTTGATGGAAAAGCAGACACATGGTACCAAGGTATCAAGGCCTCTATTGGTAAGCTTTCGAGGTCTGATTTTTCTGAGCTTTTAATTCAACGTTTTGGTGGTAATAGAGGTCAGACTTGCATTGAGGAATTCAGCAAATTGTTGCAAATAGGATCTGTGATTGAATACCAGGAACGATTTGAAGAATTAAGGTCTAGGTTGCTGTTTCAGGGGTATAACTTTGATGATGCTTATTATATATCGTGCTTTATTAGTGGCCTTAGGGAAGAGCTAAAACCGACTGTTAGAATGTGAAACCCTAAGACGTTGGCTGTTGCATTTGAAATTGCATGTTATCAGGAGCAAAACTTAGAAGTGATGTTTAAAGGGAACTGGAATGATACTGGGTTGATTTTCAGTCTGAAATTGGTCCTAAACAGAGTACTGGAAACTCTGTAACTATTTTAGGGGACCAGAATGGTACAAGAAACAGTAATGGAGGGATTCGTAGTAACGCTGGTAAGTCTGTTAAAGGTAATGAGGACAAAGAGAATACGCCAGTAGCCGGAAATGGTAGTGTGGTTAAGACCAATGGAAATAAAGGTTTTGGTAACAAATATGTGAAGAAGTTATTGCCTCAGGAATATCAATACCGGGTATCTAATCGGCTTTGCTATAAGTGTGGTGAACCATACAAACATGGGCACCATTGCCAGTTTGGTGAGATTAATTGTAACGCTCCGACTAGACCACCTTCCTTATAAAAGGAGGCATAGCTGAAACGCCTGCCTAGCTCTCGCTAAGTCTCAGTAAACAGGTTAACAAGTAATCAAGAGCACTAACTTAAAACAATATTTTTAATATGGAGTATGTTATATGTCGATATTTTAAGGTACAATATTTTAAATTTATAAACTATTACAAGTATGTAATACAGGGTACGAGTGAATCTCACTCACGCTAGACTTCTTGAAGTACTCTACCTTGATCTTGGTCCTGGAATCTAGAAAAAAAAGAGTCTCCGCAAAACAGAATTTAGAAAATCAGTGTCGTGCTAAAGGACTTCTTGAAGTACTCTACCCTGATCTTGGTCCTGGAATCTAGAAAAAAAAAGTCTCCGCAAAACAGAATTTAGAAAATCAGTGTCGTGCTAAAGATGAAAAGTAAGAGGTTATAAGGCAAGGGGGAATGAAATGGAAGAAATATCTAGAGTTGAACGCTGAAGAGATGGGTGTGTAGTCAATCCTCATGGTTATAAACAATGTTTGGCCTTCGCAATGCAACAGGAAGAGAGCATGTATTAGCCCGATCTGTTTAGGCCAATAAAGAACTGAAGAGAATTTCAGGGGCAGGAATTGATCAGATCAATAGGGAAAAGGCAGATGGTTTAAAATGAACTAAAACAGAAAATAGAGGTAGGCAATTTTGTTTTTCGAAATCGGAAGAAAACTTAATTATTGAGAAAAGATTATGAAAATCTAAGAGGGAAAGGAACATGAAATTAAGGATTCAATGGAAAAGTTGGATAAAAGAGATGAGATCTTGCATTTTATGATGCAGAAACTCGGTAGACGACATGGTACGCGAACCATGTTATTACAAAATAATGAAGCTTGAGGAATATGATCAATATGAAGCAAACGGTACAATCAAAGGCTACCCCTTATCAAAGGTAAAATGACAGCAACAAACAGAATCGACACTGGCAGCTTCCCTTTGGAGCAAAAGAGTTGATTGCATCTGATCTTAAAAGTTAAATAATTAAGGTCAAGGTCACTGTTGACGGAAAGTGCGAGCCCATCAAGATATCCTAGAACATAAACTGCTGAACAATTCTCAGGTCGCTCTTCGGGAGTTTAGTCCGATCCTAAAAGACTTCCCAACGAACCTGCAAGATTTTCAGGAGTTGGCGTTGCTCTACGACAACCCTAAAGGAGGCTATAAGCTCTTTGCAACACCAGCAATGAAGCGGTCAGCTTCCCTACATTGTGCTCCATCAATGGCTCTAATGCAAGTTGAATCATTTGTCGAGGTAGGGATATGCTTGTCTCTTAATTTCCTAGTCAACCTCATTGTCCGAGTTTGACTCATAGAAAGATAAGCAAAGGTTGTTCCTAAACAGCCATAAGTAGTCAACTATACACAATTATGTGCACCCTCAAGATTTGTCTTCCAAGTTGAATCGAGTCATGGGCCAAGTTTTAATAAACAAGAGAACAAATGAGGAAAAGGTGAAACCTAAAGAAGTGTTTCTATGAAGTAATAATGAGTAAATAATGGGAATGAAAGATAGCAGGATGGTACGAGTAACCAATGTAAGTTCGGCGACAAGAAGAAAGGACTCAATGGGGTTTCAGAACCAACGAAGGAAGAAATTGCAAACTGAAGGCTGCAAATTGTTTCATAGTTGGAAACTCAAAATGCAAGAGAAAGAAACATAAATTAAACATGGTTTAGGATTCTAGTTGATTGAAAATTAGAATTACCGAATGAATGAAAAAAGGTGAAAAGAAAGTGTATGAGCAGGCAAGAAGGAAAAGAGAAGAACCAGTAAGTTCAGCAACTACCTTGCCTTTTGAGTGGACTTGGTAAGATTTAAATAAAAACATAGAAGACAAACTTTTGGAGCCCAATTCCTGACTCCTAACTGTTAATCACATTTCCAAAGTTACTACTATCCCTCTTTTTTTATTTTATTTTTTTTAACTAAATTTAGACGTAATTTGATTCTATATTTTATGTTACATTCACTTAGCTCAACAGAAAGACTTGCACAAATTTGCCTTTTAGGTTGCGCACCCTAAAGGAAATAGTATGTAATTCCAAAAGTGAGCAAAACGAGTGTAACCTTAGAAGGAAACCTTTTATTATTTGTTAATGTAACACTGTGAGGGTTGATCAGTTCATGTCTACAACTAGTCTCCCGGAACCCTAACTTGTAATTCTAAAAGGTATCAACAAAGTTTGGTTAGTTGTAACCTAGAATGTTTTGTTTATTTTATACCTTTTATAAAAGTGGGGGGTTTCATGCTCTGATACCACCTGTAACACCCCGACTAGATCACCTTCTTATAAAAGGAGGCATAGCCGAAACACCTGCCTAGTTCTCGCTATGTCTCAGTAAACAGGTTAACAAGTAATCAAGAGCAGTAACTTAAAACTATATTTTGAATATGGAGTATGTTATATGTCTTATTTATGATATTTTAAGGTACAATATTTTAAATTTATAAACTATTACAAGTATGTAATACAGGGTACAAGTGAATCTCACTCACGCTAGACTTCTTGAAGTATTCTACCCTGATCTTGGTCCTGGAATCTAGAAAAAAAAAAAAAAAGAGTATACGTTTGGTGAGCGTATGCTCAATGAGGTCTTACCGTCTACCAGCAATTAATCTAAGTGACCACATAGTCAAACAAGTTGTCATACAACACAGATATCAAAACATATAGTATGAGGTTTAACCTTTATCTTCTTTACTAATTAATTATTTACTAGAGTATTAGTTAGACTTGTTAACTAATACAACAACTAGAGACAATATAGGGAGAGATAATAACAAATATCAATGTGTACGAGCAATTAAAATAATTAATATAACTTATAAAAATTTTGAATTTAAATTGTAAACAAAATTTTATAGCCATTTTAGAAGCAAACAAATTATTCCATTAACATAATAAGGCAATTGGAATTTGGATAAAATTTGATTCTACAAAATCTCTTGAATCACTGAAATCACTCAATGGTTAGTTAAATGCATGTCATAAATTTACTTCTCATATCATGCCTCTTCTTGGATCTTCACATATAGGAATCAAGTTACATTATTTATAGGGAGCAATTTCATTTATTTCTATTATTTTTTAAAAAGTAAAAATAATTTAAGGTGCAGGGCTGCAGGTAAAGAAATCGATAATTTTTTAGTTTGAGCTGCCAAAAACTCATTTTGAGTCCATGTACATGTTTCAAGATCGGTTATATTTTTCCATCACTTTCATACTTTGTGTTTGTATGATAATATTATTAATATAATTTAAAGTCGTGATTTTTAAATTTCTTATTTGATTCATGATTGAAGATTCTTGACCACGGGATAATGGAGTCGCATGGCAACTTTCTAGTCAGAAAAAATAATTTCCAAAAAGAATTTTGTAATTATATCCCAAGAATGATGAAGTATGATCTTTTTCCGAATAAAAATTTTAATATAACAGGTTGCGATTCTCTGTTTGTGAAAAATATATGGCAACATTAAGAGCTGGTGGACCCATACAACTACTTAGTTATGCATGATTAAAAGTCATGGGAAGATTCATTTTGTGAATTGGGGTGCATGAAAGAAATTATATTATGTGTGCCTATTAATCGCTTAAAGAGATGAATAGTTAATAATTCGAAATTCGGCACTAAAATTTTCAAAAGTCGTTTAAATTTAATATTTAACTATAAGAACATACACAGAAAAAAGGATCTTTGATTCTTCAAATACGATTAAAAATATTTTTGCTTTAACTAAGAATCACTTATGTCTCAGTGCATTTCTTTTAACTGAATTACATGTGGTTTCCTTGTAGGCATTTTCTGAATCAGGTAACATGATTTATTCACATGTAAAAGAACTATAAGTATAAAGAGCACATTAATCAATAGTGCGGAGCTATAAGGTTGTATGAAGGGTATTTGCCGATATGAAATTTGGGAGAAGGAAAAGTGATCTCTAAAGTTGACAAGATTGAGATGACTGGTGAAGACAGGAGAGGAACAACTAAATGCTCACTCAGAATTAGAGGGTAGAATCCGAGAACTCTCGCAAAGGAATTTAAGTGTATAACTTCTACATGTGCCTGAAGAAGCAGATGAGGGTGGAGCTCCATAAAAGTACAACTTCTCCATGTAGGAGTTCTAAAACTTATATTTCTTAAAAATCATTTTCATTGTAATTTTTATACAATTTACTTTCTAACTAATTGTGTATGAAACTTTCTTCAAAAAGAAAATTATGCATAGAAATAACAATAAATAATCTGAGAAATAAAATGCTGAAAGAGTGCAGTGTTAGAATTTACTTCATCGAAGGGTAAGAATTTAAAATTCTTATTTATAGAAGTGGAATGTTGGGCCACTCTCACTATTTATCTAAAGTTTTCAATTGTCCATGAACCTTCATGCTATTATAAAAATCATGTTATTATAAAAAAAAATTACGGATAAAATTCCTTTTCAAATTAAAGAATTATCATTTCAATAAAATGTGCAAAATTTAGTAGGACTCATTTATTTTTTTCTAATGACGAGTTTGAAATCACAGCCTTATGCTAATAAGCATGTTGGCTTGGATACTAACCAACCATCTCTCTCAGAAGTTAAATTGAATGTGAGAAAATTGATATAGGATTAAGACAAAATAATTAAATAATGATTGTAAAACAACTAAAGAAAATAAAACTATTACTAAAACAATTATACAACCGAACTCTGAAATTACCTTTTTTTAAAATCAAACTTTAATCCGAAAAAAAAATGCAGGATGGCTTTGATAGTTGCAAATATGTCCAAAAAGATATTAATGGAGAAAAAATTAGTTGAATGAAATAAAAGATACTCCCACCCTCACATTTTAAATAAATATTTCTGACAACGGGTAAGTTAAAGTAAAAATAAATTATTAAATAGATAATGAGAAACAACTAAATCAAACGAACAAATTAGTTAAAAAAATATTATAATAAGGTGAAAATGCATCATATGTTAAAAAAATAAAATAAAATAAAAGCTCTAAAAATAAGAATCACTTCGAAACAAGGAATAAAGGTCCTTATATACGATGATGATGGTGATGTCAATTACGAGACTACGAATGTAGTCTTCAAAAAAGTATTGCATGATATATAATCATTCAATTCAAAGTTCATTATTTTCGCGTTTTTATATTCTTTTTTTGAGTTTCTTAACAATCCCCTTTGCCTTAAATAATCAATGTATTCATTTGGTAAAGTGTTGTTGATATTTGTGCTTTATATTTTCCAATGAAGTCTATATATTTTGTAAAAATAAACCAAACTTTGAAATTGTTTTTTTCTTAATCAAACTTTAATCAGAAAAAAAAATGCAGGATGGCTTTGATAGTTGCAAAAATGTCCAAAAAGATATTAATTGAGAAAAAATTGGTTGAATGAAATAAAAGATACTCCCACCCTCACATTTTAAATAAATATTTCTGACAACGGGTAAGTTAAAGTAAAAATGAATTATTAGATAGATAATGAGAAACAACTAAATCAAACGAACAAATTAGTTAAAAAAATAATATAATGAGGTGAAAATGTATCGTATGTTTAAAAAATAATAAAATTTAAGCTCTAAAAATAAGAATCATTTCAAAACAAGAAATAAAGGTCCTGATATATGATGACGATGGTGATGTCAATCACGAGACTACGAATGTAGTCTTCAAAAAAATATTGCAAGATGTATAATCATTCAATTCAAAATTCATTCTTTTCGCGTTTTTTTTTTTTTTGAGTTTCTTAACAATCCTCTTTGCCTTAAATAATCACCGTATTTTTTTGTAAAATATTGTTGATATTGTGTTTTATAATTTTCAATGAATTCATTATATATTTTGTAAAAATACAAAATCTATAAAAATATTAATATTTTTTTGCTTCGCTTATGTTGTAAATGTCTATACGTGTATATATTTCTCATCCATCGGACATGTCTAACACCTAGTGATCTTTATAACAAACACATCACACATTACAAATTGAGTACAATATCTAAGAACAAAATAATACTCCTAATTTGAACAATTCACTAAACTATTGAGTAATTGAAATTTGTTATCCCCTCCATCCTACTTATACTCCAGTTTTTTCGTAGTTGGTGTATTTTTACTTTTTATTCTTAATTTAACAAATGGCCTATTGAAATGGGAGGGAAGAAGTATTTTTTTGTTTACCAGAAATCATAACATGGTACATTTTGCACACGTCCCATGCATGTGCAAGAAGAAGTATCAGCAAGTCTACATATGCCAAATCGTTCTGCCCAAGAGAGCTGCTGATGGTCTCAAACTGTACACGAAGAAGTTGAAGAAGATCGAGTGTTATTCTTCGTTGTCAGATGCCAAAACTCAAAACACAAGGTAATGAACACATTATTCGGGTCAAGCAAAGTATATATCCTCAGAATAGTTTACCTCAAAAGGAAAGCCTAAAGAGAACAACCTTCCAAAAAGATAGTATTTCTCTATTACAGTATATACTTGGCACCAGAAGCTAAGAAATCCAAAAGGACAAGTATACTTAAAACAAAAAGAAGCAAAAGCTTCACTGCCACAGCTCAAAAAGTGCACTTAGTTTGCCCCTACAAATACCCCGTTTGATCATTTGTTTCTACACCAGCAAATTGATCATACAACTCTTAGCTAGCTTCAAACAATTTCCTTATCAAATCTAATAGGGTATCAGCTGAGCTAGTTTCAGTTTCAAAATGGCCAAGGCCAATTTAAGATCAAGCATTAAAGCTTTCCATGTCTTTGGCCTCTTATTTCTGGTGCTACTAGTTCAAAAGGGCAATGCATTTCAGTTCAAAGTTGGTGGTTCCAATGGCTGGGCACCTCCTGCTGATCCTAACTCAAACAGCCACAATCAGTGGGCTGAGCAGAACAGATTCCAGATCGGCGATTCGCTCTGTAAGTTTGATCATCATTTCCTTTACTGTCATTTTCAATCAGACTTTTGCTGTAACAAATGTCATTTCCATGAATTCAAACTTCATCCGGCAATTCTTTGACTTGATTCGCGGCCATGGTTTTGCAGTATTCGAATACTCAGGCAACAGTGACTCAGTGCTGTATGTGAATAAGGATGACTACACAAATTGCAACACAGACAAACCAATCCAGAAATTCACTGATGGCCACACAGTCTTCAAGTTTGAACACTCGGGACCATATTATTTCATCAGTGGAGTGAAAGATAACTGCCTCAAGAACGAAAAGCTGGTCATCGTGGTGCTGGCCGACAGAAGCCACCGCGCTCCTCCTCCATCCAATGAAACAGCAACATCTCCTCCTTCTCCAACTCCAACTACTTCTCCCTCACCTTCGCCGCCAGCTGAGGCTCCGTCGCCTCCATCCCCTGCACCGACATCAGAAGGATCATCACCTTCTCCTCCTGCAAACCCAACTCCGGCTCCATCCCAACAATCATCTCCACCTCACAAGAACGGTGCATCTTCAATTCTTACCAGCTTCTTTGCCACCATGGGAGCCTTTGCCGGATCATCCCTCCTGCTGTTCTTCTGAATTCAACATTTGCACTGAAGAGTTGGTATTTTTTTCATTCATTGCGAGGATTGTAACTTTTTTTCTTTTCTTTTGTCACTCTATTATTTCCCCCCTTTTTTGTGGTTTGTGTTTCTTGAACATGATTTTCTGTAAACATTGTTTGTTACCACACACATGAAACCGATGAGGCATAATAATAACGTGATGTTTTATAAACATAGTGTTGTGCAATTACAACCTCATTTTCACCGAACACTCTGCAACGAATTGAAAGAAGATTATCCTCAAATGAACGTCCTGATTTCTCCTAATCACCTTGAAAGTTTCTTATCATTCTCCTCGAATTGACTTTTTTTTCTAACCAGTATGATTATTAGAAAGTGAATACTCAAAGTGATTAAAAGAAAGAGCCAGACACATAATGATAATGTAAAAGTACATGAAACCTGTACTCTTCTCTGTTCTCATGATGACAGAAAAATGCGACTATTTTCAGCATGTCATCGGAGCTTAACTTAAGCAGATACAAAAGGCTAAAGGCTTTCCGGCTTCAACAAAAATTGTATCAGAAGTGATGATGACAAATCTCTTTCATTCGGCTGTAGTTCACTAAATTAACTATCCCTATGTTTTTCAGTTTGAAGATCTTCAAGATACAAATAATAACAAATCTATAAAAAGTAATCCAGTCTCTATATGTTGAGCGTACTTTTCCGCCTCTCTAGACTTCAACTAGTGTTCACTTCTTCAACAGTTTTTCCCCAGCTCAACTTTCTTCATCATTCTCATGGTATTGTGTAGAATTCCATCCAATATCCCAGCAACCTGAAACAGATAATTATAAAAAAAAAAAAAATGAAAATCTCTGGAGAGAAAAAGGAATCTTCGAGCATACAACAACAATTAACCTTCATCTGCCATGTGGCATCAAGTGGAGGGATTGTATGGAAAGGAATGCCATGAAAAGGCACCAAAAAAAATCAAGAGAAAAGAAGAGAACTCAACGCACCGTGAAAATACCACCAATGATAGCACATACATTGGTGATGAAATGCGTGAAAGACTTCGAGTTTTCTGTTATCAAGACCTGATGACAAGGAGAAGCAATAAATACTTAGATGTAGATTTAACAACCAAGAGGCAACGAAAAGATGAAGGAAAAGAACACCAAGACAAAGAAAAAGACTCCCGGACAAACCTGCATTGGCGAAAGCTCAAAGTGGAATTTAGCCACAGGAAGATACACACTGTGAGCCAGACTACTGTGTGCTGTGTATTCATACTCTTCAGCGATTTTATAAGACCGTGTCATCACCTCAGTCTTAACCACTTGAATAAAATGCTCAATCTGAATTTTAGCAAAGACAAATTAAATTAACTGTAACCTCCGATCACCCAGAAAATTCTAGTGAATTATGTGCGAAAGCAGCGAAAACAGAGGTTAAGCAAACAAGCCGCCTGATAATAGCAATTACACAGCGTTCTAAATTATTGTGGAAATCAATGGAAATATACAGGTCAAATAATAAAGGCCAGAAGACAAAAGAAAATGAATATAGAAAAGTTCATTAACAGAGATTACAGACGCAATAATGCTGCATTATGAACAAATAAATCAGCAAATGTGACTTTCGGTTGAAAAAACACAAGAGCAATGCAACTTTCTCCAGAAAATAGCCAGGAAACTTCATTCCAACTGAGATTTTCAAGTCCTGTATATAATGATTTATGATTACTGAAGCATCAACCAAACATGCATGAGCAAGAGGCATTTTAGGCCCAAAAACAGGTTAACCTAGCATTTGCATCACAAGAGAAGATATAACATAAAAGAGCCCCTGTAAAAACAAAGAAAAACTTTACGGTGACATTTGCATCAGAATCACTTGGGTTGGAGATGAATGAATGGCCACTCAGTTTGTCATAGCTTCTGAAAAGATAAGGCAGCAATCGCGTGACATCTCTCCTCTCTTTTGGAGTAAATGACTTCCCAAAGGAAAATCGGGAAATCACATGTGACATGTTCATTTTAGAAACATCAAAGGAATGGGAAGCTGAACGAGCTGAAATGACAAGATTCCCAGGAACCTGTGAGGCATACCAAATATAAAGCGGTCAAGAAAGAGACGAAGTTACATCCTTAATGCAATACTCATTCTGGACAATTGGCCTGGCCTAGTCTCTGAATGGTTAAACAAAGAAACAGTAGACAATCAGCAACAACTGCATTACAGCCTAAAAATTTATATTTTCCATGTAAATTACACTATTTTCCCCCACGTTGAGTCATTTTAATGCAGAACACCATCTCAAATTTTGGGAACAGCATGTTCAACTCATCTTTCAAGGTAGAAAATAATTGAAATAACATAAAAAAAAAAAGGAAATCTTTAAAGTGTCTCATATACCTCAATCTGCTTCCCCTCAATTTCCTAAATGAAATTGGATAATTATGTATACGCAAAAATATTTTCGAACTAAATCTGAAAATTGTTTATTTGACAGCAGACAAAGTTTGACGAATACATCTTAGCACTAAGCCATTTAAGGAGTAGCCAGAATTATAACCCAGAACTGTGCCCAGAAGAGAAATGCAAGATATGACAAGAATGCCTACCTTCTTAACACGAACAAAGCCTTCAATTCTACACCCTCCCGCTTTTGGTGCAGGTCGTTTAGTCGCATTGCCAGATATGTCCTCCAAAGCAAGCTTTCGAGATTCAAAAGATACAGATTTCACCAAGTCTTCCATTGTCTGAAAAATTATAACTTCAGTCATTCCTAAGAAAATCTTGATCTGTACTGAAGACTTCTTGTTAATGCAACAGTCATTCAACGAGGTTAAAGTAGATACTAATTGATTAGCATGGTCAAGATAATCATCATGTCCTTTCATTCTCAAAATTTTCAGCCAACTAGCTCAGTGGCATTTCTTACCGCGACCAGACTCTCAGTATCACGATCCCCATAATATGATTCATGCTCGTGCTGCCCATGATCATCCCTAAGTCCAAATGGCAAGAATTTAGTTTAGAATTCAGAAATTGTAAATAAGGTAAAAGGTCATAATGCATTAGCCCCAGTGGTTAAGAGTAGTAAAAGAATAGTTTCTGACGGATACAACTATCTGTTAGATAGAAAAAAGAGATAAAAGAGCAAATGTTTCTGATGGAAAGATTCACAAGTTGTTAACCCCAAAAAAAAATTTATAATAATAAAATAAAAAATTCACAAGTAACAAGGAAAATTGAATTGAAAGAAATATACACACTCTTGCATCCGCAAAGATCTAAAGATCAAAAGATCAAAGATCAAATATATACACTTGCAGATCTAAAGATCTAACAAGGTGCACCTACTTCGAGAAGATGCTAGATTGTGATGCAATAATTTAATTTCAGAAATTAGAGCACAACTACTGTTTAACAGTTTTGAGCCAGAATTGATAGGATAAAATGCCAGGCCACAATGATGAAATATGTAAATGGAAAAATTGTCACACCAAGTATCTATCTAACAGATAAAGAATATGTATAATTGGAGACATTAACTTGATATAAAAATTGTCATACCAAGTATCCATCTGACACATAAAAAAACAAATAACGTAAATAGAGTCAGTACCTTGAAAAACAAAACTTAACACAAATCTAAATTACCTTAAATCACTTCCTTTGCGGAAGATGCGAATTGATGGGTAACCCTGTATGTGATGCCTGGAGATTCAAACCAAACTTTTAGCAGGAGCGAAATTAAAAGCCATTCAAAATGCAACAAGTTAAAGGTATATGCTACAGAAAATTATTCAAGAGAGATGTAACTCCTGAAACAAAAATTATGTTATTCCATCCAAATGACAGGCATCATCAAACTTTATCAGGAATAAAGAACTGTGTTGATTTCAAGAAGAGTATAAACACCCAAAAGTGTCAAATATCATACACATGGAACTTGATCAATCAAGCACTAGTAAAATATAAGTGGCAGACTTTAGCAATCTTCTAAAATACCTCATAATAGAGGTAATAGATTTTTTAAACAAGGAATTGAATCAATGATAAAAAAATGAGCAACGACATTCATAAAAAAAGAAATTACAAAAATGTGTAACCTCAATACCACACGATGCAATCATAAACTAAAAATCAGACTCCACAAACAGTAGCGACACAGAATTTTCGCTTTGCTATAAAATACTTGCTAACCATAGACTATATGTCTCCCTTTAAAAATCAAATAACCGGAAAAACAAAGTCCCAATGGTAAGAAACGAGGTAGACCACTGATAAACAAAATGCAAGCAGCAGTGCAGAGAACCGCCATGTTCATAATACTGAATAACATATTCAAACAATGTAATTGTAGATAGAGAGTACCTTCTGCACAAATCCACTTCTTCAGTGCAGTCAACCTTTGCCATAAGAATGCGCCCGTCCATTTCTGGGTCATACCTAAACTATGCCAAACAAGGTAGAAGTCATTTCTCAATATTGTTTTTCATTCAAAATGCCGAAAGGACTATCAGAGTTGAACGAAGATGGAATCAGACCTTTCTCGTATGATTGTGGATGCTTTCTCCCAAGCAGGTTTCTATGTAAGAAAACATAATCAGTCTTCGGGGTGGGGGTGTGTGGTGATCATCAAGAATAGCTTGATTGAAAAACATATCAAACGTACCAGGCGGTTGCTCCAGTAACACCATGGAGCAAAGAAATTCACGACCAGAATGGGATATCTGAGACAAGAATGTATTACACACAATAATAAAACCAGTACAAAATAAGAAGGAAAAGGAATAATTATTGAACATATCCCACTCACTGATGTGAAATTCTCTCAAAAACATGGCCATTCAGAGAAACAGAACCTTCACCATGTGCTTCGTCAACTTCCTCATCATGCTTGACTGCACCTGAGATTGGCCCTGAATCAAACTCGGCTCCTGTAGGCCTCAATCTTGAATCTATCGCATACTTGCGGATAGTTTTTGTTACATTCAACCTATTCTGCAAATAAGACAGCATAATCATACTCCAAATTCGATTAAGCGAAAATTTTGTCAACAAGAGATTAAAGAAGTGGTTAAAAATGTTGAATAACAAAAGTATATCATCATTCGAAAGAACGTAACATGTCGGGTTTCAGGTTTATCCATTGTTATGAAAGAAAGCAAAAGGGACAAAAAGGAAACATGAAGCTTACCGTTCCCAAAGCATCGCTCACGTCAAGAGAAGCAAACTCACAAGATAATGCTGGGAAACTACAGTAATCAACGCACTGTGTTAGCTTAGATTCAAAATCAAACAGAAGAAAACCCATATAAACAGCCCCCAAAACAAGTGCAAGAGAGTAACTAATAATCACAACCGTAGACTGGAAAATTAAATGTAGTGATTGATTAAAATTAAAAAAATCATTCCATAATAACTCCCCACAAAAACTACCAAGAAAAAAAAAAGAAGAAGAAGAAGAAGAAGCTTTCAGGCAACGGCAGAAATCAGATGACCAAAGAATACAACTCACTCTAAAGAGCACCAAATTCATAAGATTTTTGCACTAGTAGTTTCTAATTCTTGACTCAAGTGTCACATTAATCTGGTTCAACACATGGTCATGCATGAAACAAGGATGCATGAAACTGCAACTGAGAGAACAAATGATGCCCATTTTTCTTTCAACTTAGAAGATAGTGTAAGCCTCTTTTTAATAACATTGACATGTGCGTCGACCTTCCAACATCTATAAGGAGAGATAGACAAATGAACTCTCACAGAGTTTGGGCAAGAAACAAAAAACACAAATTAGCAATCCAAAACCAGGAAACATCATACAACCTTATACAAAATGATGAACAATCTCACATTTACGGTAGGGATTTCTCTGGTTCAAAATGGAATAGAACAACTTTTGCCGCACAAAAGAAAAAAAGAACATAGAACCTTGCCTCATATTGAAGTCGATTCTCAAGAACTCCCCATCAGAACTATTGTCCACAACAATCGTGGTGGAGGTGCCCACTGCCAAATAATCATTCAGTTCCTACAGAAAAAAAATGTCACCCAATTGATTAGAGGAAAAGCAAATATTAAAATGAACTCAACAACAAAGTTTGATCAAAGCTAGTGTTAGTTGGTTGGTTTATTTTGTTTTTTGTGGTAGTATTTCTTTTCACCCGATCAATTTAATTAATAGTGTCCGAATTTTAAGAATCTAGATTCACCTTATATTTCTCCACTTAGAAACCAGAAGTAAAACCAATATATAGTTAACAAAAAAGCATCTGTTTCTCACCATTCCAAACAAGAATATCATGAAAAAGGCAGCTAGGATGGACAAACCAGCACCTGATAACGATGCCTCGGTTAAATCTCGTGGGATTTTTCTGCAAGTACAATTAAACAGTCATTACTGGGTTCAAATCCAAGTTGAAAAGGCTTGATGAAATTAAAACAAAACTCAACAACAACAAGCCTCTATCCCTTGTGGGATCGGCTTTTACGGATCATAAGTCATCTTTGTGCTCAATCAACACACATGCTTTTGCATTAAAATAAATTCAAAATTCGTGCTATATAAGTCCAGAAATAGAGGCGAGTCCTACAATGTGAGACTGGTTATCAACCTTTCTATCATTCTCCTTGAACATGAGAAATTCGGTATTATTCCTAAGGCAAAACACTTAATACAGATGCATACAGGTACTGCGGAACTAATCAGGTCAACCCATCGGTAATTTAACAGTAAGACCCAACACTAGAAAGATAAATGCACACAGCAACTATTTATAACCCACACCGATAAACGCAACAACTGAATCAAGGACCTCCAGAAACTAACGCCCACTCGAAAGAAATACAATGAAAATCCATTAAAATTTCAATTGATTAATAATAGCTCGTAACTGATCACTCCACGTAACTTCACCACTCAGATAAACCGCATGAAAAAGAATAAGAAAAATAACCCCCAAAAACAGAAGCTCCAAACAATTGAAATCAGTAAATAAAAAAAAAAGGAGAGGAGGAAGAAAATCAAACCTGTAAAAGTCCACGGATTTGAGTTTACTGGTGGAAACCATTTTGGGGGAGGGAAAGGAGTAACAGATCCGAGGGCGAGAATTTTGACTCACAACAACAAAATGGGGGATGAGATCAATGGGGAAGAAACACAGCGAGAAGCGAAACCCAAACTCAAGAAAGAGGGGAACAGCATTCGCTTCTCGCAAAGCCTAAAGTAAAGAGGAAAGAGCTCACTTGTATTCTATCGTGAAATTTATGAACCAACGCTCTCTCTCCTTTGTTCACCGCCCTTTGTGTGTGAGATGTGCTCTGAATTTTTTAATTATTTAGTTTATTCTCATAATAATTAATTCATACTACTACTAATCTAGGGAATTTTTTAATAATAAGGAGTTGTTTGTGCATTAAATGTCATTTATTCTAATGGGAATTGAATTTCCTTTGCATTATTTCGGTTCGAGAGATTGTAGTGTGAATGTAATGTTGGATCAAAATTGTACTACTAGTAATTAATATGGTCAAAGTGTCCAATTTTGTTATCTGGTGGAACTCGATAAATAACGGGCTTAAATCACTTGAATCATGCTATGAAAAGTAATGATAAGTTTTGGATGCATTAATATAATACTAGAGAATAACTCGGTTATTGTTGCGATAGCCGTTCGTATTTTTATCTTGTCAAAACAATAAAATTTCTTCAAGGAAGATTGAGATTTGTGGAACATGGTATCAGATTGTGATTTCAAGGAAAAATTACATGATATGGAGAAGGAAGATATTCTTCCTCTTCTGATGTTAAAAATTAGTGACAGAAATTAATTTTAGTTGGATACATACAATATGAAATGTGAACAAAAAAAAAAGAAAAAAGATTTGGTTTCGGTTTTGACTTTTATTGTATTATTACTCTCATATACTTCACAAACTTATTAATTGTCAATTGAATTAAAATTGGTACTGAAATTACAAATTAACTTTGTTTGCTTAGCCACTACACTATATATAATAGTATAATTTACAATACCAATTTACCTCGAAGATAAGCCAAATATGAGAATGGAGTTTGTCATAACATTTGTAGCAAAGAAAATTGTGTCGGGGCAGTCGGCTGCATCAATTTCATGTCCAAATTTTGTACTATTAGTGGTGACTTCTTGGCCTAAATTAATAATTGTCAATTAAAAAGAAAAAATGGAGCAAATACGTAGTTTCATAAATGTCTTGGTTTTCGATGTTGCCTTTGCCAACACTTTTGGGGCTATTTTTTTTTTCTTACATATTCTGCATAGGCCATATGCGTCAGGATTCAGAAGGATACGGTTTCTACATATTTTTTTTTCTTACATACTAGTATTATTCCCGCGCGTTACGCGATATCTTAATTTTTAATAAATTTTAATGATGTGAGTAATTTTTGCTCCGAACTTTAGGAAATATACAAATTTTTTTTAATCTTTTTCCAATTGTAAAAGATGATAAATATTTTCATGTCAATGAATTACATTCAAAGTTTAAACTACTTTCGTTCATGAACGTGATTTTTATATGCATATATTCTATAAGTTTGTTTACAATGAAGTGAAACAAAATTTTTATTAACATATGCTTTATCATACTTTGGGAGAAAAAAAAAATCTTACCAGATGTCTCCCATGTAATCTTGTATTAACATATGATTACAATAGATTAATGTGGTAATGTCCACGTTAGAAATTGGCGGATTCCAATTTCAAAGAATGAGTGATTTTGGTGATCTAATATATAAAGGGAGAGTAAGAGAGATTAATATGAGAAAAGAAGAAAAGAATCACTCTATGTTTGGAATATTATTTTCAACAATAAATCACAGTTAATATTGCTATAAGATACACATATTTTATACTTTGCCATATTTTATTATAGTTTTAAAATTTAAATTTGTTTCAATTATCTTTTGAAACAAAAAATATCATTAATGATAAGATAAAGACTACACTATTTTTTATCCTACATATATAACGAAAAAAAAAAATTCCTTAATGAATTTCCTTCGCACCTTCTTTCTCCATGGATTTTTTTTATGCCAAACAACACAGCGCACCGCACCTTTTGTTGCCGGTCACCATTCCAATTCCTTCTCCCCACCATTAGAGCTTTGCCATGGCACCGCTTCAAGAAGCAACAGAGGCTTAATTGGTTGGGTTGTATGAAGACACCAATCTCTGTGTCATTCACGCTAAAAGAGTCATCATCACGCTCTTCTCATTCATCACAGCCGCTGGCATGGGATTTTCGAATTACACTCTATGGTATTTAGTTGGAGATGATCATGCGATGAAGTAAAATTTATAAGCGGCGGGTACGGAGATTTTTGTGGCTAGAGTATTTTTCCGGTCAAATTGATGATTCGGAGATCGTCGTCAAAAGTCTATTTGAAAAAAGTTATTTTTTTTTAGAAAATAATCATTTGACTATGTTTAAATTAACCATATTACTTGATAAAATACTCAGTAAAAAAATTCGCGAATTAGAAGATGACATGTGGATTACATAAAATTCTCTACGAATGAGAAAATGACACGTGTAATTAGAAATTATTGATGATCTAATTGACTGACATGTGTCTTGTGAAAAAAATTCCCTTAATATATAGTAAGATTCTGCATAGGCCATATGGTCCATAAGTCAACGAACGTTTTTTTTAATATTTCTTGCTTTATACGTTTATTTATGTTTCAATTAATTTCATCTTTTTCATATAAGCAGTAGTTCAAATTTGTTTTCAGTCATGACTGGCTGCATATACCTAAGTACCTAACTAATCATTGCTTGATATTTTCTTATATTTCGAAAACAATGTTAAGAATATCTGTTCGTTTTCCCCCTCTATATTTAATAATTAATATACAGTATATCCATCCGCACCACGAGTTTTATAGTTGTATTTATTGAATACTTTAAAAATTGATAGAAGTGAAAAACTTTTTATCAACATTAATGAAGTATGCAAATTTATCAATATTAATGAAGTATGCAATGATTATATGAGAGATTAGTTCCAAACATACCCTTCGAAAAAATAGTCGGCCGAAATTTAACTTTCAATATTGTTTCTTTTACATCTCATAATAAAAATAGTATTATTTTAATTTAATAAATACGACTCTTATCTCGTGCATATTGTGAATTATGCCATAAGATCATACTAGTCAAGATTTGAAAAATGCAACTGATAGTAACTAAACTGAAAAAATGATAGTCAAGTCAGTACGAAATAAAATTTTGTTTGTTCCGAAATGATTGTACAATTAGGATTTATACTTTTTTTTAGATAAATGTCCATTCATTTTCGGACAGAGCAAGTAGAATTGCTCCACTCGGTTTGGTTGATCAAACATTGAGAAGATAGCTTTTGTAAAAATGGTAGTTGAACTTCACAAATTAATTTCACAAAATTATTACATTGATTCCACCCAATATATTTTTCTATAATTATTTATTAGATTATTTAAAATTGTTCAAGCTCGATTGATTCTGCAAGGTTCATTTAAAATAGTTGGTAGTACCTTGTATAAAATTGGAGACTTTAACAATATTGCATTGAGATAATAGAAAGGTTGAAAAGTAATTAATTAAAAAAAAGGATATATTCTTCCAGGTTACACAATATGATGGGGAAATCATCAACATTTAACCATCTGCATGCTACTATCAATTATCAAATCCTACAGCACATTCCTAGTAGAATGTATGAATACTTTTTTTTTTTTTAACAAGAAGAAAGAAGAAAGGTCGGAAAGATTTTCATGTTCCAAATGATTCCAAAAATACTCAAGGGGTATACCTAAGAACTATTTTTGAAACTAGTCAGTGCTAAATGATACGAATGCACTAAGGGGTCTACCTAAGGGATGGACATTTACACTATATAGTTCCCTAGTCTCTTCTCTTTTATATTTTATTGAATACCAAACTTAAAATAGGCAGACAGTGCATCAAACTTTCCTGTTTTTACATAAAACATAACGAATACTTAAATTATAATTAGATTTTATTGTAATTATTCTCTAAATAATCTTTTTATCCACAAATATCAAGAAAAAGAATTTATGTACATGCGATTATAGTTATACATCATAATCCAAACTTATCCAAATTGTAGTGCAAAAATAAAAAAGGGTTGGAACTCATAATAAAGGAAAGAAAAAGGGAAAAGTTGTAAATATATATTCCTGCTAAAGGACAACAAGGGTGCTGCCATGCTGGTGACCTGGCGCTTATGGAGTCGTTATCTCTTTTCACTCTTTCTGCCTTTTCTGGGCGAAAATGAATTAAAAAGATCCCGTAAATGTGGACCCAACACACTCCACAGTGTCGTCTTCAACTAGCACGCTGCCGTTTCGATCATTTTCCGTTAACGAACCTGCGAAACTCGGTCGAAAATGGTGGTTTCCGGTGCTATGCTCAGAGCTTTCAGAAGTCGCTCAATTTCTCATCGATTAGCCTCCAGTTATCGATCAGTAAGTGCCATTTTGTACGAATCCGTGCACTTAAGAACAGTTGCTTTTTCTATTTTATCTCTTCAATTTCAACTAAAACGGCGATCAATGATTCTTGTCTTCAATTCAGCGGCTTGAAATGCTAGAAAGAATCTTAAGGAAAAGAAAATGTTCTATTTGTATTACTGTTTTGCGTTTGTTATCTTTTGTACAGATACGTTTCTGCATGAAATGCATAAGCTTATCAATAATTTTTGGGGTTTTCCTTTTTGTTTTTGTTTCTGGATGGTTTCGGATACATAGCTTACTACGTTGGTATTAGCTGAACACGAAGGGGGTTCTGTGAAGGCGTCATCAATCAGTGCTGTAGAGGCTGCAAAGTCATTAGGCCAGGAAAATTCGGTATCCTTATTGCTAGCTGGTTCAGGTCCATCTCTTAAAGAAGCTGCTGCACATGCTGCCTCCTGCCATCCATTGGTTTCTGAGGTAGGTCATTCGATTCTGTCACTTTTGGTCATTTCAGATGCTGTTTGCCTGCACATATGAACCAGATAACTTAAGTGAAAGAGGGGTTGTTTGAAGTTGTGTTTACTGTTTAGGATCCTAGTACTTTTCTTAGAACTTGACTGGATTAGCTCCGAGAGCAGGTTCTCTTTTTTTTTTTTTTTGAATCAGCTACAACCAAAAGTGTATAGATATCCTGTAAGAAGCTGGGATTGTGAATCTACTTTATCCTGTTGTAAGAGGCATACGAGTCGGTTTTAAGTTTGATTTGAGGTGCGAGGAATTTAGTTGGAACTTGTCGGCTTTGATGTGAAGTGTGCCCTTTTGTAGACTACTTTTACTGCCTGCTTGCACTTTTTCTGCCAAAGATTGATTAATTGGAAAAAGAAGAGATCTTTGGTATTTTGCACTAGCCAAAAGTTTCGATTTGATGTTTCAATTGGCTGTGAAGAATGCTGATTCTTCCATTGTTTCCCGCAGGTGCTTGTTGCGGACTCAGATAAATTTGCAAATCCTTTAGCAGAACCATTGGCTAAATTAGTCCATGTGGTTCAGCAGAAAGGTGGTTATTCTCACATTATAGCCTCTTCAGGCTCATTTGGGAAAAATATATTACCTCGTGCAGCTGCCTTATTGGACGTCTCCCCAATAACTGATGTTACTGAAATTAGTGAATCTAATCTTTTTGTGAGGTAAAACTTCCTTGACTAGATTCTTGTTCAATACTCTCTCCTTTTAAACTTTGCTTGATAGATATTCCGTCACTTCAGTTGATATGTTTTTATCTTTACTACGTTTAATATCATCTACAACTTTTGTAATTTGGATATGATACCAGTATCTACAATCTATTCCCTTCTGTAGAAATGACTGATTATCCAAGCACAATGTGGAGCAGGCAATAACAATTTGTGATCATATGTCTATATGAAAGGATAACATAACTTACTAATATCTGGCCTTTGAAAAGTAGTTCTAGTTGTAATGAAGGTAGTATAACTCGTTGAGATTTGATTATGTAGTTTATATCTAACTCTGCATAACTCCATTTCAGGCCCATCTACGCTGGGAATGCTCTCTGTACAGTTCGTTACACTGGTTCCTACCCTTGCATCTTGAGTATCAGGGCTACTTCGTTTCCTGTGACTCCAATTTCAGCTGATTCAAAATCTAAACCTGCATCAATTGATCAGGTGGATCTCTCAACCTTTAATGAAGGTCTGTAGCAAGTTGAGGATTATAACATATTTTTCCTGAAGAGATATTTCTGAAGGAAGTTATTTGGTTTTGTGAGAATTGTGAATATATCAGTTCTTTTCAACAAAGTGGAAAATTAATTTTCCTGGTTTTGACGGTAAATCATGAGCAAGTACCTAATAAAATATGTTGTTTACAGATGAGGCAGTGGGAAAGTCAAGGTACATAAAGCTCTCTTCTCAAGAGTCGGAGCGCCCTGACCTAGGGAGTGCACGTGTTGTAATTACTGGAGGTCGAGCTCTGAAAAGTGCTGAAAACTTCAAAATGATAGAGAAGCTTGCTGAGAAACTTGGTGCAGCAGGTTGTCACCTAGCATATTGAGTATTAAGAGAAGGAATTTAATTCAATTAAAAATCTCACCTGCAGCATTGGATAAATGAGATTGTGATCTAACTTCATTTCCAAATGTTCTACCATTGCTATTACAGTTGGAGCGACTCGTGCTGCTGTTGATGCAGGATATGTTCCCAATGATCTTCAGGTAATTTATTCATACATAAATATTTATGGAGAATACTCCATGGTTGATCAGATATTAGTTTTGTGGTTTTTCTAAATCTTTGTATCTTGTCCAACAAGCAGTTCTTAAATCATTGTGCTAAACCATAATGGTTCTATTCATGTCAATCAAATTCAGGTTGGGCAGACGGGAAAGATAGTGGCCCCAGAACTCTACATGGCATTTGGTGTTTCAGGGGCCATTCAACATCTGGCAGGAATCAGAGATTCTAAGGTCATTGTTGCTGTGAATAAAGATGAAGATGCACCGATATTCCAGGTCAATCCTAAATCCCCCTTACAGTATCTCTATCGGGATAGCTTTGCATTACGTAGCTTTGCATAACATGATTAGAATGTCAAGACAGTCAACTCTACATTCGACTTGCAGGTTGCTGATTATGGACTGGTTGGTGACCTTTTCGAGGTGATACCAGAATTATTAGAGAAACTTCCAGAGAAAAAGTAGACCCTGTTTCATTGCCATTTAACTCTTGGAGCAGCGAGAAGGGGAAGAACGAACATATAGTAGCTCCACTTCGAAGACAGTAGAAAACATTGAGAGAGCTCAGACAGGTGTTAATACGGAATCTAATGCTTTCAATGAGGCATTGTAACATAGTATCGTATTTAAAAATAAAAAATAAAAAAGAAAAAAGAACTCCAACTTTACAATGGTCTGGCCAACCGGGTGGCAGTCTTACACTCCTGTTCCAGTGGCAATATTTTTTTTCTATACAAATGCTGCTGGTTTATGATGATTGCCTGTTTGCCAGCAGCTACAGCAAAGAATGCCGATAATGATAGATCTCTTTAACCTTCTCAGTTGTATTCTGGAGATCTTTTAATCTAATAACCGAATGGCTGTTTTTAATATCAAGACATGCTCGCGGTGAAATCTAAAATGCGCAAATAATGTAAAAAGGAATGTTTACCCGAACTTTAAAGCAACTGCAATTTTTTTTTGAAATAATCTAGGCGCAAATATGTCTTTTTTTTTTCTTTTTTTTTTTTTTTAATACAAGGGAAGCTATAGGCTTAAATACAAAACATCCCCTATAGAGAACGGAATGAGCCTATCATGTTGTTCTCTAGGTTGACGGAAGCGTCGATAAAATATGATACCCAGATTATAAGAGTAAATTTTGTAGGTTGACGAAGGCATCGATAAAATATGACACCGATACAGACTATCAAGAGCAAATTTTGTCGGTACATCCGCAACGACATTATTTGGACATCGGTTATTGCCAACCGAAATTTGCGAATTCCATTATCTGGAGGCACATATGTCATTCAAACAACTGCAATTGGGCTGGGCTAATAGTCAGTCCAGTGGATCTCAGACTAAAAGCTTCAAAGATTTATTGCATATTTAAATAAACTATTCAAGAACACTTGTAAACAGCGCATCTGGTGTAGTGGTATCATAGTACCCTCCCACGGTACTGACCGGGGTTCGATTCCCCGGATGCGCAATTTGTATTTGTGTTTTTCCCCCTCATTAACCACCCTTTTTTGGCAGCTTTATCTGATTTTTCATCCTCTCATCATTGATTTTTGTTTTGATATTTTTTAAGATTAATCTCCTTAGCCATTCTTTTTGGGAGACAACATTTTTTCTTACAACAAGTACTTGACTTACTATACATTATATGCTTTATCATTCCTTTCAGGATACAAAATATTTTCCCCAAATACTTGACTTACTATTTCCAAAATTTCAACCTGATCATGGTTTTAGTACATTTACATTAACTGTTTATATTAAGCTTGATAATGAATGAATATCATAGTTTTAGTACATTTACATTAACCTTTTATAGCACATTTTGTTGAATACTAGCTCCAAATTTTCCCTATGACTGTAATACAATCTATAAACTATTCACACTATCCAATACTAACGGACTTGTTTTGTTAAACTTTGAGTACATGAAATATAACTTTTTTGATATGTATCAAATACTCCCTCCGGTCCTAAATATAAGGGATTTTGATGTGTCATAGGTTTCATCTGATACACATTTTTAATTGACGAAAAAGCTTTTAAAATATTTTGTAACAATTAAGAGAACACAACGAATGTGAAAATATATTTTTAAGATTTTTTTATCAAATAAAAATGTATATTAGGTGAAACTTTAGACAAATCAAAATGCCTTATATTAAGGACTAGAGGGAGTACAACTAATATTTTAGAATGCATTGAGTAATTAACTTTTTCACGGCTTAAGCCCCTTGGAGGCTTTGACGGGGTATATAGTAGTTTACATAGCATGCAAAAGTGGCCCTAAAACAACATGAAAAGGGAAGATTAAAAAAATTAAGTGGGGGATTTCATGCATTTTAAAGTTTAACATAATTGATGATGACAAAAGTGACACGAGATAGCTAAATAAATTTGGTCAATGACCAACAATTCAGATGGCAGTTGGATAGGAGTTCTTATATAGCGATACAGAAATTATAATCAACTTTAGCTGCCGCCATATAGAATTGGAAAGGAAGAAAATCAATGGTGTAGCTTTTCTAACCTTTTTTTTTTTTCTAATGCCAAATTACCAAAAATGAAAAGGAAAAAACAAATGGAAATCTTATCATGATCATCATCTTCAGTCTCTCATTGATTATTTTGTTCAAAGATTACATAGAATCGTGGGAACATTCCGAAAGCATCTACCTAATTGACCTGTCAGAATTTGTTTCTTGTCTTCTAATCTGTTTTATGAATAAAATAAAACCAATGTAGTAGATTTCTTCAAGATTAATTAGCTGTTCTAATGATTGGTTTCCCTCCCCTATGGTATCTACGGCCAATAATACAAAGCCAATCTGAATTAAGGATACTGATTGGACTTTTGTCCGAAGCAGCTTTAACCCGTTTTTTCACGCTGTCCCAACTCCCATGTGTTGTCACCGGGGGTTATGAGTTTGAGACGGCCGTAGAGAAATTAGGTTCACGTACAGAAATCTCATTTTTCTTCTCTCATATATCTTTACTATAACTAAGGCTTCTACTTTTCCCTTTCAAAAAAAAAAAAAAAAAAAGCTTCTACTTTGGAATGGAACTTTAAATCAAATTGTTAGGATGGACTTTTTAAATTATATACATATCATTTCGTGACGTAGGGAGTAATTAATAAAATTTATAACTGTGTTTACCATATTCATCTATGAATACTATGAATAGAAAAAATGGAAATATACGTTTTTAGAAAAGATTATTGAATTACTCATGATCAGTTGCGACATAATGTCAAAACTGTAATTTTTCTTTTTTTTTTTTTCCTTCTGCCTGCCGTATCAAATATGAAGAATATGAGGGTTCCAAAAAATGAATGTTATGCTTAAATTTTTAATTCTTAGTAAAGCAAAAGAGGGGAGCTATTTTTAATACAACGTCGCTATTGCGGAGTTCTTCGGGTTTTATGCAGTCAAAGACTCAATTAAAGATGCTGCTCCATTTACATTACATCATGTAGATGGACCGAGTCGACCGACCCTACCTCTTCATTCAACATACATATTTTTCTCAAGCCAAAACAAAATAGGAGTGAGGACAAATTCCTCCAAAATGTGGGAAAGCATGAACCATCACCATTTTGATGTTATTAAAGTTTTGATGTAAGAACAAATTGACGTCAACTCTTAACACATTTCGCATTCAAATACAGCCGGTATCACTTAGGCGTATATGAACTAACTAGGAAAGATTGGATTGAATATATTTAGCCTCAAATTATGAGTTTGAATCTCGAGCGCGCGTACCATTATAATTGAAAGAAATCGACTTCATCCGTCTTATCTTTATTGTAAAACAGTATTATAAAATTGGAACAATTAATATGGATAGAGAGAGTTATAAAGTTTTTGAAAGAGGAAAAAAGTCAGCAAATTAATATCATTTTCCTTCTTCAAGAACATTTAACCATGTACATAAGTAATTAGGGAAGTGGGGGGAAAGAGAAAGACATGGACGTGATTGATGGCCAATTAAACTTTAAACAAAGTAGTTCCTTAACATGGATACAGGAACTAAGCATAACCCCTTTTTCTTCAAGTCGGATTCATTATTATTGTTAATTTGATCTTCATCTTGAAGTCTCATTCCTTCACTGGTATCATTTCTTCCAATAATGTTATTCCCCTAAAACAACAAAAGAGTAAAAAAGATCAATCGGCTTCAATTATGATGATAGCCATCTACAAATTAATTACTTGATCATAGTGAAAAATGAAAACAAATGTGGAATTAACATTAATCACCTCCTCCAGAGCCTTTATTTTGTTCTTCTCATCTGGACTGAAATAGAGCTCATTAAGATAGGATACCTGTTAAATAAATTAGTAATCACTAAACCCTTTAATTATAATCATATGCAAGAACATTACTTTAGATGTGGTGAACCAAACCTTGGGGCTATTGGCAGGAGAACTGGCAGTATCTTCCAACTCAAGATCATTAACTGAGGAGGAAGCTCCAAAATGAGGTTTTCTTTTCTTTGGACTGAACTGCTTGGTGTTACTTGCGATCGAAGTTATAAACTTTAATGCTGGCCTAGAACTCGTAGTATTCATCAATATGTCACAACAAGCCATTTTACCTGATGATGAAAATGCATCAGAAACATCATGGTCATGATGAGGATAATGATGATGGTGATGAGTAGTACTTTCTTCTCGCTTATCATCATCGTCGTGATCTTGATTTTGATGGTCGTTTAGGAAGTCCTGCATGTAGAAAGTCCAACTGCTCTCTTCTGGAGAATCAAGAATTGTTTGTTCATTAGGGGAAGAAGAAAGGAGAAGAAGGTCATCAGCTTTAGTATTGTCATTCATTGAGTTAGTCATGGATTCCTCCATTTAATTTGTAGCTAGGAAGGGGAAATAGCCAAAATAGGTGGAAGAAATGTATAGAGTTAGGTTACTAGAGGCCTAGATAGATAGATAGATAAGCCAAGTTACAATAAAGGAAGGCCACTACTTAATTGAATGGTGGCATTATATATAGAGAGAGAGAGATGAAAGAAGAATGGATTTGATGATTGATGTAAAGATGTGGGATCCAAGTTGAGCCGTTGAGATTAGTTAAATTTAGGGGTTGGCTACTCAAAAAAGAATTAAAAAAATGAAATTGAGGGATAAAATAGACAGTGGGGTTTGACATTTTAGGGTTAGCTACGTACTCGATCAAAGACTTTTGCGAATCTTATTTTCAATGTTGCATCTTAATTTCTTTCCACTCACTAATTATTGACCTTTGAAACCATCAACTTGTGTGTGGTTAGGTCTTTCATTTCATCCATTTACTTGGACCATCTCTCTCGGTCTTTTTTTTTTTTTTCCTTTTCCTGAATTTTTGTTTTGAAGTTGAAGAACTTTTTCTTACATGATTAATGTGGGTAGGCTTCAATGAAGCAGTTTATAGTTCTATATCACTACATGTATTCATCAAAGTACGATTGCGGCATTTTTTTGGGTGGGGATGCGTGGTGAATTGGTGATATATATGTTTGGATCTCTCATCCTAAATTTAATTTGGATATTATACGTAACACCTTTTAGACTGAACTATATTATGCATAACAACTCACTACATTCTCATCATAATGACAAATAACAAATCCTTTGGTCAGGTCTCCCACCCATCAAAATATCTACTATAAGCGGGGGAATTAGTCATTATTGCAGACGGTGAACATCTTCCAATATGAAAAAAACAATAACAAATGTTGTTCGATACATATACTTTAGCTAGTGAGGCGCGTGTTCACAATTAGGGCACACGAAACTGTCCCCCAAACCCTCATTAACGTTCATTTGCTTCTTCTTTGTATATATATAATTTTTTTCCCTTCATTCACACAATTTGTTTCTGAACGTAAAACTCTTTCACCAATAGATTAAACTCGATAGATTCATTGGCTTAATTAACTAATTAATCACGACTTTGACTTAAAATAGTGATTCTTAGACAGTTAGACGTTAATGTATATATGCTCTCGATCATCCCATGTTGTTAGGTAAGTGCATATTCCCCAACCATATTAACTGTATTAGTATGAATTATTTAAAACGGCTATAACCATAGTGAATTATAACGAACATATTATACTTCAAAAAGAAATTAAATTGTTCTCACATAACATGATTCTGCATATGTATAGATTCTGCCATATAATTTTGTATGTAAGAGAAATTAATTGAAGGATTGCAACTTGCAAGAGAGAGAGGAGGAGGAGGATCGATGGAGAGAGTGGGAGGAAAACATATGCAGCTAGGCAAATTTATTGCTATTATTTTGAGGAAAGCAGCAAATAATTGAACAAAAACATTACATAAAAAGAGGCAAACAGACAATAAGATAGCAAGATCCAAGTGCAGAAATGACAGTTAAGATTACCAAACGAAAAAAAACATAATAAAAACAAGGCAGAAAATTGCCAGATTGGACGGGTGGTGGTGGCCGGACAGGATCCGATCCATCAACATTACAACGTTGATTCATCAATATCGTCCTTATTTGTTTTAGTATGTGACTTCATCAATCAATCATCCCCCCTCAGTTGTCATTTTCAAAGGACTCGTGCGACATGTATGGAAAAGTTGTGTCCTTCTTATTACAAATATTTGGCTATTTCCGTCGAAATGTAGAAATAATAATTGGTTTTTTTTTTTTATATTCTCGTACATTGAAACTAGCCGCTATGATAACATTAAATTAAATTATTTAGAGGAGAATAAATATTGTTAACGGTACTAAAAATATTAATTTATGCAATGAAAGATAGTATAGGGAGCAATATTATACGCCTAGGTCAAAAGTTAGATTCTTATTCAATTTATTGGGAGCTTCTAACTTATAAGTGAAGTCAATCGAAATGGGAGTTATTCCATTAATTTGGACTCAATGTTGGGTTATATCAGAAAGGAGAGGTGATGACTCATGAATTTGTGCAGGCTATTTGGTGTCTTTGTACGTACTTAGTGATTATAATATTCATAGAAGAATCTAAAAATTATAAATACATTAATTTGTTATAAGAATTAAGGATAGAATATCATAGAACAATTCCCATCATTTGATGAGGCCATTGAAGGGGGATTAGAGATTCAAAGCTGAGCGTATTCAGAATCTCCAGCCAGCTAGATGGGGCTTTTCTTTTCTTTTTTTTTTTTTTTTTGGTTAAATCATTTAACTTGCACTCTGTTTGAACTTTGAAGGCGACTAACAGTAATTGTCACATTAATTTCTGCATTTTGGTGCTATAGTTTGTGAAAGTCATAGTGTATTCGTGATGTTATACAGTTAATTATAGTGTGTATATTTCCGGAATGTAATGGTAAAAGATCATACTACTCTTGTGTGAAACCGCTTGTAATTAAGTTGTAACCCAAAAAAAAAGGGATCTAGCTAGCTACTAGCCATATAAAAAAACTGGATTAAGCACTCAAAGAGTTCGAACATTTAATTCGTACCTGAACTCATGTATTTTAATACATTGTTTAATTTATAGTATTACATAGTCGGCTGAATTTGGGGTATCTTGACTTTAGTGTAAGAACATTGCATCATATATAGCAAAATTCGTAGATTTTGTCAAATCTCCTTCTATATGTGTAGAATGATAAATAAAGCCGTCCCTTATATTTTGGACAAATTTAGATAAATGGTTCGTACGTTATTGAAGGAAAAATAATAACCAATAATGATAAGATCATAAGAATATATATATATATATATATATATATATATATATATATATATATATATATATATATATATATACTAGTGATTAAGAGTTAGATAAATGAAAACGATTGCCACTACTTGATGTTGTTAGAAAAAGAACAGCAAAGCCAAAAGGACATTTATCCTTCCCACAGGTCAATTTCAAGTACAGAAATAATCTAGGTGAGATGATGACTATCCATCTCTCCGAACTAAAGCTAACAAGTTCCTGCAATTTCAACTTGGAACGTACCTAGTACAAGAAAGAAGGCGGACGCATCCCAAATCAATATTGTTGTTCAATTACCCGAAATTGGTGAATTCGGACACATGCTTGTATTAATGTACTGTTCCCTCCGTCCCAACAAACATAACAATAATTTTAATCTATAATAAATGAGAATCTTGGCGAAAAAGTTTCTTACGATATGATTGATCGGAACACAGTCAGTCATATAACATCATCCTTTGTATCACTTATATCACAGGTTTTAAATGGGCAATGTGATTCTATTTCAGAAATTGTGCATTCCCTAATTTTTAGTCGTTTTTTCTGCTGACTCAATCCAAACCCTACAGGGATTCCAAAATAGAGAAAGCTCCAAGGCGTATTAGGATCTACATCTACTGCCTTATTTAAGGAGGAGTAATTGATTTGCTAAGTAGGGACAATCGACCAATTCTTTCAGACATTGATTAATTATAGTCGGTATTTACAATTTTACACGATGTCGACGGAAAAGAAAATAGGAAACTGGACGGACTCGTGGCCAGTGACGTGTTGTGACATGTTGTGCATATGTTGTACATGCACTGTGTTCGCAAACGGTATCGTTTGGCTGATTCTGACACCTTTGGTTCAAAAGTTCCTACATCATTCCACACAAAAAGGCGAGTTGAAAGATCTAATTTTATGGGCAATTGCTGCATTCCTCCTCGGCATTTTAACCATCCTCGCATTTTGTAACATGATTTATTGTTACCTTCATCAACCTAGACCAATCCAGCCGCCGGAATCAAAACCGGTCGACGCCACCATCACCACCACCCCCACGACTTTCGATTTGGAGGGCATCATCGTCGATCCTTCCTCCTAGCCCATCCATTGTAATAAACGTTTAATCTTATGTACTACCCATGTTTTTAATTAGCTTCTACTCCTCTCGTCCCAAAAACTAATCACACAAATATTTGTTGTACTCCCTCCGTCCCATAATTATTGTCCAGTTTTACTAAAATAAAAGATTTTATTTTTTATCAAACTTAACTATATTTTACCTTAAACAACCGGATATATCCCTACATAAGTAATTGTTTAACCACTAAGATTTTATGGATAATGTTTTTTACTAAGGACAAATGTGTAACTTGATCCATAAAAAGTCAAATTAAACAATAATTTTGGGACAAAATTTTTTGTACTATTTTAGTTTAATTTATATAACGTGGTTTCAATATATATGAGTAGCAGATGTACGTAGTTTTCACTACATGTGCTTTCGTGGTAATGAAAGAAAATTCAATTGTTTATCTGTTTTCTTGAAAGTTTTTTTGGATATGTAATTAGGTTTTCTTAAGAAAAAAAAAGCAATAAAGAAAACTAAAGGTTATTCAATTAATGAATAATGCTAGTGAAATTTCTCAAAAGAAGAGTACAAAACAACTCATTGAAAAAGAGTTGAGCTAGTCTAATTTTATTTATCTAATTTTTCTAGAGTTTTGGTCAGGGAATCAAAATTATTAATGAAAAAGAGAGCTCTGTTTGTTCGGTTTTTTTTTTTTTGTTCAGAGTTAGATATTGGTAAGTGTCTCATTCAAACATAGTTTTTACATTTTCAATTCGTTTTTTATATTTTTAACATATTTTTTTAATATATTTTTAATTAATAAAATATCTAAAAACACGCCCACTATAAAAATGACCCAAAGCTTTTTCTTTGTTTTTTTTGAATAATCCATTAAACATAAAGTATTATAAGTACAAACTCAAGAACAACCTCAGGGTTGCCTTCGCCATTTTATGGGCATTTTCTACTACATTTCTACTTACTTTAGTAATACTAGAGTAAACTTGTCTTAAAAAAGAAAAAAGGTAAACAAACTTGTAACTTATGGGCCTAGTGACATTGTCTACTATAAATTTGAGTCCAGTATTACTGGTCTGAATCCAACAAAATGTCCATCCACATCAATGCACTAGTCCACAAATCTCATTAATTTTTCTTTTTCATTCTAGTTCTTGTGCCTCCTTGGTTTTGTGCCTAACATTTGTTGATACAAATCTGAAAAGAAGATTGTGCAGGACATACTATTTGGGGTAAAAATATTAGGGCTCGTTTGGCCAATATTTATTTTGCATTTTTATCTCATTTTACTTCTTAAAACACCTCTCAAACACAAATCTCAATACTATCTAAATAATTTTTTAATTTACCTTTTCAAAAATTTTCCAAAAATTATTTTTACATAATTTCGTCCACCACCACCGTACGGCGGCGACGCCGGTAGTGGTCTAAAAATATTATTAGTTTATTTAAAATATTATCCAAACAATTTTTAAAATTTTATCTTAAACGACATTTAAAATCATATCTCAAATCCAAATAAAAAACTAAAACAAAATGTTAGCTAAACAAGCCCTTTAATCTCTCGTCTCAAACAAAAAAATCTGGAAAGAAGATTGTGCAAGACACACTATTTGGGGTAAAAAAAATTAGGCTTTTCGTCTCAAAATTAATAAATCTATATGGTAGGACTAAAATAGACTAGGAAACTGACGCATACTTCTTCAAGAGCATGAGCAATAATAAAAAAAGACGACTTGCTGATATTGTGCATGGATTGTTATACTAAAAATATGAGTATTTATGGTTTTCGGTACGTGTTACACTAAAAACATTGATGCAGCAGACGCTGCAATCTTTATTTGTAGCGTGGAGGGACTATAAAACTAACTTGCAACAACAATTTCCTCAAAAAAAGAAAAGGGAAAAAAAAGAAGAAGAAAACTTACACCAACAAAAGCAAAGCTAGCTTGTCAAATTGTTACAAATAAAAAAAGAGAAACGGTCAAGTTTATGTGAGCTCACTGTTAAGTGTGAACCACATTTCAGATCATCAAGAGTAACGGCTTCCCCTAAATACAAGAACCCGCACAAAACTCAGATTACTTTGATTCTACTGTTCTACTGATCTCCGGATTAAAACCTCCCAGAAATACTACCAGCATCCTAACTGAATTTAAAGGCCGGTTTCTACATTGCTGAAGCAATTGGACCGAGGTTTCCTGCCAACTTCAGGTAGGGTTCATTTCATGCGGCTAAAAAAGATGCAATTTTTTAGATTCTACATGAATATTTAAGGTATCCCGACAATTTCATTTGCAATTATCTCTCAAAAAGGGTGTTCAATGCTATGGTTGTTTACTTAGGTTGTGCATGTTTCTCTACGGGGGTTAATTGATCACATTCACATTGCATTGAGGTTAGAGACTTACGAGGTTTTCTTTTACTGTTAATCTTTCGATAAAATTCATGTATGTGAACCGACACCACCGCTTGTGTTTGGAATCCCGATGGTGAAATGAGGATTGTTAGAATGATCCCTTCTAAGCATTGTTGCAATCTTTATGCATTTTTTCACGGAAAATTCAAGAATTGATTTTTAACGTTTTCTTCTGTCGTGAAACGATCTCTCTCCTTTTATTTAATTGTCATGATTATTGCTTTGTTTCCTGTAGCCTATATGAGAATTGAGAAATCTTTGCTTTGCTTTGTCAAGATACACCTTTTTTCGCCATTAATATTGCTTCATTTATGATGGATTCAATGTCTCACTCAAATCTATTGCTATTTTGTTTGAGATGGAAGTGGAGGACTCAAATACTTGTGCTTATTTCTGGAAGGATACTTTGAAAAGGAATTATTAGTCTTGGGTTGGTCTTTCACAACTGATCCTGAACTGTTTCTTTTCAGCCTTAGTTGCAGGGAAAATGCTTTTATAATCATCATCTAAAAGTAAGCCTAAGGAGTTAGGCCAGCATTGACAGAGGAATCCATGGATTTGGATCCACCGTTTTCATCCTCTGGTGTTAGCCATGAACACATTAAGGACCCGCCATTTATTGGAAAGGATAATAATAACTTCAAGAGCGCAACCGATCTCCTCCTGTCATTCTCGCTTCTTGCTGAGGAAAATAAGGCAAAAATTCAGCATCTTGTAGTTGCAGCAAGTGAAGAATTGAAACAACTGGTCCTGGAAAAAGAACCATTTTGGATGATTGATAAACATTCAGAAATGGAGGTCCTGAACAACACTGAATACAATCGTAGATTTTCCTGCCTTGATGCGACTTTGGAGGAAGTCATCAGGGTGATCACAACAGGAGGGCCTGTGGAGCTTCCTGAGTTTAATAAAAATTCTGAAACCCTGAATGTTGATAAGAGTTTCCCCAAATTATCAGCGGAAAATGACTTTTCATCCATGGAGATCGAGGCATCCAGGGCAGTTGGGTTTGTCTCTGCTGATCCTCTTAGTCTAGCAAAAATGGTCATCGATGTGGTAAGGGAAACATTTACTTTATGGTGAGTGCTATATAAAGTAACAGAAGAGATTAAAGAAATTTTTCATGTCCTTAAATCAGGAACAATGGTCAAGTGCTTTCTCCAACATTGTCACGAGGGCCTCGAATCTTGGAATTCTCTCAACTGGAGAGCTGGGAACTCCTAATGGGAATTTGCAAGTGGTATATACTATAGTATCCCTATCATTTGTTCATTTTGATATTAAAGTTGCTACTGTTCCAGATGGCAAAATTAGTGAATTCTGAAGTTCGAATTCTAATTGATGGATCTAATAATAGATTTGTGTCCCAGGTGACTGCAGAATTACATTTTCCTTCACCGTTGGTTAGGACACGAGAAATATGTTTTGCAAGGTACTGCAAACAGCTTGGCACCGATACTTGGCTAGTTGTTGATGTTTCTTTGGAAAGTATTTTCCCAAATTTGGCATTAAGATGTCGAAGGAGACCTTCTGGCTGTTTAATTGAGGCACTTAATAAGGGATCATCAAAGGTAATTCCTTTAATAAAATTCGAGGAGGCTTGGAAACAAACATTCTTAAAGTAATTTCTATGCTGAGATGTACTTTTATTTGATTTCTTTAGGTAACCTGGGTGGAGAATAATGCTATAAGTGATGGTTCTTTAGGCGGAATGTTCGGGCGAGCATCAGCCCTGGCTTTTGGTGCAAAGCGATGGATTGCAACTCTGGAAAGAAAATTTGATTGGAAGTATACATTAGAACAATTTGATCATACTACATCACCCACAAAGAAAAAGAAAAAGAAAAATGGTATGTTGTACAGCTGTTGGCACTTTGAAACCTTCTTATGCATGATTTAGGCTAAGGGACTGATGCTGCAAGCATGTAATTAATTGAAATTGCTACTTTCCTTTTGAATTATGGGAATCAATTTATTTGTAGTATGTGTTTGGTAGAAAATGGTGGAAACAACAGAAAGGCTTGCACTATTTCTGATAATCTTCATTTATTACCCTGGGTATAACTTGCAGCCGGAAGAAAGAGTCTATTAACACTGGCAGACAGAATGGTGAGGAAATTTGATGCCAATGTGACTTCCTGCTCGGCTAACCAATGGAGATCATTGCCAATAACTGGTGCAGAAAACATCTTGATAAAGACTGGCATAAACCATGGCCAGTCGGTTTCTCCTCCTGTTGTTACGGTAACTATAGCAACTTCTGTGAGGTTACAAAAATCGCAGAAAGATGTATTCAAAGTCCTTTGCAGCGTTAATGAACGCGACAAGGTACAACTTCACATATCAGGCATTTCTATATCTCCAAGTTTTCATCCTTGTCTAGTTGTCTTGAAAACTGTAGGAGAACTCACAAATTTTATGCATGTTCACTCCAGTGGGATATCCTTTCCCATGACAGAGTGGCGCAGGAGATTGAGCAGATATCTTTCGGACCCGACCCTGCCAATACAGTGTCTCTCCTACTCTCAATGGTGAGTTTTATATCTCTAGAGATTCAGATGTAAATTCTACAACTGCTAGAGTTTGTCCCACATTGGTGTCGGTTAACAACTCTGATCAGTATATAAGATTCTTGGGCTACTCCTCTCACAGCCAATTGGTTTTGAGATGGAACCCAAGTGTTCTAATATGGTCTCGGAGCTGGGTTAGGATTGTTTAACCTTCTTTTGTTTCGACGTTGACTTGGTTTCGACCCAAGTAACGTTTGGGCTTGGTTTCACCCAAGTCTGGTAGGCTTTGCCTGCTCTTGCAAACATTGACTTGGTTTCGACCCAAGTAATGTTTGAAGGGGGTGTTAGAGTTTGTCCCACATTGGTGTCGGTTAACAACTCTGATCAGTATATAAGATTCTTGGGCTACTCCTCATAGCCAATAACAACAGCGAAAGAGTCTATCTTCAGTATTGTTCTTTGGCTTCTCTACAGCCCAGATCCGTCATTGAAGCTGAGGACAAGGCCAAGGCCAAGAAGAAAAAGGAGATCATGTATGTACAAGAAACAATCAGTGATTCAGTTGGTTTATATGTAATTTATAGTCCTATTAACAAGGCTGCAATGCATCATATCATGGATGGGAAGGATCCCGACATTGTTTCGATTTTGCCTAGTGGATTTGTTGTCTTTCCCGACCCAGATTCTGGTGGGAGCATCCTCACAATAGCATTCGAAATCTTGGATGGAAATCTATGCAACCCAGAGCAACAGCTGCCACCCCAGTCAGTAGCAACAGCATACAGTATAATCAAAATTACTCTGGATTTGATCAAGGCTGCAATTCAACAATCTGATGATCAGAAATGAAATCAGCATTTTAACCCTTGAGAGGAAGGCATTCCTTCCAATGTACATTTAGAGATAAACTGACAGTTTAGCTGCCCTTGTTAGGACTTTGTTTAGATGATTAGATCTTTCATGTGCACCAAATCTTGTGTTGTATCTTTTTCTAATGAATTTTTGTCGAATTACAAATAGATCTTAAAGAAGAATTCATTCAGAACGTTTTACTACCGATGCAAATTCAACATTACAGCACAATTAGATGATCTGGTTGGCTTCTTTCCCTCGAACTCCAAAGACACTTGCACAAACAGAAGAATATCTACATCCATATACTTCTGACACCCCCCACCAACTGTACCATAGAGATATTACAAATACAACAGGAAAAAATCCAGTTCTGGGCCTTCTAACGACTAAAACTGTATGAAGCCCGGAAATTCTCAGCATTTTTTCCTGCTCTCTTCTGTTGCCTCCTTTTGCAAAGAAGTGAAGACTAGTGAAGTCATCTTCCAGGAAGAATATCAGAAAATGAGAAATCATGGACAGGAGGACCTACAACAAGGTCAGGTTGTAAGACAACAGTTTACAGAAATATTACTACTATCTGAACCCAAAATCCTGAACCCAATCCAAGCAAAAACATTTCAGAAGTGGAGGAGTTTTATCGTCATTGCCCAAAGCTTCAAAATTCCAGGAAACTGTAGTGCTGAGAAAACTTACCTTCTTGCTCCCCTAAAATATAGAATGGTATATGAGCAATCATTTTTCTGCTCCCTTCTTGCCAATTTACTGTCCCAGGATTTTGTGAACATCCACTCGAAGGTCTAGAAGGACCAAGGATGGACAAACATAATGCGGGTTCATTCATTAAACCCAGATAATCACGTGCACGCTTCCAAAGCCTCGCATCTGAAATCCGTGAACGAGCTACCTGCATGGGCATTATTCAACTAATGATGGATGATGTATAAGAACATAACCATACATGGCGATGTCCTGTTTGTTCCACCAACTCTTGGGAAACAGAACAATTAAGCAACAAACGGAAAGCGAAAGTAGCGACTCTATTACCACTATAAGTCTCACCTTACCCAACGATACACGGGCTCTTGGTACTAAGTCCCGATGATAGGTGGCAAGCTTTGCTATAGCTGTTACAACAAAACATAGAAGCCTCGATTGCAATGATTTTCTGATTGTTGAACTACTAGAGCCAAGAGCTGATTCTTGTAGGCTCAGACGACTTCCACAAAGACAGAATATACATCAATCATTGGATCAGAGTATGGCAAAATGAAATCTCAAATGCTACAACCACAGGTTGCCATTTATTGTACCTGGACGAAAGATTTTCGTACAAAAGTAGTTCCAAGCTTTCAAAAAGTTCGCGAGCCACTTCTTTATGGGATTCACCACCACCTCCATATTCACCAATGGCCCAACATAGTTGTAATGCCAACTCTGTCTGTAAATTATATGAAAAGACCTTGTTACAGAAAATCTCTACCAACCCTTAATTTAATTTTGAGATTTCAAGGATAACAGCAACAGCTCATACCTTCGCAGGGTTGTCGTATGCTTCTCCAAGCTTATCCACTATAGGCTTCTGAAAAGACATTATGATTCAAGAAACTCAAGTCAGGGTGGAGAATATAACAGGGCAATTCTAGCATCCTGTCAAAACCAGACCTCATTTGCTTGAAATCGGTCACTTATTTCTAAATCCATTTACCAAACCTACCAAGTTTCTGATAGGATCGAATATAATAAAAATCTACTAACAAACCCTCTAAGCCTTCTATAGCTAGGCATCATGGCACATGGGGCACACAAAGGCGGTTTTGTGCAGAACGGATCTTATATATAGTGGTAAGTCAAATCTTAATTTTTACGATCATCCGCCCTTCATATCAGGAGAAATTGTTACTTTGACTGGTCTTTGCAGTTCCTGGATGGCAGAATAAACAGAGGCCTACAATTCTACGAACACCCCTAACAACTACATAACAGTCTTCCAATGAACTTCTATAAACCATTCCTGAAGATGTTATCCTTAAACAAGAAGTCCATAGAAATACCTTGAGAAGTGCAATGAAGTCAGGAGTTCGACGAAAGGCAGCAAGCATGAATTCTAAGAGCCTCTTCTGGACCTGGTTTTGAAGAATACATGCAGGGCCAGTAATTTTGGTTATTTAGAAAATTCAGCAATCACATATCATATTTGCGATCATTAATTTTATTTTTGAATTTACAGATGGCTTGCCCTTATGTTTTACAATTTTGAGATAAGGATAACATAATATTACCTCATAAGAGAACATCTTGTCTGGAAACAATGTGGAATACCTTGTCATGAGTAGGGGAACTAGTGCGCAAATCAAAGCTGCAAAGAGGTACATCAGGATCAATAATTAGGTACAATCTAATAGTACCGAGTACAACCTTATGAAATCAAATCAAGCCTTTATTGGGGGGAAAAAAGAAGTTGGAAAATCAACAGGTTAGAAACATACAATCATTGACTTCAGAGATTGCTATGGAAAAATAAACATCAAGAAGACGAGGAGCAATTCTAAGTGCTTGTTTCAATCTATCAGATTGAGGAGCATTGATTGCTGCCTGCAGCGCAGCAGCCATTGCCGGAGAAGTCCAATGGCGTTCCTGAAACACGAAAGGATCATAGAAAAATTATTATCCAGAGGTAGTTTCTCTAACTTGACAATCAAATTCCTCCAGATTAATATTAAATGCGACCACATTTTAATATTACAAAGCACTCTTCTCCAAAGAGAAATAACAGAATAATTTTATAACAATAATCAGTTTATGGATATGGAAGAAGCCACCAAAAGTTTGTACTAATCGTACATGATATCAAAGATAAAGAATAATATCAACGGAAACAAATTTAGTATACATAATGGACCATACAGCAAGGCCATCATTCTCATCCTTGAGAAGCTCAAGGAATAATGGATCAGCCACGGCCATTGTACTGCTATCCTCAGATTCAGAGTCAACCCCCGCATCTCCAATGGTTGTTCCAGTATATGCTTCATCCATTAGAGCAAGCAGCATCTGCAGCCAAAGTAGCATGCTTAGTTCCATGCTAATAATAACAAAGTATTTTCTGCCGTCTAAAAGTTAAAAAATAACCTCCGGAGCGGCACTCTTCTGGATTGTAGAAATGCTGCTGCCAACTAATGTTCCAGAACTCCTTTCCACCTTTTCCAAGGCAACGACCAATACTGGTGAAGGAAAAGAAGACATTTAAGTCACTGCTTCACAGAACAAGGATACATTTCATGGAGGCAAAAAGGAAGAGAGAAGTGGTCAAGATAATGACTATATCACCATGATGCTTTACCGAGAACACAAGAAATAAAATAAACAAAGAAAAAAAGAGAGAGAAGAGATCACAATCACGATAGTGATGGTATCACCTTAATCCTTTGTTGAGAATACATACAAGTTAAGATAACTTCAGACATAAACTGGAACAGAAAACTTACTTGGAAGGTCGACAAGTGATGGAAATAATGGAAGAAATGAACCAGTTGATATCAATCCAGGGAATACTCCGAGAAAAGATTTCTCTAACCTTCAACCCATAATAAAAAAATAAATAAATAAAAATGAAAGCTTGCTTTTGACATACTAAGAATGCAAAAACAAGGCCTACATGAATATCTCTTAATTAAGAGAAAAGTAAAATCCTTACCTCTCTCCATTCCAAGCAATCAGTTTAAGTAGTAAGGGGAAGAACTGCAAAATCATAAGAGAAATTAAAAAATGTCAATTGGCTATCCCAACTTTTTCCTGATTGGATCAAACATCAGCGGAGAAAAGATGAACAAAGATAAGGGCGCCGCATTAGGATTACCTGAGGAAGTAATGTAGGAAAAGAGCTCAGAAGTTTCTTCGTATTTGCATTAAGAAACTGAAGAGTTGCTTCAGCAACAACTGGGTCGGCAAACTCACTGCGACAAAAATTAGTGTCAGTACGATCTTATAATACAATGAAGCAACAGTTCAAATAAGATTCTAAGCCATATTTCAACGAGGTCTTATGAATGCATCAAGCTACAGCAACACATCCTCTTTCAAGGCTCAAGGAAAACATCGTAGATTAATTTGTCAAAAAATACGCCAGTAGTATTTCCAATATGCTATTTGGTCAATCACAAACGGTCAATACCATTGACAATAATAAAAAGCACCTTACCGGCTTAAACATGATCGGAAAAATGTCCTCAGACTAGGATCAGCATCATGCAGAACAACATCACCATAATCCAGAAAAAATTGGAGGATAGCCTGCATTTCATTGTAGTTAAATCTTTGAAATTACAGGCAATACACCCACACTAAAAAAAAAAGAGGAAAAAATGAATAAAAGAACAAGAACAAAAAGCAGAATAAAAGTTACAGAGTGCTCAATTAAACATGCAGCAATTGCAGCATTAAAGGAAAAGAGAAACTAATTAAAAACACCGTGGGAGCAGAAAACGAGCAATACCAAAAGAAGAGGAGCGATAGAGGATCGAGACTGAGAAATTGTGGCCAAGGAACGTTGAAAGATCTTATTGAGATTAGGATAAACCCTAGCAATCAAATCCTCCGAGTTTTCTTCTTTACACAGCTCGCACAGCTTATTCACCTGACAACCAGAAAAAACAGCCGTATAAAACTCACCAATATGAAAATTTCAACTTACATTAAGCCTTTAAGAAACACACACAGCCACGCAAACACAAAGTTTCTGTGTAATTTTGTCAGAGGGAATCATTGAATGATATCATACGGAGTTGAGTAGAGCAGGATCGGAGGCCGGGTCATCTGCGAAATTAGAGTCTCTTGCAATCGAAGATAACGATCGGAGATGGAATTCCCATCCGTCATTACTCATTTTGGATTGGTTAATCTCCACAGATTTCACTTCTTCTGCTCAACTAATGCTCATTTCGAATCCAACGCTCTACTTCCTTGTTTGTTTTCTTCTCTGCTCTGCAGTTTTCCGTTCAGCTTCCGTTTTTGTCTCTTCCTGGTACGACCCGTCCCAATTAACTGTATTGTGATCGGTGTCTGTAATGATGGCCCAAGTTACTTTTGCATTTTGGGCCCAAATTGTTAATTTCGTTCTACTTTTGTTGTATATGTGAGCAATTTTATCGAATTGTTTTTTTTTTTTAACCTAAAATGTACAATAATTTTGTAATAATTTAATATCTGATATGTGAAACTCTTGATTGATAGCTGAAAGTATCTCTCTGTTTTTTTTTTAATTGATTAACCATTGAGTGAATTACACATCTCTCATTGTTCTAAAATCACTATAATAGTGTTGAATTTAAATATTGTATTAAATTTTATCCATTCTTTTTTTTTTTGGGGGTAAAGAAGTAATTAAAAATGTGGATTGTTCTTGTCGAGAAAAAAAAAAAAGAAAGTAAGCCCAAAACATAAATAAATACTGTACTCCTATAAAAATCGTGGGCGTGCTATACAAATCAGATAGTTGTAATCGAGAAGCACAATCAAACATGAATAGGATGGCATTGCTTTAGAACTTCTGTATTACTTTTTTGTATACTTCATAATCTTTTTTTTTTTTTTTTTGTATACTTCATAATCTTTTTTTAAAAAAAATTCGTATACTTCATAGTCGACACCTGTTAAATGTAACTAAATTTCTGACAAAATAGATAAATATTTAGTCTATCTACATTAAGATTGATATTTGATTTAAATTTCAATTTTAGATTCATGGTTATATCCTAAATTTAAATATCAGGAAAAAAAAAATGTGTCTACTCTTCCCACCAATCCTTATTATACGCCACTCCAACAAAAAGTGAGGGATTAACTCTCACCTTACCTATTGGCACCTCTAGCGGCTTATTATGGTTAAGTCGCTAATGAACCCTCGATTTCGCACCTGAACATGCCACCCCAGGCTTGGGTAGGTGGTTTACCTCCTAATGTGGTTTACGGGCTATTACATCGGGCGTGGGTTTACCTATCTCTGGTGGAGTTCCCGGCATTACAAAAAAAAAAAAATTCATTTATAGTGTTATTTTTCAATTGAAAGTGAAATCTTAAAAATATCTCATAATAATCGGACACAGTAAATATAAAAATATATATTTTTAAGATTTTATTTTCAATTAAAAAAATACAATAAATAAAATTTAAGAGAAATTAAAATGTCATATAATAAAGACAAGATGGAAAACAGAATTTTACAAAGACGGTTAAAACATCAAAGAATTGCCCTAATAATTATACTCTATGATTTACTATAAGTGGAAGAATCCCTAATAAACAAGAAACATAATTAGTGTTAAGTAAAGGACATGGGGAGTAACTAATTTTGATTTAACCTTTTCATATTGCAAAGTCTTGAATATGGTAATAAAAACATTTACGCTGATGACTCCTTAAATTGAAATTGTAGGGGTCGTATTAACAAACTAATTAAACCTCAAGGGTGGTTTTTATTTGGGGGGAAGTGAAAGGGAGCAGCAATTTTGAAACAGAGCAAAACCCGCCGTCTGTGTAAATCCTTTGAGAGTGTTTTCAGTTTTCTTTCTGCGGTTCCAAAATTGAACAAGAAACCAACTGATTTAGTTATCTTACGGGATGCCCACAATGAAGGATGCCGAAGCATTCACTCAACTGCTCCGGGAAAAGTTTTCAGATAAAGGATTCGCAAAATATAGTCGATTCTTGTACGATTTTGTGAATTTGAGGATAGATTTTCAAGTGTTTTTAGATGGGGTCATGGGTTTGATGAATGGGCACCCCGCTTTGATTCCTGAATTCAACAAGTTTTTGCCGAAGGGTTATGCAAGTGCATCCAAACAGTATGTTTTCTTCTCCTCTGCAACAAAATCCGGTGATTTTCCACATAAATGTAATCAGGATGATGCCCTGACAACGGTTGCCGATGATGAACCTTTCAGAGGCAAAGAAATACAGTCAAGAAACTGTGAAAGTGGCGCCAAGAAGTGTGATTTTGATCCACAATGTCTGCCTGATACACATTATCTGTACCAATTTCAGAAGATTGGGGAGAAGAAAAAGATTTTGTGGGGAACCAATGACTATAAGATCCGGGAAGAAGCTATTTACGAATTCTTGAGCAGGGTTAAACAACGAGTTGGTGATGGTGTTTATAAACGTTTTCTTCAATTGTTTTCCGGCCTCAAAGTGAAAGCGCATGGGGACATTGATGGACGGAACAAAGATGTTTTGGAACTTCTCAAGGATCATCCTGAGTTGCAAACTGATTTTTCAGTTCTCAATACTTGTAAAAATCAAGGGTTCATGAAAAGATTTGAGTTTGGTGGGCTTGATGATTTGGTTGGTGAAGAAGAGGAAGCTGCAACATCTCTCCATAAAAGCAGTGATGACAAGAGAGACATCCACGAATCCAGCAAAACAAATCCAGAGATAACTGAGGAAGCAAAGAAGTGGCGTCACAGATTCTTGATCAAGAGATCATATGACAAGGGGCCGGATAATGAACCCATCTTCAAGAAACCAAAGAAATCAAGTCCAGAATCAGATATCGTGGCTGGAGTAGCAACTGAAAGTTCTCCAGGAGAATGCCGGATGAAAAATGACAACTTTGTCAACACGGAGTTGGAACTCTGGACTCCAGCTTCTAGAATTTGCGGCCAGAACTATGTCAACACCGATCTGGAACTTTCGGTTCCGGCTTCTAGAATAGGCCCCGTTAAGATGGAGTACTAAATGAGAATGGAATCACATCCACTGTTGTTAATTGAAAAGTTGCAGGAGGCAGAGAAGTTGCCAAACGTCATAGGTTATTCCATTTTGTAGTTCTTTGATTAGGCTCATCAGTATCCTTTATTTTTAGTATTTCTTTTGTTAGATCAAAATGCCACCCTTGGTCATGTTTGAAGTTGCTGTGAACTGGATTGTGTTCTGTACTTCTATTGCTGTCTATTGGTGTTCAATAATTTTGCACAATTTTACTATCCTCAAGTGTTCCACAATTTGTGCAGTGGTATGTAGTACTCAATAGTTTCTGACTAGTCCTTTACCCTTTTTCCCCCAGCTAACTCAAATGTGATTTATTTAAGGGTACAATCTAGTGCGGGATTTGGTCAAATTTTGATGGCAGGGATCCCCAGTCAATCTGTTTTTGCAGATACAAATTGAACCAATAAACAACCAGTTACTTGCATCTGTTACCTACTTACCTTATTTATGATTTTTTATCACTAAAGTTAGGACCTCCGTATTATTTTAATGGAGTAGTCTCTTTACCAGTGAACAGAAAGCAATTTCCACAGCTTTGTCTTCTGCAAGAAGTCTCTGATCTCTTCTGTATCGAATACGCTAGTTTCAAAACTTCAAATGCAATAGTATATATATGCCACCAACTACATTGTTGCCCTCAAGGATCTGAGCAACAAAAGGAAATTTGACACAGGTATGGTCTCGATTTGTTCTTACCTAAGATAACCTTGATCATCCTCGCTAGCTACTTTGGATTTCTTGATGCTTTACAGTTTATTCTCTGTGGCTATTCGACAATTTATGTTGTACTCAACATAATATTCATCACTTGATCTGCAAATGTTTGTTGTTGCCGATTAGTACTCGATACGATGTAATTGTCGCCACCCCTCTGTAAATGATCTCATTTCTGAATTTTCATGAATATAAAACTCCCCTCCCTGATAACCACTGGCCACATACAACTGAACTGCCTTTGATTTGATTTGGTTTTCAGGGGCTTTTGGAATATTTAACTGAAGTCATGGACTTGAGTTTAAGGGAGACATCTGCAGAGATTCAAAGTACCAGTGAAGGAGAAGAGTTTAAGAGTGAAACGCTGGACAGAATTAGTAATTTACCTGATGCAATTCTCATTTACATGCTATCATTTCTTCCAACTAAGTTTGCAGCACAAACTGAGATTTTATCTAAAAGATGGCAGGATCTTTGGGTTGAAGTTCCAACACTAGATTTTGATATGCATCTAAGGGCGAATTTCAAGGGTGAGGAGAGTACCTTTGATGCCTTAGCTAAGACTCAGATGGAGAGTTTTCAAAACTTTGTGAATAGGCTGCTGGCACGTCGTGGCAATTTGAGCCTTCGGAGATTCAGGCTGGCATGTGATGGAATCGAACCTGAGTGCCTACTTAGTTGGATGTCTTCCATTCATGGTCTTGAAGAACTTGATCTGGAAATTTGTCGACTCGGGGAGTCGCCATTGAGTACTTTTCACTTCACAAGTGAACCACTCAGAGTCTTGAAACTTTTTGGGCATTTTTGCTTAAACATCCCATCTACTCTTTCATTTCCTCGCCTTGAGACCCTCCATCTCAGTATAGCTGATTATATAGACGATCTATCAATAAGGAAGCTACTTTCTAATTGCCCAGTCCTTGAGAATTTGAAGATAGAAAGGAGTGAATGGGATAACATTAGGAACTTTGTCATCTCAGCACCTTCATTAAAAAGATTGGATTTAGTTTTTCAGATCCATGAGATGTACTTGTATGATTCGGAGACTGACGAAGAATTTGAGTGCAGCTTGTTTGTTGATGCACCAAACGTGGAGTATCTACGACTACTTGATTATATGTCAAAAAGTGTAGAGGTGAATCCTATGCCCTATGTGACTGAGGCAAATATTTCAGTAAGCAAAATAGCGGAATGTGATGACAGGACACGAGAAGAAATACGGAACTACGGAAACAATGTGTGCGCCCTATTTCACAGTATCGCAAACGTGAAGCATTTAACAGTTCGCTCGTTCACACTGGAGGTAAGTGTTAATTTTGGAAACCAGTTATATGCATATCCTTTCTAGCTACCGTTGCTTGTATCCCGTATATATCAGTATTTCCTTGATACTCATCAATGTGTAAACATACATACATCAGGCTCTCAGTGACGCTTTTGACAGACGAATGCCAATATTTCTCAACTTAGTCCACCTTGAAGTGGATTTTGAGACAGTGAATGGTGCAATGTTACTACCAAGTTTGCTTGAAGTCTCTCCAATGCTGGAGACCCTTATCTTACCCCAGGTAAATAAGTTAGTCACAGGCTGACTTGTATAATAAATTAAAATAATCATGATTTCTTATATCTAAGAACCAAAACTTCTCAACTTTGTAGGGGATAACTAATCCAGCCGAACAAGATCAAGGGTTTAGCTATGAGGAGAATCGAAGATTTAGCTATCTTTGGATACCTCCAAAACAGGTGCCTCATTGTTTGCTTTATACCTTAAAGGTGGTAGAGATTCGGCAAGTTACTGGTGAGGTAGAGGAAGAACTGAAGCTGTTGAAATACTTTCTGCAAAATGCTATGGTTCTGGAGAGGATGACAATATTATGCCATGAATTTATCATTTCTGGTGGACCGTTAGACAATGTCAAGGAAAGGACTTCAGCAGCTCGTGCACTTGTCGATAGATTTCCCTTCAGGCATGACCTGATGAACTATGTCAGGGGTTCAAGTGTTTGTCAGCTTGATATACATATTCCTGAACCAACAATTCTGAACTGGGCTTGAATTAAACATGATTTCAGCGTGTCTGTAAATGTATTGTATCTTGTTTCATAAGTGTATTGCATCTCTGATTTTTCAGTATGTTGTATACTTGTATCACTCTTTTTTTCTGCATGTTTTCGTGTGATTCATTCTAGTAGAATTTCGCATGTTAGATTCATACGGAAATTGTTTCCTGCAAAGTAGATTATTTTCGGATGAATGAAGTCAGTGGGCTTAACCAGAATTATCATTGCAGTACCATAAAAAGATCCAAAATTTCTCTGCTTTCAATTGTGTTGTTTTAATTTTCTACGTTTGTAAGTAAAAGTAAATAAAAATAGAACCATAAAAAACTACGGGAGACCGGTTCCATTGACCAGTCAAACTGTGCAGTCAACTTCTGCCATTAATTAGTTTGACCTGCTTCAATCATTATCAACTCGTTGAATTGAAGGATAGGAAACTTCCACGACTTATTAGAATCCTTCCCCCAACAATTTTCTGCCACATCTCTTTTGTACTAAGTACGCCACTTCAATCACAATGTGTATATAAGCATATGAGGTCAAGTTCAGTACTCTGTACTACTTGAAAGGGCCAAAACTGCTCCGAAAAGTTGAGGTTAGTTATCTGATCTTAAAAGGGCCAAAACTGCTCGGAAATGTTGAGGTTAGTTTCAACATTCTCTGTTCATTTCTGTCTTTTATGTTTTTTAAAGGGCCATTTACCTTGACGTTCATTATGGTAATGCCAGCATTAATATTCAATTTTAAGCTTGATGCACCTAAGTACATTTGCCAGTATCATCATTACATTCAGCCACTGTTTTCTTTTGATGAGCCCAGTATTTGATCTTAATTTCGATAATGCGATTTGATTCCTTTCTCAAGTTTATTTTGTGTTTCTTGATGAATTGACAGTGGCTCACAATTTACAGTAATGCCAACATTATTAAATTTTAGCTCTATTCGTTAAGTTTTTGCCTTTGTTACTATTATTTCAGCTCAGTTGGAAAGTTTGCTGGCCCTTAAAATGAGTCCATAAGAATCTTTCTGGAATGTGGATTTCCCTCATCGATGGCCTCTTTTTTTTTTTTTTTTTAATTTAAAATTGAAACTACTTGCTTAGATTGTATTCTTCAGAGTTTTAGCTAAATTTCCAGATTCATTTTCAGGCATGATTTGGTGTTTTGAGAGCTCGTTATTGTAGTAATTGATATAATGGAATTGAGTATGGTTGGAACATCTGGACAGAGTCATAAGACTTTCGAAGCTGAGGACAGACTCAGCATTTTACCTGATGCACTTCTTATTCAAATACTGTCACTTCTACCTACTAAACTCTCAGCGCAAACTGGGATTTTGTCTAAAAGATGGCGGGATCTTTGGGTTTCAGTTCCCATTCTAGATTTTGATGTGCCTCTATGGGCGAATTTCAAGGGTCATGAGAAAGACTTCGATGGATATGCGAAGTCTAAGATGAAGATTTTCGCAGACTTTGTGGACAGATTGCTGGCTGTTCGTGGTAATTCGAGGAGCATTAGAAAACTGAGGCTGATTTGTGATCAGCTTGATCCTCAGTGCTTCCATACCTGGATGTGTTCAATGCATGATCTTGAAGAACTTGAACTAAAAGTAACGGAATTCGGGGAAATGGGATGGAATCACCTTACCTTCCCAGCTGCATCCCTCAAAGTTATGAAACTAAGTGGAGATATTCTGCTTAACATCCCGTCTGCTCTTTCATTTCCTAGCCTTAAGATCTGTCATCTCAACTCAGTCAAATATATAGATGACTTGTCTATCAGGATGGTGCTCTCTCTCTCTGGTTGCCCTGTCCTTGAGGATTTGCAAATAATAAGGGGACCAGGATGGGATAATGCTAAGGACTTCGTCATCTCAGTGCCTTCAGTGAAAAGGTTAGATTTAGGCTTCGAAATTGAAGAGGCGTCCTTATATTCAGAGGAAGATGATGAAGTCATCAGGTGCACATTGAAAGTTGATGCGCCAAAGGCGGAGTATCTAAGACTTGTCGATTATATGTCAGATTGTATCACAGTGCAATGTATGCCTAATGTGATTGAGGCAGAAATTACTGTCATCAAACTTAATGAAGGGGGACGTAGGACGTTTGAAGAGATCATCGAGGATGGAAACAGCTTGTGTAGACTATTTCACAGTATCCCCAATGTGAAGTATTTAACAATTGGAAATTTCACAATGGAGGTAACTACCAGCTTTCATTTCCCAAATTTCCATTTTCTTTATTTTTTCTCCTTCCATTTTCTGTACTATGAACTGTAAAATTTCAGTCCTGATTGCTAATCATATTTGAATCCCACTTGTATTAGTCTCTCAGTTATGCTGAGGATCTAAGATTACCAATGTATCACAACTTGGTTCGCCTGGAGGTGGAATTTGACGGAGAGAATGGTGCAATGTTACTGCCAATTTTGCTTGAAACCTCTCCATTGCTGGAGACGCTTATCGTGCCCCGGGTAAATGAATATGCTCCGGTTGACATACATGATACTCAAAAGTTAAAACCTTCATGTTTCCTTACTAACAAAAATGCCAAACTCTCGGCTGTTTTTTTTTTTTTCCTTCGTTCAGGGGATCACCAATCCTCTCCAAGAAAGATATCTTTGGAAGCCTCCAACAGATGTGCCTCATTGTTTGCTTTTTACCTTAAAGGTGGTAGAAATTTGGGCAGTTACCGGTGAAGTAGAGGAAGAAGTGAAGCTGTTGAAATATTTTCTGCGAAATGCTATGGTTCTGGAGAGGATGACAATATTATGCTATGAATTTAATGTTTCTGGTGGACCATGGGACAACGTCGAGGAAAGGAGTTCGGCACCTCGTGCACTCGTCGATAGATTTCCCTTCAGGCAGGACCTGATGAATTATGCCAGGGGTTCAAGTGTTTGTCAGCTTGATATACAAATCCCTTGAACCAATTATCTTCTCGAGTACTTGAGACCAGAATTTGAGATATTCATAATGTTATTTTTGCAAGAACGTAAACATCTGCTTCATTTCCCTGGTATTCATTTAGGGAGTGGATTTCTCCAGTTATGAAAGTGAAATCCCAAGAATGAGCCAGTTAACTTGTAAACTCTGTTAAGAGCTATATGTTGTACGTTAGTAACCTGCATATTCTGGAAAATTCTGGTCCTTCAAGACTTCATCACCCATGTCCAAAATGGAAAATTCCCAGTAAAACTACCAGGGGGCTTGGTCAACCATTGATGGTCAGACATTTGAGTTATAGAATACTGGTTAACTAATTGCCTCAAGAAAATATGAACTACACTAAAACATATATTGTACTCTCTCAGTAACACTTTAACAGTTCACTTTGATGAACTAAAACAACATACGCACTATGAAAATGGGGTAGAGAGATTAAAATAATTGGAGATTCATTACTTTAAGGAAAGTAGTTGGAAACTGCAGATTATTCTAATGAAGCCGGCTGTTGTAGCAGGGAATTCAAAGGTGGAAAATTTCCACAACTTTATCTTCCCCTGGAAGTCTCTGCTATTGGGTGTGTCGAGCACGCTATAGTTCACTCATGCAGATTTTATTAATAGGCCAACATTCAGCGTTTCCACTTGAGGATCTCAGCAACAAAGGTTATTTTGTTTGAGGTAAGTCCCGTATGAGAAATACAATTGTGCAATTGAGCCAGCTAAATATGGTGCCTGAACCCATGATAATTTACCCATTTGCTGAAACAACTTGCTTGGAAGTTTTCACTGGACTAATATGTTTCCATATTACTTTTGGTATTTTTCAGGGGCTTGCCTTTGTTCTCTTGGACTTGGAATGTACCATTGTATACCATGGACTTGAGTTTGGGAGGGACATCATCAAAGATTCTGAAAACTGAGTTTGATGGCAAAGCGCAAGATAGAATCAGCCATTTACCTGATGCAGTTCTCTGTCATGTTCTCTCTTTTCTCCCCATTAAATCAGCTGCAAGAACAGGGATTTTGTCGAAAAGATGGAAGGATCTTTGGGTTTCAGCACCTGCACTAGATCTTGAGACGAATTTTAAAGGTGATTCGAGAACCTTTGAGAACGAGGCAAAAACCCGGAAGGATATATTTATAAGCTTTGTGGATAGACTTTTCGCAGTTCGTGGCAATATGAGCACTCGTAAATTCAGGCTGGCAAGTGATCAAGTCGATCCTGAATCCCTCAATAACTGGATGAGCATTATGCATGGTGTTGAAGAACTCGACCTCCGTTTGTGGAATTTTGGTGGAGGGTTGCCATGGAGTAACTTCTCAACATTTGGGAAATCACTTAGAGTTCTGAAACTCTGTGGGGATGTGTTGCTCTCCCATCTAGTCTTTCTTTTCCTAGCCTCGAGATCCTGGATCTCGAGTCAGTGCTTTTTGAGGACGACTTATCAATCAAAAAGCTTCTTTCCAGTTGTCCTGTCCTTGAGGATTTAACAATACGAAGAGACTACCTACGGGATCACATCAAGAACTTTGTCATCTCCGTGCCTTCAGTGAAAAGGCTGGAGTTAGATTTCCAAATCGATGAAGACCTCTTATATGATCTGGAGGACGGCGAAGTAATCGAGTGCAGCTGGTTTGTTGATGTACCGAAAGTGGAGTATCTAGGAGTTACTGATATGTCAAGAAGTATCATTGTGAATCCCATGCCCTATGTGACTGAGTCCCATGTTTTTGTGTCCAAAGGGTTTGAAGATATTACACCAGTAAGTGACGATGGAAGCAATGTCTGTGCTCTACTTAGCGAAATCGCAAACGTGAAGTACTTAAAAGTTGGATGTTGCACTTTATGGGTAGGCCTGGATTTCACTTACAGTCTCATGAGTTTCCCCTGCTACTCTGTATTGTTGTTGTTACATTTTCTAACTTGGCTGATAATCAATACAGGTATTTGAAATCAATCATACTTGTGTCAGGATCTCGGCGAAACTCTCATTAAAACGCTACCAAAATTTCACAACTTGGTGCGCCTGGAGGTGTATTCTGACGATTTGAACGGTGCAATTTTGCTTCCAACTTTGCTTGAACTCACTCCAATGCTGGAGACCCTTGTGTTGCCCCAGGTAAAGGAGATGATCATCACACAGCTTGATGATACAAGTAGTAAATTATTAATTAAAGCATTCTTGATTTCCCGGAGTTGTGTGACTTGACACCGGGCTCTCTAACTTTTTCTTCAGGGGATCATCTATTCAACTGAAGAAGGGTTTATCAGTGAGGAGAATCAAGTTGGAAAGTATATTTGGAAGCCTCCACAAACAGTGCCCGATTGTTTGCGCTACACCTTAAAGGTGGTGGAAATACACCGAATTAGTGGCAAAGAAGAGGAAGAACTAAAGCTGATCAAATATTTTCTGGAGAATGCAATGGTTCTGGAGAGGATGACAATCTGGTGTAAAGAATGGATTGTTCTCGGGCAGGAGAAGACTTTCGCAGCTTTTGATGGGTTGCTGTTCATACATGATCTGAAGAATCATATCATCGGTTCACCTGCTTGTCAACTTGATTCACAATTTCCTGAACCAAGTATAACACGCGGCAAGAGAAGAAGAAGTGGAAATTATGTTAGCTAATTACTTCCAATGTGTGTCACAAATATTTTTTCCCCTTTTTAATTAGAATTGATGCACTGTAATCAGATTGTAATGATTATGATCGAAATGTGTTTTAGTTCTGTGTTGTTACATGGAATGGTTCAAAATCAACCAAGGAACCCATGATTTTTCTAGCTGCTGCTTCGTCGTCATCCCCACCGTATCTCTTTGTTAGCTTTAGGCCTAGTGAGATTCATTTCATGTCAAATTTGCCACTGACAAGTGCCAATGCTTCAAGTGATACAATTAGGCCCTGCTTCTCCCGGGTAAATGTCTGTGTTGTTGCTGCTTAGAATGAGCTCCAAAAAGGTCATTCTCTTCTCTAATCAATGTCCACTATTTGCTCTTCATTTCGACTTGATTTCTCTTGTAGTTCATGACGCTTCTGGTGCATTTCAGTTCTTAATGCATTACACTGCTTACTTGTTCTAGCCTATGTATGTCTGCAATGCCATTTACGTAATGCTTTGATGCCTTAAGTTTCTGCCTTTTGTTGAGCAAGTTCGAACAGACTGCCGGCCAAGAAATGAACCCATAACTGAATCCTTCACTTGAGTTGGTGATTTCCACTGAATAAATCATATTTTTGGTTGATTCTTGTGTTTTATCGCCGGGGATTTGCTATTGCACCTTGAGTTGATTTAATGGACAGAATCAGCAGTTTACCTGATGAATTACTTTGTTACATGCTGTCGTCTCTTCCAACTAAACTGGCTGCACGAACTAGGTTTAACTTTAATCTACTAAATGTGAGGATCTTTGGGTTTCAGTTCCTGTTGGACCAGGTAATTGTCAGGGCCCGGAGGTTTTACAGACTTTATGGATAGACTCATTGCTGTTCGTGGCAATTTAAGGGTCCAAAAAATCAGGCTGGCATCAGCCTGAATTTTCTTTTTTATGTTAGGGAGTGGATTTATGCAATTATGAAAGTGGAAAGGTCCTTGAAGAAACTCTTATTAGGTTTAACTCCCAAGAATGAACCAGTAAACATGGAAACTCTGTAGTCTCTATATCCTACTACTTCCTTTTAGTATGATCATGTCTAGAATTTATTCAGTGTTGTGACTTATAAGTCCCTCTTTTTCTCACTAAACTGAAGACCAGGAAGCTGGTTCTTCATCATCCATGTCAAAAATGGAAATATCCCAGTAAAAAGTACCAAGGGCTTGGTCAAACCCGGAGAAAATGTCTTTGTAGATTCAACCTGCAAGTTGATCAGCATTAACTAATTCATTTGCCTTTTTCAAACTTAAATAAGACTAATACATAACTGCAGCTAAAGAGACACATAGTTAGAAAAATGGAGATACTTTAGTTTAATGAAAGTTGGAGAATCAAGATTATTTTAATGAAACCGTCTGCTATAACAGTGAATTTAAGGGTAGAAAATTCCAACAACTTTGTCTTCCCCGATAAGTTTCTGCTATATTGTGTGTCTCGAGCACGCTAGTTTTATTCATTCACATTTTAAAAGGCCAGCTCCAGTGTTTGTTTCTACAGAACGATCACAACAACAAAGGTTGTTATTAGTCACAGGTGTTCAGGTTCTCCGGGATCTTCTCATTACTCTCTGATCTCCTTTCATTCATGTTCATGTTCATGTTCTTTCAGGACTTTCTAACTATGTGTCTCTTTTTTCCTTTGTTGCGCAGCCGGGGAAATTTGGTGTGGTGGACCCATTTGCTTGCCATTGTTCTCTTGGAATTTATCATTAAAAATCATGGACTCGTGTCTGCAAGGGACATCAGCAAAGATTCAGAGAACCTTTGAAGGAGAGGAGTTTGATTGCAAAGAACAAGATAGAATCAGCGATTTACCTGATGCACTTCTGTGTCATGTACTTTCTTTTCTCCCCATCAAATCTGCTGCAAAAACTTCCATCTTGTCTAAGAGATGGAAGGATCTGTGGGTTTCAGTGGATGTTCTGGATCTTGATATAAATTTAAGGGCGGATTTCAAAGGTGATTGGAGCTCCTTTGAGGACATAGCAAAGAGTCAGAAGGAGAGATTCATAAGCTTTGTGGATAGACTTTTTGCAGTTCGTGGCAATACGAGCATTCGTAAATTCAAGCTGATAAGTGATCAGGTTGACCCTGAATCCCTTAATAACTGGATGGGAATCATGCCTGGTGTTGAAGAACTCGATCTGTGTTTATGGTGTTTTGGTGGAGAGTTGAGATGGAGTAACTTATTACTAGGTAAATCTCTCAAAGCTATGAAACTTGAAGGTCATATGGTGATTAACATCCCGTCTAGTCTTTCTTTTCCTAGCCTTGAGATACTGCATCTAGATACAGTGGATTATGTAGACGATACATCAATCACAAACCTACTTTCTGGTTGCCCTGTCCTTGAGGACTTGACAATAAGAAGATCTTTCGCTTGGGATTACATCACGAACTTTGTCATCTCAGTGCCTTCAGTTAAAAGGTTGGAGGTAGACTTTCAAATCCTTGAAAAGTTCTTATTTGATCTGGCAAAGGACCAAAATAGTCGAGTGCAGCTTGTTTGTTGATGCACCAAGAGTGGAGTATCTGAGACTAACTGATTATACGTCAAGTAGTATCATAGTGAATCCTATGCCTTGCGTGACTGAGTCGCATGTTTCGGTCTCCAGAGAATATGAGTATGATCCACCAGAATATGCAGGAAATGTTTGTGCACTGTTTTGCAGTATCTCAAGTGTCAAGTATTTAACAATTGGATGCTACGCAATGAAGGTAATTCTACTCCCAAACTCATGAATATCTTTGCTACCATACCATGTAATGTCGCATTTTTTATCTTTAATTTTTCTTTTTAAACATTGGCTGATAAGCATATTTTGCATTCATACTTGTATTAGGCTCTCAGTGAAACCCGCATTGAAATGCTACCAAAATTTCACAACTTGGTTCGCCTTGAGGTTGTTTTTGATGACGTGAAAGGCGCAATGTTGCTGCCACATTTTCTTGAACTCATTCCAAAGCTGGAGACCCTTATGTTGCCTCAGGTAATTGAGATGTGCACACAACTTGAGACACATTTCAAAATCAACATTCTTGAATTGCTTTCTGACTGAGAATATGGCTTCTCTACTCTTATAGGGGATCACCGCCCCTTTCGAAGAAGGCTTCAGTAACGATGGTAATCAAATTGTGGACTATCTCTGGGAGCCTCTACAAAATATCCCACATTGTTTGCTATATACCTTGAAGTTTGTGGAAATTCGGCGAATCACTGGGGAAGTAGAGGAAGAACTGAAGATGTTGAAGTATTTTCTCAAAAATGCAATGGCTCTGGAGAGGATGACAATTTTGTGTGAAGAACTTACTGTTTGTGATGGATCAATGGATTTTGTTCATAGATTGCCCTTCCGACATGAACTGATGAATTATGCGAGGGGTTCTCCAGCTTGTCAACTTGAAATACAATTTCCTGAGCCAAAAGTTCACTCGACTTGAAACACAAATTTGTAATCGTCTAGTTAAATTGTAGTCCCTTTGTCCCAAAATTTTACCAGAAGTAAATATTTGCTCCAGTTTGCTTGTATCTTAGGGAGTTGATTTATGAAATCATAAGAGTAAAATTCTGCTGGAACAAAAGCTCTGGGAGAAGCCTTAAAGTCTACCAACTTTTGAACAAAACTGAAAAAGAAAGACCAGCCCTGAAATTTCCCTGTAAAGTCTAAATTATGGACTTGGTCAGCCATAGATTAATGGTTGACATTGAAATTTTTTTTGTCTCTTTTCTGGTTTTATTTTATGCCTCTTTGCATTGTAAGGGATTTGTTTTTTGATTATACATGCGTGCATTCGTGCAACGGAGTGGTTCTCATTAGTAGTTTCTTTTGCTTAATTGAACAATGTAGCCTGATCAGGGGCAAAATGAGATTCCAAAATTTTTTATTTTATTTTCTTTTTCCTCCCGTTAAGTCTCTCTGCTCTCTTTTCTCAGAAGAACACGGCGTTAATTGATTGCCTATTTCAATTTGCCTCTTGTTACAAACTTAATTAGAAAATTGATTTGTAATTTGCAAGTTGAAGCATACAGAATGTTGGTGGAACTGATTACCATAAATAAATTTCTAGTCTTATTCTCTTGCTTCCTCATTGCTGTTATATTTTTCTCCTGTGTTATGACTTATGAATTATGATTATGTCTTTTTTCATAAAGATCAAAGACCAAGACTTCCCGGTCTTTCAGCTTTCAGATCCAAAAAATGGAAAGTTCCCAGTAAATGCTACTATGATCTTGGTCAACCATTGATGGTCGACATTGGAATTTGTTTTTGTAAATGCAAGTTGAACCAATAGAATATTGATGAAACTGACTGCATTTCAACTTGCCTTGTTCAACTAAGACAATATTTATGATAGAAGAACACTAACTGTTTAGAAAAATGGGGATTCATTGCTTTATTTACCAAAAAAAAAAAAAAACTCCATTTAATGAGTTGGGAAATTTCCACTGAATTGATCTTTGTGCATCTCAACTCTCTTCTCTCTCAAGAACACCACTGCGTTCAAATTTCTATAGGCCAACTCCATTTTTGCCACTTGAGGATCAGAGGAACAGAAGGTTAATTATTGGTCAAGGTAAGTCCAGCATTAGCCTTTATTCGGATCGGTTTCCTTTTATTTGTGTTTTCCTGGACATGTAAATGTTTGCGAACTTGTCTTTGTCATTCAGCTGGTTAAAAAATGGTGCCAGCACCCCATGTAAAATGAACCCGCCTGGTTGAAAACACTTGCTTGGAAGTCCTGAACTAATATGTCTCCTATATGACTTGGTATTTTTCAGGGGCTTGCCTTATATTGTTGTTTTAGAATATCTTAGTATAAGTCATGGACTTGAGTTTGCCAGGGATATCTGCAAAGACTAAAGAGACCTTTGAAGGAGAAGAGTTCAGTTGCGAGGAAGTAGATAGAATCAGCAATTTACCTGATGCAATTCTCTGCCATGTACTATCTTTTCTTCCCATCAAATTGGCAGCACAAACAGGGATTTTATCTAAAAGATGGAAGGATCTATGGGTTTCAGTGCCTGTACTAGATTTTGAGATGAATCTCAAGGCGAATTTGGATGGTGATTGGAGCACCTTTGAGAACGTAGTAAAGAGTCAGATGGAGAAATTTTTAAGCTTTGTTGATAGGCTTCTGGCAGTTCGAGGCAATTTACGCATCAGAAAATTCAGGCTGGCAAGTGATAGGATTGACCTTGAATCCCTGAATAGCTTGATGAGCACCTTGCGCGATGTTGAAGAACTTAATCTGTGTATTTTGGGATACGGTGGGATGTTTCCATGGACTGACTTATCACTCTATGAATCACTCAACATTATGAAACTCTCCGGGGATATTATGCTTTACATTCCATCAGTTCTTTCTTTTCCTAACCTTAAGATCCTGCATCTTGACTCAGTGTCATATGGAAACAATGAGGCAATCCCAAACCTTCTTTATAGTTGCCTTGTTCTTGAGGACCTGCAAATAAAGAGGACAGATTGGGATCACATCCAGAACCTTGTCATCTCCGTGCCGTCATTAAAAAGGTTGGATCTGGACTTTCTAATGGACGAAATGCTGTTGTATCACTCGGAGGTGATCCAGTGCAGCTTGTCTGTTGATGCACCTAAAGTGGAATATTTAAGACTTGTCGATTACCTGTCGGATTCTATCTTAGTGAATCCTATGCCTTACATTACTGAGGCGTACGTTTCTATCAGCAAAGTTATACTGCCTGATAACTGGACACCAGAGCAAGAACGTAACTATGGAAGCAATGTATGTGCACTATTTCACTGTATCTCAAATGTCAAGCATTTAAGAATTGGAAGTCCAACTATGAAGGTAATGAATCCTTAGTTTCACTCATAGTTTCATTTAATTTTCTTGCTATTATCAATTGGAATTCCATCTTGGTTTACACTTATGTTTGAAATCATTCTTAGGCTCTGAAGGAGGCTTTTGATGAAAGACCACCAATGTTTCGTAACTTGGTTCGCCTGGAGATGGATTTTAAAGGGGTTAAGGGTACGTTATTACTGCCATCTTTGCTTGATGTCTCACCAACTCTGGAGACCCTTATCTTGCCTCAGGTAAATGAGATATGCACAACTTGAAACACATTGTAAACAAAGCATTCTTGATTTCTTCTGATTCCAATGCCGGCTCCTCCACCTTTTTTAGGGGATAAACAATCCTTGCAGACTAGGCTTTACCAATGAGGAGAATCAAACAGTGACCCAACACTGGAAACCTCCACTAAACGTGCCTCGTTGTTTGCTTAATACATTAAAGGTGGTAGAAATTTGCGGAATCATTGGAGAAGTTGAGGAAGAAGAACTGATGCTGTTGAAATACATTCTAAAAAATGCAATGGTTATGGAGAGGATGACAATCATGTGCGAAGAACAGAATCACGCCAGGGAAAACACTTCAGCCGCTTGTGTACTCGTCGATAGATTTCCCTTCAGACATGACCTTATGAATCATGGCAGGGGTTCATCTTCTTGTCAACTTGATATACAAACTCCTGAACCGAGGTTGTTGACTTGAGACAGGAAGATATGCATATGTAAACATGTTTACTAAGTAGTATCCCAGTAATTTGAGTGCTATGTCATTATCTCAATTCTTTCAGTATCTCACAAATTTTTCCGACTCAATCTTCTTGGCAATGTGGAAGTTAATCCCAAATGCACAAATTGAACAAGGAAAATTTTTGGTTAAGCTGATCAAAAACGCATAATCAGCTGTTTTCTATTTTCATTCTTGCAAAACAATTGTTTATATTCTGGTCGACTAAGGCAAGGTCGACGAAGATAAGCAGCACTAATGTTTATAATTTATAATACGGTTTGCCGGAGCAACTCATTTCATCCGACACACCTCACCCGACTCGACCAAAGTTTTTACCATGGTGATTTCAAGCCCCTGTTCTACTTCTTCATGTCTCAAATATCAAAGTGATCCTCCATATCTGTAAATACCCCATCAAAAACAACGATTCCGTATTACTCCCCGTTTTATTTTGTTCCTGCATTCAACGTTCAAAACTGCTGAGGTATGTACCTTCTCCAACTTCTTCAATTGTTGTGCGCAAACTAATTGGTAATGAATTCCATCTCTTGTTGAATTACGCTGTGATTACTTCCGATTTGCATGTTAAAGAGACAGGAATCAATCAATTTGGGAATTATTTGGTTGGCACTTGGGTGCATGCCATGTGTTCGATAATATGTCCCCGATGCAATTAGCTAGTTGGAAAATGGTGTGTAAACGAACCGATTTACTATGAAAATATATAACTCTCCTCCTTCATAATTAGTGTACTATGGACCGAAGGTTTCACTGAACTAATATGCGGTTATTGTCTGTGGTTTGCCATTGTTTTTCTATTCTAGAATATATCGTAGAAGTCATGGACTTGGGTTTTTCGGGGACATCTGGGAAGATTAGGAAGACTTTTCAAGGAGAAGAGTTTGATAGCAACGGACAAGATAGAATCAGCAATTTACCTGATGGAATTCTCTGTCATGTGCTATCTTTTCTTCCCATCAAAACAGCAGCCCGGACTGGGATTTTGTCGAAAAGATGGATGGATCTATGGGCTTCAGTGCCTGTACTAGATTTTGACAGCAGAGCTGAGAGTCTGGCAGGGGGATTTATAAGCTTTATGGATAGGCTTCTGACAGTTCGGGGCAATTTGAGCATTCGTAAATTCAGGCTAGCATGTGATAAAATTGACCCCGAATGCCTCAATAACTGGATGAGCACTATGCGTAATGTTGAGGAACTTAATCTGCGTTTTCGGAAATTCGGGTTGTCACCAGGAATTAACTCTTGGTTAGCTGAATCTCTCAAAGTTATGAAACTCAACTGGGATATTTTGCTGGACATACCATCAACTATTTCTTTTCCTAGGCTTGAGGTCCTGCACCTTAATTCAGTGCATTATGTAGATGACCAGTCTATCACAAAGCTATTTTCAGGTTGCCCCGTCCTTGAGGATTTGCAGATAACAAGGTCAAAATGGGATAATGTTAACAACTTTGTCATCTTGGTGCCCTCATTAAAAAGGTTGGATTTATACTTCTCAATGGATGAAATGCTCTCATATAATCCTGAGTGCAGCTTGATTGTTGATGCGCCAAAAGTGGAGCATTTGAGACTATTCGATTTTGTGTCAAATAGTATCACAGTGAATCCTATGCCTTATGTGACTAAGTCGCGCATTTCTGTCAGCAAAGAGTACTATTATAACATATCAAGACAAAAAATGCGTGACTATGAAAGCAAGATTTGTGCGCTATTTTGGAGTATCTCTAATGCAAAGTATGTAATTGTGGGAAGTCACATGATGGAGGTAAGCCTAATTTAGTCTGAGTCTCACTCCCACTTTCATGAATGTCCTTGCTACTATTAATTTTCACATCTTTGATTTGGTTGATAATTATATAAGAAATCATACTTATAACGTGTTAGGATCTTGGCGAGTCCTTCACTAAAAGACTGCCTGTATTTCACAATTTGGTTCACCTAGAGCTGGATTTTGAAGAAGTGAATGGTGCAATTTTTTTGCCAACTTTGCTAGAAGCCACTCCAAATCTGGAAACCCTTAAATTGCCCCAGGTAAATGTAATATGCATAGCTTGAGACACATTGTAAATAGAGCAATTTTGATTGCTGATGACCATATGATGGCTTCTCTATTTTTGTTTTTAGGGGATTACCTATTTTCTTAAAGAAGGCTATATTAATGACTACGAGGAAAATTCACATGTCAAATATGTTTGGATGCCTCCCAAAAATGTACCTCGTTGTTTGCTTTCTACCTTGAAGATGGTAGAAATTCGGGGAATCTCTGGCGAAGTTAAGCTAGAACTAAAGGTGATAAAGTATTTTCTCAAAAATGCAATGGTTTTGGAGAGGATGACAATTTTTTGTGAAGAGCTTAGGGGACCTGGTGATGATGATTTATCTGATTGGGAAAGGTCTTCAACTGATGTCTATAGATTTCCTTTTAGACATGAACTATTGTATTATCCTAGGGGTTCAGTTTCTTGTCAACTTGATATAAAAACTCTCTGAGGCATTCATCTCGCCTTGAACCTCTTACTACAGGAAGGAAGTTGGTATTGCTATTGCATATGTTGCAGTTTTCTTTGTGTAAACATCTTATCCAGGTTAAGGCGTGGTTAGTACTTAGTAGTGCCTCTTGCGAGATTTTTCGATGAAGAAATTTGTAGTCTCATCATATATAACAATGCAATATTATTTTCTCCACCGGCTTGGTGAAGAAACAATCTATATTATTCTTATTATATACTCATTTTCCTATTCGTCTTTTTTAGTTTTTTTTTTTCTTTTCTTTTCGATTTCCGAGAGACCTAAATTATGATATGTTACGATTTTACTTTTCTTTTTCTTTTTTTTTCATTCTAAGATACAAGTTGGTTGAGAATGTACTAGATATGTTGATTTTATGATGTTTATCTTTATTAGAGAGTACTGGGAGTATATATTAACCGGGAGTTCCATAACTTCTCTCCCAAACCATCTGCATTTTGCTTCTTTTATCATTCAGGAGGTTATTTCAGAACGAATGTATTGAGATTGTAAACATTACAAACAAATGTGTTTCAGTATTGGTCACGTTAACATGTCACAAGAGTTGATTCAATGGACGACAAGAGTTTATTTGTCAAAGGAATATTTTTTTTTTTTTTTTTTGGAAAGAAGCCAAAAGGAGGAGACTAGTTGAGTTAACAGAAGAAGTTTTTGTTCTGTTTTGGCTCATAGAATTTTGGTCGGATGGCATTTCATTTTTATTTACTTTGTTATTAATGGAATTCAATTTTGTGGTTTGAGATCAACAACTTCACAGAACTCACTTCATCCTGTCCAACATGCATGCAAGCTGACACACTAATCTGATTGGTAGAGATGGGCGGCATATACTGAAATTCTCTGTCTCAAAGTTTTTGCCTTGCAAATCCGGGCAAGGAATAACTTATACGGTTCAGGTGGAATGATTATTGTTGTTGGTTTTAGCAATTTAGCATCACTCGCGCTACCTAGTGATCTTGGAAAACAAAACTATAAAAAAAGGAACCTGCTTGCCGACGCTTCTCTAGCTCTGGCCATTTTGCAATATTGCAATGTGTCATTCTGCCATTGACAAGTGTCAAAACACCCTGCTCTTTTTCCGTGCTGCTCAAGCTACTTCCTTAAATATATAATGCTAACTTCTCTCCCGGAAAATGTATAGCAAGAGGAACTGGTGGTTTCTGGGGTGAGCTTCCAATCCAAAAGGTCTTCTTCCCCTTTATGTCCAGTATTTGCTCTTCATTGTCACTTGATTTCCAGTTTTAATTCATCATTATAAGTGGTTTCTTGATGCATTTTACTGCTTTACATGGTGTTCTGTGATTTGTCTATGCCTTACCCTTTACTTGTTTACTTTGATCCTCAAAGTTCTTCCCTTTTTTGTTGAACCTAATCAGAAAGGCCTGCTGCAGCCCTTATGAACAAATTAATCATTTCTTGATAAAGACTAGTTTCCATTAGGACCTTTTTATCTCAAGAGGGAACTTATCCTTATAATTCTGGTTTATATTCAGGGAATTGCACGGAAACTACTTAGATCTGAGTATTCACATTGAATTATTAGCTGATTTTGTTTTTGTGTTTTAGGGGATTTCCGTTGTGCCAGTTGATGTAATGGACAGAACCAGCAGTTTGCCTGATGGAATACCTTGTCACATGCTGTCATTCCTGCCAACCAAAATGGCAGCACAAACAGGGGTTTTATCCAAACGATGGACTAGTTTGTGGATTTCAGTTCCTGTGCTCGATTTCGAAGGGCTGAAAGATGCCGACTTTGCTAATCCAAGAACTGTGGACTCAGATTTCATGTTTGTTGAGCGTGAGGGGGCAGGTTTCACTAGCTTTATGGATAGACTCCTGGCTCTCCGTGGTGATTCCAGGACTCGAAAATTCAGGCTGGCTTCTGAATTTCTCGAGCCTAGATTACTGTACAAGTGGCTGCGTTCACTGCGTAATGTGGAGGAGCTTGATCTGGATGTATGCAGTTTCGGGAAGTTGAATTGGAGGGGCATTGATTTCACAGCTGCCACAATCACAGCTATCAAACTCTTCGGGGATTTCCAGCTTAGCATCCCGTCCAATCTGTCTTTCCCCTGCCTTAAGACACTTTCATCTCAGATCGGTAATCTATGCAAACGATTCGGCCATGAGCAATCTGCTCTCTAATTGTCCTGTTCTGAAGGATTTGAAGATATCCAGGGATGATTGGGACAACGTTAAGAATTTCGTCATCTCGGTGCCTTCAGTTAAAAGGCTGGATTTAGAGTTTCAAACCACGGAGATGGTCTTATATGATTGGGACAATGAAGAAGAGATAGTTTGCAAATTGTTAGTTGATGCAACAATGTTGGAGAACCTAAGACTTGTTGATTATACTTCTCGCTCAATCATACTTCATCCATTGCCCCATCTGACCAAATCATTCATTTCTGTGAACAAATTGAGGGTTCGGGAGCTTAAGACAGTGGAAGAAATTCGTAATTATGCAGTATCCCTGATGTGAAGTCTTTGGCAATTGGAAGTTTCACAATGGAGGTAATTCAAAGTATCAATTTTTCTCACATTGCATTCATGTCTTTTAAAACTGTTATCTTTGGTTTCTAATTTTGTTTGAAATCTTGTTCTATACTAGTCCCTTAGTGACGCTCTTGAAATAAGATTACCAATGTATCACAAATTGGTTCACTTGGAGGTGAATTTTAACGGTGTGGCTGGTGCAATGTTGCTGCCAAGACTGCTTGGAGTTGCTCCGATGCTGGAGACCCTTATCCTGCTATTGGTAGATGTGGTTTGCTCAGATTCTGTTCGCGGCAATTCATTAATGGTTCTTAATTTCTTCTGACCAAACGCTGTACATTCTGCCTTTCTGGGGGATCGCTAGTTCTTTCCGACAGGCTTCACCTACGAAGAGAATGATAAGTGCAGGTTCAGCAACCAAACATACGAATGGAATCCTCCAGCAGATGGGCCTCATTTTTTGCTTAATACCTTAAAGGTGGTGGAAATTCGGCGAATTACAAACAACGTAGTTGAAGAACTGAAGCTGTTTAAATATATTTTGGAGAATGTAATGGTTCTAGAGAACATGACCATACTGTGTGAGGAAAGGAGAGCATCAGGTGCTCGTCCAGTCGTCGCCAATGGATTCGCCAATACATTCGCCACAATTAGGAATGAGGTGATGAATTATGGTAGAGGATCAGTTGCTTGTCAAGTACAAGTCCTGAATCAAAGTTCTGTAGGTGAACCATTTTTCTGGTATCGCGACGCTCCATGCCATACTATCAACGTAGCCAATCTGATCATTGACTAGTATCGTGACGCCCCAGGCCCTGATATCGACAAATCTGACTAAGTTCCCGTTAGTTTGTTGTTGTTGTTGTTGTTGTTGTTTGGGTGGGGAAAGAACTTTTGCGCTGAGGGAAGTGAGTGGCTATGTTGATTTTGGAACTGGTTGCATAATGGGCTATATGGCGTCATAGTGAACATGTTAATTTTGCCACTGCAAAATCGTGAAGCAGTTGTATTGAAGGCCAATAGACTATAGTGTTCTTGTAAACATGTTCCTTTTGGTATTGCTATAATACAATCATAATGCAGTTGCACAAAGATGGAACTGGTAAAATCCGTAGGGAAAAAACAACTAAAGGAAAACAAAAATCCGGCCACCAAGAAACAAAAAAGGGAAGGTACTACATGAACTTACGCCTCAACAAAGACTTGGACCTTGGGTATATCTTGGACAAATGCTAAACATGAGATGACTTTTGAAGCACGGGACAGAATCGTCAATGTACCTTGTGCAATTCCTTGTTACATACTGTCGTTTCTTCCAACAAAATTGGCAGCACAAACTGGCTCAAGAAAATTCTCCTCGTTGTTTGCTTTCTACCTTGAAGGTGGAGAAAATTTAGCGAATATCTTGCCATCTGGAGGAAGAACAAAAGCTTTTCGAATATTTTCTGAGAAATGCAATGGTGCTAGAGAGGATGACAATATTGTGTGCAATATAGAACATTTCTGGTGGACCAATACCCTCTTTGAGAAGAACAGAAGCTGGTGTGCACTACTGGTAAATTGCCCTTCTGGGATGACTTAATAAATTGTGAAGGGGGTTCGGCCGCTTGTCAACTTGATGTACAAATCTCGAACACAATCTTCACAGCAGTTTGAAATGGGATTACAATTTAAGTGAAACTAAGCATGAAATAACTTCATGAGAGGACCTCAAACCTGCTTGAAATCATGTTGACTCTGCTGGAGCTATACATGTGCAATATGCAATCTTACACCTGCCGTGTATGGTATTTACCGAGTCAAATTTCATCTGGAAGACAAGGTTTGAGGGAATAAATGGTTCCCATACTTTAACAAGACAGAATCATGAGTGGCGCTCTTAATTTCCTCATTCTGCATTGGCAACCTTATAATAACTATCTCATAACAGGAAAGAGGCTTATTTCTTAGCAACCTCTGGGAAAAATGTGTTTGCATATCCAGACCCTCAATTATCTGTCTAGAAGTCAGACATGCGGCATTCTTCATCAATTTCAGCTCAATGTAACAGTGTAAACATTAACAACTTTTCTCTAAAAGTTCTCTGTAAGCTGAAGCCATCCATCAAAATCCAAAAGGGGGTGAAAACTTTGCAATCACTTTCCCTGCTGGTTCCAGCATAACCGAGTAGTCAGAGGAGGCGCAACACAATGAGAGAGTGGATCAAGCACTGCTCAAGGCAACCAGAGAACAAGGAGTAACTCACAACAAGTTTAGTAGGTTTCTGCAGATTGAGAATCATGTAGGAGCTGTTAAACCTTCCAACTTCATCATACAATGGTACTTTGCTGGTGCAATGGCACCAGCCTTTGTGCATAAATCCACAACAGCAGGAGCATGACCATAATAGTCCCGACCTTCATTATTCAGTAACGGAGGATCCTGAGGACGCCGATACCACACTATCTTCGGACGAACCAAATCATCCACCTTCGCCTTCCTCCAAAAGTGTTTCCCACGCCAACTTTCATATTTGAAAACCCCACATAAGCGAGCCCTGTGACCTGATGGGCCAACATGAACTTCAGAACAATGCTCACAGACTTTAGTAGGATATACCAACAATAACTTCTCTACTCCAGACCTTAAGCTTTCCCATGCCTTCAGAGTTTCGACAGCAATAAGACTGATATCATAGGCTGATAAAGAATCCGATCCAACAGCAGGATCAGCAATACCATCCACTTTACAACTATCAAAGCATTGAATTTCATCACTCCCAAAAGCTCCAGCCTGCCAGCATAGCTCCACAACAGCAGGGATGCGATCATAATCAAACCTTTGATTATGTTCAATCACCTTCTGGAACATGTTACGCAGATGAAAAGCTTCTACAGGGACTAATATGTCCTTCAAGCCCCCATTAATCCACTCATGAATGTGAACCTTAGGTCTGCGCCTAAAACCGCCACAAGTTCGAATCAGATGACCACTCTCTCCAACATACACTTCTGAGCAATGCCTGCAAAAATGAGACATCATTGATTCAAATCTTTTGTCCCCCGACATTTATGGAACCAAGAATCAAATAAACTAATAAAAAACAGCTAAAACTCCCATCTTCAAACTTACATGAACAAGTTTTAAAAAATAATTTGGCTTGAAAATTTGAAATCAAGCAAGTTATTGAATCTATATTCCACCGAATCATAGTAGCAGCAACAATTACCAAAGCACATGTGTATTTACAGATTGATTGAAAAAATTTGAACATTACAAAGTGAGTAAAGGAATTTACTTGCACGCCGAAATGGGAAAGCGTTGAATGAGTGTGGAGACGCCTTGGTAGAGAGTAGTTCTGGCCTTGATAACCTCTTGGGCAACAGGGACCATCGCTTTGACGGGATAATCTTTGGCCCGATTTTCAATTCTCTTCAGAATCATCGGCCTTAGCTTTTTGAAGTCTATTCTGTTCCATGATCCGGAGCTGTAAAACCTGCAGCATCTATTTACGCTAAATACCATCTTTCGAGAGCTCCAAAGCTCAAACGTTTTATAGCCCATGTATTTTTACTGGTGGAAGTATTATCCGATTTACGAGTGCATGATTTTGAGACTGTAAACGGTGTAACACAACCCTGTACGGTGGAGACGGTGGTGGAAGAGGGAGGAGCAAGGTGGCGGAAGGTCTATTGAAGGAGGGGGCAGAAAAAGAACATATTTTGGGCTTTTTTCTAACTCGTATCTGGTTATGATGGGATCTGAAACCAAAAACGTCTAACAAACATTACCGGGCCCCGATCTTCATGATAATGTAACATTTGAGGCTTTCTAGTCTCTAAGCCCAAATGCCCATCTCTTAATAAACAACAGTAGCCGCAATGAGAAAAGAGCGAAAAGTCTTTCTTTTGAAATTTTCCTAATTTTCCTAAATTTCATTTATCGGGTTATTTTGTTTGGTAAAAGTTTATCGGGCTATTTTAATTAAACATAAAAACTTCAACATGCCTTGTAATAAATGGGACAACATATTATAAACGTGAAAATGTATCTTTAAAATTTTATTTTTAATTATAAGAACATAATAAATGAAATTTAAAAAAATTAAAATGTTTTATGATAAGGACATCAGAGGGTAAGAGAAAAGTCTATTTTATTTAACTAAAATTGTCCAACCTTTCGGCATTAACTAGCTTTAGAAAGGAAGTGCATTGTTGTTTATCCGCTATAAGTAACAACCACACTAAGCTTTCCTGGGATTTTGACTCCAAAACGTTTTCCATGCACATTCCGTTAGTTCTATATGCCTCTGGCAACCTGTTGCAAAGTGTGATTCTTATTTGGGTTTGACCAGCAAGATTTTGTAGGTTGAATTCGCCCAGTACATAATACATATGGTAGTGAATTTACGCTACTTTGTCTTTAAAGGTAGATCATGTTCTGTTAATGTTTTACCCTTTTAATTAGATTGGTAAGAGTAGCTATCTAGCTTATTATTAATAGAGGGTCATTTGGTTGCTGCATAGTGCTGCATGGCTGATACTTAATTGATCTCTGACTTGTAGGAAAAGAAAAAATTTCCTTAATTCAATTACGTACTGCCAATGGTTTTTGCTTTATTGCTGTAGTTTTTTGACAAAATACATACTTTAGATTGTTTACAAACGTATACATACAATAGATTGATATTTTACATTACAATAGATCTGAAGAGTAAGTAAATGATCGTGCACATACAAATCTTTAGTCCTGGGACCAAGTGATGTCAAGGGAACCAACATCATCAGGATCAGAGATGCCCAAGGCTGCCCACACAGCTTTAGATCCATCCACAATGTTATTAGGACACGGAGGCTGGTAGTCATGATCGTCGTCGCACCCCATAGTCGAGTCGCATTCGTCGACGACCATCGCCCTCACGCTCCGGCCTTTGTAACGGATAGTAATGTTGTTGAAACACCGGCTCCCGCCGTTGTACCACCCCGTGGAGAGCGCGACGATCGGCGTGCTGTCCGAGTGGTAGTGGCCGTCGCACTCGGACGGGCCGCCACCATCTCCGTTCTTCTCGAAGCTGTTTATGGTAAGAGTCGCCCTGGTTTGCGAGCTTATTGATGGAGAACAGGTGTAAGTTTTGTACTTCTGTCCTTTCTTGCAACAATCCGAGTCATGCTCTTGGTTGCATTTCCCTGGAGGCGGAGTTATCCCGGTTATCGTCCCGCTTGGGTTGCAAGCTTGGATCCTTCCTGCAGCCTGAGAAAAATTGAAACTTAACAGAAGCATCAACCCAAACAAAACAGAAACTCTCAGGCTAAAGTTCTTCATCTTTTTTTCTTTCTTTTTTTTTCCCCTTTCTGTTTCTTGGATACTGAATCTCTTGCGTGATTGCTTTTTATACTGTTCAGGGATTTGCCAAAATGACAAAATTTTGTTTCCAAATTAGTGGTACTAATCCAAAGGGAATCAAACACCGCGTGCCATTGAATCCAATTCGTCTTTGATTCTGTTGTATAGTTTGTATACACCACAAGAGAGTATTGTTATGTCTGCTTCCTGAACCACCAAAGAATATTCAAACGGCAGCCCAATTTCCATCGTTTTCACTAATGCCAGCGTATCGTTTTAGAGGCTAAAAAATAAAATGACATTCCATTGTTCCACGGTTGAAACTAGGAACAAGAATTTGTCATTTAGTTATAAAAAGTTCAAATTCCGATCCTCTCTGGCTAGTGTATTAGTTCACGAGACCTTTTGTGGTGCACTGGTTCACTCAATTATAAGTTATTAAATCACAATTATCATTAAGGTGATAATCATTGTAATTTTTGTAAAATTAGAAAAAATTTAGATTAATAGATTCCATTATTTAGAATATTATACACACACACACAACTAGAACAACAAATGTAAAGTATCATATTAGCTATGTTCCAAAAAAATTTACACACTGACATTTTTTTTTGTACTGTTCTTTTAATACATATTTGGGGTATGGTTTTTCATAAAAATAAAAAAAAAAAAATTAAAAAAAATTGGATCTGTCTGATACATACCACAATTGGGGTTCCACAGACATCACATGTACAAAATGGCTAAAAGGATAATCAGATGTACGTCGACTTTCTGTGCCAAAGATGGTCTGAAGTTAATTAAAGGGCTATTTCCATGGCATTGATATTGACCATGATAATCCATGATGGGGTTCAAAAATCTTCATAGCGCCAGCTCCACTGTAATACGGATTTATCTGCGGCGCAGTAATGTTTGTTCATTTTTTTTTTTTTTCTCTTTTTGAATATATGTCCTGTTCCAAATAAACGCATGTATGTGTACTATATATATATGTATGTATTACATGATTAAATTTCTGGTAATGTTCTAAAGCAAAATATTTGTGTAAAAATTGTACGGGATTGAGTATGATTCGTGAATCATGGACGCTATGTTCAAAGCTGGACAAATTTTAATAGTCTCAAGAAATTAAGGTATAGACTGAGAACAAACCAACCAATCAACGTTGTATTTTTATTTTTCCCTTCTCAATATGTCTCTTTCACTGATAGATGTTGACTTTAGAAGATATAAAAGACTCTACATTAGATGATTAAACAATAACAATAATAATAAACCAAATAAATGTTTACAATTTAAAAACAATTTCAATTACATAGTCTTATAAGTCACAATTTTACTATTCTCTTCACGGTAGAAAATGCAATGGGTTGGGAAGTCCAGCCAATATACGTCTGAATTCTCCCTCGTCCTTGGTCTTCGACATATTTAGAAATATATATATCGGGCTATCCCAATCTAGCCGACGACCTCTGCGACGCAAGCGTTCACGGCCCTCGTTAATCAAGGCGACTAGAAGATCCGCTTCTTTCTCGTTGGTGACAAAATACGCCTGGAGCATACCAAAACAGCCTAATTCCCAGTCATCAAGTGTAATGTGATTGCGAGTCAAGCTAATCGAGTCTTCTTTCCTCAATACTTCTCTAATCAATTCCAAACCCGGCAATTGATCATATGGATCCGGCACGGTTGTAGACGTTGGCGACGTTGAATCCACCACGATCGAATCAGGCGGGCTAGTTTCACGTGATTCATGAACTGGCTCGGGCGAAGGTGGTGTTTGCTTCTCTGCCTCCTCCACAGGTTTGTTGGCAGGATTCTTGGAGGAGGCAGCATTAATGTAGTTGAATCTACGTTTCATGGCAAGATAGGCATGATGGGCTTCTTCAGGAGTATCAAAAGTTCCGATCCAAACCTTGAAATTCTTCTGGAATGGATGGGCGATCTTGCTGTTGTAGTTACCCTTATCAGTTACCTCAACACCCTCCAGTTTTCTTCCTGTACTTCTGTCCAAAACTGACCTGTCATAATACCTTCTCTTCTTCTTCAAAACTCTTGCCTGCCCGCTCTCGTTTGCAATGATCCAGTCATCATCGTCAAGCATACGCAGGAGCTTCATATTTATGGTAGGGAAAAAATTAAGGCAATTTCTATTTAAAAAAAAATCAAATCTCTTGTATTATGTATAATAATAAATCGTGGGAGGATAAGCGTTGAGAAAAAGCTTTGGCTTTTAATCAACTACAGCAAAAGCTAAAGCGAATAAAGTGATTAGACTTGTTGAACCAGATGGTTATATTTATAGAGGAGTATATAGGTGGTTATATGCATGAAAACCTATTCTTATTTGGAAAGTGATGATTTGGAAACGGGTTGCATATTTTTTAAGTAATTTTTTTTTATTACTTATGGCCTCCTATGCTATTGTGAATTGGAAAAACTAATTAATGTACGTTCAATTTATAGAGAAATCCTTATTAATTTAGTGTTATCATTTTGTAATTTATATTACCGTCTAGTAAGAGTGACTTTTATTGAACAAAAACAATATCCTTAATTTTGATTTCATTGATTTTATATGTGATGGAATTTAATACTAGTTATATACATATTTATTTATGTAAAAAAAATGGAATATAGTGTATACTTTAGTAACTGATGAAATTTGGAAAATGGACAAGAATCCTTCCTCCTAATATATAATCATACTGGTAAATACAGTCTTGACCCCCCAAAATTAAAGACATTTTTTAAAAATAATATTGGGTTATTTTCAGTAAAATATATTTTGTTCATGACAAACAAACAAAAAAAATAGTGAAAGATGAAAAATTTAGTGTCGAATAAATTGCTACCTCGATCCCTATAATAATTGTAGTGGTTGTAATACGAATATATGATGGAATACAATAAATCAAATAGAATAATTTTTATTTTTTTCTGTATGTTACGTATCCTGTGTCCGAAGTCATTGTTTTGACTAATCCGAATTCGAGCAGATTGAATATTATGCAATTTATACACATAAAAAAAAAAAGCAAGTTATTTTGCAATATCATGAGTTGAAAAACAACGTTAACAAATTAAATCGAAAGTTTAAACGTTTTTATTCGCGGGTTTTTCATACCGTTATTCTCCTGCAGGCATATACAAAACAGAGCAAGAGAACTGCAACCTGACAGACATTCCAACTTTCAACAAACCCTATTCATCTCTTTTCTTCCCCCTTCTGATGCTTTTCTTTCCAGATCCCAGATGGATGAATCAGCAGAACATCATGATTTACTGAAAAAATCCAAACTTTCTGGGGACGAACCAGAATTCTGTCAATTCACAGATGATTTGATCAGCAATTTGCCTGATGCAATTCTCTGTCACATTCTGTCATTTCTCGCCACAAAAGAAGCTGCGGCCACCTCTGTTCTGTCATCGAAATGGACAAATCTGTTCCTTTTGATCCCAAATCCTGAATTGGACTTTGATGATTCCTCACTTCAGCGTCATCCCAAAGGAAGAATCAATCCTGTCAATGAAATTTATTTCCCTGTCCATGATTCTGAGCCAGAGGAAGTGAAGGAAAGCAGTTTCATAGATTTCGTTGGTGGGGTCTTGAAGAGGTTTCTACAAAACAGCTCTACTATTTCTGAATTCAAACTCAGATGTCAGAAAAGGTACGCAGACAAATGCATCATTTCATGGCTTCGTTCTGCTGTAATGCTTAAGGTCCAAACCGTTTACCTCTGCGCCCCAATCAGAAATTCTAGGAAAGTGATGAATTGTCTTAATGGCTGCACCAGCTTAGTTGAGTTGTATTTGGTCCAAAAAGGTTTTAAGATCTCGAAGAATCCGGGTCTCAAAATTCCCAGTCCGAAAAAATTAAAGCTTGATCACATTGTCTTTAGTAATGATGAATCCGCGGAACAGCTCTTTCGAGGATGCCCTGTTCTCGAAAACTTGGTTTTGCGTTTTTGTGACCTCCTTAATGTACGAAACTTCCGTGTTGGAATCCCTTCCCTGAAGACTCTAACCATTGTGTGCTGTCACATACTCTGTGATTTGAAGATTATCATTGACGCACCAAAGCTCGAGATTTTGTTCTACCAAGGCTCCCTCGTTGAGAGTTTCTCTTTCACGAACAAGTTAGATCACATCGTTAGCTTATCATTACATCTTGTAGTGATCAAAGACTCGCAAGGTGTAGATGAAGAGTTGTACGATTGGTTTTATGGTGTTGTGAAGTTACCTCGTCTTATTAATCCCTGCTCCGGAGTCAAGGTTTTGAATTTAGGAGAGTTTACTATCGAGGTAAGATTCATTGGATTTCTGCCATGTTCTAATTTTTTTTTTTTCTAATTGTGTTTTATGATTTTTCACCGGAGTACAACGGAGGTTATTGCGGTTTCCAGTGAAGCAGTTGACAAACAAAGAGAATTGAGGATTCTGGAAACTTCAATATATTTGATGAGATAATAATGAATGTGTACAGTCAACTGTTCTAAACAACATATATATATATATATATATACACACTAAAGTTTGACTAATCCTGACCAACTAACAATTACAAACTAACCCTACAACTAGCAATATTTACAAGTAAGGCCCCTGACATACAACACTATAATGATTGAATGTCCTTGTCTATTGTTGGATCAGGAATTGGCAAGACATCAAAATCATTCTTCAACACGCCCCCCTCAAGAGGAGCAGGGGAAGAAGACCACATGCTCATCTTGCCCAAAAGAAACTGGAAAGCAGGGGAAGCTAATGATTTGGTAAAGAAATCAGCAAGTTGGCGAGAAGAACTGATGTGATAAAGATCAATAAAGCCAGAAGTATAACAATCACGGACAACATGACAATCGATTTATATGTGCTTAGTACGCTCATGAAATACGGGATTACCTGCAATATAAATGGCCGCCTTGCTGTCACACCAAAAAGAAATAGGCAAGGGCACAGGAACATGAAGATCGGTTAAGAGATAACTAAGCCATTGCAGTTCCCTCACAGTAAATGCCATTGCTCGATATTCAGCTTCAGCTGAAGAGCAGTATATGGTGGATTGCTTCTTGGTAGTCCAGGATACCAGGCAATCCCCTAGAAACACACAGTAACCTGTGAGAGAGTGTCGAGTGAACTCACAACACCCCCAATCAGCATCAGAATAAGCCCTGAGGGTAAGAGAGGTTGAAGCAGGATAGAAAAGGCCTTGAGTTCTAGTGCCAGCAAGATATTTCAGCAGATAGTGAGCAGCATTCCAATGAGACTGGCGAGGCGCATGAACAAACTGTGATAATTGCTGCACAGCATAAGCCAAATCTGGTCGAGTAAACTGAAGATACAACAGTCTCCCAACAAGTCTCCGGTATTGAGAGGAATCAGGTAGCAAAGGTGACTTATCCTTCTTCGAAAAATGAAGATCACTAGGAAATGGAGTTGAAACAGGCTGAGAGTCTAACATCCCTGCATCAGTAAGTAAGTCCTGTATATACTTGTGCTGACTCAAGTACATGCCAGCAACCCCACGGGCAATTTCTATCCCTAAGAAGTACTTAGCATGCCCTAAATCCTTTATAGTGAAAGCTTGATCTATCACAGCCTTCACCTTTGCTATTTCAGTCTCATCTGAACCTGTAATCAACACATCATCGACATATACTAGCAATAAAATAAGCACTGATGAAGTATTGAAGATAAAAAGATATGGATCAGCATGCGACTGTTTAAACCCATATCTCGTAAGAACAGCTGTAAAGGGCATGATTCCATTGCCGAGAAGCCTGCTTGAGGCCATAAAGAGACTTGTGGAGCTTACAAACCTGCCCTGGTAGGGCTTTAGTGTATCCAGGAGGAAGTAACATGTACACATCTTCCTCCAAAGTCCCATGAAGGAATGCGTTATTGACATCGAGTTGATGAACATTCCAAGCTCGATGGACAGCAAGAACAAGCAAAACCCGGACTGTGACGGTTTTTGTAACTGGGGAGAAAACTTCAAAAAAATCCTCGCCCTCGATTTGATTATACCCCTTTGCAACAAGCCGAGTCTTATAACGGTCGACAGTGCCATCTGACTTACATTTAAACTTATACACCCACTTGCAACCTATTGTTCGTTTTCCAGGTGGTAAGGAAGTCAAAGACCAAGTACCATTATTTTCCAAGGCGCCTAGTTCCTCATTCATGGCAGTAATCCGATGACATTGATTCCGAGCCTGATTAAAGGTGTGCGGCTCTCTTACGGTTGACAAATTAGCTAGAAACCCTAGATGTGCATCAGAGAAAGAGCAAGACTCACTAGAGATTACATTGGCTGAAACAAGTGGTAAGTGAACACCGCTGTCAGTGAGATCAAAGTCTCGAAGCCAGGTGGAGAGATGGCGAGTTCTATAACTCCTACGAGGTTCAGGAGGAGGGGAATGAGTGACAGAAGGATTAGAAAATTGTGAAATAGAAGAATCTGTATCGACGGGGGAGTGTGATTGAGAGGCTGAGGAAGTAGGAGGGGAGTGATTCAGTAAGGATAAAGGTGATAACAACGTGTCATTTGGATTGGTCTGCAAAGAATCAGTAGTTGAAGAAGGTTCATAGTGAACATCTGTATATACAGGACATGGTAAAACAGGTTGATCTACAGGATCAATTGACATGGTTTTATAAGGAAACATCATTTCCTGGAATTGAACATGTCTGGATATTATGATCTTTTGTTGGTCAATACAATAAATCTTATATCCCTTCTGACCACTAGGATATCCTACGAAGACTCCTCTAATGGCCCTAGCATCAAATTTATCTCTGTTTGGTGCCATATTATGAACAAAGACCAAACAACCAAAGGTTCGCAAATGGTCAAGATTAGGTGGTTTATGGTGTAAAATGGCAAAAGGAATCTTCCAAAGGAGCAGTTTAGAGGGTGTTCTATTGATAAGGTAGGTAGCCGTCAGGATAGATTCACCCAAAACCTTTTTGATAACCCAGATTGGAAAAGTAGTGACCTAGCCACTTGTAAAATATGTTGATGCTTTCTTTCAACCACCCCATTCTGTTTGGGGTGTGTATGGACATGTTCGGTGATGAATAATGCAATGTTCTGAGAGAAGGTTTTGTACTATGGCATTAACGAATTCGGAACCATTGTCAGTCCTAAGGATCTTGACATGGTGGTTATATTGATTTTTAACTAAGATGAGAAACTGCCTAAGTGTTTTGGCTACTCGTGACTTGTGTTTAAGGAGGAAAGTCCAAGTAGTCCTACTAAAATCATCCACTAGGGTAAGGAAAAACTGAGCATTTGTCAGAGACAACATTTTGTACGGACCCCATATATCAGCATGTATTAGCTCAAACACATTACTAGTACTAATTGAGCTTAAAGGAAACACAAGCTTGTGTTGTTTAAACAACGGACAGGTTTCACAAAAGGGCAATTTATTATTAATATCAGCAGAATCAAGGTTTGATACATGTCTTAAAGCATTGCTAGAAGGGTGTCCTAGTCTGTTGTGCCAAATAGACACGGCAATATTAGCCTTAGCAGAAGAATCAGAAACAGTAACGCTAGAATTATCAGGAGATATAGCAGAGAATCTCCTTGAAACTGACAAAACTAGTTTAGAATATAAAGTGTGTGTTTGCTGAATGGCAGCTTGTGTGAAGGAATATGAATTGACTATATAGAGTCCATTGACAACCATGCCTGCTCCAAGGACCTCATTATTCCTCAGGTCCTGTAGCAAACAGAAATCATCAAAGAACTTCACATAGACACCTGAAGTTTGTGCCAGTTTTCTAATAGACAGAAGGTTATGTTTAAAGGTTGGCACATGCAACACGGATGAAAGTGTAAGTCTACTAGAGAGTTCTACTTCTCCCATATGATGCACATCCCTAATACTCCCATCAGGCAGATAAACAGGCATGCATGTATCAACTAATCTAGCATGTATCATCAAAGAAATAGAGCAACACATGTGTGTTGTAGGACCACTATCAGTTATCCAAGAATCAACACTAATCACATGAACTAGATTACCAGTCAATTGAGTAATGACATGGCTACCTGAAAAATCTTGCAAATGAGGATAGTTCACCCTGGCATGGTTGACAGAGGTCGTTGGAACACCTTCTATAGGAGACTTTCCCTTTATCATCTTTCCAAGTTCCGCTTGCACCAAATTAGCAACCATCACTTGCCAGTTTCCTGCAGCTGGTTCTGTGCTGTCAAAAGGTGAGTCTGCAAGATCAGCAAGCGCTTGCTTGCTGATCCTTGAAGACCTTGCTGATTCTTGTTTCCATATTTCTATTCCCCCCAATCCGGGTATCCTTTGATCAAAAAACAATTGTCCCTTATATGCCCATGCCTGTTGCACTGATTACAAAACAATTTCATTTTTTCCTTCTTAGCTGCTGCCTTGATCTCCTTCCAGTCTTTCTGTTCTGTTTCCTTTTTCCAGACTCCAGGTTTAGCCATCATAGCCACATTCTCAGGTTGCACCACAAGCACACTGCTTACCTGCTTCTGAGTTTCCTCATCCAAAAGCTTAGAGTAAATTTCATCCAGACTTGGCACTGGATCCATGCGCAGGATTTCACTTCTGAGTGACTCATAACAGTCATTCAACCCATTAACATTTGATAGGCCTTATCTTCAGTTTCTCTTTCATACAACTTCTTCATAGCATCTGCTTCACACACAATCGGAGGTCTCCATTGACTGTATTCATCCCATAGCTTGTTCAACTTATTGTAATACTCTACCATGTTTATACTACCTTGGCTAACCAGTGCCATTTCTCTTTTCAATTGATATACCACAGATCCATTCTTCTTTCCATATCTAGCCACAATTGTGTCCCAAAGTTACTTAGCAGTAGGAATAAATGCAAAACTACTGGCCTAACTAGCTTCTATGGATTTTAGAATCCAAGATCGAACCATACTATCAACTCTTCGCCAACGAAGGTAATCAGGTGAATTAATTGGAGGCATTATGTAAGTACCATCTACAAACCCTAACTTCATCTTTGCATCTAATACAGCCATCGCAGACATCTTCCACATTAAAAAATTCGTAGTAGTCAAAGGAACGCTTACCAATTGCATCCCAGGATTATCAGAACCATGCAACTGGAGATGTTCTTCCATGAACCAGTCCAGATCGTGATCAGTCATCGGACTTCGGGAAAATCCACGCTCAGTCCTTCGATTGTTCCTATCTGCTCTTCCGATTCCATGAGCAAATCGTTGTTCGTCTATTCCCCGCTCTCGCTCGTGACTAATTTCTTCATAATCGTTCTCCATGATGAAATCAGATGATTAGGTTTTGTTCCTGAGATAAAATCGAGAGGATTTATCGGTTTAGTAATCAGGCAGGATCACTCCCGCTCTGATACCATCACCGGAGTACAACGGAGGTTATGGCGGTTTCTGGTGAAGCAGTTGACAAACAGAGAGAATTGAGGATTCTGGAAACTTCAATATATTTGATGAGATAATAATGAATGTGTACAGTCAACTGTTCTAAACAACATATATATATATATATACACTAAAGTTTGACTAATCCTGACCAACTAACAATTATAAACTAACCCTACAACTATCAGTATTTACAAGTAAGGCCCCTGACATACAACACTATAATGATTGAATGTCCTTGTCTATTGCTGGATCAGGAATTGGCAAGACATCAAAATCATTCTTCAACAATTTTCTTACAGGCTATTCATCATTTGTCACTTCCGCTACCTAGATTTCTTAAATTGGAGCATTTGAAGCTTGGAGCTTTGGAATGACTGGATGGAAAACATTGGGAATCTTACTTGAAAATGCACCATTTCTTGAAACACTTGATATTTATCAGGTATTAATGAAAAGTTGTTTTTTTTTTTCTTTTGCTGATTGGGATCTGTTTAATTTGCAATCCTGAAAGATAACATAATATGTCCTCTGTTGTTGAATGTAAAAATTAGGGGTTTAAGATGTTTGAGGGGGGATATGCTAGTTTCAGATCATCTATTCATGGAGTGCCGTATTGTGTATCCTGGAGCTTGAAGAAGATTGAGATTGGAGGTTCATTTAAAGGGCAGAAGGATGAAGATGAATTGATGGCATTTTTTTATACAGAACGGTAATGTTCTTGAGAAGCTTCATGTCAAGTGCGACTTTGACTGGTACAAATAATCTCTTTGCCAAGGAGAGAATGGTCCAGGTTGTTGGATAAAGGATTCAGAGATTTGTGAGATTTCTTTCTAGAGCTGAGAAAATATCTGCATGGTTAAAGCTAAGATGCAATATGGAAAATTGACTTCTGGTACACTGGTACTCAGTTTTTGTGGATTTTTTTTTTTTTTTTGGAGCATTGTATTAATTTGTTGCCTTGCCCTCAGATCACAGTATATTGATTTGAAAAACATACATGCGTTCGTTTGAGAGTTTTATTGCAAGTTTTTCTATGTGCAAGCTTCAATTCAAGGCAATCTAGCTATGTGACCATTTCATATACACTGCGGATTTTTACATCTTAGAGGGAAGCAAATAGCAAAATATGATTCATTATAGTTGTAAGGCAATTCAGCTATCTGGACAACAAACTGGCTTGTGTCTGGTTGTTAATTTTGAGAGAGCAAAGACAATGAGACATGATGAAACTTGTTGTTTGGCTCAAATAAAATGTTCAGAACTTCGGATTAAAGATGCACTGGAATAATGTGTGGTCCTCCGTTGGAATAGGGGTTGTGTAACTTTTGTGATCCTCCGCTGGAAGTGCTACCCTGGCTCCGTCACGACGTTATCGGAGTAGCATACCCGCGGAATGTAATAGTTTAGCATTAAGGCCAATTGGCCTCCTATCTTTGTACCAAAAAAAGATGCACTGGAACAATGTGTGGAATTGTATCACTCAGACAATACGTCAAAGCCTACTTCCAAAATAAATAAATAAAAAAAATAAACAAATAAACAGTAGTCTTGTAATAGTCTAGAGTTCCTGAGTTTGCCCTCTTTTATTGTACCAAAATAAATAAATAAAAAAATAAAATTCCGAAAAAGAAAAAAAAAAAAAAAGGAATTCAGAAATACCATAATGCCAATCATGCTGTTAAAAATCAGTTCATTAAGATAGGGTTTGGAATGACAAATGATCGTTGCGCACACGGGTCTCACGTGATTTTTGTTTGCACATTCCTGAAACAAATCCCTGAGTCCAGACTAGTCATGTCTCAAATCAAGTGACAAACATCTCAAATCCGCAGTTTCTTCATCATTATCAACTCAAGCTACCAGCCTAATGACTTCCATGGCGCCATTGGGGAACTGAGAAGTATGTTATCTCTGAATTGAAACCATCCCGTTTTGCCGCAACCCTTCTTTGGATGGTATTTCCGCGTTTCCCAATTTGTTTTTTCCTTAGCGATTTTTGGGCTTGGGGAGCTTGCCGATTGGATTTCAAGTTTCAACCCCTCAAATTCCTTCGTATGCTCATGATGAAGAAGTAATCTTTTACCCCCATCTGTCTATTTATCTCTGCTTTATTCTATTATAAACGCTGTTACAGCTAGATTCTTTATGCTACCATTTGATTTCTGGAGTTCATCAATCCCATTCTTTGAGGGGATTGCATGAGGAGTTTATTTTTTATTTTACCTTAGTGCAGCAAATGAAGTATGCAAAACTAGGAAATTATAAAGATTACATAATCTAGTCCTATTAGGATGTGAAATTTACTTTTTGCGAATCCATATCCGATTTTCGTGGACTTGAATAGCCATTTTGCTGATATTTGGGAGAATTTCTTGAGCTCGTGCATGATAGTAGGTATTATGGTCTATTGTTTTATGGAGATGCCCTTAAATTATGGAGTCTATTTGGTGTAATGCTTTGAGATTGAGCTTCTTACTCTGAAAGTAATTGGATCCTTTTGAGATTCTTAGCTCTTGTCGTAATCTTTGTTGTTTGGATTTGGTTTTCCATGCTATAGAATGTTTGTAAGTGATTATAAGTTGATGCTTTCAAAATGTTTTAGAAGTTGCTAAGATTTCATTCGATTTTGTAAGTAAAGCAGCTAACTTCCAGTTTTGCTATAGAAGGTTCGGTTTATGGCCGCCTCCTCTTTGTACTCCTTATTTTTTTTTAAAAAAAAAAAGAAAATGTTTTTATTTGCTAAATGATCATCAAGGGTTTTTGGTGTCTTACACAATGCAGTGTGTTTTCTGATTTTAGGTTTAGAAAGGATCAAATGAAGAACTGCTTTGAGCAGCAGGACTTTAGTTCAGTGGTGCAAGTTGATGGTAAAAATGACAGAATCAGTAATTTGCCCGACTGTGTTCTTCAGTACATTCTTTCTTTTCTTACTACTAAGGAAGCTGTAGCAACGGGAGTATTATCAAGACGTTGGAAGCATCTCTGGACTGGTGTTCCAATATTGGACTTTGATGATTCCTTGCTTTACTCTAGCCAACTTAACCTTTGGTACCCATTGGAGGTCTCACTTTTCATGAATTTTGTGGAGAGGGTACTTCTACTTCGAGATGCATCAAGGATTGAGAGGTTTCGACTCTCATGTCGTGTTTGTTTTTCTCCTTCTCGTGTTCATGCTTGGATTTCTGCGGCTGTCAGGCATAAAGTTGAAGAGCTTGATCTCTGCCTTTTTGTGGATGATCCCTTTTCATTACCCCACTGTATACTCAATTGCGGTTCACTTACGGTCTTGAAATTAGAAATGAACTGTGTCCTTCAGCTTCCATGTAGCATTTCCTTGCCTGGCCTGAAAATCATGCACTTGGGTCTTGTCACATTCTCAGACGATAAATCAACTCAAAGGCTCTTATCCTGCTGCCCATTGCTTGAGGAATTGGCAGTATTAGATTGTGAGTGGATGAATCTCAGATGTATCAGCATTTCTATTACCTCTTTAAAGAGGTTGATAATAGATGAGCTACCGGACTTTGATTCTAATGGTAATTCTCAGGGCTGTCAAATTAAAATTGATGCAAGAAACCTCCTACTCCTGAAATACAGTGGTTACCTAACGAATGAAATGCATATTTGTGATGTTTCTTCGCTGGTCAAGGCATCACTAAACATTCCAATGCTGTGCCAAACTGGAAATCAGATCCAGTTTTCTCGGTTCCTCAATCTGGTTCACTCGGTGAAGCATGTCAGGTCACTAAGTCTTACAAATTTAACTTTGGAGGTAGAATACTGAGATTGTTCTCTGGTCTTTATTTTCTATGTTGTATTTGATGGAGTTTTTTGTTGTCTATCATTATCCTTGCCTCACTGAAATTATCTATATTTCATGAAGCCTCTGCTTCTTGTGGAAAAAATGCCGAACCACCTTCCAGATTTTCATGAGTTGGCCAATCTAGAGTTGAGCAGGCTACTCGGATTTCAAGCTGTTGGAGCACTGATAAAGTTTCTCGAATTCTTGCCAAAGTTGGAGTATCTTAATATTTCCAAGGCAATGTTGTGCAAACCTATAGGTCTCCAGTTCCATTTTTTATTTTTCATTTAATAACAGTAGTCTTTCATGTGAAATTCAGGGTCTTGATCCTTCAATACGCCTTGCCAAAGAGGAATGGACACCAAAATCAGCATCAAGGGGTTTCTTGTCAAGGCTTAAGATTGTGGATGTCCAGAACTTTCATGGGAATGATGCTGAAGTGCATTTGCTACAAATTCTGCTAGAATGTGCAACTTTCTTGGAGAGGATAAATATCTTTTGTTGCAAGGACTCCTTAGGATGTTCAAACAACCAGGAAAATATGAGAAATCATTTGCAATCACTTCCTAGAGTATCTGATTCTTGCGTCATTGTCTTCTCCTGAGATCCCGCAGGTGTGGAATTTCTCCCCATTTCTCTTTGAACGTGTTCTGATCTTGATGCATATTTTCAAGGAAGTTTATTTTTACTGTGCAAGTGCAGGAGTTCGTTTTCTTTCCTTTTTGGTTTCAGTATCTGATTACTAGGACTGAGGTTAAGGTGTGTTATAGGTCATAATTCTTTTGCATTTTGCTCTACTCAAAGATTATTGTGATTGTAAACCAATCTTATATGACCGCAGGTTAGGTGTTGTTACTGCTCATTTTGTCCTATTTATTGAATTTGTGCAACTGACAGTGTAGCTCATTTAAAATATTCTTTGGTTTTTTTTGATGGTTCATTTATATGTTATGAATAGGGACATTTATAGCTAGCCAGATGCTTTCATTCATCTGAATCTGATGTCCGATAGTTTCTCATGCGCTTGTATCATATGTTTTATATGGAAATATGGCCCATCCATGTCATTGATTTGAAGGGCTAGGCGACTGGAACATTACTCTGTCTTCAATTTTACTTCTCAACAGTGTGGTTGTTGTGGCACTTACTGTGAAACTTTTGTTGTTTAGGTTGTAGTTTCTTTAATTAGCACATTCTCCTGCCAGTTTAGGGCACTAGTTTGGACTAAACATTGCAGCCGAGCTGAGCGTCCACGGTGCCATCCTCGGTGGTCTGACAGATCCGTGATGAGAGCCTGTCATATGGGTACTTGTTTTTGCTTAACCTTCTTCTTTTGTGACTTCACAGGTCTCTCTGGTAACTATTTCGGTCTCTGGTGGTATAGTTAGGCATCATTTTGTATATGATATGAAATATTTTGGGTTCTGCAACTGCAAAACAGTCTGCATAGTAAAAGCATTTTGAGGGGTGGTTGTGTTGCTTGGTGGTTGAAAAAAGTACAGATATTCCAACCTTTGATTGTACAGCACTAAACATTTTCCCTCTTTTTGGTTCACCATCAGAGAGATGTATACTTAAACATGGTTCTGACTTCTGAGTTAAACTAGCTAATGTATTCTTGGATGCATTATGGATCCATTTGCAGACAATGTATTAGATACCGGTTGAGTATTAAAATTAAAAAAAGGAATTGGAAACGAAAAGAAATGGTTTTTTGGTTTCTCTGGTAACAAAGTAGACTATTATGACGTGATAATGTTATAGTAATAGAAACCGAGAGGACAAACTGATTGCAGATTGTAGACAAACTGATTTGTCTGTTGTGTATCTAGAAGTGTCGTTATAGAGACTTTTTTGCATCGTCAGATCAACATAATTGACCAAATTGCATATACTATAATTGAAGTGGAGTTTTTCTGCTTTTTTTTTTTAAAAAAAAATGCATTATCGTTCTTAAACTATTGCTTACCGTTAATCAAGTTCCAGAGGCAATCCCGCCTTAAGACACAGAATAATCAAAATCTTTGGGCTGAAAGATTTTGATTATTATAAAAGCATGCTAAAGGTCAAAAGGAATAATAATCAAAGATTTAAGATTAGGCAACATCTAATCTAGACCAAACAAAAGGTTCAGATGTCATGGCAATAAGGAGATGATCCTGAGTTCTGACTTTCCCCGGCTGCCAACTACAATTCCAAACATATTCTTCTTCTTCTTCTTTGTGTTTCCTTTGGTTTATTTATTATTTAAATAATCTTTTTGTCAAATTATGTACTCTCTCCGCCCCATAATTATTGTCCAGTTTGGGTTTTTATTTCTAGTTTAAGTTGTATTAAAATTGAAATATCAAAATGGACAATAATTTTAGGACAGAGAGAGTAGTACTTTATGATCTGACGAAGATGCATTTGACCTTTTTAAACGTTGTTTAGTAGAATAATTTACGTACATGTAGCATCACAATTCACGTCAATGGTAGTTTTGGCAATCGCGCACTCAAATCCGAGCTTTTTTCCAGTCTAATTTCCTGCTTATGACCCAAATCCAGTTCTACTACGATAACAGAACAGCAATAATACCGATGGTAAAAATATCCAAAAGCGAGAAATAGTAATTTGTGATAACTGATAAGAGAGAAAAAAAAAATAAATATACCTTAATCGCGAAACAAATTCGATATTCCTGTTTATTTCACAAGTCACAAACAATATGATATGAACACATCACAGATAGAATGATCCCTAATATTAATAATAATAATATACTTTATGTATGCTCCAAAATCTAATTTACATCATTATGCAACTATCAAAATTTACTAATACACACACAAAAAGAAAAAAGGAAAAAAAAATTCTATAGATAGGTAGCCAATCAACATTCAAACAGAAGATAAAGATCTGCTTGATCTCAAATCATTAAAGTTCATCCCACAAATCAATCTCATTTTCCTTATATATTCTCCAGATTTGAATTTGAAAACCTAATTATGAACCATGAATCTTTTTCAAAATTGATGTTACTCAAAATGGAGCTTCATGAAAATGGATCTTACTACTCAATAAAGGGGAACCAAAACCATACCAAACCTAAAGGTCACCTAACCATCCAATTAAAACCAGTAAACTGTTTCCACTCATTGGCTCCTCCACTCTCCAGCCACCCCCACTCTCCCAATGCCATCATCCTCACATGAATTATGGGGCTTGGGGAGCCACCACCATTTTCCGAGGAATAATAATTTGTCTGTGTTGTTTGTTTTTAAGGAAAATATAATGAGTTTTTTTTTTAATTAAAAAAATGATGAATTTATACCTCTATGCTGCATATTTCAGAATTAAATTTTACCAAAAATTTCTTATATCAGATGGTTATATTAATCTATATTTGACATGGATGGACTCTGGATAAATTTCGTAAACAATTTGTACTCCTTTTGTAAATTAGCTATAGTTAAAATAACAACGGAGATTTCTATGTCATGCATACATTAGCACAAGTATCAATGTTTTGACACGTTGTAGCAAAATCTCTCAAAAAGTCTTTAACCACTTAAATTAAAAAATGTACTTTGAATAATCAAATTTTTCTTTGATACAGTATTTAATTTGGTATATGCTTATGCTACTTTTAAATAAAAATAAATAAATAAAGGAAAAATAAAAGGTTGTTTTCAGTTTGAGGCTCTTCCTCCCTTCATAGGGCCGTGAATACAATTACTCTTTCTTTCTCATTTCATTTGCTTTGAGTGTTGTGAGGCATTTCCAAAGCTTTAAAACTCCGATCTTTTCAGTCTCATATAAGATCTTTTCCATCTAGAAAAGCTGTCAAACTTTTTAGTCAAATTCTCAGAAAAAAAATTTTTTTGGACAAAATGATCTCCTCATTGAAACAACCGGTGCTGAATTTTAATGGGGTTGAAGTTATGCGGCCTAAGTCTTCTCGGCCACCAACACGGCGGTCCGTTCTCCTTCCGCCACTTCCGGCACTTAATGCTCGCCGCCGGAGCAGTTTTGTTTCACTCACAAAACCCCTTTTCGTCTCGAAGGTTGAATCTTTCGGAACTTTGGAAAAATCGGCTCCCGCTTGGAGTGATGATCATCATAAACAAAAGAACCACTTAGTCGTTTGTAAGGCTTATGAAGCCGATAAATCAAGTCCAATTGAGGACTCTCAGGCGCCAACCGAGACAGCAAGGAAGTTGAAAATCGGGGTGTACTTTGCTGTATGGTGGGCTTTGAATGTGGTGTTCAATATATATAACAAGAAGGTTTTGAATGCCTATCCCTTTCCATGGTTGACTTCAACACTCTCTCTAGCTGCTGGCTCTCTGATCATGTTCATATCGTGGGCTTTGAGGATTGCTGAAACCCCTAAAACTGATCTTGAATTCTGGAAAGCCCTTTTCCCTGTAAGTAAATTAGGGTTCTATATGCTTAATTCCTCGCTTCATGTATTTTTCCCCTTCAATATTTTCATAATCTTGTACATCATTGCTCTTTATGAGATGGGATTATTAAAAAGTAATTTTTTTGTTAGTTTAGGAATGCTTCATTCACTATAGGTAGTTTTCTTGCATCTGGAAATTATAATTGGATTAGTGTGTGAAAGTTGAACTGAGAGAAAAAATGATTTTTGTTATCTGAATTTCCTTCAATTTTTTGGGTGGGTTGGTTAGGTTGTATTTAATGGTGTTTGGTTTCTGTCTGCAGGTCGCTGTTGCACACACAATTGGGCATGTGGCAGCTACTGTGAGTATGTCAAAGGTGGCAGTTTCTTTTACCCATATAATCAAGAGTGCTGAACCTGCTTTCAGTGTTTTGGTCTCGAGTTTCATTTTGGGAGAGACATTTCCTATGCCCGTATACTTGTCACTAGTCCCTATTATTGGTGGTTGTGCTCTTGCTGCTGTCACAGAGCTCAACTTCAATATGATAGGTAATTGTTTTTTAATGTTTGGGATCGTTGTTTTGAACTGTATTCTGGAATACATTTGCCTAATCAGGTTCTAGTTCCATTTTTTTTACCTTCATTGTTTGGAAACTTAGTTTGAGTTTGTTGATGGAAGCCAGTAATAGTAATGATTCTCAGTAAGACATTCTGCCATTGAATTTCAGTTGCAATAACTTCTTGATTAAGCATTGATGAATTGTGTACTAATCGTTCTTGATCACTGCCGACCATCCTTGCATCATTCAGCCTTCCATTGGTCTAATTTTGTATGTATTAGTCACATTTCCCCTTGCTCAAGCTGATCAATTCCAATACATTTTGATGCTTTGGAAGTTTTTGGAAGTAGAAATTTCAATGGCATTGTGGTTAAATGTCGATTATTCTGATGCTTCGCTTTTGTTGGTGACTTGAATCTTCAGGTTTCTTGGGCGCCATGATATCAAACTTGGCTTTTGTTTTCCGGAACATATTTTCCAAGAGGGGCATGAAGGGGAAGTCTGTTAGCGGAATGAACTACTATGCTTGCTTATCTATCATGTCTTTAGTAATACTCACACCATTTGCCATTGCTGTGGAGGGACCAAAAGCGTGGGCACTTGGATTTGAAAAGGCCAGTGCCCAAATTGGACCCCAATTGATTTGGTAATCGGATGAAATTTACCAGCTCTATTTTGTTGTTGGTACCTGTTATATGTTGTTTGTCACTCACCAACATTCATGTTGTCCAGCTATTTGTTAATACCATGATCTCTTAGACATGACCCTCTTTTTGCTGTCCTAAGGAATTTACTACTACTACTCCTTTGGGCAATTTCTTGAATGAAGAGGTTCTCAACGAAATTGCTCTTACAGTTCTAGATCTTGAATTTGACCTTCAGACCCCTTCCTAGAACGAGTTCTTTTGGTGTTTGTTCGTGTTAGAAATATCATCATCTTCTTAATTTGGCTAACCACCCTATAATTAGAAATATCATGATCTTCTCAATTTGGCTAACCACCCTATAATAGAACCAGTTCTTTTGGTGTATGTTCGTGTTAGAAAAATAACATGATCTTCTCAAGCTTTGAAATGGCTGGTATCAATATTTCATCGTGGCTGCTGAAATATTAACTATTATATACCCGATGTCTATGATGAGATGATTGAATTGGAATGTCTGGTGCTGACTTTTGACTTTAAGTGCGCTCCTGCTGACATTCCGTTGTTCTTGTCTTATTAGGTGGATGGCTGCACAGAGTATCTTCTATCACCTCTACAATCAGGTGTCTTACATGTCACTAGATGAGATCTCTCCTTTGACATTTAGCATTGGGAACACCATGAAACGTATATCTGTCATTGTCTCATCCATCATCATCTTCCGCACACCTGTTCAGCCTGTCAATGCTCTTGGAGCTGCCATCGCTATCCTGGGAACTTTCTTGTATTCACAGGTAATTTCTGATGTATGATGTAGATCCTTGGAACTTTCTTGTATTCACAGGTAACTTCTGATGTATGGTGTGATGTTGATGGCACTTGGTAACATGGCTCCCCTGTCAATAACTTGATTTATAATTTCTGATCTGATAACTTTATGATGCGCCTTTTGCTTGTCCGCCAGCCTTGGTTTCTGCATGCAATTTAAAGTCAGTCTCATAAAATTTTGGAATTTCCTTGTGGTTAAAAGATGTCCTGCGGTTGTGACTTGGAAAATAGCTTTACTACAAGTTAGATTTCTATCTGATGCTACACAGCACATCTGATGCACGTTGAGAAACCTGCATGCATTTTTCTTTGAATCCCAAATTTGAAGAATGACGTAAAGCAATATTGCTCTAGAGTTGACTCTATACTCTATACACCCCTTTTGGTGGTTTCCTTTTCGGCATGATGAAATTGAAATTTGCGACTCCTTGATGTTTACACGAGGATAGTTATTTACTATCGAATATTGCACCAGTGTGTCAGATGAAATTGCCTTTTCTTTATTTATGGTTTGTGTCAAACAAATGGTTTCATTGATCATAAGACAGTGATGTTTGCTTCTAAAGACAAACTATTCACGTGTGTTTTTTACGGTTTTATAGCAACACGAAATGAATCTGTTATCTCTTACCAACATATAAATATTCTCCAGTCGATCTTCTTTTCAGTTGGGTCGGTGTGGAACCATGCTCTTATTATGATTGTTTGTTTGACCCAAATGTCCAATAAACCTATGTATTGGTACTATCTGATAAATCTGTCCAATCTGGAGTTTAGATACCTGCTCCATTTTGATCAGTTTACATATGTTTTCTGTATGACCAAAAACCTGAGGAATTTGGGTCTATTGCTGATAGTGGACTTTTTGTGCTAGGTGGTTGTTGATTTACTAACCTTTTACGAACATTGCCCATGTTTGACAGGCTAAGCAATGAGGAATGGAGTTGGGTTCTGGCAGACAGTTAAAGTGACTGCCGTGCTATTTGAAGTTTTGTTCCTAGAGAAGTGTGGATAAGAGAGGCTCATGAACCGAATGAAGATTGAGACCAAATTAGCCAACCATTAGTTCTACTTTGTAGATAATAATAATAATAATAATAATAATAATGAATTAAGTATGACCTTAAATTTTATACAGTAAATTAGGCAAGTGTAGCTTGGTCTCTTTGCAATTGATTGGAAGAAGAAAGAGCAGCTTGAATAAAACAGTGGGATCTGAGTCCGACTGAGGGGGACCAAGTTGTTGCCTAAATGGATATATTCTGAATTCAGATTTTGCCCAAAACATTGAGTATTATATTGCAGATTTAGTAATTAATATTCTAAAAATGAATGAGCTTTCTGGCTACTTTGGTTGCCTAACTATTGGCTTCCTAGTACGTGCTCTGCTTGGTTGCAACAAAAGTCTTCGAACAGGAACTGTGCAACTTACATCTTTTCTGCTTATGAAGTTTTTGCACCTCTTTATCTCACTTCTGCTCAACCTAAACTTCAACTTGTTACTCGTGAATGGGATTGGACTATGGAAATTTGAGGTTGGCCATGAAGTCTATGCATTCTAAGCCATGATGGTTATTTTTACTGCAGGTGGACAAAAACCAAACACTTCCAAAACTACTATTTTTTTACACCTAACAGTAGAAGATGATAAAGTTTTGAATATTAAAACGGTAGCTCAGAAACAGGAAATTGAACAGAGTCTCAAAAACATGCAAATATCAAAGGTTGTTCCTCCTCCTTACCTGGGTTGAGTTGATGAAACTGGGTCGAAAAAACGAGCGCGCCTTGTAACCATGAATAAAGAGGAGGAGGAGGAGGAGGAGGAGAATATATGTAGTTGATTTTGTAGGTTTCATGCAGATGGAAGTTGAAAAATTCAAGGCCGCAGGATTGCTATCCTTTCTTCAAGACATGTTTTTGCTCAATGGCAATGGAGGATTTCCTGAAAGATATCTAACGTAATCCATTCTGTGAGATTTACGGTCAGCTTTATACATGAATTTTTGGCATCAGGCAGTTTTTGGACGGACTGGGACTTTGAAGTGTGAACCTTATGTTATTGATAAAGCATTCACGGCTCTGATTAAACATCCTGCAGTATGAAAGGACAATATTTTATCCAGGGACCAAGTTTTTGTTCAGCACGCGGGAAATGCCATCTTTCACCAAGCCCTTGCCATTTTGATAGATAGTTTCCGAGATGAACATGAAAACCAGGACATTCATCAAACATATGGAACATAGAAATTGTCCATTCCCTTCAACAGACTTATTGTTTTGGTGTACAACGGATTAAACAGCGTGTATCTAACACATAGTAACCTTGATTTCTTTTGATGCTGCAGAACGGTTTAAACAAAGCTCTATAGACTCAAATTCAGCAGATTTTTCCCGGTAGTAATACAATATATTCACCAAACTTTGTTTCAATTTCAGACTTGGAGATGTTTAATCGCCGTGTGCACATCCTTGTCTCCTCTGCCACTGCAGTTGATAACAACCTTGGTTCCATCTGGGAGAGTAGGGCACAGCGTCTCCAAAAAGGCCAGAGCATGAGATGTTTCGAGTGCTGGGATGATACCTTCCAATCTAGATAGTCTCTTGAAAGCTGCATAGACATTCGAAAGGTTAAATTCACAATTTATGAATGAAAAAATAAAATAAAATAAAATAAAAATTAAGGTAGAAACTGTAAAGCCATTACAATGCTTCTCTCCAGCAGAAAGTTAACCCTAAATAACAGATCATTTCATACGACTATAATTCCCCTCTCCTTTTGACCGTATTACTATTGAATTTTTTTGCAACAATTTAAAGTAAATCTCCAGGAATAGATCATTAAAAGCAGAGGAAACTTCAAAAGAGTAAAAGACATTCACTTACCTTCCAATGCTTCTTCATCAGTGACGCTGAAATATTCAGCACGTCCTATATCTTTCAAAAAACTATGTTCGGGTCCTACTCCAGGGTAATCCAGGCTACACAAGCAACAGAAAAATCGATAATTCAGAAATTATTAAAAATGATTCAGTGAGGGTGATAGTAAAAAAATAGAGTTGATGGTTTTACCCAGCACTAATAGAATGAGGCTCAATTATCTGCCCATCATTATCCTGTAATAAGTAACTCATGGCTCCATGCAAGACTCCAACCTCACCCATGGTGAGAGTGGCGGCATGCTTGCCGCTCTCGATTCCAAAACCAGCAGCTTCGACACCTATCAATCTGACATCTTTGTCATCAACGAACTCATGAAAGAGGCCCATTGCATTTGAACCTCCACCGACACATGCAACAAGAATATCTGGTTTGCCACCCCATTTCTCCAATGCCTGCTTCCTGGTTTCTTTGCCGATAATTGCATGAAAATCTCTCACCATCATTGGATATGGATGCGGTCCTGCAACTGATCCAAGGATGTAATGAGTAGATTCCACGTTGGTCACCCAATCCCGTATAGCTTCAGAAGTAGCATCCTTCAATGTGGCTGTGCCGGAGTGGACTGGCCTAACCTGTAAGAAATTATAATTCTGGGCATCAGAACGAGAATATATGCAATTTGACCAAACAAACTAATGCATATCCAGAGGAACTATATCATGCTGCGGTTTGTCTCCAAGGAACATCTGACAAGGATGTTAGTTGTTACAGCAACATGACGGTGTCAAGCAATTACACAAAACAACCTTCCGTAAGCCATCCATAGCCGACACCAAGCAAATTTGCATATGCTCATGGCTATATTTACAGTTTCGACAACAAAAGCCAATACTTAATTCTTAGGGGTTTCATCACAGTAGAAGTAATGGTAGCCTACTAATGGAAGGTACGACACTAAAAATAAAAACAAAGCCTATGAGAAAAAAGAAACTAAAAGGTGAAACTATTTTAATATGACTAATAGCAGCCTCAACCAGAAAGGGAAAAAAAGAAGACGTTCTCAGAATACTAAAATGAAACATTATCGTGTACAATTAAAAATGAAGGTAGACTTTTCTCTAAAAAGGAAACAACATCCGGTGATATACCTCAGCTCCAAGCAAACGCATCCTGAAGACGTTCAAAGCTTGCCTCTCCATGTCCTGGGCACCCATATAGATGATACACTCCAAACCAAACCGAGCACAAACGGTAGCAGTGGCAACACCATGTTGACCAGCTCCAGTTTCTGCAATAATTCGTTTTTTACCCAGCCGCTTGGCAAGCAAAACTTGGCCAACAGCATTGTTAATTTTGTGTGCTCCGGTATGATTTAGATCTTCCCGCTTCAAATAAATAAGAGGTCCTTCACCATTCGGCCGCTTGTAGTGCTCGGTAAGCCTTTCAGCGAAATAGAGGGGTGTTTCCCTACCCACATAGTCCCTCAGAATCCCAGATAACTCTTTCTGCAAAGAGCAAAATGCTTCGTCATAACCCCGTTTCAGGGAGCATAACTTACAAAAGCATAAATTTACAAGCAATAAAGACAATTAAATACTATGAAGTCAAACCCCTCAAATTCATCAACTGCGTCAAAACCTTGACCTAGCAGGAAACAGATACTTGCTCAAACCATATCCCTAAGGTAAAAGTACATACTTCTATTTTAAAAAGAGAAAAGAAAGGAACTTTGCTGTTAAGCCATGAGCTTTAACACCTAAAGGTATCACCAGAAGTAGATAATCATGGCGGGTGTTTCCTTTGTTTCAAGAACTTATAAAGAAGCTAATGTTTTGCAACTTCCTTGGATGATTTAAATGTATTCATATTTTCCCTAAACAAGTAAATGGAAAAGTTTCACCATTTCTTTAAGTATTGCGGAAATGCAAATGAAATCTACCTCTCAAAAGCTGGATTTCAACACGCATTAATCACCAGCGAAAAAAAAAATAAAAAAAAAATCGAACCCATAACAATAAGGTACCAAATACTACAAAAGGAATGAATTAAAAAAAAAAAAACCTGAAATTCTTCATCAAGGGAGAGGGATTTGAAGGCGTCCTCGAGCTCAGAAAGGGCATACATTAAGGTCTCGGGAACATATTTACCGCCAAACTTACCAAACCGGCCAAACGAGTCAGGACGGAGATGAAGGATGGATTCTGGCTGGAACTCCTCGGTTGACGTCATGGGTTGTTTGGTAAGGGTACAAAAAACAGGAGGGCCGGTCTTAGAATGTGAAGATGAATTCAATTTGATAGCCGGTGGCGATTGGAAACAAGCGGCGGAGGAAGGGCGGCGGAACGGGTTGGGAAGAGATGGGGCGGGGGTGGTGGTGGTCTTTGGGGCGACGGAAGCGGTGGAGAAAGAAGCAGCCATTGTTATTAAAAAATAGACCGGACGTGGGTTGCTCTGGGTCCGGTGTTTCGATACGTTTTATTTGTATGGGAAAATGGTGGCTATTAGATTTGTCCACATGATGTGATCTGGAAATTGGATTTGATATTGTAGTCTGTAGACCATCTTTTTTTGGGGGGTTTTTGGTTTCTGGTTGTTTGCGTGTGTGCGTGTATTATAAACTATTAATGACCCAAATAAGAGGAATCCACTTGCCAGGCTTTTTTATTACTCCCTCTGTCTCATAATTATTGTCCATTTTGCTCAAAAAATTTTGTTTCATAATTATTGTTCAATTTGACTTTTTATGGATTAAGTTACATATTTGTCTTTAGTAAAAACATTATCCATAAAATCTTAGTGGTTAAATAATTATTTATATAGTGGTATATCCGGTTGTTGAAGGTAAAATATAGTTAAGTTTGACCAAAAATAAAATCTTTTATTTTAGTAAAACTGGACAATAATTATGGGACGGAGGAAGTATTATTATTCTTTTTAATATCCGTTGTTATATCAAAAATCAATACTTAAAGTGTTACAAAATACGTTAAATTATGTAAGTCATGGCCATCTTATGCCAATTTTGCAATACCTAAGTTATTAGTTATGCCAATTTTTTATTTCCTAATCAATGATGTTTGCTCGTTACTGTTTGCTTAAGAAATTAGATGTTTTCACTTCAACAAATTTGTTTTTTTTTTTTTTTTTGAAACGGCTTAAAGTACATGAAATCACGAAAGAAATGAGAAAGCGAAAGAGTCCTAAATGACAAGTTTGACAAGTTATATCAATGAACAAATAGAAAAGGTCACAAAATTTGGGTCATCACAAAAATAGCAGCATTTGGTTGAATCAGTTAAAAGTTAAAACTTTTTTTTTTTTTTTGAAAAATTGTAAAAGTTGGATTAAATACTGACAACACAGTGTCTTCACTTTATAACTATTGATTTTTTTTTGGTACAATAGAAGAGGCGAAATGCCTGGATAACTCAAACAATTACATTATGTGTATCTAAGACACCGATGATATCGTGCTCTAACCACAGTTTCATGCCAAGTGATAAATCTATTAATCGTTGATATCTTCCTGGACTCTCTACTGCTAAAAATACCAAATAATCTACCGCAAAATTTGATTTCCGAAAAAAATAATTTATCTTCACGAACCCATGCTCTCCTAAGAGTTCCTATTGATTGATTGTACACTGTCCCATGTACAAGGTAAATTGATGATTGTAACTTTTTTTCAATAATCATTAAAAACGATGTTAAACATATTTATCGATTGAATATCTAATAATTTTGTGATAATAGATAGACAAATATATATGTAAAATATAAGAAATAAGCTTCAAAAACACCTTTTGCCCCTTTCACGGGACAATATTTTTCTCCATATGAAATGTTTAAGGTTTTGAAAGCCACCATTGAAACTTATGAGTTTCACTAATCATATTGTTATCCATATCAAATATCAATATGAATATATTTCCTCGGTCCAAAAAAATCATTTTGCAACGAAGAGGGTAAAAGGAGTTTGGTAACTTTTGCAACTAGGTGGTTAAATTTTATAACACCGTTCCACGATGACTTTTATAATTTTATAATAAACATGCATATCTTATTGTTTTATCATAAAAAACTCATGATGTTTTGTACATCTTACTATATTAAAAACAAAAACCACACTTAAAAAAGAGCACCATCATTTGCCATGTGGCATTTCCACATCATAGTTTTAAAATAAATTTTTATTTACACATCAGTTTCCTAGACTTAAAAGGGAAATTTAGTCCAAATCCACAACCACCTCCTATTTTCGTCAAAAAAAAAACCACGGCTTCATAAAAAACCCAAATCTTCATTCTCATCTCCACGACAATCGACTTCCTAATCAATCCGTTCTCCACAAAAAAAAAAAAAAATTTCTCATCAACCATCAATTGAGAATGTGTGGTGAAATATACTCCTTTCCTATTAGCATGTTCAATCTTTTCATTAGTGATGATCAACTACATTCTAATCGGATAAAATTTTCACTTCAAAAACTGTTCACTTTACCTCTCTATATAAACACAAAGGAAAAAAAAATTTCTCATTGATCTTGCTTCGGCCGTTGTGGTGGTGCCATTAGAGATATTAAAATTTAAATGTTTTTATATCCACGGATCATTTGTTCGGCTTTTATTATTTTTTTGTTTTTTCTGTTCAAGAATAGTGTTATTACTATTATAATACGTCTACCCGTTACAGTTACCGTAGCCGTTGCCAGGTAATATGATGTGATTTCTTATATGGTTAGTTAGCCTAAAATTTTTGTATGATTTTAGTTTTGTTTGGATTGAATTGATCAATTAGGTTTTTGTTACAAAGTGTGGGTTTGTTTTAAATTTTTTATTTTTAATGTTTCATTCAATTAGAATGATTTTCTTTTTTTAATTATGGAGTCTCAGTTTTTTTTTCGTATATGGTCAGTTATGAACTTTGTTTTTTCTTTGTTTAATTGCTTTTGATTTTGTTTCATACTCCCGGTTGACCAATTATTATTATTATTTTTTGCAAATGAAGCGCGTCTTTTTTTCTCTTTTTTTTTTGTGTTCGGGCTTTCAAGAATATACTTTTTTGGATTTGGTTTTTGGATTTTTTTGAGTTATGCATCATATAAATAGTTCAGATCGATTCTTATAACTAATTTATGGGAAAGTCTTTTATGAATTTGAGGTGGAGAGGGAAGGAATGATGTTTCTACGTTTATTTGTGGTTTTGTACATCATTTTTACCTAGAGGGAAAAAAAATAATTTCTCAATTTTTAATGGGCTCCTTTACATACTTTTTTTTTTATTTATTTGCCATGGTGGGGTGAGTTTTTTTTTTGGTATAACTTGAAACCTATGCAAATTTACATTAATTTTCATTCTCATATTTGTGATCAACCAGTTTCAACAGTTAACCAGTTTCAAAATCATATTTTTGATATTTTACTACCTATAAACCTTTGGAAGAAACAGTTCCAACAATTAAACGTATACCCTTCAGAGCAAGCTTACTACAAAAATATTAAAAATTTCTAAAACTAAGTATTGATTTGGCAAGACAAACGAAGAACATCAATAAATCATTTTACTAATATTTAAACTTATTAGGATACTTTTATATTTTGTCTAACATTTACTTTAAGACATATACTTGATCAAGTTTATTTATATTTAATAAGTAACACTTCTAAAACATTTCTAAAATCTTCAAACATTTTTAAAACGTACCGGGCCAAATATAATTTTTTTTTGTCAAATACAAACATTTCTATGATCACATTTATAAAAAATTTCTAAATTCTTCAAACATTTCTAAAATATATCGGGCCAAATACAAAATATTTTTTTTTCAAATACAAACATTTCTAAAATCTACCGATATATTGGGCCAGGGTCGCACATTGCTCGACCAGACATCACTAGTAATAATGTATATGTGTTTACAAACAATGGATTGTATTTTGGGGTTCTTTTGGATGAATTTTAAATAATTTTTTTGGGTCCTAAATTTATTAGGATATCTACCAAAAGAAAAGATTTATCATAAGTAGTTGTTATGTTTAATCTTTTTCTTATTTATTAAAATGTCGAAATTGCTGTTAACATACAAAGCCTTGTTTTGGTCCAAAATAGGCCTGTAAGTTCAATTCCCAAAGTAATGAAAACTATTGAGGCCTAGGCCATAAAAATTAACCGCCACAGGCCCGCAATAATATTTCAGATGAAATTTTCGATTGCGATTCTAGTTCGCTGGTTTATCGTCTTCTTCAGTTTGCTCTGCAGAGAACCCTAAAGCTTCATCAACAAACTGTAAGTTCTAACTACTACGTCGTGTTTGCCCTCAGGATATAATCCATTATTTGATTTTTTCTTTGATTAGACTACGTTAATGCTGCTAGGGTTTGTGTTGTTTTTGAGCTCGGTTTTGTTTGGAACGAATAAAAATTGAAACTTTAATGTGCCATTTTTCTTTATGCTTCCTCGGTATTCCTTTTATATGCCATTCCAGTTCCACATTACTAGCTTTTTCTTTTCTTTTGTTTTTGGGGGGGGTTTTCAGATAGTATTTACTCGGTGCTTTGTTTTTTTTTGGTGTTCCTTGCTGCGGACAATGCTATTGAGAACTGCTGAAGCGTTTTCTTTATGAATCGTCTGAATTGATTTTTTTTTTTTTTTGTTCTTTCAAACAGAAAACGGAATTGGCACTAGTATTTAGTGTCTAAAATTTATAGCTTTTGTGCCGTCGTTTTAGTCAATTTGCTGTTTAGCTGCTTTGATGGTAGTAATTGACAGTTGACATGATTAAAGAATGGTAAATACTAAATAGGTGCTTGCGAGTTGACGAAGCCAGTGTTCTGCTTGCTTACTCTTTTTTGTTGATCAGACCACTGCATGGTTTTAGCCGAAAGCTTAAATGGGTCGTAAGGATTTAGAATCTCCTCCTCGAGGTCGTGGGTCACCTCGTAGAAGGAGTTCTCCACGAAGAGAAAAGTCACCAACTCGCCACAGGAGTTCCCGAACTACAAACACATCAGCAACTGAGAAGACATCAGCTCGCAACAGATCTCCAAAACGTGATAGCTCTAGGTCAAGATCGCCTGAACCTCGCTTGCCTTCGAGAGAAAAAGGTTCCAGCCGTAAGAAGTCTCCGCAGATGAGTAACAAGTCTCCAAAACGAGCTAGGTCAAGGTCGCCAGATGCTCGTTCACCTGCCCGAGAGAGACTTCCTAGCCGTAAGAAGTCCCCACAAAGAAGTACCAGGTCTCCTAAACGTGCTAGCTCTAGGTCAAGATCGCCGGAACCTCGCTTGCCTGGGAGAGAAAAAGTTTCAAGCCATAAGAAGTCTCCGCAGATGAGTAACAAGTCTCCAAAACGAGCTAGGTCAAGGTCACCAGATGCTCGTTCACCTGCCCGAGAAAGACTTCCTAGCCGTAAGAAGTCCCCACAAAGAAGTACCAGGTCTCCAAAACGAGCTAGGTCAAGGTCGCCTGGAGCTCCTTTACCTTCTACAGAGAAACCTTCCATTCGAAAGATGTCCCCTCAAAGGAGAAGATCAGTATCTCCTCCTTCTCCAGTCAGAGAAAGATCCTCAAACCACATTCCATCACCAAAGCGAGATAATTCCAGGTCGCCTCAAAATGGTTCACCTTCACCTAGGACAAAGAGGTTGAGGAGAGCTCAAGCTGAAAGAGAGGCTGAAAAGGCAAGTGAGAGGGACCATGAGAAAAATCATAGCAGGCGAGGTGATAAGGCTTCTCATAGGGAAATGGGCTCACAGAAAGAAGTGTTTGATGATAGAAGAGACCGACGGTCTAGGAGAGATGGAGTTGATAATGGTTCCTCCAGATCAAGACATGATCGCTCGCCCTCTCCAGATCACCATAGGAGTCGGAATAGATCCAGATCTCCTCCTTCAGCTGAGAGAAGATCACGCGATGAGGTGTCTGGTGATATCCAATCCCTTTTAGCTTTCCATTTCTTGTAGTCATTGGTACTTTTCCCTGTCAAGATTTCTATCGTTACTTTAGCCTGTCTAATTCAATAAACTGAGGGTAACTGGAGTTAATTTTATTTATTTATTTATTTTTTTGGGGGGTTGAGGAAGATGATTTTGCAACTTGAAAATTTGTTAGTTTGTACAAATTGGTTTTTGTTATTTTTGGATGGCCCATGTTCTCCGTTGTATCTATAGGACTAATTATGTACTTCTTCTTTCAGGTGACAAACTCAAGGGCTTCTAATCATCAGTAAGTGCCTAACTGAACTTTGATGTTTTATCTGGTCTGTACCACATTCGTTTGTACTTGCAAAGCATATAATTTCGCTCGTTTATTAGATAAATAATTTGTCTATAATAAATCTCAGAGTAAGGATTTGATCGAGTTTATCCGATTAAGCCCCGTCTCCCATGTCTTATTTTGGGCTTGGACTCTGTATGAAGTAATAATGGTGCCTCTGCAATCTGCATCATCAAACTTGATTTCGTTCACTTTTTCGTCACAAGCGTTAGTTTTTTCAGTTGTTTGCGCTGCCTTTGTATAATGATTCTGCATTTCAATGGTTTTTGTGGTCCTAATATTTGCGATGACTGGGTGAATTGAGCAGGAATGGAGATGATGATTCAGTAGCGAAAATGAAGGCTGCTGAAGAGGCTTTAGAATCAAAAGAAAAGGTAGATATAGTTACGTTCTCTGGATTGGCTTGTTTCCATGTTACTTCTTTGCCTGATGTTCGTCAAGCTTTAGGCGAAATTTCCCTTTTCCTTCTATTTTTCTATGACATGTAAAGGAACTGGAGATTATCTCATGTCAAGGGCCCTAACCTTTATGCACTATTATGTGAAACCAAATCTATTTTTGAACTTTGTGATGCCTACTTCTAGAGCTGCCTACTAAACACGCGAGCATTTTGCTTTGGCAGCAAAAACCAACGTTTGAGCTGTCTGGGAAGCTTGCTGCAGAGACTAACCGTGTCAAAGGTGATTATTCAATTACCTTTTCTTTTACTTGTGAAAGTTAGATACTTCTTTCAACTTCTTCTGGGTTTTCTTATGTGCATACTTTTCAAGGAACAAAAAAAGTGGTTTTTTTTTGTTGCATGTTGTTTACCCTTTAATTTTTCCCGTTATACTACTGTTTTATAGAGATACCTGACATTCAGGAATAGTGCTTGTTATAATCTTTAGGGTTTTTTGAATATCTTTTGCCTTTTACTTATTGTGTTCTGCTTCATGTTAGGTGTAACGCTGTTGTTCAACGAACCACCAGATGCAAAAAAGCCTAATATAAGATGGCGGCTGTATGTGTTCAAGGGTGGCGAAGCGTTGAATGGTAATTTTCATCGTCAATATTTTCACTGTGTCAATGAAAGCAAAGCCTTTTAACACTATGTAGAGTCAGCTAAATTTCATCGTATATGTTTATTGTTCTCCTTCAGAACTTTATTCTTGGTGTATTTGATGTTGTTGAAGCTAAGTAAAAGTTGGTGATATGAACTTGACTGTATACTTTATGTTCTTTTTACATTTTACGAGCACTCTTTGCAAGCCTTATTAGGACTGTAATGCTCGCTAAACATGCTTAAGAAGTTCAGTCTGAGCTTTTAGTGCATAGCCATAGCCAGATTAGCAAGAAGTCCACACAGTATGCATTGTTCTCATAATTGACATTGTTACCCAATATGACACCGTCAAATTAAACAGCAAACTTTTTTCCATTTGTTTATAATTCCCCCTTTTACCCTTACAATGTTATGGTGAACTTTGATATGGTATGCTCTGTGTAAAAGCTTATATGTGGTTGCCGTCTAGAGCTTTCTTTCCTCTTTGGACTTCTGTTGTTAAGGAAATTGTGTTTTTTCCTTTTCATTTTTCTTGCAGAACCCCTTTATGTACACCGTGAAAGCTGTTATCTTTTTGGGAGGGAAAGAAGGGTTGCTGACATACCTACAGACCATCCATCTTGCAGCAAACAGCATGCCGTTCTTCAATATAGGTAAATACTAAACCAGGCCTGTTCTTGCTGCTAGGCTGGTATTGTCTTGCATGTACATTTATTCCGTTCTTTTTAACTTGACTATCCTTTTCTGTGTTTCTTTCGGGTGATGCAGGCAAGTTGAAAAGGAAAATTCTGATGGTACTTTATCTAAGACAGTGAGGTACACTAATTGATTTTATTTATTTATTTTTTTGTTTTTTCTTTTTTCCTCGTACTTGAGCTAGCTAAGTTTTTCTTCTAGCTGTATCTAATGTTGTACTCTGCATATGTAGGCCTTACATTATGGATCTTGGGAGCACCAATGGAACCTTCATAAATGTATGCATTGCTATTTAGGCTGTTTGCCTCTGAAGATTTTGTCTCTCAATCAAGCATAGATATAACTGAACTTCTTGTTTTTCTTTTGGGTCAAATTATGCTTAACACTGTTCTTCGCTGAATTGCAGGACGATCGGATTGAACCTCAGAGATATTATGAGCTCATGGAGAAAGACACATTGAAATTTGGTAACAGCAGGTATGTGCTGCATGAAATTGTGCCTTTCTATTTCCCTGAATGCTAGAAGCTGTCCGTAATTTTGATTTGTCGGCTTATTCATTATGATTTTCTTTTATTTTTCCTGCTTGTATATTTTGTGATAGAGTACTTGTTTAACGTGTTCTTCTAAGCATACACTTACTTGTTCCGATATCCATTCATTGGTAAATCATAATATAGACACTAATTTGTTTGCAAAATGGAGTTATCTTCCATGATCCACAGAGGTCAATTTGACTTGCCATTGTAGTGTCAGTTTTAGATCAGTATTTCTGTCACTTTAGGTTTCCCTTCTTGTTGGCTAGTGTAGGAAAACCTGCTGAGAAGATTCACAAATTGGAACTTAAAACAATAAAAGAGTCTAAATCTTTGACAATTGTTCGAGGTTTGGGATGTTAACTTGGAAGATCACTGACATTGGGGCCCAAAATCTGCTTTAAATGGGGGCTAAATATGACCTTTACACCTGGGAGAGAGATTATCCATTGATGGACTTCTGAACTATGAAACACAAATGTTCTTCAATTTGAACCTCAAATTTCGCTTGTAGAGAAGTTGAATTTGCTATTGAGAGATATCTAATCATGTGGCTTAGATACAATGGACATTGTCCCTTTTCTTTTCATTCTAATTTAAGGTGGATGATGTCCAAACACTCTCTATCTACTTGTTTCCTTGATAGGCTTCCTGGTCTTTAACAAAACTGATGTGGGTTGTGCATGTGTCTTATTTTGAAAGGATTTTCCCCATCTCCATTTTTCTAAAGATTTTGCCTTGATTTTTTTTTCTGGCAGCCGAGAATATGTACTGCTGCACGAGAATTCAGCTGGATGATGGCTCTTTCATCGGCTTACTTGGCGTTGCCTGTGTTAGATGATAGGGGGATGATACATTTAGACTTTTGGCACATATAATATATGTTATGGTAGCAAAATTGCGGACAATCATGAAGGAAAACCTTTCGAGAGTATCCCCTCACTTCGGAACTGCATGATTGCCCCTTGAATCTTGGTCTCCCGATTGGAAGAATTTTGGTTTTTGGTTTCTTATTTCGCAACAAAGTTTTTAAACATTAGCGAGGAATTATTTATTATTATTATTATTGTTATTGTTGTCGTTTCTTCTCACCTGTATACAAAATCGTTCCACAATATGATATATGTATATATATATATATATTAATTTTTAGCATCCCCATCGAGGGAGAAGGTCCTCAAACCTAAGAAATTAACGAGACATTTCGTTTGAATACCTGATTCTGTTGCAGTAAATCATGTAAGAATTTGAACGAAGTTTATAAAATTCGAAACCAAGTTTGGAGAATTTCCATTCATTTATCAATTTAGTCAAAATTTCGAGGCTGTATCCAGTATACCCGGGGGCACCGTGCCCCCCTCCTATTTTTTGCACGAGTAGTCCTTATTGTACCTTTTTATCAATCTTTCAATATTTTGCAATTTTAGTCCCTGTGAGTTTTTTTTTCTCTCTTCCAAAAAAAACATCCCTAATCTTTAAACGAGCAAATCTCCCAATCCGTGAAGAATTTGTGAACAAATTATATATGAAATTTATAGTACTCGTCGAAATCTATCCAACAAAATCCATAGTGAATATTTTTCGGCTTAAAATCACTTAATTCGATGGACAGAATAGGGGTGGATATCCAGTTTTACAAGATGGATAACCAACTTGTTCTAAATTGGTTATCCATCGTGTTCATGCTGATTATTCAATCGGTTTGAACTGGTTATACATTTTGTTTCTACTGCTTATCCATTTGGTTATCCAACTTCTTAATTCAAAATAAGTTGGTTATCCATTTTGTTCATATTGATTATCCAATACGCTAATACTGGTTATCCAATGGATTTACATGCTTATCCAAGTTATTTGTGCTGGTTATCCACTGTGTTCATGTTGATTATCCAACTTATTTGTACTGGATATCCATTCATTTGGTTTGTATGCATATCCAACTCTAATCTTTCAACGAGCATATCTCCCAATCCGTGAAGAATTTGTGAACAAATTATATATGAAATTTATAGTACTCGTCAAGATCTACCCAATGAAATCCACAGTGAACATTTTTTCGGGCTTAAAAATGACTTAATTCTGACGGGCAGAATAGAATAGAGGTGGATATCCATCTTTTTTTTTTTTTTGAAGAGTGAATGTCAAACATATGATTGGATAACAAGTACGAACATAATGGATAATCAGTCCAAACCGATTGGATAACCATTTTTCAAAGAAAAATAAAAAACACATTTCTTCATTTTCTGCCCATAAAATTTAAATACATTTAAAGTTCAAAAAAAATATTCAACATGGATCTTATCGGATAGATCTCGTCGAGTACAATAAATTTCATATATAATTCGTGTTATAATTCTTTACGGATCAAAAGATACAAGGAAAAGAATAATATGAATGTAAAATAAGTTGGTTATCCATCATTTTAAACTGGTTATCCACTGTGTTCATGTTGGTTATCCAACTTATTTGTACTGGATATCCATCCATTTGGTTTGTATGCATATCCAACTCTAATCTTTCAACGAGCATATCTCCCAATCCGTGAAGAATTTGTGAACGAATTATATATGAAATTGATTGTACTCGTCGAGATCTATCCAACGAAATCCACAGTGAACATTTTTTCGGGCTTAAAAATGACTTAATTTCTGACGGGCAGAATAGAATAGATGTGGTTATCCATCATCTTTTTTTTTTTGAAGAGTGAATGTCAAACATATGATTGGATAACAAGTACGAACATAATGGATAATCACTCCAAACCGATTGGATAACCATTTTTCAAAGAAAAACGAAAAACGCATTTCTTCATTTTTGCCCGTAAAATTTAAATGCATTTAAAGTTCAAAAAAAAATATTCAACATGGATCTTATCGGATAGATCTCGTCGAGCACTATAAATTTCATATATAATTCGTGTTATAATTCTTTACGAATCATTAGATACAAGGAACACAACAATATGAATGTAAAATAAGTTGGTTATCCATCTTGATTATTTATGTTAATACTGTTTATCCAACTAATTAGTATTATTTATCCAACCTGTTTTTTTTATTTTTTTAAAAAATAATAAACTAAGTTGGTTATCCAACTCGTTTGTATTGGTTATCCAATCATTGGTTTGTATTGGATTATCCAATGCGCTAATGCTGGTTATCCAATGGATTTACATGGTTATCCAAATTATTTGAACTAGTTATCCACTTTGTTCATACTGGTTATCCAACTCGTGCATACTGGTTATCCAACTTACCGGATATCCAACTTAATTCTGCCCAAAGAAATTTAGTCATTTTTAAACTCAAAAAAAATATTCGAAATGGATCTTGTTGAATAGATCTCGACGAGTACTATAATTTTCATGTATAATTCGTTCACAAATTCTTCACGGATTGGGAGATATGCTCGTTGAAAGATTAGAGCTGTTTTTTTTGAAGAAAAGGAAAAAAGTCACAGGGACTAAAATTGCAAAATATTGAAAGATTGATAAAAAGGTACAATAAGGACTACTCGTGCAAAAAATAGGAGGGGGGCACGGTGCCCCCGGGTATACTGGATAATTTGCCAAAATTTCATTCGATGGTATTTTTTTTTTTTAGATCTGAAAATTTGGAAGCAGTACATTTTTAGCATTGTTCCATTTGTTTACTGTGAAGGACAATTTCAAACTCACTTAAACGTAAGGTCAATCACTTAAAATTCAAAAGATACTGGCTGCTGCATTACTCTGCATAATTCGTACTAGTATACTGCAGTATGGAGATTGTAGAGGATAATAAAAGAACTCCGCAATGCTGGGCATTTTGCCATTTTGTCCGAAGTTTGGGGAAAAGACGCATCTTGTCAGACACGAGCATACAAAACATTTTTTCCATTAGAATTTAAATTTATCAGATATTCGTTATTATTAGCAATTCAACTCGACAGTCGATATATATATATATATATACATATATATATATACATATATATATATATATATTCCCGCATCCGACGTATGCATCAATATATGGTCATTTTCCTACGAAATTTTGGAGGAATATTCTTGATTATTAAAGAAATTAAATTACAATTATGAAGGTTTTATCTAATACTACATGGTGTCGTGCAAAAAAAAAAAACCAAAAAAAAAATGAAAAGTGCAGATTCCGTGCTTTTGCCAAAGAAATGGCAAATAATAATAATAATAATAATAATAATAATATAATAATAATAATAATAATAATAATAAATTTCATTTGTGTTCTTTCGGTTTTTGTCTCATATTTTGCCCAAAATATACATATTTCCATTCGGATTTTGGAGTACAACGTTAATTAGGACCAAAACGAAACAACTTTTAACAAGGGTTAGTATTATATATTCATGCACAGATGTCAAACTCGTTTATTTCTTTTATTACTTGACCCGAATATTTGATAATAAACATGAAGCAGTGATTTGCGTATGATTTTCTTAAGAATCAGGGGACTTACGTATCGAATTATTTAGACGTACGTATAACATATATTAGCAGTAGATAAATAGTGATTAATTCAACTAATTAGTTACAAATGATGAAAGATTTTGACATACTAAGCAGTAGACAGTATTTTTCTTCTAGTATCAATTAGGCTAATTGTTAATTTCATCACTAAATTATATAATCTGAAGGATAAAATTTTCGCCGCGGCCAAGGTTTCACGTATATATGGCCATATTTCGACGAAATTCGGATAATATCTGGATGATTAAACTAAGGTTGTATCCTGATTCATGCACACACACACACACACACACACAAAAACCCAGATTCATTCCATGCTTTTGCCAAAAGGGAAATCGTAAGAAAATCAAGAAAAAACGTAAATCCCATTTGTGTTTCTTTCGGGTTTTGTCCGATATTTTGCCCAAAAAGCACATCTTTTCATCCGGAAACATTTTGACCAAAACGAAACAACTTAAAACGTACAGATACTCAAAAATTTGGTACGCGACGTCTGCAGAATTTCACACCCCTTCGTACTTATAAATATTGACACCATTCTCATCCGATTTCTGCACCCCTCACTCTTTCATTCCTACCATCTTCCATTTTGTCAACTTAGAGAAAAGAAAAAAAAAAAAATTTTACTTAGCCAATCATGGGGATTTGCACAGATAGGCTATCTGCTTTGCCAGACGAGTTGTTGTGTGACATCAAATCCCGCTTGCCATTCAAAGAAGCTGTCTCAACCGCCTTACTCTCGAAAAGGTGGCGGTTCCTCCCGCTTGACTTGTTGAATTTAGTGTTCAACGAGACCGATTTCGCGCCGGCCTCCGGGCCAAGCGCCTCTTCGAAGAAACAAAGGCGAGCTTTTCTCAAGTTCGTGTTGTGTTGGATCAAAAGAAGTTCCAAGGACGACGAGGAGGAGGCAAAGAACAAGCACAATTCCTCGAGTAAAGAACGCAAGCTCTCGCTAACGTTCCCCCGTCCCGAGGAACACTTCACATTGGTGAAGTGCGTCCTGGAACGGGTCATCAACAAGAAGCTGGATGTGGTAGACATCGATTTCTCCAACCCGAGTTGGGACGAGGACGACTTCGAGAATTGTCGTCCCGACACACTGATGCACATCCCGCGCATCCGCGGTGCACCTTTCAAGGACGTCCAGTACTTGAAACTGTCCTCGTGCGACGTTCCAGTCATTTCAATGCATTCCGACAGCGGATTCCTCCGCCTGAAATCCGTCACCCTGGAGTGGCTCACTCTCGAGATGGGTTCCGAAATACTAACCGACTTTCTAGGGATGTGCCCGGTTTTGGAGAGCCTGTTCCTGAGGAGGTGCACCTTAGAGGAGTACGTTAAGATTGAGAGTGAAAGCTTGAAGAGTTTGATTATGGAGAAATGTTGTTCGGATGACAATGAGACTTCGCCGGTTGTGGACATTGACACTCCGGAATTGAATGTTTTGAAGTACCATTCAGGAGTTCTGGTGATTTTCTCTTTCAAAAGTAGCAGGATCAATCCGGATTTGGAGGCAAGTCTGGATTTTGGACTTCAGAAGCAATATGATTTTGCGCAAGTCTATGCTCACAAGCTTTGGTTGGGCCTCAATGAATTGAATGTTGTTAAGACTTTGACAGTCTGCACTTACGTCCTCCAGGTATATAATTTATCGAAGCATTTTATTCTTTAATTTTTCTTCAATTTATTAGTTATATAATCGACAATAAATATTTTGTCGCGCTTGACTAAAAAAAATTATAAATGATAATAATGACGAATAATATTCCCTTTTTTTTTGTGGCTAGGCAATTTCTCATGGAGAAGAGGAGCCAATGGAGTTAAATTTGACGTACCCTCTCAAACTCAATCACCTGATTTTGAAGGCATCTCTTATTGAGGAGGAACTTTATGGAATTACTTTCTTCCTGCAAAACTGCCCAGATCTGGAGGTTCTTACCATTGATCTAAATTCCATCACTCCCAATGTTGTTTTTCCAGTAAGTTATTATCACCCTTTCCTCTCCCTTTTTTTTTTTTTTTCTTTCCTTGGATATAATTAACTATCATATCATACCCATTATTATTACTTCGTATCCTCTATGTTTTTATTCATTTTCTTTTCAATATTGTCAGGATTATGAACCTCCATTTGAGTATGAGGATCACCCGTTTGTCATAAAGAACCCTACAAAATTTGACACGATGGAGTATTCATGTGTGACGAACAAATTGAAACGAGTTGTGGTTGAAGGGTTCAAAGGCGAAGGAAATGAACTTCATGCCCTCAACTACTTCCTGAAATATGGTAAGGTTTTGGAGGCGGTGCAAATAAACATCTCCACCGAAAGTGGTGAAGATGGTACGAGCCTGGAGGAAATTTACATGAGAAATGCTGAGAGCTTGTTCAACTCTGAAAAGGGCTGCCCCTATGTTCAGATTTTGATCTCATCATCATCTTCCCCTGTTGCTGCCTAGATGTTTACTTTATTTGTTTTTGGAGGATCAAAGTTTGATCTGGTTTATTAGGGTCTCGAATTCATGAAGACTGCTTGGATTATTTTAAATTTATTTTATTTTATTTTGAGTATTTTACCTTTTGTTTGATTTGTACTAGAATAAATTCGAAGTTATGTAACTATACTACAAAACTGTAGTATTCTCGAAGTTGGAATATTTTTTCTTTTTTTATTTTTCTCTTACTCTAGTTGACATGGTTCTATAATTAATTAATACAGTATATATTATATTGTTTATGTTATGGAAATTTTAATAATTAATTAGAAAAGGGAGGAAAAAACATTTTTAATAACTCAATAAATGGGGGTGTATTACTATGAAAATGGGAATAAATTCCCCCCCCCCCTTCAAAAAAAAAAGCTGGAATAACTATAGAACAATTTTCTTAAAAGAAAATGTAGTATAATTAATTTATTTTTAAATACATTTAAATTTAACTCGTAAAAAATAAGAAAAACACAAGTACATTTGAGTTCCTTTTATTTGTTTTACTACTTGACCCGAAGATTTGATAATAAACTTTAAATAGTGATGTCTGTATTATTTTCTTGAGGATCAGGAGACTTATGTATCGAATTATTTACACGTATACCATATAATAGCAGCAGTCCAGTAGGTAAATAGTGATTCAACTTAGTTACAAATGATAAAAGATTTTGGCGTGCTAAGAGCAGTAGGTAGTATTTTTGTTCTTGTACTATCAATTAGGCTAATCGTTAATTCCATCACTAAATTCTAAAATCAAAAGGATTAATTTTCCCGCGGCCGACTTTTCACTGTATATATGGCCATATTTCGACGAAATTCGGATAAAAATCTAGATGATTAAACTAAGGTTCTATCTAATACGTGGTGTCGTGCACAAAAATAAAAAAGTCCACATTCATTCCCATGCTTTCGCCAAAAGGAAAATCGTAAGTCAAATAAGAAATACATAAATCCCATTTGTGTTCTTTTGGATTTTGTCCAATATTTTGCCCAAAAAATACGAAAATCGGAGTATAAAATATGACCCAAGCTAAACAAATTTTTTTTGTCCGGTCAAAATGGCTTTTATATCATAGTTAAAACTAAACTATAACTAACTGAGGGTATGTTACCTACAATTTCATGTTTAAACCACTAGAAGGCGCTAGTGGAGTTAAATCCAATTATGTTAAACCGCACGAATTCACTTATATCAATAATGTCATATAATCGGTTACATTCTCTAAATACATGTTCCAAACTAAACGGTTCACTCCCTAGCAGCTTCTGAATCGCTCCCAGAAGATTGTAGTGCGTCGTGCGCGCACGGGGCCTATTCTTGTCAAGGCTCTTTTGCGCAATGCTCTGATGATCAAATTCTGCTTTCACCTTCTCGATACCTTTATCCCACGCTAGGGAGAACTCATGAAATAAGCCCCAAAGCTCAACTTCCAGTTACGGTGCAGTGTCCTATATATTCATTTCAAAACATAACCACTTTAAACACACAGATTTTCACTCTTTTTTCATTAAATAAATAAATTTGGTACGTGACGCCTGTAAAAATTTTATACACTTTTGTACTTATAAATACTCGCACCATTTTCTTCACCCCTCTCTTTTTCATACTCACAAACACCTGATTTCCAGGTATCTCTTATTGAGGGAGAACTCTTTGGAATTACTTTTATTTCTACGAAACAACCCAAATCTGTAGGTTACCATTGGTGTTTTTTTTTTCAGTAAGTTGTCATCACTCTTTTTTTTCTTTTATTTTTTCCCTTTTTTTCTTGGTTAATAAAATTAATTAATCATCAAATCTTATCTATTAATTCGTGTATTTTTTTTTCTTGTCAATATTGTTAGGATTATGAACCTCCATTTGTTTATGAAGATTATCCGTTTGTGATTAAAAAAAAAAATCCTATTGAATGCAATACGATGGAGTATTTATGTGTAGTACAACAACGGACCCAGAAATATCATTCAGTGGGAGTACAAAAATAATATATGTCAATTAATTAATTTTTGTTCAATTTTATAAATATACATATATATATATATATATATGATTTGCACTTATTTTACGTGCACATGAATTGCACATTACTAATATCAGTTATTTATATTAAGGCACAAATTCAGAATAATTATGATCAAATTGAGAACTATATTTGTTAATATCGATATTCTATTTATTTAAACAATAAACGATACATAATAACATAAAATAAGTGTGAGTAACAAAGTATAACATATCTAAAAATATTCGATTAAGAAATACGCGAACATATTTTTAAAACTTTTAAAAACTATACACTATTTGTAAAATTCCTGAAATTCAATGGTAGCCTCCTTTTAAATCCGCCAGCGCATGTGTAACGAGTAAACTGAAACGAGTTGTGGTTGAAGGGTTCAAATGGAAAGGAAATGAACTTTATACGCTGAAATACTTTCTGAAATATGGTACTGGGAGGCTACTGAACGCCCTAAAAAATATTAAAAAGACTATTTTACCCTTGCATTCATATTTTTTTTTTAAAAAAAAGGGAGGGGGCGACGGAAGACTGCGCCAGCCTTTCACGGCTGGCGCAGGAGAAATGCGCCACCCTTTAAAGGGTGGCGCACAATTTTCTCGGCTCCCAAGTAAGGGAGGCGAGAGAGAATATTACCTCCAAAATGGGGGTGGCGCAAAAATCTGGCGCCACCCCCTTCGGTTTGGCGAGCGTTTTGCTCGCCAAACCGAAATTACTTTTTTTTTTTAATTTTTTCTATATTTTAATTTAATTAATTAATTAATTATTTTATTTATTTATTTATTTAAGTTTATTTTTTATTTATCTATTTGGCAGTCAAAAAATATTAAAAAATTAAATAAATAAATAAAATTATTTTATATTTTTTCCATGCTTTTTAATTTTTCGTTTCAACATATTTTAAATTTTATATTTTTTTCCAACAAAAATATTCCCAGGACGGCTAGATGCACCGATGATGAATAATTAATTTGTTTGGTAGTAAATTCATAAGTTTTAGTTTTTATTAAATGATAATTTTTTGTTTACGTTTAATAAATTTTACATAACTAAATGATAAATTTTTATAAAAATTTACTACATAATTAAGCAACATTCTCTAAATATTTAAGTTAAAATTATTTGTTTAACCACCAAACAAATAAATAAACTTTAATAAATAAATAAATTAAGAACATACATGAATTAAATAAATTAAATAAATACATGAATTAAATAAATTCATTAAACTAGTAATTAAAATAAATAAAAGAAATTAATTAAAAACATTAAAAATAATTAAATTAAAGATAATTAAATAAATAAAATAAAAATTAAAAAATTTAAAAAAAAAGTAATTAAGCTGGGTGGCGCACAAATGGCGCCACCCACCCTTTGGTTGGCGAGCAAAAAGCTTGCCAACAAGCACAAATGTGGCGCCCTTCTGGGCGCCACACCTTCGCCATGCGGCGAAGGTTTTCTCGCCACCCCTTAAAGGGGTGGCTTATTCCTCCCTCGCCGTACATTTTTTTTTTGTAAACTAACTCTATTTTGCAGGGGCGTGTACGTCTTTTTCGGGCGTTCAAATGAAAAAATTAGGGCGCTCAACAGCACGACCCATATGGTAAGGCTTTGGAATCGGTGCACATAAACATCTCGTACCAAAGAGGTGATCAGGTGAAGATGGGAGGGAGGCTTTTTCCCAAAAAAAATTAATTAAAATAAACGTGAACAAATTTAAATTTTTCAGAATATTAGTGGACAGAAATATGTTTCTCAGATTTCCGAAATCCGAGTTCTAATTAAAATTAAAGATTCAGATTTCGTAAATTCGAGCCTATATTTAATAATAAAAGAATAATTAAATAATTTTTGTTGAATAATAGTTTTTAAAAATTCTTAAATGAACAGTGCTGGTCGGATTTTCGGAATCCGAATTTAATTAAAAAATAATAAATTGAGGCGCTAAATATTTGAACTCAAATAAGGAGTCCAGGACCCGAGACTCAGTTTGACCTTGCTAGACCCGAGACTCAGTTTGGTGGATAGTCGCAACCACAACCGGGAGTCAAATTTCTCACCATGGGGGAGTCCCAATCCCAACCTCAACCCCAACCCGAGCCTCAGTTTGGTGGACAGCCGCAACCACAACAGAGTTCAATACTCACGTATCTTAAGAGGGGAGACATGCTCCGGCAGGGCCCAAATAAATACACTCCGGATGCGCACGATAAAGGAAAAGGGAAAAAATGAGCCCTTTGATATATTTTGCACATTTAAAGTAGTTTTTGTATTGATTTTGGTATGAAACTTGATTTGTTTTGTTGTTGATCGAATGCCGTTTATTATTTTGTTGCCATTAAATTTATGTTTTCCAATGTTTCATTGTTGTTGGTGCTGTGAACAGGTTTAGGACTAGTTAAAACCAGTTCAATTTCTTTTTTCAGTTCTGACATACACTCGGATTTACGAAATCCGAACCCAGACTTTTTGTAAAGGATTCGGATTTCATAAATCCGAGTATGTAGCCAATTGAGACTTAGCATTTTGCAAAAAACAGAGGTGATTCGTTTTATTACGGTAATCCGAATCTACATTCATTCGGGTTACCGTGATCCGAGTTTTTCCAAATTTAATTTTTCAACATTTTTTTTTTCTATCCGAAAATTAATATTTTATTTATAAATACGGATTTTAGAAATCCGAGTTTACCCCTAATTAGGATTTCTGAAATTCGGGACATATAAGTTTGTCCACAAAATTTTTAGAAAGTTTATTTTTGTTCAGGTATATATAAGGAAATATATTTAAGGAAAAAATTCGACGGGAGGAGGCAAGAGGAAATTTACATGAGAAATGTTGAGAGCATGTTAAACTTTGAAAAGGGTTGCCCATTTGTTCAGATTCTGATATCACCATCATCTCCAACTGCTGCCTAAATGTCAGACTTAATTTGTTTAATTTGGGGCAAAGTTTGCTGTGGTGTAATTAATCTTATTAGGGTTGAAATGCTGGAAAATGCTTTGCTTCTATTTTTATTTTTAAATAAGTTCTATCGAGTTTGAGCCTTTTGTTTGATTTGTAGTAGAATAAAAGTTGAGGTAATATAGCTAGCCCTGAAGAGAAGTGTAATATATTCTTTTTATGTTAAACAAATTCTAATAATCAACAATTAGAAAAGGGAGAAAAAAAATATTTAAATAACTCAAAAAATGGGGAATTACAATGAAAATGGGAAATAATTTCAACCAAAAAAAAAAGTGGAATTAATAATAGAACTGTTTCCTTGAAAGAAAATTTGATCTGACATTGTCAATTTCTTTCAAAACAGATTCCACATTCGCTGGGGAAAGGTAAATTAAAACCAAAAAAAATTAGATAAAAGAATAAAAACTCCCATCCCTTTCTAAGTTTATGATGGACACATTTTTCCTACGGAAATTTAAAAATATTTGCTTCCCATTGTAATAGCCAACTATACTGCACTAAAATGGTATCATAGCAAAAAGCAATTTTTAGAAGTGACTCATTATTTGGACATCATAATTTTCTTCGTCGACAAATATTAATTGTATCATGTATTACGAATCTATTAATTTTAAAATTAAAAAAAAATATTTGAGAAAAGGGGATTAAGATTTTGGTGAGTCAAAATGTATATCTTCTTCTTCTTCTTCTTCTTTTATAAAGCATAAACAAAATAGTAGATTTGTTGAAAGAGAAAATCAAGGTAATTCCTAAATCTAAAAGATCATGTACCATTTTTTTATGGTGCTCTTTGTTGCACTATTCAATAATTTTATATAAATTTCGTCATTTGGGTTAATATTTGTATCATTCACAAATAATTTCGAAGTTATATATTTTAGAAGTAAGATTTTATCTTTTTTTTTTCTGGTTAGGGCCTATTTATTTTATTTTGATTTTCATAGTTAAAATTTTAAAAAATAGATAAATTTTATTAAAAATAAAACATTGACACTAAAAGAATTAAATAACAATATGAAAATAATATTCATTGAAAATATGTGTTTATGGCATATGTATTAACACAAATCTATATATCCTATTAAAACAATAGTCCAAGAGAAAAAAAAAAAAAAGGGAGGGGGGCCTAAAGTGTCGCGTTCTCATGCATCCGTCTCCTGCCCAACAAAAACTACGTAATTTTGTGAAAAAAATAATAATTTCTACAATTTTTAATTGTGTTAACTTTCTTTGTCCTTAATTATAATCAATCAATTAATATTAATAGAATAAGAAATTAATGATATAAATAAATGATTCTTTTATTATTTTCAAAATTTAAAACATGACAAGTTGAGTTAAAGTTAAAAAACACTTTTACCATTTGTATATTTAATTTAAAAATTTAATGTTGTAAATGGGTTAGGCAACGCCCGGACAAGCACCTAATTCTATTATTTAATTTAAAAATAATTGGATAGAGTAACAGAAAGTGTCGCACAAAATTGGCACATAAGATTCTTACCATTACAATACTGTTGTGTATTTCCTGCCCGACGTAAACAACACCACTATGGTGACGTGAGATAGTAATAGTACGAGTAATTCAGTAAAGAAAATCTGGATATTAAACTACAATTACGACGGCCGCTCATCATTCTCTATACGTATGGCAAAAGAAAAATCAAAATTAAAAATTCAAGATTACTTTGCCTTTCGCGGTTTCGCCCTCCCTCCCCAAAAAACATTCAAAAGAGGGAAAAAAAATCGCAAAAAGAATAATAAAACGCATAAAATTTCATTTGTTTCCTTTCGAAATTTGTCGGGTATTTTCCCAAATTAAGATCTTTTCATTCAGGCAACTGTTTGACCAAAGCGAAACAAACCTTGGGGGGTTTTTTTTTTTTTTTTAGTTTTTTCAGAATTTAATATTAATAACTGTCTCATTCTAGCATACTTTTATATTTTCAATACACTTTTTTTTCTATTTCCAATACAAAAAAATACACACTAAAAAAACGAAATAAACAGACCCTTAATAATACAGACACCATTTCGTAAAAACAATAACAAACGCATAAAATTTCATTTGTTTTCTTTCGGAATTCGTCGGATATTTTCCCAGATTAATACCTTTTCATTCAGGCAACGGTTTGACCGAAACGAAACAAACCTTAAGAATACAGACACCATTTTGCACCGTTATTGCACTTATAAAAATCCTCCTCCTCTCCCCCCATTTTCATACAACTTCTTAACACCTCCCTTTGTACTCTCTTCCTATTCTGTTACTTCCATCTTGTCTTGTCTTAAGAAAGATTTTACCAAAAGAAAAAAAAAAAAAAAAAAATTTTCTTCCTGCATTCAGCCATGGGAGTGAGCAAGGACAGTTTATCTAGTTTGCCGGACGAGTTGTTGTTCGTGATTATATCCCTGTTGCCGTTCAAACAAGCCGTGAGAACCGCCTTTCTTTCCAAAAGGTGGCGGTTCATCCCGCTGATGGGCTTAACAAATTTGGAGTTCAAGGAATCCAATTTTGTGAACCCAAGCAATCAGAGTTTCATCGTTTTGCATACTCAAAGGGAGGCTTTTTTAGATTTCGTTCTGAATTGGATCAGGCGAATTGATCGTCCTCATTATTTGAGTTGCCACAACATCAACTCGGGTCTCACCAAATTCACCTTCACATTTGCTCGTCCCTGGGACCATCTGGTGAAGATCCAACGTTCATCTCTCATCTTTCACACCGCTGGCAAATTCAATTTCGTCGAAATCAGCTTCTCAGATCCTAATTGGGACGAGGATGACTTCGAGAACTACTATCCACCTACCCCTGTTCAATTCCCCTGTATCCGTGGTGGTAAGGCATTCAGAAATGTCCAGTCACTCAGGCTCTCGTCCTGCACGATTCCAAATATCTCCCCGCATTGCGCCGAATTCCCTGAACTGAAATCCGTCTCCTTAGAGTGGATCATCGTGGAAATGGGATTGTTGAGCAAATTGACGAGCAAATCCCCTGTCCTGCAGAATATAACCATGAGGAGGTGCACCATTTATGACCAAATCGAAATCGCAAGTCAGAGCGTGAAGAGTCTAACCATGCAGAAATGTTGTTCCATTGACCCCAGAACTTCACCGGTTTTGATCATTAACACTCCGGAATTGAAATTCTTGAATTATTCCGGAGTTCTGGTCAGTTTTTGTTTCAAAAGTATAAGCCTGGAGTTGGAAGTAAGTTTGGATTTCGGGCTTCAGAAACAGTTCGACGTAGCAGAAAGATATGCCGACACGCTGTGGGGATCGCTCAATGAATTCACCCTTGTTAAGACTTTAACCGTTTGTAGTTACGTCCTTCAGGTAATTTTAATGTTTGCATTTTTCTTCAATTAATTAATCACTTGATTATTATTAATTAATAATTAACCCACAGATAATGCACAACAAATTAATACTTTACTCTCTCCGATTTTGGCTGTACAGGTACTTCCTCACGCAGAGGAGGCAGGGGAATACATGTATTCGGGGGCAATACAACAATACATGCGTGATCTTGTGAGACTCGAACACCTGACCTTAAAAGCATCTCTCGTTGAAGAAGAGTTCTATGGAATTACTTTCTTTTTGAAAAGCTGCCCTAATCTTCAAGTTCTTACCATCCATCTGAATCTCAATACTCCAACTATTGTTTTTCCTGTAAGTTTTTCCTGTTATTTACCTTAATAACAACAACAATGCATAAAAGTTAGTACTATATGTTGTCAAATTGGAGATCATGCATGATGTGACATTTTCTTTTCTTTTGGGGGTAATACTACATTGTTTTTTTTTTTTCAGGATTATGAAGACGAACCTCCATTTGATTACGACGAACACCCGTTTCTGGTAGACAACCCCAACTTGCCAGTGTATTCTTGCTTAGAGTTGAGGCTGAAACAAGTGGTGGTTGAAGGTTTCAAAGGCAGAGAGGGTGAACTTCATGTACTGAAGTACCTTCTCAAATATAGTCGGGTTCTGGAATCCGTACACATCAACATTCCGGGCGAGACAGGTGCAAATGGAAGGATTGGGGAAGAGGATGATTACATTGAAAAGGCGAAGAGCTTGTTCAAATTTGAAAAGGCCAGCCCTGATGTTCAAATTCTGATATCTTCTACTCCGGCTGCCTGAATTTTTGCCATTCATGGAGAAAATATGAACAGCTTTAATCTGTGTATGTTAAAAAAAAATAAAAAAATTTAAGTTTAGATGTGATCGTAGCCTCTAAAACATATGTACTATGCATTGAATTCTCAAAAGGCGCTATATTATATCTTTGCACTGTATTCATTTTTCTGTTTTAGCGCTTCACTGATTTCTTATTTCTCTTTCTTTTTTGACATTTAGTAATAGATCATCATTTTTAAAAAAAAGTTCTTTTAGGGGAAAAAAAAAAACAAAAGAAACAGAAACCTTGATGTTATTAGGAAAAAAAAAAAAGATTTTAGCCCGTAGGTTGCACGGGTGGTTTTAATAGTTGATTATACCAAACTGAAATTATATTCATTGGATAGTACTCGCACTATAAAATGTGTGACGATAAAAACCATAAACAATTTTTACCTTTGGTCATATTCACCTTTAGATAACTTTTTATAATAAATTCCTATATGAACCACCGATTTTACAATCAAACTTATCACTCCAAACTAATCTAGAGTAGATTACTTCTCATTATAGTTTATATGTCATTACAGTGCGCGTGATTTCACTCATCCCTCTTGAGTTTCCAGTGTTACCAAAAAAATTGTCTTATTTCATTTGCTATGTTTTTTACATTTTTTTTTCCCGTCACTCCCTTTCTAATTTAATCTTTTTATGATAGGTATAATTTTTCAAGAAAAAAAATTCGTTTGAAATTTTTAAACGTTAGTATGGGCTCGTGCTCGAAACTTTTGAAAATATAATTTAGGTTAAGAATTTGATTGAAAGCAATCATAAACTAGAAAATCAAATGAATATGAAACGAAATGACATCAGACACAAATATTCAACTTAAAAAAAAATTACAACAGTCATTAAGGAAAAGAGCGGATAAAAAAAATCACAAAATTGATAATGTATAAAACACAAACAATTTGAGTTAAATTTCAAATAGTATACCAAAACCCGTGCAGGAAAAATTTTAAAAATATATTTATGTCAAGATTTTTGTCAAAAATCTTAAAAATACATATTAGATAGACATGGAAATGAAATAAGGTTAGATCCATCTAAACACGGATTAGCTAAACACGGACGGTTCTTTTCATCCATCTACAGGGGCAGCAACTGCAGGGGAATTAATTCGTGACTCGGATGGAAGATGGATGGGAGGTTTTATGATCAACATAGGTAGCACATCCGTCACCGGGGCTGAGCTTTGGGGTGTCTTTTACAGCCTCCAGCTTGGATGGGAATTAGGCCATCGCAACATGATTCTAGAAGTAGATAGCTTGGCTGCTTTTCACTTGATAACTCAAAAGAAAGGTGTAGTAACGCTCCATGATGGCATCATCCAAGGTATCAGGGAGTTGCTTAATAGAAATTGGAATGTACAAATCTGTCATATTTCTAGAGAAGCTAATTTCTCCGCTGACTGTTTGGCCAGGAATGCAACATCCTCTTGGGGATATACGAAACTGTCGGATCCTCCGCCTCTTGTAAAGTCATGGCTTCTCCATGACATAATTCAGGTTTCATATCTCCGGTTTGTAATAGACCTTTATTCAAATTATTCTCATTGCATAACATTTAATGTGTGTTTATATTATTCTTAAAGAATCAAAAATTAGAGTTACATTTCAAAATATCTTCCCACTATATTCATTTTACTATTTTCGTGCTTCACTGGCTTCTTATATCTCTTTCTTTTTTGACATTTAGAATAAATCAACATTTAAAAAGTTAGAAAAAAAAAAAGAAATAAAGACCGAATACTGACGAGACATCCCTTCTCTAATAAAGAGGGGAAAAAAACAGAAATTTGATGTTATTAGAAAAAATAATAAGAAATTAAAATTGAAAGGGGAATAAGAGAAATGGCATCTACAAATGGATATGCAAAATCCGAAAAAAAAAAGGACACCTACAAAGTCTGCTAAGAGCCAACATTTCAGAGATATTGAACATTCTCATCGGCCCATTTCTACCAAGAGAAATGGTGGGCTATACATATGTATTTACAAAAAAGAGTTGCGTATACGCGGAAATCCTAGTCCAAATTCGAAAAGCCCAAAGTAAAAAAAATGGTTAAAAGTCGATAATAGGTTCACCGATAGTCAAATTTCTCTCCACAGTCCAAGGCAAGTTAAAGAGTTTGGCCATGATAAACTTGAAGATCTTGTTCACATTGATATTGTGGGTTGCACTTGAGAAGAACAGTGTTGCCTTCATTGCCCTTGCATATGCCCTTGCCTGCACAAAGGGAACCCTTATTGTCAGAGCAATCAATTAGTAATACATTCCATTAAAAAAGTAACGTTTACCAATTACCATGGCTCTTATATTATGAAAGAGAAGCTAAAATGTTCAGTTAGAAAGTCGCGTTATTTCTCAAAACGCCATCGATACAACCCAACCTCCAAATTCCAAATAAAGGCGTCATTTTACGAAGGGAAGCACTTTAGGTACATGTAAAGAATGGAATAAAACATACTTAAAGTGAAACTTGGGCCTTTTTTTTAGCAACTCTAACGTAAAGAAAAAGACTGGATTCTGATGAGGCAAAATTGGAATCTAACTTTGCTCAAAGGCTCAAACCAAAACAACAAAAGCCCCCCCCAATTATCGTACTGTTGAAGTAAGACTTTATTTCAAGCTTTATCTCTAATTGTCTACGCGGAAGCCGGAAATTAGAGGACAAAAGTTCTATTGCTTGGACGTATGTTTTCTTTCCCAGTTTCTTTCCCTCCCTGTTTCTTTCAAGTTCCCAACACTTGTCCTCAAAATTGACAAAAGCCAGAAACAAAATATTTTCTGATAACAACTTACAATTGACAAATCATGAAGGGATAAAGACAGACACACACATATAAGTGATGAAGAGGAAGCTAAGAATTTGAAATGGAACTACTACTAAAATGCGATAACGACATACAATTTACATAACTGATCGCAATTTATACAGATGTAATTCTTGTGACATCTTTTCCATTTTGGTTAAACTTTCAAACACGTGTAGTAAGCCCCTCAAAGTAATACCACAATCTACTTTACTGTTCACATGTTATCATTTGGATATATGCACAGGGAAGATGCAAGAAAAATTGTTACTTTGCAGCAACTTGGATCACATGTTTCATGCCCATTAAGACCATCTTTTGTTGTTACTGTTAGGACCAGGAGTTTAATTCCACATGAAAAGTACTAGATGGGCAGTTCCCAGAATCCAGTTGGAATTTATGTCTGTAACCTCCCCTTTTTTTTGCAATAAACACTCAATTTCATAGTGGGTTGTCGAAAATTAACCGCGTTTATAAGATAGTTAATATTGCATAGGTGATGAAACATTCTTCTTCTTACCTGAATGATGACAGTCCATTGAATATCTAGCGGAAGCTGAACAAAGTCATCAAACTTAGTCCCAATCAGAATGGGAATTGCAGTCTGCAATTAGTTAACAGATACAAAAGAAGACTAATTAGATGCATAGAAGGGTTGCTGCAAAGTATTAAAAAAGTAGATAAAACGAACAAAGTTTAATTAGTTTCACCAGAAGGTAGTTGATTAATTCAGTGTCAGTACTCAGTAGTACCTAATGGGTTAAAAAGCAACTCCATTATCAACATCATTTAAGTTCCAACAACTTGAGTTATTGCCAATTACCATTAGAAAAAAGAAGAAAAGGAACTCTTTCCCTAACTGTGGATATTATATCTAACCAGGGCCACTCTGTCCACCACCACCTAAACTGCTGATAAAGCTTTCACCTACGGGCAGTTATTGCTATGCTGTTTCTTTATTTTTATTTGATTCCATTCAACTTCTGGATTCTGTCCTCAAAATATGGCTTTTCCTTTTTCAATATCTTATTCATAAGAAATGAAGAATAAAAGTAAAAGGAAATCCAAAACTTAGTTGAGTTCTCTGGAAATTGCTATTGAGTTTTTAAGTACCTGATTCCACTTTCTCGCTTCGGTGTACCATCCGATCACACTGCAATTTGATCAAAAGAAAGTCGATGCATTTTGTTATTTTCTTTTCAATGAGAATAATAAAAACAGTCACATATATTATATCTATGCATACTATATAAGGAAAAAGTGTTCATCTTTTCACCTGTTCAAAGTACAACGACTGGTAAGATCAAACATGAACAATATTGCAACCGCATCTTTGCAAGCAATTGGAACTTGATCAAGTGACCCAATATCCCCTGCACATGTACAAACACAATATCATCAGGAGGAGTTGAAAAATCACAGTCATTCAATTTAAAACACAGCAATGCACCTAATCTGTACCAAAAAAGAACAAACATTCTGACCAAAAAATCTAATTTGAGGTAGGACAGATCAACCAAAGCCATTAAAACTCACCACCAACATCCCATATTTTGAAAGCAATCCTTGCACCTCTAACAAATAACATTTTATCCATCAAGTTAAGTCCTTTCATATCCAAGCTCTTTTTCTCATGCTCATCACCTATATACTTTACCTGCAAACATTCATCACATCAAAAACAAAAAATGTTACAGCATCCAGAACAACAAAAATTTAATGTAAAGGAGAATGAAATAGTGAATTAAAAGAATCAAAACTTACCACAAAACTGGTTTTCCCAATCTGGCAATCACCCAAAAGACTAATCTTTAAGCTGACTAAATCAGAATCACTATCACTGTCGTCAAATTCACCAAAATTACAACTGGGCTGCTCTGTTTCTTGACCCATGTTTCCAGACTCTAAAGATTCCATCCCGGGGGAAGTACTATTACGATAAGAAGGAGACCTCTGAGAGAGTCTTCTGTACCTAACAGGCCTCCCAATAGAACAAGAAAGAATCCTCTCCCAAATGAATCTAAGCAAGTCCTTAAAAATGGACACCCTGTCCAACAACTTCAACCTGATATCGACGTGAACGATCTTTCTGTAAAGCCGGGTCATCCCCTTTCCTGTTTTCTCACGGATTTTGGAAGCCATTGATGTAAAAGAAGAAGGGTCTTTTTTGTCGCCTTGGCATGGCGGTTTTGATTGTTTCTTCTTGGCTCTGGTTTTGTGTATTTGTATTCTGCTGAATGACCCTATTTTGAGATGAGTCTAAAACCTCTGGTACTGTGACCTTTTTTTGGAATTGATCGAGGGAGAGAAGACTGAAGACCTATGAAAATGGCTATGGAGGCTTATGGAGAGGAGTTATAGACTAGTAGTACTCTTTGGAATTGAGAGAAACGCTCTAATAAAAATAAAAACTTTAAGAAAATAGTACTACGTGTTTATCAAATGAAACGGCTTGGGCGGTTGACCGGTATAAAGCGGATACCAAAACAGTCCAAGTAGCCGGCTTCTTGGTAGTGACGAAAACTGGGGTATTTTGGTCATTCAGTGGGGATGTTGTTGTTGTAGTTAAAACTTTTTTGTTTATTTTATTTTTATTCTATCGAATGGGGGAGAGGTTTTGTTGTTTACTTGTTAGGTTCGAGGTGGGATCAAAATACTCAAAACTTTCTCAATCCTTAAGGTTTGGCAGAGGATTAAACTATTCAAGTTTGGTGACAAATGGTTAAGTGTGGGGGTAATAATGCCAACAATGGGGTAAAATCTACAAAGTTTCATCATGTTTATTATACATTTCGGTTTTTTTTTTTTGAAACTTATTTTGTCCCCAAAAAATTGTCATGGATAAGGATTAAGGGCTAAGCTATGCTAGTTTTTAAAAAGCATTTAATCTGGATAAGAAGAATAGTTTGAGTGAAATACTGTATAATATGTATTTGAAATTATTACAGTTCAAATAACAAATTCCACAAATGTAATAGATTAAGATACGTATAATGGTATATAAAAAAAATTATTACATTTAATCGTGTACGGAATAAAAATTGGAGAAAAAGAGCTAATGCGATGAGGCAATAGAGCAATCAAAACCTAGTACTGATATTGAAACTTCCTTCCACTAAGTTATTTATTTTTATATTAAAAGAATTTTTGAAAAATGAGAAATTGCATTTGAGCAGAGAAAGTATGAAAGGGGTGAAGAACACGGCGGCGATTACTCGAGCATCTTGTGACGACGAATGCGCATCCTGCCAAAAAACAAATGAGTTAATAGTGCTTCGTACCAGAATAAAAGGGACCTTTACTCGTTTTCTCTTCTTTTCTTTTTTCCTTTTTTTTTCTTTTTTTTTTTTGTTGTCCCCCTGTTTTCAGTTTTTACACTATAGGGGTTATTAGTTCGTAGTAATTAGGTCGTGTTTTTTGTAGTATTAGACTACCAAGTACAGTTCCGATGTTATTGTTAAGTTTGAATTTTTATTTTTAGTACAAATTGAATTAAAAGTAAAACATTTAAACTAAATAATAATTTTTTAAGATAGAGAGAATATCAAATTCTCATATATTAAAACTCGGAGATTAGTGCTATCGACCATCGAGTTTGACTGTAATTGACAAATTTCTTTGCCATTAGATTAGTGCAAATACAGTACGATGATGATTAAAATCTGAATCACCTTAAAACTCCAAGCTAAGATGGATTGGATTATTTACGTTGTACTTGTGTTGAGATAGAGGAATCAAGCGTTAGATCATCACGATTAATTTAACATCCCAGGTATTAATTGGGCTAACAAATTGTGTCAGATTAAAGAAATACTCGTAATACAAAAGCATCAGGTTAAAGAAAGTCGATTGCTTTCACCTTTGGTTATAAAATTAAACAAGAAAAGAGAATCTACAGAGATGACAGGTTGATCTAGATCGAACCCTCCAATTTAATAAAACGGTTATTTTTCTAATATCTCTTCATCAGTTTTTTTTTTTTTTTTTTTTTTTGTAATAAATTGTAAAGGAATAAAGAAGAATCGAAAAGCTGCATCGCATTCACTCATGTGAAACACTTTGTTTGTTTAGTTTTTTTTTTCAGATTAATAAAATAATAATTATCTCATCCCAACATACCTTTTTATATTTTCAATACATATTTTTATATTCTCAGTACAAAAAACACCAAAAAACACACAGTAAAAAAACGAAACAAACATAAAATTCTTCCCCCTTCTGCTCTGCTTTGCTTTCTGAAAAGCAGTTTAAGAGCTACTACAGCTTAAAAGTATTACGTGATGCTTCACTTTTTCCCTGCCAAAGGTTCCTGAAGCTCATGAACTATTTTGTGGTGGGTAAATGGGTATCTTCATCATTTCCCTGTTGTTAGATTCATTATGCATTGTTGATTGTATTTGTCATTTGGATACAAATGCAAATCACCAAAATCATCTACACTACTAATTAATATTAAGGCTACTGCTATTCTTGTACATAAATGTACTCTCCAGTTCTTATTATAAAACATTTTGATTTGTTCTAAGTTTGTCCTAAGTTTCGTCTAAGATGTCTTTTTAATTGATATAAAAAGTCTTAAAAATATTTCCTAATAATTAGGAGAACACGGTAAATGTGAAAATATATTTTAAAGATTTTTTCTCCAATTAAAAATGCATATTATGTGAAACTTAAGACAAAATCAAAATGCCTTATAATAAAGATATGAAGGAGTACATCGGTAAATAATTAGAGAGCTGGCCAGAATCGAAGGTTTATGTATTAATCGTGCACATTGTTAATTGTATACTTCAAATTAATTAATGGAATTTTTATCAAGTATAATAAAAATAAAACAACCGCGAGGTCGCAACTTCTTTTGTTTGTCGATGCTCGGATGCTGTAAGCTGTTCGAAAGCTTGGGCTGATATCAACTAGATCATTGTAAGACAAGAAACGAAGTGACTAGATGAATAAACCCATAAATTCTAAGGACATCCTCACCAAATAGTAATACGAAACTCGTACCTTCTTTTTAATTATAAGAGGCCTTTTATATGTATATATCGTATTACTATTTGGTGAGGATGTCCTTAGAATTTATGGGTTTATTCATCTTAACTAGATGAGTGACCAAATTAAAAGGCTGTTGGTCAGAACGATTTTAACCAACTACTAGTACCAACAAATTATTATTCACAACATGAGCTGACTAATTTGGACAAATACACGTATCTTTTGTTCATAGGAAGGGTTTAGGGAAGGCGGGTCCAAACGATGGACACATTGACCATAATAAGCTACCTAATTGGTTTTACATGTATTGAAAGCTAGCCTAATCATATAGGGTTGGGTATGATTTAGAAAAATAAGCAATGTAAGCACTAAGCACCAACCATTTCATATCTTAGAACTTAGAATTTGATATCACCTCCAACGGAAAAAATCCAACCCCACCTTAGGCTAGGTTCCTACTCTTTGCCTTCCGTGGCATTTAGTAAAAAAAATAAAAAATCTAAAATGATATGAGGAAGTCTATTGAACATAATAAAAGGCTCGGATTAACTTGTATGATTCTTCCTTCATTCTAAAATAATCATCATTAAATAATTTTGTTTAGTTTGAAAAATACTTAAATCAGATAAATAAATTACTAAAATATCCTTATTATAGGTTAATACGTAAAATATTAATCCTTGGTATACCTTTAAATTAAGCCCGTCACTAAATTTCTTAAGTTACTTGTTAAAAGTAAGAGACATGGTTAAAGAAAGTGTCCATGAGAGTTAACCCTTTAAAAATGACTCTATGGTAAGTTTATTACGTGTACATATTTTGTTCATTCTTTTTTCTCTCTATATGCATGATTTCTTTTGAGTGAACCTCAAAACAAGTCATCAATCTTTAATATATTTTCACTCTAAGTCATCAATTAAATTTATTTGTAACACAGGTTATCTTACTAAAGTTTTAATCCATTTCAGATTTTCTGTTAATTTTGACCGTAAAATAGTGACGGAAATCCATTTTTTCACACGTTTTTGGATTCAGGGGTATTTTTGTCATTTTCTTATTTTTTTATTTTTTAATCTTTTAAATTTTTATTTTATTTTTTTTTTACAATTATTCTTCTTATACTTTCTCACTTGTATATACTGGTAGTATAATTCTAAATTTTAAAAATTTATTTTCCTTTTGTATTTTAACTTATAGATTATAAAAAAAATTTAAAAAAAAATTCAGAAACGAAGAAGAAAAATTCGAGTTAAAGTAAACATGAAAATAAATAATTTATCATTTAAAAAAATAAAAATTAAAATAATTAGCTAAGACAAGTTGTTTCTTCTAGGTTATTTAATTTTTTTCAACTCGATTGAATCATTTAATTATTAATTTTCACGTTTCTTATTCCTTTTTTTTAATAATCTACAAGTTAATATACAAATGACAAATTAATTTTTAAAAATGAATTTTTTTGTCATTTATATCTTAATTTCTAGATTATAAAAAAAAGGAATAAGAAACGTGAAAATTAATAATTAAATAAATCAATCGAGTTAAAAAAAATTAAATAACCTAGAAGAAACAACTTGTCTTAACTAATTCTTTTAGTTTTTCTTTTTGTTTAAAATGATAAATTATTAATTTTCATGTTTACTTTAACTCAAATTTTTCTTCTTCATTTCTTAAATTTTTTTAAAAAGTTTTATAATCTAGAAGTTAAATACAAAAAAAATAAATAAATTTTTAAAATTTAGAATTATACTACTAGTGTATACAAATTAGGAAGTATAAGAAGAAGAATTGTAAAAAAAATAATAAAATAAAAAAATTTAAAGATTAAAAAATAATAAAATAATAAAATGACAAAAATATTCTTGAACCCAAAAGCATGTGAAAAATGGATTTCCGTCACTATTTAACGGCCAAATTTAACAGAATAATCTGAAATGGATTAAAATTTTAGTAAGGTAACCTGTGTTAAAAATAAATTTAATTGATGATCTAGAGTGGAAATATATTAAAGATTGATGACTTGTTTTAAGGTTCATTCATTTTTTTAATTAAAAAATCCTAATATTAGTGATGTATCTTATCCAGAGTTTGATCCTTAATTGCTCAACACATGTACCAAAAGCCTGCATCAACACGAGGTTGCAACTCACACAATCTCAATGATATGTATTAATTCCTCGTCAACTTGTGCACAATTGATTGATGGCTACATGTCACCCCATTCGGAAAAAGGTTTTGTTAATAATGTTTGTTTGATTGTTTAGATCATCACATTATTAATTTTGTTTTGTTTCATTAATGACTTGTGTCATTGACCATTTGTCATTTTCATTTCTATCGGGGGTGGTTTTTCCTTTACAATTTTCAATTTTCATCTTTGACGAATTCATCACAAATGTTTCGTCAAGATTACTCATTTGGAAACTTATGTACCAATAATTGGACTTTGTACGCACAGTAGTGGTGCTCGGGATAAAGGGAAAAAAATTGATCAAAAAGATATCAAGTGGAAGATTGGAAATGGATGTTTGCAACTTGTATGACTAGGTCAACCAATTTATGCTACAACATATACAAGTCCACTTAGTGTGATAACATTATACTCTCTCCTTCCGTCTCATAATTATTTTTCAGTTTGAGTTTTCATTTCTAGTTCAAATTGTACTAAAAATGAAATCTCAAACTGGATAATAATTATAGGACGGAGGTAGTATGTTAAAAAATTGTTCCACAAACGAAACTTTTTTAGAGATGAAAAGAATAACAATATAATTATACTGTTAACGTATTTTCATCTACAACAGTTGAAACAGAAGACGGTACTCTTCTTCTTCTTCTTTTTTTTTTTAAAAAAAATATTAATGATCCTAGAAATCAAGTGGGATTAGTATAGATGGAACAACAAATTAGTTGGTTACTTGTGATTAAGTGATGGGTTTATCTTATGGTGAAGGCTGACTTGAGCCGGCGCATGATGATCATTAAGGTGGTTGAATTTATTTTATAAACTTATGCAATCTCTTAAGAATAGAATAACATTATTATAATTATGTTCGGGTGGTTAACATTTACCGTGTTCAATGAATGGTAATGGTAGGAATGATTTAATACGAAACATAGGATAAGGCCTAAAAAGATTAGTAAATTGAGTAGATGCTTTCGTTTTGCAATCACAACATAATCAACTTTGGAAGATCATGATGAGGGGAAGAATGATTCATATTTTTTATTTAATCGATTTAAAAATACAAGCGGCATTCGTCCGGAGCAAGCATCTAGTATTATAGTAAATCAGAATATGTCAATGGGGCTTGTGTCTCTTTTCGTGAATGTGTCGTTAGATAATTAGACTGCATAATTTTATCATTTTTTTTATCACTGAAAAAGACTAAACTGCATAATTGGTCTCCTACATTTGGTCAGATTTAAATTTTAGTCCCTTACATTAACATGTATATGAAATGAGCCTTTACATTTGATTTTGAAACTATTTTGGTCTCTTTTCACTGTTCCGCCATGAATTTCGTCTCGACAGCCGTTAATCCAATCCTGACCAAGGGTATTTTTGGAACACCACATATAAAAAGAAAAATACGTTTTATATTAATAATAAAATACTAAAAAATTTGTTTAGTAATAAAAAATTAAAAATTAATACAACTAAAAAATAAAAAAAAATCATAATTCAGTTTTTTTATTTTACTTTTTGAAATAATAAAATTCAAATTCCCTCCCCACCGTTCTGCCCCCTCCCCCGCCGCCACCACCACATCCCTACCAAAAAACCACCACCACCACATCCGCTGCCACCACATACCATCTCTTTTATTTACCACAATCTCAACCCCAGAATTGATTCAGAATTGATTCAGGATTCGGATTCAGAATTGATTCAAATATTTGGTTAATTAGATTAGGATTCAAGGAATGGCCCGAATCCAAAAGAATGAATCATGCCTCACCCCCCATGATTCAATCTTTTTCCATTTTTTTTCCTAGTTAATTCTTGCTCTCTCCTCTTAAACCTCCATTCTTTCACCTCTTCTTCATTGTTTGTCCAGAAACAACAGCCACCACATCCATCACTCACCCACCATTCTTCTTCTTCTTTCACGTCTCCTGACCTCCTCCTCCTCCTCTTCTATCTTCTCTACAACTGCCATAACCAGATCCATTACCATCAATTTCACCACCTGCCCACCATCGTACTAAAATATCCACACACCACTCACCATTAAAGTGAGCCCAAAACTTACTCCTGTCATATTAGAAAACCCATTTAGTATTAACTCTTGAAATCTAATTCGAAAATTAGTCATTGTTATTCCGGTAAAGATGGAGAAGACGGGGGTATCAACTGTAATTGAGTGAAAATTGGGACATGGTGGTGAATGTTAGTGAAGAAGATGGCGGATTGGTGGGGCGATTTGGTGAAACTTTTTTAATCTTGTGATTTGACCCTCCACCATTTTTAGTCTACTTGGATCCGAAATGTCGTTTTAAATCTATTTATAATGGTCCATTAATAGTAATTGGGATTGAAGGGATGAAAGTGGAAGATTTCGGGGTTGAGATTGTGGTAAATAAAAGAAATGGTATGTGGTGGCAGCGTTCATGGAAGATGGATGGTGGTGGTGGCGGCGGGGAGGGCCGAACGGTGGGGAGGAATTTGAATTTTATTATTTCAAAAGTAAAATAAAAAACTGAATTATGATTTTTTTATTTTTAGTTGTATTAATTTTTAATTTTTATTACTAAACAAATTTTTAGTATTTTATTATTAATATAAAACGTATTTTCTTTTTATATGTGGTGTTCCAAAAATACCCTTGGTCAGGATTGGATTAACGGCTGTCGAGACGAAATTCATGGTGGAACAGTGAAAAGAGACCAAAATAGTTTCAAAATCAAATGTAAAGGCTCATTCCATATACATGTTAATGTAAGGGACTAAAATTTAAATCTGACCAAATGTAGGAGACCAATTATGCAGTTTAGTCCTGAAAAATTATATGAAATATGTGCCGTTATAAAACGAGGACCAACAGCAATATCTAACACCACAATACACCATTTAATGTAATTTTTAACACTGGAAAGCAGAAAACATCATGTTAAATACTATATTATGAACTGAAAATGATGATCAAAACCTCCAAATTTAGATTTAAAATTACTAATGATATTCCCTTAATAACTCAGCACATAGAGAGGGGGGCGGGGAACCATATTCCTACCCTAACTAGGCCCGAATTAGTTGGATCGTGGTTTGTAAAGAAAGAAAGCCCACTTTTATCAAACCACCACCATCGGTCCAATTTCACAAAATCAGGACCAGGCCCTTCAGCAAATCCTCAGCAAATCCGGCCGACCGGGGTTTACCAAAAACACCCGCCGGCTGCCACCTACGACGTGGTCGCTAGAAATTGCCCGTTGCATTAAGAGTCTTATAGTTTACGGAAGAATTTGGCATGAATAAGAACTTAATCAGCCACTAAGATGTGCAGGATGTGTTAGAGAGATTGGGCATATTGAAAGAATGGGTTCAGAAATCGACCTAGTTGAGGAGAGACTGAAGTCCTTTCTAGGTCAGCTCAAAACGGAATATGGTATCTTGGACAGGATTGTTTACAAGAACAAGAATCAGCACAGGAGGTGCTCTTATTTCCAGTACCTTCTGAAGGTAATTATTTCCATAACCTTAGTTTATACTTTATAGCGTGTGTTTATTCAATGAATTGTTGACCTTGTGATACTGGGTTGTGCACTCTTTTGTTGTGGGTTGATAATGGAACATTTTGATCACAGGTTAGAAGGGATTTGAGGCTTTTGCAGTCGACCAAGTTGGAGGAAATCTTAAATTCCTGTTTTTTGGTAATCCATGGTAAAAAGCCTAAACAAAAAGTGCAGCTTCTGGAGAGGTATGAATTGACTTCAATCTAATTATTATGTTGAGTTGCACTGATGGAGGACCTAGGATTCATAATATGACATTGAAGAATTTTATCTTCCCGAGAGCTAAATGCATGATTGTGGCTGCACTGTCATTTCGTTCTAGTATGGAGTATGGACTACTGAATAAGTATTTTGTAAATGTCAGTAGTGATATTAACTTGTGTATTTGTGTTACATGAGCTTCAGTTTGAAGAGGAGAAAGTCTGATGATAGTAAATATAACTTCTTGGAACGGCTTCTGGGAGCTGCACGTTTGCTGTCGCAGGTAGTACTTTAGTTCTTATATCTATTGCTCACAATCATGTCATTTTGCATTTATTCATCTGACTGCATAGAATTTATTACCTTCCGTCAGAATATCTGAATTATCTTCTAAATTGTGTTTTCCTTTGTTTGCAGATGGTTGAACCGATGTTGAGAGCAGCTACGTATCCTTTCTGTAGAGCTTTTCTCGTTGATACATGTTTCTAAATTGCTAACTTGTTTCACTCACATGCTTTCTTTTAATGCATCATTTTATGTTAGTTTCTTATAAGCAAAACAAGTCTTGCTAGAGTTCTGCTTTTCATCAGTCTAGGATGAACTTTTATATTCAATTCGGCAACCAGTTTAATGGACATGGTTTATCTATTAGCTTGCTCTTTTTTCCATTCACTACTTTCCTGGCCTGTTTGCTTATTCTTTGTTTCTTGCGGATTGGTGTTTTGATCCTAGAAATCCTTGGTTTTCGGTGATGAGTAAAAATGACTCTTTTCTGTAGGCCATTGGGATATTGTTTTTGCGTCTGACAAATTTCTCGCAGAGAAATTTCATCTTTATCCTTTTCCTTTTTTTTTTTTTTTTTTCTGTCGGTTGTTCACTTAACTACTAACAGGGAGATATCGAAACTGCTTGCTCAGTCATTTTTCATGGGCTTTTCACTCACAAGTCTGGCTTTACTCTCACGTTTTCGGGTTTTGATTCAACAAGTAAGTGGTATTTGCATATAGGATTATCTCTTTCTTTTTTTTTTTGAATAAATGCTTATACGATTAGTTTTGTGGTTTTAATCGAGTGATCGAGCTGAATTAAGATAGATTGCAGTGACTAGTTTGTAAGAGAGGCTAGTTTTGGGCTAATGTAAAACTTTCTTCTGTGTCACTTTTATTACTTATCCTATATTAGATTTTTCCTCATTAACAAAAGAAAAGCTATTTATAATAACAAGGGTACGGCTGCGTACATCTGACCCCCCATAACCCAATTTGGTTGGGAATATATTGGGTATGTTGATATTGATGTTGAACAAAAGAAAAGCTATGTGCCAAGAGAGATACGGTAACTGGATTTATGTGGGCTTTAGTCTTATACTTCCTTGCCCGGCTGAAGTTAATTTTTCCTTTCATGCAGATACTTCTTGATGTCGTTTGTGTATACAACATTGTGTCTCCTCTTTCTCGGAAGAAACAATCTGTTAAAATAACTGAAGGAGGTGTTGAGGTAGATCTTCTGTTTTTATTGCTTTGGCAAACTACTAGTGTGTATTTCGTCAACTTAAATTTGTTCTATTGTTTTCGGTGTTGAATTTGCCTTCATTTTCATCCATTATTTTCCTTATGGTGTGAATTGCAGGTTTTTAGGGATTATTATCCCATAAAAGAGCAAAACAGCATCTCCCTGGAATGCGTTTGGGGAACTGACAAGTTTGTGTTAGTAGAGAAAGTGAATGAAAGTGAAACTAAAAGCAAGGAAAAATGTGGTGAAGATGTTTCAATTGGGGCCTCCACAATACAATATCGAAGCGTTGAGGTTTTGCTTGGAGGTATCACTGTACTACAATTCATTTATCATTCTTAACTCATCAACAATAAACTTTTGAGATTGTAAGAAAAGACTTGGAGATGATACACTTGAATGTTCCCTTATTTGGTGAATGCTGTTGCTTTGTTTTTCTATACGTGTCATCGGCTACCTATAATTTAGAACTTTTATCTTTTCCCTTTTCTTTTGTATTACTTTCTTTACTACAAGTTAGGCTATTCTTTTGATTCTCCTGCAGACAATGACAATGATGAGGAGCAAGAATCAGCTGCAAACATCTCTGATAAAAAATCTAAGAAAATTGGCTCTTATGGACATTCTGAATCACAGAGCGGTGAGGAGAACCGAGCAATGGACAGTTTGCCTAGTGCAGAATGCCAGAATACGCCTTCAAGTTCATCAAATCCGTTAAAGCGCAAGGCAGATACAGGGAAAAAGGTTGCATTCTTTTCGGTTAAAGTACCCACGCCATCCGCCTCCCGGAAATTAAATTTGCCTGCTGAACACAAGGTTGAAGATCAAACCGAGGAGGATCCATTCTTCAGTCTCCTTTCTTCTGGGATTAAGAAGAGCAGTCTTTTCTAAAACGAATTCATGAAGCTGTATGTGTTCCTTCGCATCCTCCCCCCCTGTGACCATCTTAGAAGATGTAGTTATATCCAACATGTAGATTAATTTCAGGCTTTATGTATATTGTGATTTTCCGTAGTTCCTGCAAAGTATTCCTGCGTCTCAAAAAAATCATGTTTGTAGAACATTAAAACAATGCTAAGGAAAAATGTGTAACTTGATCCATAAAAAGTCAAATTGGACAATAATTTTGGGATAAAATTTTTCGGGCAAAGTGGACAATAATTATGGGACGGAGGGAGTATAATACAATACACAGATTCATTACAAATAGCATGATTGATATAAGTCTATTCACACAAATGATAAGATTGTAACGATTTTTCGGAATTGATTATTAATTTAAGAACATTATTTGATCGATTATTGAGAATCTGAGATGAAGATCATTCTGCAAATTTTTTAGTAACCCTTTGATCTTTTTCCCAACTGTTCTGGTCCACTAAAAAGGAAATACACATGCACAAAAGGACATGACGGACCCCGATACGACGCCGTATGTAGCTGTAGAAAAGGATGCTTCTACACTTTACTTCTTTCTCAGATTGAGAGATGTCAGTCTGACAAATATGAAATATCTGGGCACAACTACTAGTATTTTCTCTCATAACTCCCGGCAAAGTTAGCTAAAATTTTCAATCAAATGTCCAAAATCTGGCACACTTAATAATAATTTTTGGAAATCTTCAAGTAGCGGAAGCCTTTCTACAAGTCTTGTAAGATTGATAAGTAATGGTGCATACTGCAGTAGCAGTGGTGATGGGACAATCATCATCACCATCACCACCACCAGTGCGTCACTCCAACTTTTCTCATTCTTCCCCAAAGCCATTGTCCAGGCGAGTGACGACCCTTCATTTCTTTTGCTTCTGTGCTGCTTAAAGTTTGCTTCTTTTCGACTGTTAAGAATTATGGGTTATGGAGTGCGTGATTCTGATTTTTTTTTGCTCAGCTGTTACCACCGTTGATATTGCTGACATTTGTTAATGTAATTGCAAAATGGGAATCTGATTTGGGGAAATGGGAAATCGGAATGGGAATGGGACCTTTGTAAGTAAACTGATGAAGTTGGTTTTGACGGTGTATTAATTTCTTTCTCCTTATTGTGTTTTTGAAGGTGGTGGCCATGTAAAGGAACGGTTAACTGCTGTTTGGACAACGGTTTTGTGCGAAAAGCGGAGTTGAGACAAGTATTGTCTGGTGTTGGTGCATCGATTATCATTCTCTCACAAACTAACCTGGTTAGTGCTTTTGGCTGTAGTGATTATTGGTAGCTCTCCTTACTTCTAAATTCTCACGGGAGGAAGAAAAGTAATGAACATTACCATCTTTACTGTAATAATTCTATCATTTCTTATTGTAACATGATGTTTGAAATCGTGGAAGAGACACGATATCACCAGCATACTGTGCAACGCAGTAGTGTCTGTTTTGCTGCGGTGATCCCAGTATTACTGATAAGAATTCACGCATTGGTCTTGTTTGATCTTGGATTTTCTCACTTCTGCAATCATTAACTGCTCTAAATGCATGTGAGGTTGTGGGAGAAACGCTTTTGGGTATCTACTTAATTGGACCCGCAACAACAATTTTTAGTGTGGGTATATTTGTTCAAACATGGCTTGTGCTTTTAAGTTCTGGCTTTTAACCTTTCAGATGGTTCCGAAGGATATGTGGAACTTAAGATACTATTACATTAGACCTTTGAGTTGTTCAAACTTGAGATACTATTACATTAGACCTTTGGATTGTTCAAATTCCGCATTTGAGCATTTGTGAAATGGTGTTCTAATTGGCTATTTTTGCAAGCAGAATAGTAAAATTGATTTGGCAGCACGAGTTTCATGCACCGGAAGTGAACCTAAAACTTTAAAAGCTGTATATATCTAGTCTCTCAGTTGTTAATACAAAGTTATTCTTGACAGGCTGTTGCAGCAGATCTATGTCAGAGTAACAGTATATATCAGCTGGCCAGTGCTATAGACAATTATCCATCTCTACCGGTAGAAAAGAATGAAAATGTTGGGAATATGATGATGATGAGAGGTATGACGGCGAAGAACTTTGACCCCGTCAGATACTCTGGAAGGTGGTATGAAGTCGCTTCACTTAAACGTGGATTTGCCGGACAAGGTCAAGAAGATTGCCATTGCACCCAGGTAAATTGTCAGTAATTACACTACTGAATTTGATTGCAAATTAGGTACATTTTCCATCCTGACTGAACTTAAGTTTGTAGGATATCAGGAAACTTTTAGCTGGATTTCGTGACAATCATTATTCATTTGAATTTTGAACTTACAGGGCGTTTATACACTTGATACGAAAACTCCAGCCATTCAGGTTGATACCTTCTGTGTCCATGGAGGACCTGATGGCTATATAACAGGTATAAGGGGAAGGGTTCAATGTCTTTCTGAGGAAGATTTGGAGCAAAAAGAAACTGACCTAGAAAGGAGGGAAATGATCAGGGAGAAGTGTTATCTTCGATTTCCTACGCTCCCATTCATTCCTAAGGAGCCCTATGATGTGATTGCCACTGATTATGACAATTTCGCACTAGTTTCCGGGGCCAAAGATACAAGTTTTGTTCAGGTAATTGTGCCTTGTGTCCATTACTTCATCAAGTATTGTTCACTATATTCGACGAAATTACTTGTTTGGACTCGAAAGGATGATAAATGCTTCAATTCAAAATTTCAACTCTGGATTATCTTTGTATTAGAGCGGCTTGATAGCATTCTCTGTTGCATTCATAAACTTGTTTCAACTTTAGAACTTTTTGGTGGCGATTTATCAAAGGTTTAGTATAACATTGCCTTTAATAGAGGAGTATAATCTGTTAATATTGATGGAGACGTAGCTGTTTATATGATCTTTAAGTTTCAAGGCATTTCCTTACGGAGTGGGTGGTCCGATTCTTTTTTCTTGTTTCTATAACATAACAGATCTACTCAAGGACACCTAACCCAGGTCCAGAATTCATCGAGAAGTACAAAGCATACTTGGGAAACCTGGGTTATGATGCAACCAAAATCAAGGACACTCCACAGGATTGTGAAGTGATTTCTAACAGTAAGCTTGCAGCCATGATGTCGATGCAGGGGATGCAGCAAGCTCTAACCAACCAATTTCCTGATTTAGAATTGAATGCTCCTATAGCATTTAACCCATTTACAAATGTATTTGACACTCTTAAAAAGCTTATTCAGCTTTATTTCAAGTAGTCATTCCAGGCTGATTACCACCCTGCTTTTGAATCATTTCATAGAGCTACTTTTCTCAAGATAATGTAAAGTCTACATGTAATTAGTGTTCATGAGTGATTACATTCTTCTTTTGTGCATCTCAATCTCAATAGCAGTTTCAAGTCTTCCAACATAAATATTCAGTTTCTGAAATTCTTTCTCATACAAATTTGCATCAGAGGATGAAGTATAGCTAGGAAGAGGCATGGAAAGTTCAGCTCACTGTGTGAATGTGGTGCCAGTTGGAAAGAAAACTCTATGAGCTATGATACAAAATTCATTAGATTAGACTCCTCCTAACGGAGAGCTGATTACAGAATTTTGCAGTGGGCTTCAACCATGAGTAAGGAATGATCAAAATTTAATACTAACTGTTGTTTAAGATACAAAAGAGACCTCAAATCAAAGCTGCTGAAGCTTCCCCATCAAGCTTTCTGTACTGAAAAACCCAGGATGAAGTTCTTAATTTCATCATTGGCAGCCTTATCTAGAGCTGTCTTACCTTCGGCATCCTTGACATTGTAATCAGCTCCAGCTCTCAAGAGTTCTTCGATCTTTGGCTTGTCGCCTTCTGAGGCAGCCATCATTAGCAATATGTCAACCGGATGGATATTTTGACTTAGAAGGTCATACATCTTATCATATGTGCCCTCCACCGCGAGCATTCCCATGTAATTGAAGTACTGTGGTAAAGAATAGGAAAATCAGAAATGTTGTTCCTCATTGTGGACAACAGTGCTAGAAGAGGTACTTGAATACTCAAACGCAACTAAGTTTTGATACATAGATGATAATTCAACACTCAAAAATGAGTCCTCAAGGAGACCAAATCATACAGTTTGTACATATTGATTTTCATCAACTAGAACTGGGGTCAAATCCCGCAGCAGCAGGAAAGAAGTTCAACTCTTCCTCATATAGGGAGTATGTAAGTGTTGTGCAGGAACAAAGCATATAAACAGCCATAACTCAATGGAATAAGACTCCTATAACTGAACGAAACTCGAAATTGGAAATTCTGAAAAATGGATGTTCAAGAGTCTTTAGAACTACATATGAATGCATCAATGAAGCCACAGAGATAAACAAAACCTTTGCTAATATAGTTGATGTTTTCCTCTTGTTCCAACAAAAGAAGGGAGAAAAGAAAACACATCTTAGTTACCATGTATATAATAAATCACTAAAAATCTTAGCATAAGCACATGGAATTGAAAACTATGTACATATGCATCTTAGTTTAACACCAATCATAGTTGCAACAATGCCACGGAAATCATGCCGAAATGCGATAAACAACAAAAGTATCCATGATCAACCTTCGATTTAGTATACAAAGTTAAAACTACTTGGAATTAACTTCTGATAAAGATGGAGTTTGGTGATACCTGTTCAACGTCATCTTTATCAAAGTCATCACGGGATTGACTACCATAAATGCCAGCGCCTTCAGCATCGACACCATTTTTCCCGAACCGAAACCAGCAAGTAGTTCTTGAACCTGAGGAGCTTGGTCCCACAATTCCCGTGGGTCTGCACCATCCTAGCCGGCATTTACCTCTAGTGGAAGAGAATCCCACAAACTGAGAAGTTAACTTGCTGAGAATTGGGTTGGTACAAACATAAGGGTAAGAGTTATGGGGTCTTGAAGTTAAGGTCTGTTGGAGAACACTGGGAATCGAGGAAGCCATTGTTGTTGCAATACTTCCGAACCGAAATCAGTGGCAAACCTTATCACTAATTTGAGTTGCTCCGGTTAAAATTATTAAAATCGCGACTACTTCACAAGATCAGAGTGGCGCAGCGGAAGCGTGGTGGGCCCATAACCCACAGGTCCCAGGATCGAAACCTGGCTCTGATACGAGAGCAAGCTTCTCTATCCACTCAAAATTGTTTTTTCTCAACGTCATCGTGAGAGCGGTGTTCACAATCACGCCTTCGGTTTGTTTGCTGGAAAGTCATCGCATATGGATAGTATAAATAGTATTTTTAGCAGGTTCAAATACAAATCAGAGTGGCGCAGCGGAAGCGTGGTGGGCCCATAACCCACAGGTCCCAGGATCGAAACCTGGCTCTGATATGAGAGCAAGCTTCTCTATCCACTCAAATGTTTTGTACACTTTTTGGGCCTTATATACCACAAATTTGCATTTCTGAACCTTGTACACTCTTGTACTATTTTTTGGGCCTTCTTTTGAACCTTTCTTTTTTCGTTTTTTGTTGAGGCCCTCACTTAGACGGTAGAGTCTACCGTGATACGGTAGACCGTAGACCTTAAAATGTATTAGCGGGTGCTTGTGACAATCAAATTGTTGAGAATATGAAAAAAAATAAAAAGATTGTAACTGAAAAATTGTTGAGGAATGAATTCAAAATATGTAACTGATGATATAGTAGTGATACACTTAATTTAAAGAGAATACATATTTAATTAAAGAACATGGTACGTCTCAGAAAAATAATCATGAAATGGAGAAGTACAATATGATAATTTGAATTTTAATTTGAGGAACGTTAAGAGTGAGGTGTTTCGTTAGTTATTCATTATCCTACACCAAATGAAAAATAAAAAATAAAAAATCTTGCATTAAATTATAAGATTTGTACATATTAAGTTTTGAGAGTTGTTAGACTATTTTTATTTTTTTTTTTTCCGGATGGAAAGTAAACAAAAAATGGATGGGTTTTATTCAACCTCCTGCGTCGGCTTTGTAGTCGGTAGACAGTATAGTATTCCACTGCTATTTTGTCCTATAGCAATTTAAAACGAAGAAATTCAGGACATCTCTGCCTCATAATTCATCATTATCGTAACTCGTAATATTGCATTAAAATCCCCCCAACCAAAGCCTCTCTCTCTCTTTTTAGTTTCACGTTCTCATGATTTTCATCGCCAAAACTTGTTGAATTATTGGTACAATGCAATGAATGAAAAATTTGGATTACCCATGGTTACACCCGTTATCTTATTCTTTAGTCTTATTATGCAGTAGTAGTGTCAACATTAGTCCCACAAATGCAATAGCAAAGTAGCAAGAACTTGATTTGGCTCCTGAACATGTTTGATGTGTGATTTCCAAATCACATGATCTGTGCCAAGGATGTCACATCCTTCTCATGAACCCCTCTTGAGCTCACCTCTGCAATCAAAGTTTGGATGTCAACAATCAGGGTTGCTGTTGCTCAATTTTTTTCTTTTATCTGTTTGCATTTTGAAATGTGAAAACTCAAAATTGAAATCAAGACCACTAATCACAGTTAGCATCAAGATTGGTATATCTTTTGTTGAGATGATTGTTAACTATCTTGGTGTGATAAGAAATTTCTTGTTCGCTTTTACTAGGTTCAAAAAAAAAAAAACCCTAATTGCTGGATGGCTCCTTCCTATATATGTTGTACTGTGGTGTTGAATCATAAGGGGAGTAAGTTGCCTACCATTAATTAATTGTTCCATTTAGAGCCAAAATAAAGGGAAGCAGCGCAAGGTAGCCAACAATGGCCAACTTGGGAAATTTTAACATTCTGCTTTTGATTCTTGCATCACATTCACATACCAATTCAGCTCAGCAATAAAACCTTGATTGTACAAGGAAATGAATGTTCACCATCAACCAAAGATTAAAAAAGTTAAGATGTGATGAGACAAAGTGGTTAGGAAGATTTGTACAAAGAGTTAAATTATCTTTAATGTATCAAACTAGCTACACATGAATACAATGAATATTGTCTCCATCCCCATACAGGGGCCATACCCTATATAATCAAGGCCAATCCCACAGCCTTAGATAAAGAAGGTAAGGTTGGGAATTCATGTGAAAAAAATCCCCAACAAGATGTTAAACCTCACCAAAATGCCACACACTCCAACCACTACTTCTCCCACCAAGACAACTCCCCAAAATTCCTCTCTTCAACCAGAACAAACCTCAACTCACCCTCCTGCCAATGCATTGAAGCAGAAGATGGTATGTAAATCCACTAGCAATGTCCTACAAATGCCGATGAAAATGATAGTGAAACCTACTCCTGTCGAAATAGGTACAAGAGGTACTGTTGGATCCCTCATACTACAAGAAATCGAATTCTTCAACCAGCTCGAATTAGGTCCTCCAGAAAGCTCTCTCAATGGTAGCAGTCAGCTTGAAGTAGATAAGCCTTCTGCAAGTAGCTCTTCCACAAAAATCAAACTTGATTCTCTGGCAACTAAACCAAAGAAGAAGAAGAAGAAAGCAGGCAGCAAGCTCATACCAAGCATGTGTAATATGATAGAAGTGGCAGACAGAAACCAACCAACATTAAAATCAGGATTTTCTTACAGGAACTTGAAGGCTGACGCGAAGAGTCTGCAGACTTAGATAATGCTCTCGGAAAGCTTGGAAAACCCAATTTTCTTCAGGCGATTGGTTATAGGGCTTGCCCATGCTCTTTCTGCCTTCCCACATTTTATGTCAACAACCTCAACCATGTAAGAAAGCCTCTTGTCTGGTTTTTGTCTGATAGGTGTTCCATCCACTGAAATGTTCTCAGAGTCAAGCATTGGAATTTGATTACTCCTTCGGTTGTAATGCTTCGCCTTTGGGATGATTTCACGGTTAATGGAACCAGTTGCATTTTTGCCGCTGCAGCTTGCTTCATTAGGCTGGGGTCTAGGCTTCAATGTCCTTTTAGTGGCAGCACCGGTAGCAATTGAAGCAGAGTTGGAAGGGGAAGTCTTTTTGAAGGATGCAGGTTTCTGAAGCGCGGGTTTTATGGAGTCTAATTCCCTTGACATAAGAGCGCCGATGGTACCTGTAGTTCCAACTTTGATAGAGCCTCCTCCTCCCTTGATCCCTTCTAGTGTCTGAACCATTTCTTTTCTAGTCTCAATTACAACTCAAGACTCTTGAATTTCTAAAGTAGATTTCAAGAAATATTCAGCAAACTCAGTCTTAGACCTGCAGGGCAATAGCATTCATCATGTAAGAGATACAATTGATATCTCCAAACATACTGTTCTGCATAGTTATTACTGAAAGATAAACATCTCCAAGATGAACATTTGCAAGCAAAATTTTCTTTTATTATCATCTTCTAGTGCACAGTCATACTACTGGCGACAAGAGGTCTTTAAATGAGCTAACACATATTTAGACAAAATGGGGAAAATGATACATAGGTGATCCTTCGCCATATAAGAAATATCATCAACTTGCTTAAGACATTACAATAAGTTAGCCTGGTGATCAATGTTTGCTATACTATGATCAACTGTGAATCAACATCATGAAAGAATCAATTGCAGAACTAACATACATCTTGAGAATAGGTAAACCACAAGGAGATCATCACTACTAACATGATTATTAATCAGAGGATAGACACAAAGACTTGACATCAAGCTAAAAAAAAAAAATAATCAAAGCTAACCAAGAATTTAAAAAAATTGCAGTATCAGACTATCAGTAGGCAGTAGCCAACCACCGGACTGTATGACTTTTTAGTTGTTACTGAGCTGGCAAAACTTGTTCATTAAAGATCACAGTCATCATGCTATGAATATGGATTATTGAAAAGTTTGGTTGAAACAATTGGGGGACGACTAGCTTTAAAGAAGTGACCTAATAAAGCTGGTATCAAGTAAAGGAAATCAAATGCACGGTGCAAGATCTTACTGTAGTGCAGAGCATTTAAGACAAACTCTGAAAAATATCCAAATCCCCTAAAATCCCAGTACTTCCCAGTTATGCAATAAAAAGGATACCAATGTCAGATTTTTCACTCAAATCAAATACAGACGATGCAATATTATGCAAATTCAAAGCAAAGAAGCAAGAAATCCGGACGAAATTTCAACCCACAGTCAGAGAAGCGAATTCAGCAAGAAACATCCTACGGCTACAAAATGCATATATTCCATCCAATTAAACATTTCATCTCATCCATCAATGAAACTGAAAAATCCAGCCAACAACAAACTAACATAAGAAATATAGAAAGTGTCAGATCTAAGCTGCAGGGTTCAAAATGGAAAGGACTAACCAAATGGGTCAGAATTCTATCAAATGAGGGAAAAAATTGCTGCAACTATCAAACACTACCAGGAAACAAAAATGGCGGCTGGAGCTTAGACTAGCTAAACCGACCCCTTTGAAGCAGTAACGAAGAAGATGAACGAGAGAACAACAATTGACAAAATACTCCAAAAAAAATGAAATCTTGAAAAGAAAAATTAGAAACAGTGGAATGATTAAAACGTACGATGAATGAATGATGAGTTCAAAGGTTGTAAGCTTTACAAGTCGCTTTCAGATATCTAACCATGTGATGAAGAATGATGCCCATAATTCCCACCTTTTAAGTTAAAAGCCATGATTGTGATTAAGATTGAAAAAGATCAAATTTTTTTGACACATTGTTGTTGTTGATTGTTTAAGCAGTAAAGCAGAGAGCAATTTAATCCAAAAATTATCTTTTTTAACTTTTAGGCTTACCAGTCAACAAAAGGGTTCAGGCAAGATCTGACAACGTATCCGAGCTGTTTGAATAATTAATTATGGGATTTATTATTATTTACCTTTGTCTTTTTCTTGTGCTTTTCTACTGGGATTTTCTTCATTCAACAGTTTGAAACTGGGATAATATGTTACTTGTATTACTTCCAAAATAGAGATAATGTTGTAAAACATTACAAAAAGGCCTGGATTGCAGAGTGTACGGGCCTACTAAAAGTATTAATTGGATCAATTTTGTGAAATAGATTGGGCTGATTTAATACCTATTAATTTTTCGGCCCCTATGACTGGTCAGTGGTCCATGTAAAGTTTTTGTTTCATAACATGATGCATATTTTATTTTTTACAAAATTTTCAATTAATTGTATTTGTCCCACCAAATGAAACTTTATTTATTTATTTATTTTATTATTATTATTATATTTTTTATTTTATTTTTTTTTGGATTCATGCATTCACTCCATCTTCAATTGATGTTGCGGGTTATCTGGCATCATGGTATTAATTTTAGGAAGAATTCGACAGATGTTGTAGAGAGACTGAATTGTTGAACTTCGTGGTGAGTTTCGAGAAGTCAATTTTGTTGCGAATTATCTGACATCATTTAATACCACTCAGATCCTTGGTAAAGTACAATAACTCGAAATTTCGCCGTTGAGAGTTAATCCTTGGCTACAACACAATGTAATCGGGATTTCTATACCATAAATGCAATTCTTTCTTTATAAGGCATAAGCCTCTTTAATAGTAAAAAAAAAAGAAAAAAAAGAAAATCTTCAATTGATAATTTAGTTCTATTATAATGTATGCCGATGAATGACTATGTTGTGAGGTGATGCGAATAATTTTTTTAAATTAATATCATTTCAGGACTGCAAGAGTACATACGTCCTTGCCTTTCTGAATCAAGACTCCCTCCAAGTTTGTAAAAAATTAGCTGTTTCCAATGAAATTTAAGTTATCAATGTCATTCTTAATTAGGTGCATATTATTTTTTTCCCGTTTACATTATCATCTTGTGTTGGTGCATTACATTCTCTTTGATAATTCCTTCTCATTTTTTTTAGTACTCCTTCCGTCCCAAAAAAATAATCCATATTGAGCTTTGAGTTTTGTACTGTTTTTAGTACAAATTTGAAAACTCAATGTAGACTATTTTTGTGGGACGGAGGTAGTATAAAAAACTACTTTATTCAACATGCAGTTGTTCATTTTAAAAACATCTTTTCACATTTTACATAAATATTAATTCTTTTTTCAAAAAAAAGCACAAACATTTATCTTTTCATTGATAGGACACAATAAGAAATAATACATAATCAAAACAAAATTATAATGAAATAGTACCAAAAAATATAAATAATAAAAACTATAAAATGGTGGTAATATTGTTCGTACGGGGAGCTGAATTGATGCTGTTGTCCCATTTCCCAAATGCCTAGGGCCCAGGCTACCACCGAATAAAGTCACAGTAGTCAGTTTTCACTCTTCACTAGAGAAACTTAAAAGAAAAAGAAAAGAAAACAAAAAAAGAGGTTCCTTTTCGTTTCGTTCCCAATACCCAAATTCACCATCGATTGATCACAACAAAGCTGCGATTTTGTTAATGTAAGTTGTATCATCTAGTTGCATTCTAACGATTCTCAAAAGGGTTTTGAGAAATTCGTCTGAAACAAAGTACATTTTCAACACTCTATTTGCATGTTATTCAGGCCTCTTGTGTTTCCCCTGATAAGTTTTTTGCTTTTTTGTTGCCGTTTCAAGTTTTGTGTTCTGGACATGCTGATGAGTATAGGTTATTCTCGATGCATCACCGTTTTTTTTCATTGCCTTTTTTTGGGTTTGGTTTCATTTTGAAGTTTATCTTCTGTGTGTGCTTCGTTTGGGTTCTAAATTGGGAACTGAATTTTCTGAAAAACTCTAAAAACGTCTATGGGTTTGTCTATTCTGTTTGAGTTTTGTGTTTTCTGTTGTTCTGATGCCTGAAGTCTAAAAACCCTTGCGTTCACCGAATTTCAGAAGTGGAGGGTTCTTGGTTTGGTTGTTTGTCTTTTTCTGGGTTTTAATTGTTGAGTTTCTACTGTTTGCTGAGGCATGCAAACTAGTACATTGAGACTACCGATTTTAATCGTTTGTTTCCTTTGCTTCTGCGTTCGTGATCTTTTATGTTTTGTGTTGTTCTCTTAAAAGATTGTAAATTACTCTCAGAAACTTTTTGTAAACGGCAAAAAGCTCACACATAGAATACTCTGTTGAAGGATTTCTCTGTTAGGGTTTATACTGGGCCGATAATGTATAACCGTAGTTTTGATTAAAGTGCCTTTGACCAGGGAAACCATGGTTTGTGATGTAAACCTGTGAGAAACTGGCCAGAATAGAATCTGCTGTCAAAAGGAAATGAATTGAAAAGGGATAGGAAGTTTTAGAAATGGAAGGGGCTGAGCAGAAACCTGAGGAAGTGTTTTGTTTTAATAATAATTGAAGATATTTTTTGGAAATTGGTTTCTGCATTGTCTACGTAATTCACTATTGAAAAGGAATATTATGTTCTGTGATTTGATATTGAACATCTCGCTTTAATGTTCTTAATTAGCAAGTACTGGGCTTGATGTAATATGGCTTTGCTTTTTGGATGTGGTGCCATTTAAATAGCCATTTCTATAAAAGAGTATATCAGTGGGGATTGATTTACTTCTTCTTACTTTTTAACTAGCTGCAGAATTCACATTGATGGGTCCCTGTGATTCTAAAGGAGAGGAAGGAATAGCGAGTAGTAGTAAAGATTATTATAATATTGTTAATGGATCAGGCGACATGGATACAGACAACATTGATCTGGACGATGAGGATGATATGGTGAACTTCAGGTCCAGGGATGAGTTTAAAAAATTGGAGAAATTCTGCAAAGATGCATCAGTGGCATTTTTCGATCAATATGGTCTTATCAGTCACCAGCTTAACTCGTACAATGAATTCATTAAATCTGGACTCCAAGATGTCTTTGATTCTGTGGGAACAATTGAAGTTAACCCTGGATATGATCCTTCGATGAGGGGCGATGTCACTGACTGGAGATATGCATCGGTGAAGTTTGGCAAGGTGACTCTTGAAAAGCCAACATTTTGGACTGGAGATAAGTTTGTTGGGGAGGGTGGTATAGACCAGCGGGATTTGCATCCTCGTCATGCTCGCCTTCAGAATATGACTTATGCATCGAGGATGAGAGTGGAGACTCATCTTCAGGTTAATGCATATATCTGTAAAAATTGTCTTTACATCTATTGCAATTTGCACTTGTAGGATTTCACTCCTAATCGTACATATCTAGGTTTGGAGATAATACTTGAAAAAGATTGTTGTGGTTTTAAATCAATTGTTATTTTCTGAAGATGAACAAACACTAAGCATGAATTTTTACAGATCTGCTAGAAAGTTTAGTCAAACTAAGTACATTTTCCCTTCTGTTACAGATAATATTTCCCTGTGCCTTACATGAAATTTGTTTAAACTTGTTCCTCAGGTTTACACCAAAAAACCTTCTGACAATGATAAATTCAAAACTGGGGTGGAAGGAAATGTGAAAGAGGAGGTTGAAAAGATTGAAACAAAGGAGTTCATAATTGGGAGGCTTCCGGTCATGGTAGGATCTGACATATGCTGGATAAAAGGAGATACCAAGTCTGATTGTGAGTTTGACCATGGTGGATATTTCATTATTAAGGGTGCTGAAAAGGTAACTTTCCAGTATTTTGGTACCTAGAGTTTGTAATATTGACCGAAGTATTGGTGTCAACTCGTTTTTTTATTCTGGTGAAAAGTATTTTGGTACGGTTTGATTTGTAATTTAAATCTGTATCGACCGATAAAATGTGACACTCCTGATAGTTCTGCTTTAGAGTAACACCATGTTATGTTAACACTTCAGGAACAACATATATTTTTGTAAGTTCGTTGCCTTCTTGATTGCTGAATTTTGTTCATTTGCTGGCTGAATTATGAGAATCTACCTCATACTTTTGAGAGAACAATCTTGAAACTCATTTATCATCTCCTTGCATGCCTCGTGTTTCAAATTTTATTGGTAAAGCCTTGCAGTTTGATTTAAGCATTCCTTGAGGGTCTAGTGCATGTTTAACTGCCGAGTACTGTTAGTTACATGTGATCACTTCGGAGATGAATAACCTTTAGTACGCTTGTTTCCATTTTTTTACTCCCCCAGTTAAAATGATCCTAAGATTCATGTGAATAGTTATATCCATCTTTATGTGATAAAATGGTTTCCATTTTTTTATAGTTGTTGAATGTTTCTTGGCTAAAGTTCCTTTCATGGTCATTAGAATTGTTTTATGTAGGTTATCAATGCTAATTTCTGTAATGTTTGCTACAGACGTTCATTGCACAGGAGCAGATCTGCTTGAGAAGACTTTGGATCTCGAGTAGTCCCAGCTGGATAGTAGCTTATCGCCCAGTTTCAAAAAGTAAAAGAGTTTATCTGAAACTGGTAGACAATGACTGTGGAGGGCCGAAAATCCTTACTGTTTACTTCCTTGTGGCTGAAATGCCGGTGTGGATATTATTTTTTGCCCTTGGTGCATCATCTGATAAAGAAATTGTTGATCTTATCGATTTGGACATCAAGGACACAAATATATCCAACATTATCATAGCATCGATTTATCATGCTGACAAGACTTGTGAAGGCTTCCGCAAAAATAAGAATGCTCTCCGTTATGTGGAGAGTCTTAAAGAGAAAAGCAGATTTCCACCGAAAGAAACCATTGAAGATTTATTCAGCGAGTTACTTTTTCCAAGCTTAAAGGGCTTTAAGCAGAAGGCTCGCTTTCTCGGTTATATGGTGAAATGTCTGTTGGAAGCCTATACTGGCAAGAGAAAAGTTGATAACAGAGACGATTTCAGAAACAAGAGACTCGAGTTGGCTGCTGAGCTTCTTGAGCGGGAGTTGAAGGTCCACCTTAAACATGCTGAAAGACGAATGATCAAGTTCATGCAGAAAGATCTTTATGGAGATAAGGAAGTGCAAACTGTTGATCACTACTTGGATGCTTCAATCATTAGTAATGGTCTCTCCCGGGCCTTTTCCACTGGGGCATGGGTTCATCCGTACAAGAAAATGGAAAGGGTTTCTGGTGTGGTTGCCACTCTTAGGCGAACAAATCCATTGCAGGCAACTGCTGACATGAGGAGAACCAGGCAACAGGTTACATATACTGGGAGGGTTGGTGATGCTAGATATCCGTAAGAAAATCAACCTTTTCCAGTCTGAGTTATTCGTCTTCATTAATTAATTAAGATTCTCAAATTGACTTAGAATCTCTAAATGTCATCTTGATATTGTGGTTGAACTACTACTGTTCTGAGAATTTTACTTTTCCAGTACATGTGAAATTGTCTACCTTGTTAAAGTGCTTGAGCTCAATATATTGACCATTTTTAGCTGAAGCAATTACCTTCTTGTTTAACCATCAATGAAAAGATTTTTCTTTTGGTCTTCTGGTTGAGGAATAATCTGTCTGGAACGTTTGGCAATATCACGATACCATTCTTTGTGTTTATGTTTTGATAAACCTTTTTTTCTCCCTCACACTAGAAAGGTTCTTAGGCATTTGTCATTGTGTGAATGTTGATTGTCTAGGACTTTCGTGCAACTTCGTCTTTCATCTCTCTGGGTAATTAAACTTGCGAAAGCATTTACTTGCAGTTATTGTTCCAGGAGTCGGGGAAACTGGCTTAAGATATTGAAATTCAGCAAAAGACACTGCGTACTTGAAAGATTTTTGAAGTCCTTTAAGTCATTCATAGTTGCTTAGTTTAAGCTTTGCTAATAATTAATATGCATGAGCCCTCTATCTTTTGGCCTCTGTCAAGTGCTAATCAATGATGGTTGAAATTTGCAATGCAGGCATCCTTCACACTGGGGAAAGGTATGTTTCCTGTCCACTCCAGATGGAGAAAATTGTGGGCTTGTGAAAAATTTGGCCAGTTTGGGACTAGTTACTACAGCAGTATCAGAATCTCTACTCAGCAAGTTCAATGACATTGGCATGAAAGAGTTAATGGATAATACTTCATCTATGCAACATGGAGAGTACAAAATTTTTGTAGATGGAAACTGGGTTGGAACTTGCGCAGATTCAGAAAGTTTTGTAGCAACTCTGAGGAGTATGCGCCGCGACAAGGAAATCAACCAGCAGGTTCCCCCCCCCCCGTATCATTTGCTTTTATGCTTTTACTCAACAAGTCCCCGTTCGACTGAAATCTGTGTGAAACCCTTGTCTATTATATTGTTAACTTTTTCCAACTGCTGGTTATTACATCTCTACCTGTATAGATGCTCGTACTCTAGGTTATGTGGCTAGTTTTCTTTTGTTATTGTCAATCATAAATGTTGTTCCTGCTATCTTTGCTGTCTGATATGGTTTCCTTGTAGGTGGAAATCAAAAGAGATGAATTGCATGGAGAAGTTCGGATATTTTCTGATGCTGGAAGAATTCTTCGCCCTCTTCTAGTTGTTGATAATCTTAGGAAAATTAAAGATCTTAAAGGTGGCAGCTTTTGCTTTCAGACTCTTTTGGACAATGGGATAGTTGAGCTTATTGGACCAGAAGAGGAAGAAGATTGTGTTGCCGCATGGGGACTTGAATGCCTGCTGAGGGCAAGTCAAGAGGACCCACCCAGAAAGTATACACATTGTGAACTTGACATGTCATTCTTGTTGGGTTTGAGTTGTGGTATTATCCCATTCGCAAATCATGATCATGCACGTAGAGTCCTTTATCAGTCCGCTAAGCATTCTCAGCAGGCCATAGGTTTTTGCACCACAAATCCAAACATAAGGGTGGATACAAATATTCATCAACTGTACTATCCTCAGAGGCCTCTTTTCCGAACCATGCTTTCAGATTCTCTCGGGAAACCCTCAGATCCTCGTCATAAGGGCATGTTGGCACGCCCTGAGTACTACAATGGGCAATGTGCTATAGTAGCAGTTAATGTGCACATGGGGTACAACCAGGAGGACTCCTTAGTGATGAATCGAGCTTCACTAGAACGTGGCATGTTTCGTTCTGAACATATAAGATCCTATAAGGCGGAGGTAGATGAGCAGGATGCGTCGGCAAAGATGCAAAAGTCTGTGGATGCTGTTAAGTTTGGAAAGACACAAAGTAAAATTGGGCGTGTTGACAGCCTTGATGATGATGGTTTTCCATTTATTGGTGCTAGTCTTCAAACAGGTGACATAGTCATTGGGAAGTATGCGGAATCGGGTGCGGACCATAGTGTTAAACTCAAGCACACTGAAAGAGGCATTGTGCAGAAGGTTATCTTGTCTGCTAATGATGATGGCAAGAACTTTGCTGCGGTATCCTTGAGACAGGTATCATTTATTTTACAGCTATTAGGATGGTACACTGTAATAATGAGTCCAAGAAAACATTTTTGTACTGAATTTCGAATAACTCAATGACTTCAATTGTCAACTGCATGGAATGTATGCTGCTTGGATGATTCTGTTGCTTGATCATTAGATCTATTTGAGATCATTTTTTTTGCCTCAACTTTTCTTCTCTGCCAATTGCCTAGTGCGTGTTACTTGTGTAGGTTCGTTCACCATGTCTGGGAGACAAATTCTCAAGTATGCATGGACAAAAAGGTGTTCTTGGTTTCCTCGAGTCTCAGGAGAACTTTCCCTTCACGGTGCAAGGCATTGTCCCAGACATTGTGATCAACCCACATGCATTTCCTTCACGACAAACTCCTGGACAACTGTTGGAGACTGCTTTGGCTAAGGGGATTGCACTTGGTGGATTTCAAAAATATGCCACCCCATTTTCCGCTGCAACAGTTGATGTCATAACAGACCAGCTTCACAGGTTATTCCAGCAATCCTGTAACATCGCATGCTCCTATTCAGCTATATCTGTTTACGCTCTTGTGATTTGCTTCCATTTTAAATTACTAACTGTGTCGGAAGATTATATTCTGGCAGCCTTGGATTTTCAAGATGGGGAAACGAGAGAGTGTACGACGGACGGACTGGTGAAATGGTTAGCCACCTTATCTTCATGGGGCCAACATTTTATCAACGGCTCACTCACATGGCAGAAGACAAAGTGAAGTTTCGAAATACTGGACCTGTTCACCCACTCACCCGTCAGCCCGTGGCAGACAGAAAGCGTTTTGGTGGGATTAAATTTGGTGAGATGGAGAGGGATTGTCTCATAGCCCATGGTGCTTCTGCTAACCTGCATGAGCGCCTCTTCACACTGAGTGATTGCTCGCAGATGTACATCTGCCGCCAGTGCAAACACATGGCGAATGTGATTCAGAGACCACTGCTTGGTGGGCGTAAGCTTCGTGGCCCATATTGCCGGAATTGTGAATCTGCCGAGAACATTGTTAAGGCTAGTGTCCCCTATGGCGCCAAGTTGCTTTGTCAGGAGCTTTTTAGCATGGGCATATCTCTTAAATTCGACACAGAGCTAAACTGAGGGTTTGGATTATCTTCTCGGGTCTTCCACCGCAATCTGGCGAGTGTTGCTATAAGAAAGCTTGGACAGGGAAGTAAGGGTTCGTTGCTTGAGTTCAATCATGGCTAAATGAGAGGTAAGTGAGGAAGAAGAAGATCTGGAAGGGGTTGTCCGGGTTGAATCAGTTTTTGTGCCCTGGGCTGGAGTGCATATTTTGTTCAGTACCAACTTTAGGGTAAAACAGTATCTATTGTGCTCAGAATCATCTGTGTATATATACGTAATGCTCGTGCGGGAGCTGTAGACAATGATCCAACTTTTTTTCCGCTGGTTTTGGGTTGCATCTGGTAACATGCAGCTTCGAAACTTGTTTAACAGATGCTTTGTTCTAAATTTTCGCTTTAGATTCGTGAGTACATCCTTCATTTGAATGCGCAAAACAGAAATTCCTCCAAGAACAATCGCATGAATAACGATGCTTCACACTAATTTTTGCACATAGACTAAAAATGTCATTGGAAATCCTCATTATATAAAGCCAGAATGAGCAGTGGGCATTATTATGGTTAAGCTATAGTCCAACTTCAGCAGTAGTGAACCATTGTTGGCTACCCTAAACCCTAAACCAGTGGGCATTATTAGACAAGTAGTAGTGAACCATTCTTGGCTATCACCAACAAAACAGTAAGGGCAAAAGAACACCTTTCTTGGTTGTTAGGCTAAAGTCCAACTTCAGTTTATGGGTTATTTCACATTTGGGCATGAAAATAAAAAACTAGCATCATTCTTATGGCCGTATTACATTCAAATTTCCAAGTTGCAAAACATGATATAATAGGCTCCCCTCTACTATGATTCAAAATTCCTAAATTACTAATCTCTCCCTAAGTCATATGGCTCCATTCTAATTTAAACATTTCTGTTGGCAAAACAGATCAAGATTTAACACTAATCAACATGGACCACAACTAGTAGTAATAAAAAATACTAACATGAAAGACTAATTATCAGTACTAACTAAACTAAATAGTACTAGTAGTATAGTAGCAGTTAATCAATCAATCAATCAAATCAGATCTCCATCTCCCTCTCCCTCCCCTTTACTCCTTTCCTCATCTAAAAATCCTTCATTTTTGCTTCCAATCCACTTTACTTTACTTCCCACCTTTTTTCTTCCTTTCATTCACCATTTCATTATGTCCATCCACCGCACAATGAGTTCACAATTCACCATTCCATAAGCATTCGCATTCATCACTCTGTTTTACTTGATTAACAGTAGTTGAATCTTGAAGGAGTATTTTGAATTTTTGGGGTTCTGGAAATTTTTTTTCAAAAAATGAGTACTTCTGTAAAATCTTCTTCAAAACCCACAAAACCCTCAAACCAATCATCAACCCAGACAACCCCGTCAAGATCTTCGTCTTCCTCACTTACCTCTCATTTAGCCATGATTGAACTCAAGCAAAGAATCCTTACTTCCCTGTCCAAGCTTTCCGATAGGGACACTCACCAGATCGCGGTGGAAGACCTCGAGAAGATTATCCAAACCCTCTCAAACGACGGCGTCCCAATGCTCCTCAACTGCCTCTACGACGCCACCAACGACCCTAAACCCGCCGTGAAGAAGGAATCTCTGCGTCTCCTCGGCGTCCTCTGTGCTTCCCACACCGATTCCGCGGCGACCCATTTGACCAAAATTATAGCCCACATTGTCAAACGCCTCAAGGACTCGGATACTGCGGTTAGGGATGCCTGCCGTGATGCCATTGGATCGCTGTCCTCGCTGTATTTGAAAGGGGAAGGGGTGGATCAGAATGTGGCGCTGAATTCAGTCGTTGGCTTGTTTGCGAAGCCATTGTTTGAGGCTATGAGTGAGAATAATAAGACAGTTCAAGGTGGGGCTGGAATGTGTATGGCCAAGATGGTGGAATGTGCTTCCGACCCTCCTGTAATGTCTTTTCAGAAACTTTGTTCCAGGATTGGCAAGTACCTTAATAGCCCCAATTTCATTGCAAAGGCTTCCTTGTTGCCTGTTGTTTCTAGCTTATCCCAGGTAAGAACATTGTATCGGAAAAATTTGATTATCCCCAATTTCAGCTGGATCAGTTTTCTATATGGTATTGTTATTTGCTTAAATCAACTTGGTTGTCATTGCCTTCAAAAAAAAAAAAAAAAACTCGGTTGTCATTCATTTTTGGCCCAATAATGGTAGTTTTGGGTGTCCATTCGAATGATTCAAGAGTTTCTGAGTGAGTTCTGATCTTCTGAGTATCTTGCAATCATGGAGAAAATATTACTAATAAATGTACTAGGATTTTATTAGCATGCATCCGATTCTCTTGGGTCTTCTGAAGTGTTGGACTAGTGTTTCTGCTTAACCATGGAATACAATTGCCTTGATTGAATTTACCCAATTGAGAATGTTATCTGCTTTCCTTAGTAGGCAAATTTGATGGAGTGAAATTTCAGGTTATCAATATCCACGCCCGTATAGCATGGTGCTAGTTTTGTGTCTTGAAAAATCGTGCCGGTTTCAATGGGACAATCTTATTGGTTTCAGGTGGGAGCTATTGCACCACAAAGCCTGGACTCTTTGTTGCAAAGCATTCATGAGTGTCTTAGCAGTTCAGATTGGGCAACTCGCAAGGCTGCAGGTGACACATTGGTTGTTTTGGCGTTGCACTCAAGCACTTTAGTAGCTGAGAGGACCAATGCGACACTTGCTGTGCTAGAGGCTTGCCGATTTGACAAAGTATGTGCTTATACCAATCTTGTCTAAAGATGATCAATGTTAGATATGTTATCTTCAGTGTGCTATTTTCTTTCCTAATGCCAGGCGCCCACCCCCACACCCCCTCCCTCCCTAAAAAGAAGGAAAAGAAAAGAAAAGAAAGTGTATGAAGAGGAACTATTTAAATATATTTACTTTGGGTTATAGTTATCTTTGCTTTAAAGCATTTCTGGATTTTGATTTTTACATTTAACTGTGAACTGGTTTTGAGCTCTGGTAAATTTTGAGTTTTAATGTAATAAACTGGTAATCTTGAATATCTTAATCTGTGGTCTCAGATTTGAAATGCCTTGTTTAGTCTACAAGCAATCTACTAACAATTTTTACTCTGTATCCCAGATCAAACCAGTCAGGGATAGTATAACAGAAGCTTTGCAGCTGTGGAAAAAAATTGCCGGAAAAGGAGATGGAGCTTCAGACGACCAGAAGAACTCGGCAAATGGTGTGCTTGGATTTTATATTTTGTTCTATCTCTTCTTGATTCAGAGGTTAAATTTCTCACTTTTTAAGCATTGCTTCATAAAAATTTCAGATGGTGAAACTACTGAAACAGCTGAACTCTCAGAAAAATACCAACGAAATACTGGTGAGAAAAGGAGCGAATCAAAATTGAAGGATTCATCCAATGGTTCGTCTTCTGATGATCCACATCTTAAAGCCTCAGGTAATGACATTATGGATAAGGCAGTAGGTATACTGAGGAAGAAGGCGCCGACCTTAACAGATAAGGGATTGAACCCTGAGTTCTTCCAGAAGCTTGAAACAAGGAGTTCAGATGATCTTCCTGTGGAAGTAGTTGTCCCTCGCCGATGCTTCAATTCATCAACTTCGCAGAATGAAGAAGGCATCGATTCAAGGGAAAGGATAAGACCTAGCTGTCAGCCTGATGATGGTTCTGCTGAATTTAGATACCGTAATACAGAGAAAAGCACTTCTGGTTATAATTTTAGAGAGAGAGATACCGATGATATGAGTGAGCTAAATCAAAGAGATTCATATGGAGGCTTTCCCAAGAATGTTGGACAATCTGAAAGTTTTGCAAACAATAAGGGAAATTGGCTGGGTATACAGAGGCAACTGTTACAACTTGAGAGGCAACAGACTCATCTGATGAACATGTTACAGGTCTACTTGAGAACCATGCAATTTGAAGAAATATTCTTACCTCCCAATTTTCCCTAACTCTTGTTTTGATATTGTAGGATTTCATGGGCGGTTCTCATGATAGTATGGTGACGCTTGAGAACAGAGTTAGAGGACTCGAAAGAGTAGTTGAAGATATGGCACGGGATTTTTCAATTACAGGTCGAAGAGGTACAAACTTTATGACTGGATTTGATGGATCTACGAATAGGAGTGCTGGAAAGTACAATGGCTTCTCTGACTATTCTAGTGCTAAGTTGGGAAGCTGTGGTGATGGAAGGATTCCCTTTGAGAGATTTGCACCTTCTGATATCAGACCTTCAGGCACAAGGGGAAAGGGCCCTTCTTGGAGATCTGATGCACACGAGACCTGGGATTTTCAAACATATGGTCGAAATGGGCAAACAAATTCTAGAAGAACATTTGGTGGTGGTCCTGTTGATACTAGGTCTCCAAAATCAGAAAATGATGCTGATCAAGTCGGCAGCAGGAGAGCTTGGGACCGAGGAGCTGGACCTGTTCGATTTGGTGAGGGGCCATCTGCTAGAAGTGTTTGGCAAGCTTCAAAAGATGAGGCAACTCTAGAAGCTATTAGAGTGGCTGGCGAAGATGCTGGAGCTTCTCGAAGTGCACGAGTAGCAGTGCCAGAAATGACTGCTGAAGCATTAGGCGACGATGGGATGGTTCAAGAAAGGGACCCTGTCTGGAATTCTTGGATGAACGCAATGGATGCACTTCATGTGGGCGATACAGATTCAGCTTTTGCGGAAGTCTTATCTACTCGAGATGATGTTTTACTCGTAAAGTTAATGGACCGCACAGGGCCTGTCATCGATCAACTCTCCAGTGATGTGACTATCGAGGTTTTGCATGTTATCTCCCAATTTTTGCTGGAGCAGAACTTGTTTGACCTGTGTTTATCTTGGGTTCAGCAGGTAAAATATTTCTCTTTCCCATAATGTGTGAAAACATCAAGCATCTTGATAGACTAATCATTTGTGCCTTATTTGAATTTCAAAAAGAACTCTGCCGGCAGAGACCTAGGAATGCAGATTTCAGTATTTTCGCTTACTGCAAATGATTACGTTTAAGTTACAATGACAGTTTGTTCTAACTCGGGTTTTGCATCTTTTTTCCTTTCTTCTTTTGGTTCTCCTATTAGTTGGTGGAAATCATTGTGGAAAATGGACCTGATGTCTTTGGCATTCCTATGGATGTAAAGAGAGAGATTCTATTGAATTTGCACGAAGCTTCTTCAGTAATAGAATTACCTGAAGACTGGGAAGGTGCAACACCAGACCAGCTTATGTTTCAGTTGGCATCTGCCTGGGAAATTGATTTGAAACAGTTGGAGAAATGATCAACCCATGATTGGTGATCGTTGTATTTTGTTGAAAGATTACCTATTTATTTTTTATTTTTTTCTAAATTTTTGTATTTAGTAGTAGTGTTGGTTGTAGTAAGAACTTATTGAAGTAACCACACCACCATTTCTCAAATCAGTTTGATGCCGACTTCTTCATGCAGTGTTCAAGTTGTCAAACCTCTGCTGATTCTGCTAAGTTCAGAAAATGATTTCTTTCAGCTCATCAGTCCACATTCAATCTAGGACCTAAGTGTAGCAATCAACAACATAGTAAAAAAAAAAAAGAAGAACAGTTTACTCCATGCAAATCAGCTGCCCCATTTGTTCCTGATGGAAAGGAGTAGAGGGCAAGGCACAGGTGACAGCACTGACAGGCCTGAGATTGTGCACTCATTGTAGGCGTAAAAAATTCAGTTTAAAAATCACCAAGGCATGGAAAAGCTTACAAAATAAGTGAAGTAATTTCTTTTGCCTTTCGTGAATCAACTTCAAGTCGAGGGAAACGCCAACATAGATCAATTTCGTCAGCCACTAGGATGTAGATACACGACAAAATTCTCCCACAGAAAGAGTTTCTCTACCAAAATTGTGGGGGAAGATGTCAAATTGCCACGAAAGCAACATAATCAACTACAACATCAAAGAATTGACGATTTATATATACAACACTCACGAGGAATTTTCTTTATATACAAAACATATCCAGGCTTCCTACTGCAACCGCCAAATCGAAGAATAAACAAAAGTTCTGTTAACAAAAATGGAGGATCTTCAGCAGAGAATATGTTAGACATGGAGAAAGTTGATGGGTACATCCAATATCACCCCGAGCTCTTCATGGTGGGGAGGAATCGGCGCAGCTACAACATACTCTATTGATAACATCACCTACTTGCCAGCATACCAGTTTTGTGCACACTTGGCATCAACAGCTAAATCGACCTTAAGAATATTCTTACCATCAAATGGTTTCGACATGCATTCAACCACTATGGCTTTGGCAATCTCTGCTGACTCTGTTGGACCTTCAAGGATAACTTCATCGTGAACCTGTTCCAGACAGAATTTCATGTGATTGGCCAGACCATGGAGAATCAATTCAGCTTACGAGTCAACATTTAACTCGTTATGGTTTAAAAGGCAAGGTAAGCATATATAAAGACTACGACGGACTTGTTCAGGTTAATATAGAACCAACCTGCAAAAGCAACTTCCAACCAAGCTCCTTTAATTGTTCATTCTTTGAAATCTCCAACATGGCACACATAGCAACATCTGCAGCACTTCCCTGTTGCAAATTTTTGTTGTGGAAATTGAAGATTTATTAGGAAAACCGAGAGAAAAACACAAGATTTCAGGTTAACACTAACTAGTCATAGTAATTGCAACATAACAGGAACAACACCCATGATTCAGTAGTCTGTTTTGAGCAAATTTTCCACATATTATACCCAGGGAAAATCTTCAGTAATCTATTTGAAATTCATGTAAATTTCAGACTAGAAATTTTGTGGCGGTTTTATCAGACACCATCTTACGTGTGCTTCCTATTTCCAGAAGCATGCAAAACAGGATAAATCCTTCTGAAATGGTGAAATCATAGTTCATGGTGGGAACAAAAATATACATTTCATTGCATTTGTATGAGAAATCCTTAAGTAGAAGCTTATTTTATTTTCACAAAACTAACTTCAAAATACCACTTCACTTGACTTGATTTCCAGAGGCTACAGGATAGCGAAATTCCCACATACAGAAGAGTGAGGAGTTGTCAAAATAGAGCATGTGAATAACGAGATAAGAAATAGCTCAAGGCCAATAGCACCCAAGTCCAAGAATAACAATAAAATTAAGGCTGGATTCTCATATCCCTCTTCGACACTTTTTTTTTCTCATATTTGTTCTGTTTGCTAACTATTCAAAGGGTTCAGAACATGGAACTCTAAAACATTCACTAAAACAGTAGCCCACCCAAGCAAGGAAGCAGCAAATAACAGAACAAGGTACCGGGGAAGTCTTAAACTAAAATCAGAAAGACACCTGAACTGGCGTGTTGATTGCAGCTCGATCAATATGATTTTTCTGTCCTGCACTAGCATTTTTCTGTAAAGGAAACCGCCGTGCTCTACCCAGCAATGTATGGACACGGTTACTCGAACGAGCTTCAGCTTTGCGGTCTTCTTGCCATTTCAGCACTTCTTTCCTGTCACTATACCAGAGATCGACAGTATTTCTAGCTTCTTCAACAGAAACCTGATAATAAGATCAATGTTAGGCCAAGCGCAAGCAGATTGGGGTGCATTGATTTAAAAATGGTAACTTATTTTTTAACTGACCTTCCAATCACGAGCAAGGCCCACAGCAGTTTTCCCATAAGCTATGGAGAAATTGAGCATCTTTGCTTTCCTTCTTTCAGATGCGAATGCATCCTAGCAAAAGAATACGAAAATATTAACTCTAGGAAAAGTGAAGGCACAATTTAACACTCATCCCAGAACAAACAACGCAGCTCGACAATTAGGTGATTCAACTACACAACAGCGGAATGGAAGATGCCTAACCAAAACAATAATGGAAAAGCTCCTCTAGAGAATTTAGTTTCAACTATTTAGTTTCAACACAAGCAGACCAATTCAATGCTTTAAGTCCAAATTTAAATGAATAACCACCATACAAAATCAGAAAATACTTGTGAAGTTTCTCAAGGGGCGGCATGTTAGCTGATTTTCCCCTTTCTAATTTGAGTTAAAATAAATATGATCCCAGATCAAAAGTATACTCTTAGCTGTTAAAGATTATCAACTCCTTCAGACAACATTAGTTCATACGCTGACAGGAACATGTAAACTCTCAAGGCACAAATCTTCCCCATCATGAACGGGAAGCACTTTAGAAATTCCACATTGACCTCCACCCAAATCATTATACACTAATAATTACTTCCCATGCCAGCTAGAGCAAAATTATTAAAACTACTTGCCACAATTAAAACTTTCTCCACCAAATAATAAAAGCGTTAGCATGGTACAACAGCCATCAATCAGCATCATTTTCGTTATAACGCACTCTGAATTCAACGGGCTCATGTTAAAACTCAGTAATATTTAATAAAAGTATACCTTCAGTAAGGGAACTGGAGGCTTCTCTTCACCAGGTTGAGGATACCATTCAAGAAGCACATGCTTCTTTTCAATGGCCTCTCGAATATGTGGATACATGTTCATTGCTGTCCTTGAATGGAAATCTCCACCAGCTTCAAAAGCATGCAACATGCTCTTGCAGTTGGCCAGATGTGCAAGAATTCGAAGTTCCAGCTGATTAAAAGATGGGTAAAGATGGGTTAATTAAGCCAAGAAGCAACACAAAATGGTTTGCAATATATTAATAAGTGCCATACTGTTTTACCTGCCCATAGTCAGCGACAATCAAGGAGTTCCCTGGTGCAGCTATAAAGGCTTGACGAATCTTATACCTGTCTTTCTCCAAAGCAGGTTGGTTCTGCTCGTCATAAAAATAAATAAATAAGGCTCTAGTTAAGGAAATTTAAACCACTCAGTCCAGAAAGCATCTGAGTTAAGTAAAATTTGCTTACAAAACAAACACAAAATGAAGAAAACTAAAGAAAATGGTAAACAAATAGAAACAGTAGAAGACCAGGCAATCAAAAAAGAGATCCTAGAATTTTGCTAGCTACTTTTTCGCAGACTCTAGACATAATAATCACATCGTCAAATATTTTTAGACCAAAAAATTTAGGCTAAAATCACAATATTTGAAAAGGTCATGTCACAACTTTTATCAATTTAACAGCAGCAGAATTGAATATCTGATCCGGATCAAGTTCATAGCAATCACAGTTTGACAAGCTAGCTTGATGCAATCAGATACATTTGTGCAACAAACCTGCAAATTTGGTCGCCTAGCTGACAGTCGTCCAGTTTCGGTGTTAATATTAAGAGAACAGTGAATTCGTCCATTCTTGCCTGATATATGATCCCCCTACGAAAACAGAAAAGAAAGTTAACATGACTCATAAGAAGGATCGAAAGCGGAGGCCAAAAAAGAGGCATCCACGAGAATTCTGATAAACAAAGAGTTAGCAAATGCAAACATCAGTCACCCGGGCAGTTAAATATAACACTCCATCTTATTCCAAAACACATTGTTTTCTAGTTCTTTATCACAAAGCTCAAAAGCTTTTTCACTAAGCTCAAGAATGTTATCAGAGGTGGAAAAATAAAACTGGAAAGGTTCACAAACCAAAGGTAAAATGCAAAAAGTATATGAGGGGAAAAAAAAAGAAAAACAACATCAGTGGAGCTTTTCTTTTATATCTAGAATTCCATCTGTCTAAACACTGATTCTTTTTTCACTCACTTCATGATAGGAAATCCTGATCTCTGAAGCTAAACAGTAAAAAAAAATTATCTATTGTGGTTTTGTTAGGAGTTTTCTCTCATAGAACAGCTACTTGCTTGGAACCTAACCTGCAAAGGTAGGATGAAGTTGGATATCAAAGAGTCAATTGAGCAAATTTCACATAAAGCAGAAATGGCATGGCTAGCCTCAATTCCTTGCTCTCCTCCAATCACAGAACCAGCTAATTTATCCATGTCATTGGTTTCATTCGCTTCGGACGCAGTGATGCAATCGTCAGACTGCAATTCCACATCTTCATAAATGATGTCATATTCATCAGAAACATTCCCAGCAAGTGCTTTCAAAGCATCTCCGCTAACAGAGGGCCAACCACTGGCTGTGTACAAATCCGTCTTCATTGGCTCATCAAAAATCCTATGCAGGGTAATGGTACGAAATTTTGTTGGGGCTTTCTTTCCTTTTTCAATTACTTTGTCAATGTTTGGCACTTTGAACTCCCTCTTTACTGGAAGAGTCTCATCCGGGTTCTTTCTGCAAACAAATAAAGCAGGGATAACCACATAAAGAGTTCATCAATTTAATCACATCAAAAATAAATCTCTAACTCAGAGAAGGGGCATAGAGGGAAAAAAAAGATTGCAAGAAAGGAAGTTTACGTCATTTAAGAAAAGTAGAAGGGAAGTCAGGCCAAAAAGAAAAAGAAAAAAGATTATTCACCACTGCACAAATGTAAAGCACATGATTTTAAATGCATACTTGTTCTGAATGCCACCAAAGAAGAGCTGGCGTAGTTGAGCGTCACTTCCCACATTCATATGATAAGCATCAGAACAATACTCCGCAGCCCAGTTGCGAAATTTTTTAGCAGCAATCTTTTGCTCTGCCTTGGCCACCTTCTCAATTTCAGCAAGGTACTCACGGTCAACCAGCATCCCTTCTGCTTCCATTTTCACGAGAAGCTCACCAAATGGCCGCCAATATTGTTGGTAGAAGTCAAACATTGTTCCTCTCGTAGCTCCATCCAGCTTCCACTCGGTATTGGACAATTTATGTTTCAAACTCTCGTAGAGTCTAAATGTGCTAATTGAATCCAATGCAGAATAGCAAATCCAAGGGATGCGCTCAGCCCTTTGGAGCTCTTCCACAGAAGGGATGGTGATAACCTTACCCTCAGAACCATCTTTTTTCACTTTTCTGCGGCCAAAAATTGTTTTCATCGACACCTTACCAATCAACTCTTCACCAGGGCCCAAATTTGCGTGACTCATGACACGGACATCGCCGGTAAGTGCTTCCAAAGAATATCCACCTTCCAATCTTCTGGATGAATTCCACAGTCGCGCCATGTGCATTGTATCAGCAAAAAAGCCAGCAAGTTTAATCCCATAATTCTCTATAACATGGTTGTCAAAGCTATAATTATGCCACACCTACAGATATACAAGGAAATTCTATCAATATTAAGAAGTTTTTCCAAGCAAGCAATGAGCAACAAAGAGCTACAGAGGAGAAATATATGAGAGATGACTTTACTTTCTTAATGGAACGGTTCTCAAAAAAGGGAGCAAATTCTGCCAAAATATCGTTTCCACCACCATCTAGAACATCAACCCAGAGGCAAGACTTTCCATTACCAAAATCAGCTTCTGGTCCAGAGTATATACTAAAGCATGTGATTTCCCCATGATCGACTGGGGTTTCCTGCTTAACGTCAATCTTCGATACCTACAGACGATATCCAACAGTGCACAGAGTAAGCAGAATGATATTAATAAGCAGTGGATATACGCTATACATGAAGAAACTAAACCAACTAAAAGTATATGAGAGACACAGTGCACATAGTACACCAGAATGATATTACTAAGCAGCAGACATAAGTTATATACATAAAGAAATAATATTCACTAAAAGAAGGTATTATGTCAATCTCTATCAAAAATTTCGATATATTGTACAAACTACTCAAGCAGGAAGATGTACCTCTGTGTCACATGCATGGATCCGATCTCTGTATTCGTGCGTAAGTAGTGACACGACTGCCTTAGCTGCAGGTACAGAATCCACTACCAGAACATTCTCTGATATAGAACATAGCCTCTCATAAAGATTTGAACCATTGCCCTCATTCACTACGGAAGCTCTTTCCTGTTTGACAACTACTACAGGTTGTGAGGGACTAGGTTTGATAGGTTTTGGTTGCGTCGTCCTAGAATGAACATTCAACTGCCTATCTAATGTAATTTCTTGAGTATCTGGTATATAGGGGATAACGGTACTTGGAAACCTCTCCTCGATTTTATCTGGTGCAATTTCAGTCTCAGTAACATTGAGTTGGCTCTGAGTTACTGAAGAAGAAGTCAAATCATGAAACTTCTGTGGGATGCAAGGCAAATTACAACTTGCAATTCTCTTCTCTACTTCTGAGCCTCCCCGTTCAGCAATATATGCTTCTTTGCTTCTTCTATAATCCACAGTCTCGTCAACCCAACTGCTGTAAATCGGATTAGAATAGCGTCGTACAGACCTGAGCATACAGCCGATATAAAGGAAACCATGTTCAATAATTTAGTAATAAAAGCATCAACTAACATGCGAAATCTGCATGTATATAGTTTTAAGTTTTAACAGAATTTCTGAAAGGAAAATAACATAATACTTGTAAACGACCTAAAACCTCCGCAACGCATGATTTCTATTGCTGACTGATACCTACACACTTCTGTATTACACCAAGAGAATCTGTATGTAAGGCTACCATCAAAGAGGACATACAGAACGTGCAATGTTGATGCGACAATGGAACAAATGCTATGAAAAATCCAATTAAAACGAAACAGGAACAACAATTGACAATTAACGGGTGGAACAGTTGAGACTGGTATTGCAAATAAGCCTCCAACACCAACCCCCATCCCCCAAAAGGGGAAAAAAAATGCACCTAAAACTTTCCCTAAAGCATGATTTCTAATACTACCTAATATCTACACACTTCGGTCCTGAATCCATACATGAGGTCACGGTCAAAGAGAACGCACAGAATGTGCATTGTTGACTCCACAGCTGAACAAATGCTCTGTAAAAACCCAATCAAAAGGACATAGGAATAAAATTTGACACGAACGGCCGGAACAGTAGAGAACGGCATTGCAAATAAAAGCCGCCAACACACATACACACACAAAATAAATAAATAAAATCCAATAGTCCATGACTCCTTTTAAGCGAATTCTCGAGACAAAGGAGCTAAAAACAAGAAACCACTCCAGCAAAATGCACATGAAGCAACGGTAAGTGGAAAGCAAATGTACCTGAAAAAGCCACGGTTAGAAGCTGCCCAAAACGAGCGGGAAGAAGTATTTCGCTGAGGACCTGAAGAACGGCAAGAGCAGGAATAAGTTCGCCGCAGCCGCCGCGGCGGCGGCAGCTTAAAAGGGGCGGTGGTCTTAGAAGAAGTAGCAGTAAACCCCATTGATGAAGCTGAAGCCATGGCTTCTGCAACTCTAACAAGCTTATGGCTTGCGCCACTCACTCTACCGTAAGGAACAGCCGTTTTGAAGACCTGATGATTTTCACCTTAAAACAAGATTATCCCTTTTTTCTCCCCTCCCAAATTTTTCCTAGTGGCCCTCTTAAACTTTTTTTACAGCCGGGTTTCAGAAAGGGCCATAGTAATTACTGCGTCCTGTCTGAAACTGGCCGTGACTCTTCGTTGACACATAGTGGGCAGAGAAGATGGAAAGATTTTGGGGGAAAATTATTTGGAAACAAACAGAAAGTGTATAAAGTTTAAACCTTTGTTTAAGAAAACACCCCACAATTGATTGAAAAGATAGTAATAATCCGATGTTAAGGACAGTCCGCTTATTTCCTGGAGTAATGTTGTTTCTGTCGCGTTGACACAGTTGACTGTCAACAAAATTACTCTTTCTTTTTGTTCCAATAAACAGTGAATTCAAGCCTAAATATTTATACGTCTCTTATATCGTGTTGTAATCATAGCTTGACTTCGATAATAAAACCTCCAACAAAATACTTTTCCTTCTGAACTATCAGTATGTAATATTAAGCTATGAACTTTTTTTTCTTTTTGAAAACTTAATCTATGAGCTCGATTGTGTAATATGCAAATATTCAAATTCAAATTAGTCGAAATAATAAATTCGGGCACCGAATACATAATATACCAAAAAAAAAAAAGGATAACAATAAGTAATCATTTCGAAAATAACTTGAGAAGAAAGTACACAATACAGAAACATGGACAATATCAATTTAACGTTTATCATTCTACTTTGTATCGATTATGTGAATCATATGTGGTTAGAGAGTATAGAGTTGAACAAAAATCTAAACAGCCAAAGTCTGAGAAAAGCTTTGGTGCTTCTTTTTTTTTGTACATATGCATGGCTCATCATTTACATGGGGCAACAAAACACACAAATTTTCCACATTTGAATCATGATGAATTACTTGGCTCAAGATTATTATGTACATTATCGTCTGTCCCTTGATCCTTTGAATTTACCAAGTCCTCTGCATCATCATCTCCATCCCCTCCTCCATTGCCCCCTGATAGAAATTCCAGTGCGGTCACTACGTCGCTAATCAAAGGCCGAACTGAAGCTTCTTCTTGTAGACACATTGCTGCAATGGCAAGAGCTTGGTAAAGTGACTTTAATGGATAGTGTCCTTCTAATAAAGGGTCTGCCATTAGATGAAACTTCTTCTTGTCTTTGAACAACGGTTGTGCCTGCAGGCGAACTGGTTATGTCAATTCGATCCTAAGGTGTTTGATCCAGATCAACTAGGGAAGAAAAAACCTATATCTACAAATAACAAGCATCTGTTCCCTAAGAAGTTTCAGTGCAGCTGCACAGTTTTGAATTTTTCGAAAGGAACAGTAGAAGTTATAAATCCTGCTACAACATTGAAATGGAAACATTGAACTTCAAAACTCTTCATCAAAGAAGCAATGTGATCGATAGCAAATGCTGATAGAGAACTTACCCACTGAATTAGATTCTGTTCCTCACTTGGTCTTGCATTGTCAATGACTCTCCTTCCTGTGATTATCTCCAAAAAAACTACTCCGAAGCTATATACATCAGATTTGGTTGACAATTGACCTGTTAAAGCATACTCAGGCGCACAATAACCATATGTTCCCATTACTCTGGTAGATACATGGCTTTTATCGCCGGTTGGACCTAACTTTGCAAGTCCAAAGTCCGAAAGCTTTGGGTTATATTCTTTGTCTAAAAGTATGTTAGATGCTTTAAAATCACGATAAATCACTGGAGGGTTAGCTGTTTCGTGCAAGTACTCGAGGCCTCTTGCTGCACCTTCGGCAATTTTCATCCTAGTATTCCAGTCAAGAGGCTTTTTATCTGGACTAATATCTGCAGAAGAAAGGTTGCACAACAACTTTGCTCAATCATTGCCGGTTTAACGTGTCTGCCTAGGCTCTGGTACTCACATTAAAAAACAATGCACAAAGGGAAATTGGGGATAGATCTTTCATACCAAGCAGGTGATCTTCAAGTGAACCTTTTTCCATGTATTCATATACTAATATTCTCTGGTCACCATCACAACAATATCCGACCAAATTGACAAGGTTAGGATGATGAAGAAGACTCAACATCAGTACTTCCACAAGGAATTCTCGGTTTCCCTGAAAACCATTCCTGTCTAACTGCTTAACTGCAACATCCTGATTTACAAAATGAAAATAAGAAAGTCGATTACATATATAGAGCCGCCTCCATCCAGAATTGGCTGAATTGAAGAAAAGAAAAACCGCAATGAAAACAAAAGATGAAAAGATAAAGTAGCAGTACTATGTTTTTGTTGTCAAGACGCCCTTTATATACTCGACCAAAACCTCCTTCACCAATCAATTTTTCGGAATTGAAATTATCAGTCACACTGGACAAATCACGGTATGTGAAAATCTGAGCTGAAATATTCTGTTTCCCAATTTTATCGATTTCTTCTCTTATATATCTCTTTCTGCTGCTATCTGCAATATAAGTTCAATGAATTCCACAAGAAAAAAGCATTAAGAAATCAGGTCTGTAGTGTGTACAGTGTAAAAGAAATCTGAAAGAGGGTTGAAGACAGCAAATTATCAGGTGTTCAACAATTAATCTTTGATTCAGAACAATAGCCAGGCTATCTGAAATTGCATATTTTGTATCTCAATCAGCTTGTCTGAAAAGATAACTTGAGAAGATCATGATGTTTCTAAACAACAAGATGATATCATTTCTCCTTGCGTGAAGAGACCAGCACAAGATGGAAACACGAGATATCTGAAGTTGAACCCGTTTCCAAACTTCAACAATGAATGTTAACAGTAATAACAGGAAATGCATGTCTATCAAATTATGCTTCTCATACAAAAAATCAGAAGATATTGATATTCCATCTGTATCATCACATCATCAGCATATTGCATAGGTTCAAAAGGTCGACAATATTTTCATTTCCAAAATGCAAGAGGCAACAAGAGTCAAATATGGAAAAGAAAACCTTTCAATATGAACAAAAAAGATGCATCTGCAAGGATTTCGTTATTTACCTGTTTTAAGAGAAATATTGGCAAAGGAGGCTATAGTTCTTGTTTCTTCGTGCTCCTGGATGCTTTTCTGGAATTCCTGAATGCTCTTTTTCAATGACCTTTTTTGTACTCTCTCGTCAGACATGCAACATGAAAAACAGTTCATCTTTACCTTCTTCTGCTATGCCAACCCAATCATCATACTTAGATCCGAAAATCATTGAACCTTTGCAAAAACAAAAATCAGGGATTTCCTGGATCCTTAACAAAACAACAGATCAAATGAAGACAACTCCGAGCCGACGAGACACTTTCCAAATCTTGGATCAAGAGAAATGACAAATTCCAAAACTTCCAGTCCTCGAAAGAGCCAGTCTTTTTCTGGTCCTCCCAAGAAACTTACCAGAAAATTTTGTCAAAAATTAGTTATTTCTGTAAAAAAGATAAAAAAAAAAGTTTATCCCTCCAAAATCAATGTCTCTTGATACTTTGGATGGATAGTTGTCAATGTGTCAAGCTTCCTGATCGTACAAAAAAAAAACAGGCATAAAGTACTTTTATGTTCCAAAAAAACTATAATCTCTCTAGTAATTAATTCCAGCCAGTTTATGAAACGTGGAGTTATTTTATTTATTTTTGGCATAAATCTATTTTAGCATATTAAAAAAAAAAAATCTGCATATATCTATCTGAAGCAGGAAATCTTGTGCTTGTGGATGGCCATGCATTCTTCTAAAGCCTCCTTGAAAGTCTCTGTGGTGATGAATTTTTCTTTATCTTCTTTCCTTTTGAAGAAGTAATATTTCTTCATAAAATTATTAATCAATTCGACAACTAACAATATACATAAGCTCCTAAGATTAAAGCATACATAGGAATACAAATATTATTCGTCCTATGATTAAAGGACTACACAACAAGCAAAAGTAACAGATGCCTTTTTCTTTTTAACTACCAATCTAACTTCCTTATCATTTTTTTGCAGAGGCATATTTTATTTTCAAATCAGCTACAATCTTCTCTAGATTCTTAAGCCTGGTGTCCCATTGAATTGATATCTCTTCAATAGCATCTAAACTGCATTCTCTTCCATTTATTGTGTTCAAGTTTAAGTCCTTATTACAGTCAGCCTCAGTCTCTTGATTATCCTCATCCGAGCCTGTTTTAGAACTCCCCTTTTCACTTTCCTCTGTTTTTGGCTTGCTGTTAGGCATCATTTGATCATCGAAGCTGACCTTTTCAGGTTCCGGACCAGCTAATTTGATCATATCCAAGCCTTCGTCTTTCATTCCTGGTGCATCAATTCCCTCTGGATGCGGCATTTCTTCAGGATTATGAGAAACTGAGCGAACAACAGCATCATCATCATTCAAATTATTTTCCGATGTACTCAGATAAACTGCTGATCCAACTATCTCCTCGGCTCTGCCCTCTTCAAGATTCCTGCTTTTTGAACTTTCATCTTCACTTTCCACTACTTTTTCCATGCTGTTACTCCTCTTTTCATTTGCGAAGGCCTCCTTAGAGTCTGTGCCCGTTGTTTTGATTGCATTTAAAGCTTTGTCCTTACTGCCAGACGCATCTCTCGGGGGTTCAGGTTGGTGCTGTTCCTCAGTATCCTGTGAATGTGGAATTCCCCCATGATTATATTTGGGAGAAAAATCCACAGAGACGATGGCATCATCTTTCAAATTCTTTTCAGATGAACTCTCAAAATCCTTGGAAATAGTGTTGGATGATTTCTCAACTTTGGATATCTTCTTCCTTTGGTTGCACAATTTCTCTAGTGCGCAGCTCAGCAGCATTTCATCATCATTAGATTTGGGAGAAAAGCCTGAATGAACAAGAGCATCATCCTTCGAATTCTTTTCAAATGAACTCTTTAAACGCTTGGAAACCTTTTGCTTTCTCTTAGGCGATTCCTCAAGTTTGGAAATCTTACTCCTTCTGTTGCGCAATTTCTCAAGAAAAGAGCTTAGCGGCATTTCAGCATTATTAGACTCCGGAGAAATACTTGAACAAAAAACAGCATCAGCCTTCAAATTCTTTTCAGAAGAACTCTCAAAATGCTTGGAAACCTTTTGACTTTTGTTGGATGATTTCTCAAGTTCAGAACCCTTTTTCCTTTTATGGGCCAATTTCTCTAGTACAGAACCCAGAGTCATTTCATCATGATTAGCCATGGGCGAAAAACCAGAAGAAACAACGTAATCATCTTTCAAATTCTCGCCAGATGAACTCTTAACACACTTTGAAATCTTTGGCCTTTTGTTGGATAATATCTCAGATTTGGAAATTTTCTTCCTTTTCTTGGGCAATACCTCAAGTAAAGAGCTCAGCAGCCTTTCCTTTTTCGATCCCTTAGACTTACAGTTTACAGGGACACCAATTGAAAGGGATCTGCCATTCTTCCACCACTCTAGATATCGAGTTGAAACAGCTGACTCAAAGAGACGAGATGGAACATACAATCTTTTATCCCTAATTTTTCGATTATAATTCTCCCAAGCCATGTAGTGGCTGGCATTAGCCCGTGCTACAGAACCTGGAATGTCCTGATCAAAGCCAAATTGCATAGCCACTCGATGCGGGAGGTACTGTTCAATGCAGTTAGAATCTATTCCCACAAGTTCACTAACCCTCAGCCACCTAACAAGCATTTCTTGTTCTTCCTTAACGCTGGAACCAACTCTGATCCATCTCGCCTCTTCTTTGAAAATCCCATGAGGAAATATGCTTTTCCATCCAACAGCATACGGCCGCCAAAGGAAGATATCAGCTGCTTTATCTAACGCTAATTTAATATCTCCCGTGTTCTTCATCGACAAGTTGTGCCATTTAGCAAACATCGGCTGATCATTTTCAAAGGGCAAAGGTTCTGGCCGCAAGGAAGAAAATCTCTCCCACGCCCAGATCTGAACTAATTGAAGCGGGGCGGAAATTGGGAGCAGTAAACTTTCGGAACTACTATGAGCCTTTTTCATTTCACTTAAACTCGAATAAATACTAGCTAAAACAGCAGGTGCAAGAGCAATTTTAGTACCTCTAGCTAGATGAACTGCAATAGATAAAACATTTCTTTCTATTGTACCATCAAGAGTTTTTGAAGGAAACACGAACCTTGACAGCCACAAGGCAAGGAATGCTTCGTGCTCAATTTCACTCCCGGTATTCATGTGCTTCTGCATCCAATGATTCTGACGGGCCTTCCTCGCCTTGGACTGACCTAACTCCAACCTTGCTGAAATTAACTTCTTTTCTACTCCTTCTGATTCAGAGCCTTCAGTGGAGCTAAAAACCGGGTCGCCAAGAACTGAAAAACCACCTAAAACCATCATATCCTCCAAAGTGATAGTGGCTTCCCCCCAAGGGAAAAGGAAAGTATTGGTGTCCGGACACCATTTTTCAACAAACCCATAAATCAATTCATCATTTCGAGGAATTCTATAGGTGGAATTCATGATTGCCTCACAGATCCCAGCTTTTTTCCACACAGAATGGTACTTAGAATGCATGCCCTGAGTCCAATCATTCCAATTCTCCAAAGGGAATCTCCACCCAGTAAACTTCACTTTAAGGGATTCATTCTTACTTTGATTTAAATTCAAATTATCAGAGGAGAGAGTAGTAGAAGGAACCTCAAGCAACCCACCGTCATCCGAAGTCAGCGTCGGAGCCAGGAAATGGGCAAGTCGGAAAGTGGGGCCCCGGTTGCTTCCTCCAGCGCCTGTGGGTGAGATCATTTCCTCTTCTCTTTCTTCCATGACTGACATACTTTGAAACTGTTGATGGAAGGTGGAAAATAGCAGGGTTTTAATGAGAAAATGGAAGGTGTTTTATTTGGCACTTTGTTTGCTCTGTAGTACAGTACTTAGCTCTGCAAATGTGAAAAGGAGCCCTCGGTCCATTTTCATATCCAGAAGAACTTCATGAGCTCTTTTAAAGCTGAGTTGGTTAGTTTTATACCAACTTTAATACCCTAAAAAGACGAGTTTTCTTACCACCTTTTAAGAGGATTACTTCCAATCCAAATTTGAAATTTTTTTTACTTACCAAAGAAAAGAAAAAATATTTTCTCCCTCAATTCTAATTGTCTAAAAATAATTTCCATATTTATCACATTATTTTAAGGTAATAACATAAAAGAGCCTCACAACATTAAAGTTTACACGGCCCGACCTTAGAGCATCCACAAACTACAATGGTGGTAAATAACTTCTTTATTACAATGTTTGTCATTGTGTTGAGTGTAATAATATTACACGGTGTAAGAATACACTTTTTGGTGTCAAAATGCATTTAATATGAATTTATGTTTATATTAAAATTATTTCATTTTATTATATTTTTTACGGTGTAAACCAATATAATGAAAAGTGGAATAGAAGTATATTATTGAAAATCTATGATATTATACTCACAATAATATAAACCATTGTGGATGCTCTAGATCCTATTGCAACATTTACATCCTACAATACATTATTGAGCAAATTAGGAAACAGAAATTAGACACAAAACGGCATCCAAAGATTAGCAAAATCCAACCACCAGCGGAAATTAATTGAGGTGCATTTTTGTTTACTACCGAACTAATTTCATTTATCATCTTTTGCATTGACATGGTTTCTTTTATACTCTGCCACAATGTTCTCTAGATTGGTAAAGTCAGTATCCCATTGGGTAAGTAGGTCTTTAAGAGTACCTAACTTGCATTTTCTTTCATTTATCGTGTTCGAGTTGATGAGCTCCTTGTTACTGTCAGGCTTGGACTCTTGATCCTCACATTCCAATCCTTTCATGGAACTTCTCTTCTCACTCTCCGGAGTCTTTTGCAGGTTGTTAAGCCTCATTCGATCTTCAAAGCTGGCATCTTTATGTTCCAAATCAGAAGGATTGATCCCATTTGAGCCTTTGCCTTTGTCTTTCATTCCATCTTCAAAGCTGGCATTTTTGTGTTCCAAATCAGAAGGATTGATCCCATTTGAGCCTTTGTCTGTCATTCCTGATTCACAAAGTTCCTCAGAATGCAGCGTTTCTTCTTGATCATGGAAACCTGAATTAACAACAGCACCATCTTCATTCAAAATCTTTTCTGATGAGCTCAGAAAATCTCTTGATCTGAGCAACTCCTTAGCCCTGCATTTTTCAAGATTTCTGTTTTCACTTCCCACAACTTTTTGCTTGCTCCTAGACATCATTTGTTTTGTAAAGGCCTTTCTATAGTCTGAACCAGTTAATCTGATCACATTTAAAGCTTTATGCTTCCTGCCTGATGCATTCCTCAAAAGTTCAGTTTGGTGCTGTCTATCAGTATCCTCTGAGGGCTGCATTCCCTCTTGATTAGTCTTTGGGGACAAACCTGAAGAGGCAAAAGCAGCATCCTTCAATACATCCGATAAACTCTTAAATCGCTTGGAAACTTTTCGACTTTTGTTGGACAATCCCTCAACATCAGATATCTTCTTCCTCTTAAGAGGTAATTTGTCAAGTGAAGAGCTCAGCTGAGTACCAATTCCTAAGTTCTTAGACTTAATAGAGTTTGCTCCAAGGACATTGGTGATTACAGGATCACCACTCAAGACAGGTCTGCAATTCCAATTCTTCCACCACTCTAGATAGCGAGTTGTAACATCCGACTCAAAGAGCCGAGATGGAACATACAATCTACCATCTACAATTTTCCGATTGTAATTTTCCCAAGCCAAAATTTGGCTCGAGTTAACCCGTGGTACAAGACCAGGAACATCTTGATCAAAGCCGAATTGCATAGCTACTCGATGTGGGAGATACTGTTCAATGAAGTTAGAATCTATTCCCACAAGTTCACTCACCCTCAGCCATCTTACAAATATCTCTTGTTCTTCATCAATGCCAGAATCAACTGTGATCCACCTTGCCTCCTTTTTGTAAATCTCATGAGGAAATAAGCTCTTGCTACCCACAGCATAAGGCCGCCAAAGGAACAAATCACCTGCTTCATCTATAGATGATTTGACACCTCCATTGTTCTTAACCCTCAAATTATTCCATTTAGCAAACCTAGGCTGATCAGTTTCAAAAGGCAAAGGTTTTGGCCTCAAGGAAACAAATCTCTCCCATACCCAAATCTGGACTAACTGAAATGGGGCAAAAATTGATAGTTCCACAGTCTCATCTTTTTTATTCCCTTTCATAGTCTGAAGCCTTTTAGAAGCACTAATTACAAGAGCCCTTTTCATCTCACTCAAATATGCATAGACACTAGCTAAAACAGCAGGAGCAAGAGCAATTTTAGTGCCTCTAGCTAGATGAACTGCAGTAGAAAAAACATGCCTTCCTACTGAACTTTGTCGAGTTTTCGAAGGGAATACAAACCTTGACAACCACAAGGCAAGAAATGCTTCATGCTCAATGTTACTTCCGCTATCCATGAACTTCTGGGACCAACCATTCGACCAGGGCTTCCTAGACTTGGACTGAATAAATTCTGATCTTGCTCTAAGTAACTCCTTTTCACCTTCCTCTGATTCGGGGCTTTGTACAAAAACAGGGTCGCCAAGAACAGAATAACCACCTAAAACCATAACATCCTCCAAGGTTATGGTGGCTTCCCCCCAAGGGAACACAAATGTATTGGTTTCGGGACACCATCTTTCGGCAAACCCATGGATTATCTCATCGTTTCGAGGGATTTTGTAAGTTGAATTCATAACTGCATCAAAAATCCCAGCTTTTTTCCACGCAGAATGGTACAAAGAATTCATCCGATCCGTCCAAGTTTTCCAGTTTTCCGATGGAACCCTCCACCCAGGAAATTGCACCTTGAGGTTTCCCTTTTTAGTATCACCGAGGTTGAAATCAGGAGATGAGACTGTACTTGATGGAACCTCAGGCCAGAGACTGTTATCGGAAGTCACCATCGGAGACAGAAAATGGGCAAGCCGGAAAGTGATGTCAGGGTTTCTTTCACCTCCTCCGCCGCCTGTGGGTGAAACCATCTGCTCTTCTCTTTCTTCCATGATAGTACAATTTGAGGGCTGTGACATTGGAAAATGCTGACGCAATCTGCCTAAATGCAGCTCTGGATGAGCAAAAGTTTCAATCTTGTGGAAGGTGGAAGAGTTATGATTTGGTTTTTTCAGATGAGTAACTCAGGTAAGTGATGATTTCTGGTTCATTTTCGTTTGCAGAATGAGCTTTTCTCTTGATCTCTTCCATGTGAGCCTTTCTATTTGACACTCTCGCATCTCATTGAGTTTTCCAAAATTTTTAATTAATATATTCTTCGTCCCAATCTATATTTTTACCTTTTCAATATATTTTTTTATATTCCCAATAAAAAAAGTATGCATACACTAAAAATACAGTCCAAACAGAGTCTTAAGGGTGGTCCTTCCAAAAAAAAAAAAAAAAAAGTGTGGTTTGAAAGGTACTAAAGTTGTAGGTTAAAAATATACTTTTTCTGTTCCAAAATAATCTATGTTATTTTCTAATGTTAGGAACCTCAAACTTTCGTCAATAAGTCCAAGCAAAATAGATTTGTTATTCTTTTCTTCTTTTTTTTCGGAATTGAACCGATATCAAATACAATATCAAATCATTATTATTTAAATTAAATTTGAAATTCTAACAATTTGTCTTTAACACTTAATATAAAGGGTAGAAGGAAGTGGTTTCATCCACCATTTAGAGATTGTTTGTTCTTAACCAAAACTAGTAGGTACAGTTTGAGAATAATATTGAGTGCCGAAAAGCAGCATTAGATATTTGGGTTTTTTTTTTTTTTGGATATCATGAACCTTTTGTGAACTTGTTGTCTTCCTCTCAAAAGAAAAAAAAAAAGTGCTGCAATGGTGATGGAGTCTGTAGTTTAACTTTAATCATTCTTCATTGTTGGTATCAGTAAGGCCCTGGAATTGGCACTCAGCAGGTTAAACACAGAAGCGAAGTTGTGATCTGCCGTAACGCATACAGAAAAAAGCCATCAAACATTAGAAAAACCAAAAGACATGCAAATTAAGGTTCATTCTTATTAACAAACAATCAAACTTCATTTTCATTCTCACGTTCTAACATGGGCATGGTTTCTTCTATACTCTGCTACAATCCTCTCTAGATTGCTACAGTGAGTTTCCCATTGGATTAACAGGTCTTTAAGAGCATCTAACCTGCATTTTCTTCCATTCTTCGTGTTCGAGTTGATGAACTTGTTCTTACTGTCAGCACTGGTCACTTGATCTTCACATTCTGATCCTCTTTTGGAACTTCTTCCCTTTTCACTTTCCACCATTTTCCGCATGCTGTCAGGCCTCATTTCATCTGCAAAGGTGGCATTTTTATGCTCCAAACCAGCTAAGTTAATCATATTTGAGCCTTTATCTTTAATTCCTGATGCATCAGTATACGGCATTTCTTTGTGATTATGACAACCCGATCCAACAACAGCATCGCGATCATTCAATTTCTTTTCTGATGAGCTCAGAAAACCTGTTGATCCGACCACTTTCTTAGCTCCTCCATTTTCAAGATTCTTGTCTTTTGCACTTCCATTTTCACTTTCCACCACTTTTTGAGTGCTGTTAGGCCTCATTTGATTTCCAAAGGCCTTCTTAAAGTCTGAACCAGTTAATGTGATCACATTTGGACCTTTATTTTTCCTGCCAGATGCATTCGTTGGGAGCTGACGAATCTGGTGGCATCCGTCAGTATACTCAGGATGCGGCCTCCCTTTGTTACACTTGTGAGAAAAACCTGAAGAGGCAACAGTATTATCCTTCAAATTCTTTTTGGTTGAAATCTTTAAAAGCTTGAGAATTTTTCTACTTTTGTTGGACGATTTCTCAAGTTTGGAGATCTTCTTCCTCCTTTTGGCTGATTTCTCAAGCAAAGCGCTCAGCGGCATTTCCTCATCATTAGACTTGGAAGAAAAAACTGAAGAGAGAACAGCACCATCTTTCAAATTCTTTCCAGATGAACTCTTTGAACACTTGGAAATTCTTTTCTTTTTGTTGGATGATTTCTCAAGTTCGGAAATCTTTTTCCTTTTCTTGGTTGAATTTTCAAGTAAAGAGCTCTGCATTTTATTATTCAAACCCTTCTGGTTTGAGTTCACACCAAGGGCATTGGTCTTTACAGGATTGCAACTCGAAACGATTCTGCAATTCTTCCACCACTGTAAATATCGAGTCGTAACATCCGACTCAAAGAGGCGAGATGGAACATATAACCTTCCATCTCTGATTTCCCTATTATAATTTTCCCAAGCCATGATTTGGCTGGAATTAACCCGTGCTACAGGGCCAGGAACATCTTGATCAAGGCCAAATTGCATAGCTACACGATGTGGAAGGTACTGCTCAATGCAGTTAGAATCTATTCCCACAAGCTCACTTATCGTCAGCCATCTTAAAAGTACCTCTTGTTCTTCATCAATGCTAGAACCAACTGTGAGCCACCTAGCCTCTTCTTTGTAAATCCCGTGAGGTACTAATAAGCTTTTGCTACCCACAGCATAAGGCCGCCAAAGGAACAAATCACCTGCTTTCTCTATAGATAATTTGACATCTCCAATGTCCTTAAGCCTCAAATTGTGCCATTTGGCAAACCTTGGCTGATCAGTTTCAAAAGGCAAAGGATTTGGCCGCAAGGAAACAAATCTCTCCCATGTCCAAATCTGGACTAATTGAAATGGAGCAGAAATTGAGACCTCCAAGATCTCATCTTTCTTAGTCCCTTTCCCATTTTTTTGTAGCCTCTTAGAACCACTAATAACAAGAGCCCTTTTCATTTCACTCAAATTCGCATAGAGACTGGCTAGAACAGCAGGCGCAAGAGCAATTTTGGTACCTCTAGCTAGATGAATTGCAATATTCAAAACATGCCTCCCTATTGTATCATCACAAGATTTTGTTGGAAATACGAACCTTGAGAGCCACAAGGCAAGAAATGCTTCGTGCTCGATTTCACTTCCGCTATTCATGAACTTCTTCAACCAACCACCCTGACAGGCCTTCTTAGCCGCCGTTTGATTTAACTCTGATCTTGCATCAAGTAACTTCTTTTCTACTTCCTCTGATTCGGGGCTTTCAATGGGGCTAAAAACCGGGTCACCGAGAACTGAATAACCACCTATAATCATCACATCCTCCAGGGTGATGGTGGTTTCCCCCCAAGGAAACAGGAAGGTGTTCGTGTCAGGACACCATTTTTCTGCAAACCCATGAATCAATTCATTGTTTCTATGTATAATGTGGGTAGAATTCATGATTGCATCACAGATTCCGGCTCTTTTCCACCTAAAATGATGTAGAGAATACATGCGTTCCACCCAAGCACCCCAATCTTTGGGTGGCTGCTTCCATCCAGGGAATTTCACTTTGACAGATTGTTTCTTACTAAAGTTAAACTTCAAATCATGAGGTGAAATGGTTCTGGATGGAACCTCGCCGTCGTCGGAAGTCACCGTCGGTGACAGAAAATGGGCAACCCGGAAAGTGATGCCTGCGGTTCTCTTCCCACTAATTGTTGGTGAGATCATATGCTCCTTCCTTTCTTCCATGATTAATGGATGGAATTTTTGGTGGAAAATGGTGGAAAATGTGGCTAATTACAGGCTAAGATGAACAAATTTGGGCTAATAGGAAAAGAAGAGGAGAAGAGTTCTTTGCTCTTTATTCCAGAATTGGGTTCCCTTTGTCTTTAAAACCAATCAGCCACATTTAATTTCATGCTCTGTTTGGTTTCAACATACTTTTTACTACATTCCAATTTTTTTTTCTTTTTTTTTAATAACTTGAAAACTCACCATCTATGCGTATATAATTTATGTGTCAAATATATGTTTTATTCTTTCAATTATCTCGGAACTATAAATGAGAATAAATAAAAGTAAGTTGGCATCATTGTAAGCAGAGTTTAAAAATTAGTCATTAATTTATCTTGAAATTCCAAAAAGTATTATATTTTAAAATTTTTTTCCAAATCTAACACGGGTTATAAAAAGAAATGGAGAGAGTACCAAACACCTCTTCACCTGATTTATCATTAATGAAAACTTTTATCAGAGATAATATTGCACTGGTCTCACTCAATGTATTATTATTTTAGTATAATAAATATAACTAGCCCCTCTAAATTACTATTCTATTAAAATCTAATTGAATTATTATTTTTTGAGGAATTAATTTGACGTATATATCATTTATGCTATGATTTGGGGCTTAAAAATAATACCTATAAATATGAGGTTATAAGGGAATAATAATAATTAGTTTATAAGGCATTATTCTTAATTGCCGGATTTAGGTATTTTTATTTTTTGTTTATATTAAGCCTGTAAAACTATACGATTAGACATTTGAATTTGAATTAATATATCTATTCGTTTGAAATGTAACTGATCCTTATTTGTAGTAAAACATGTGTTTTTTTTAAAAAAAAATGATATAGCTTCTAATTAAAAGAGACTTACACGTGGCAAAAAGATTTCTGAAATCTGAAATATGGTGCATTGGAGCCAAAACAGATACATACGTAGTTGCCACATAAGTTTCATGTCTTCTGCTTTAATAGGGTTAAAGAGATTTCTCTTTTAGAAAGAGAGTGAAAATGTGTTGATTTCGTTTTCTCTAAATTTTTCAAAGATTGAAACTTTTCATTTATTACTCTCTCTGTCCCACAAAAATAGTCCACATTGAGTTTTTAATTTTGTATTGTTTTTAGTACAAATTTGAAAACTCAATGTGAACTATTTTTGTGGGGCGGAGTTAGTATCATAATCCTTTTCATAGATTATATAATAATGGTCCAAATTTGCTAAAAGTTGGTGATTTAGACCATTTAATCTTAGAAGTTGAGCTATTAATTAATAGTGTGAATTGAATAAAGTATTAATTTTCATTGAAAGCTTGCTCACAGAGACAGAGTAGCAATTAGGTTAAACACGCCCATCTGGCTCGGCCACAAGTAGTTTGTGTAGTTTGACGAAAAACGAAACATGCAAATTTTGCACATTGGTTAAAATGCCGAAAGCTTTGACTTCCCAAAAAGAGAAAAGGTTCTCAGAAATCTTAAACAGGTGCAAAATGTAAATGGAACCCGATTACTTTGCGAAAGCGAAAAGTGCTAATTTGTGGCAGTTACAAATTTGCAATTCTTGGATTTGCGAATGTGTGTATACTGCTGATTGGGAAAAAAATCTTGCTTCTAAGCTAGTAGCCAATCTTCTTGATTATCAAGTCTATTTGAGGCTTTAGAAGAGTGGAAAAGAATCTTCCAATTGGTCAAAAAAATCAGTGCCAAATTCGAAGAAGCAATTGTGTAATTTTGTAGGGAGTTTTTGCCTTTTGGGAGCTTGCGAGTAGAGGGAAATGGTGTTAGAACTTAGCCATGATCATAGGCGCCAATGCCATTTAGCTTTATGAATTTGTCATCCTCTGAGATAATAAAGAGTGCTGCAATGCTAGTTTCAGAAGCAAGGTTGTGACTTGCAGGATTAGAAGAACCAAAAGACAAGTAAATTAGAGTGCTTTCTTATTTACAACCAAACTTCATTATCATCTTTTACATCAGGCAATGGTTCCTTTTATGCTTTGCTACAATGCTCTCCAGATGGCTACAGTCAGCTCCCCATTGGGTTAATAGGTCTTTAAGTGCATCAAACCTGCATTTTCTCCCATTTCTCGTGTTTGTGTTGACGAACTTATTACTGTCAGCATCAGTTTCTTGATCCTCACATTCCAGTCCTCTTTTGGAAATTTCCTTTTCACTTTCCACCGTTTGTTGTGTGCTGTTAAGCCTGATTTGATCTTCAAAGCCGCCGTCTTTATGTTCTGAACCAGTAGGATTGATCATGTTTGAGCCGTTGTCTTTCCTTCCTAATGCATCAGTATCCTTTGGATGCGGTGTTACTTCATTACTATGAAAACCTGGATGTACAACGGCATCATCATCTTTCAAATTCTTTTCTGATGAGCTCAGGGAAACTGGTGATCTCACCATTTCCTTAGCTCTGCCCTTTTCAGGACCCGAATCTTTTGAACTTGCAGTTTCACTTTCCATTAGTTCTTGCATGCTGTTAGGCCTAATTTGAGTTGCAATGGCCTTCCTATAGTCTGAACCAGTTAATTTGATCACATTTGGAGCTTTACCCTTCTCGCCAGATGCATTATTCCTCAAAAGTTCAGTTTGGTGCTGTCTATGAGTATCCTCTGAATGCGGCATTCCCTCAAGATTAGTAGATGTAGGAGAAGAAGTAGAAGAAACAACAGAAACTTCCTTCAAAAACATCTCAGACAAACTCACATAACGCCTGGAAAACTTTCGCCTTGTGTTGGATGATTTTTCGAGTTTGGAGAACTTTTTCCTCTTGATAGGTGATCTGTCGAGCAAAGAGCTACTCGGCGTACACATTCCTGCTGTTTGATGATTGTTGATTACGGGATCACCACTCAGGCCAGGTCTGCAATTACAATTCTTCCACCACTCTAGATAGCGAGTTGTAACATCCGACTCAAAGAGCCGAGATGGAACATAGAATTTCCCATCTATAATTTTTCGATTGTAATTTTCCCAAGCCGAAATTTGGCTCGAGTTAACCCCGTGGTACAAGACCCGGAACATCTTGATCAAACCCGAATTGCATAGCTACTCGATGTGGGAGATACTGTTCAATGCAGTTAGAATCTATTCCCACAAGTTCACCCACCCTCACCCATCTTACAAGTATCTCTTGTTCTTCGTTAAAAATGCTAGAATCATTAACTGTGATCCACCTTGCCTCTTTTTTGTAAATCTCATGTGGAAATAAGCTTTTGCTACCCACAGAATAAGGCCGCCAAAGGAATAAATCAGCTGAGTAATCTATAGTTGATTTGACATCTCCAATGTTCTTAACCCGCAAATTGTTCCATTTAGCAAACCTTGGCTGATCAGTTTCCAAAGGCAAAGGATTTGGCCTCAAGGAAACAAATCTCTCCCATACCCAAATCTGGAGTAATTGAAATGGTGCAGATATTGAGACTTCCAAAATCTCATCTTTCTTAGAAGAGCTAATAACAAGAGCCCTTTTCATCTCACTCAAATTAGCATAAAGACTAGCTAGAACAGCAGGCGCAAGAGCAATTTTAGTACCTTTGGCTAGAAGAATTGCGATAGTGAAAACATGTCTTCCTACGGTACAATCTCGATTTTTGGTCGGAAAAACGAACATTGACAACCACAAAGCAAGAAATGCTGCGTGCTCGATGTTGCTTCCGCTATCCATGAACTTCTGGGACCAACGATTCGGATTGGGTTTGGACTTGGATCGAAATAATTCGGACCTTCCTCTACTAAGCAATTCCTCTTCAACTTCCTCTGTCTCGGAGCTCTGTACAAAAACAGGGTCGCCAAGAACTGGATAACCACCTAAAATCATGACATCCTCTAAGGTGATGGTGGCTTCCCCCCAAGGAAAAAGGAAGGAATTTGTTTCGGGACACCATTTTTCAACAAACCCAGAAGTTATTTCATCGTTTCGATGGATTTTGAAAGTGGAATTCATGATTGCATCATGAATCCCAGCTTTTTTCCATACTGAATGATGTAAAGAATGCATCCGATCCGTCCAAGTTTTCCAATTTTCAGATGGGACCCTCCACCCAGGAAAATACACCTTGAGGTTTCCCTTTTCAGGAGATGAGAAAGTACTGGATGGAACCTCCTCAGGCAAGAGACTGTGATCGGAAGCCACCGTCGGAGACAGGAAATGGGCCAGCCGGAAGGTGACGTCACCGTTGCTTCCCCCATCACCTGTTGGTGAAATCATTTGCTCTTCTCTTTCTTCCATGATTCTACCATTTGAGGATTCTGACATTGCTGAAAATTGTGGATGCAATTTTGCTCAACTGTAGCCTCTGATAAAGAAAAGTTTGAATTTTGGGGAGGAATGGATAGAGTTTCTTATTTGTCTATTTGTTATTACATTATTATTACTCATGTGTGTCACGTTTCGGTTCACTTTCCTTTCCAGAATCAGCTCCTTTCGTCTTGAAACCCATGACCACTTCAAAGGCTATTGTCTGTACCATTTTTAGCAAGTGTGTATTAAAAGGTGTTAGAATTTGTATTATAATTTATAAAGTAAAGAAAGAATAATAAGAATTTGTATCATCATTTCAGATGTAGTTGTTATTGGTCAACAACTAGTTTGTTAGACTCATGCAAGCTTTACATTCCACCAAACTCGCTTTGCCTATGTATGTATACTGTATAATAAGGGCGAAAACAGAGGTGATTCTTTTGGTACTGATACATAGTAAAATAATCCAACTATCAGAAATCAAGAAAAAGGCAAATTTAAGGTATTAACTTGATAAACATCTTATAATACATAGCCATGTTTTCGTTTATACTCTGCTACAATGCTCTCTAGATTGCTACAACGAGCTTCCCATTGGTTTAATAGGTCCTTAAGGGCATCCAATCTGCATTGCCCTCCATTTCTGGTTTTGGAGTTGATGAGCTTGTTGTTATTTTCAGCCTTGGTCCCTTGATCCAGATCCTCACATTCCAGCCATCCCATTGAAGAACTTCCCTTTTCAATTTCCACCACCGGTTCATGCCTACTGTGAGGCCTAATTCGATCTTCCAAGCCAGCATTTTCATGTTCTGGAACAGTATGACTGACCAAGATTGAGCCCTTGCCTTTCATCCCTGATGTATCAACAGCATCGTCATCTTGATTCAAAATCTTTTCTGATGAACTCTGAAAATCACATTCAATCTCAAAATTCTCCTTTTCTGACTTAACACCATCAACCTTCAAAATCTTGTCACATAATCTCTTGAAACAACGATCGGAAATCTTTTGGATTTTGTTGGGTGATATCTCAAGTTCAGACATTCGTTTCCTTTTGATGATGGGTGGTTTCTCAAGCAGATAGCTGCTCAGCGGCATAGGATCCATTCCTTGTTCCAGCGGAGATTCCAGGAATAAAATAAACATCCTAAGCCTGAAAAAACCTTACACGGCTATATATATAATTCTAGAGCATGATGAGAGGAACGTTGGCCTCAAAATTTCTGCAGAAACAGAGTATCGTTTCTATGTCCAAGGGAAAAAACACCAAAGTAGAAAAACTGTCTTCACCTTTATTTTTCTCTCCCAAAGAAAAACTCACCACAGGTCTGATTTTGTGAATATCAAAAGCCCTGCTGCTGGTTCCTTTTATAAAGGGAAAATCCGTATCCAAATCGGATTTGGAAACAACAGGAAATTACTAAAACCAATTTTAACTAGGATTTTAGTTTTTGTTTCCTCTGTCATGCCTTTGGGCTACTTATGGAGTTATATATATATATATATATATATATATATTTACAGGGTTAAGCTGTAATACTTTGTTTATAAGACTGATTACAGGGTGATAAATATTATCGATCCTGACAAACTCATGGATGAATAAAGAAAATTGCTGAATTCCTGTCTTGTCCCCAATTTCCTCTTTCCTCCCCAATTCTCATCTTCCCATTGCTTGATTTTCTCTGTTTCTGAATTCAAAGTTTAATACCTCAATTGAATTCCAATTTGCAATTGAGTGTATTTTGGTGTGTGTTTTGATTCAAACCATATGCGAAATATTTATAGATAATGGAAGTTCTGTAATTTTTTTTTATTTGGATAATGCACCATTTTTTTGGTCAAACTGTGAAATTTGTGTGCCATGATTGGCCCGCTTAGATTACATTATTAAAGATTTAATTTGATTTCAATTTTTGATTTAGTAAGAATGTCTAAATTTTTGATTTAGTAAGAATGGGAAAATTTAATAATTATCCAAAAAATAGTAATCATGGAATAATTCCTGAATCACATAAGTTGCACTAGTCACGCCTAATCTTTGCTTCCAATAATTATTAATTATTTTGATTTCCATTTTATGATTTAGTAAGTATGGGAAGCTGATTTTGAAATTTTGGTACATTAATTGTAGTTTGAATTTGGACGGAATTATGGGTCATAAGATTTTTTTTAAAATGGTGTTTGAAATGGGATAATGAATACATAACTAAAATAGTTAAGGATAGGACAATTGTAAAACTGAAATTTCATCCATGTTTATTTGCAGGTGGAGACATATATGTAATTAAGTGAAAGGGCTATTTTGTTTTTTTTACCTGGTTAGATAATCAGGTGTATGCATAAATAAGTAAAATTAAGTTGTTATAATAAAAATTTACTATATCTAATTGAGTCTAATTTTTATGAAGGTTTTATTGGATATCTAATTATGCGACATGTGTCCTAAAAGTTTATTCTCTTAATATAGAGGATTTTTATCTGCATCTCTAAAATAAGAGAAACAAAGTATCTACAACTCTAAATCGAAACGGATGTAGTTCTTTTTAGAAAAAAAAAATATTCCAATTAATTTACCAGTAATGACCAAAAATCTTATACCATTAGTCTTTCTATCGTCCTAAAGTGATTCTTCGGTTTGAATTTTTTTTTTCCTTTTTAGTACGATTTGTATTATTAGAGAAATAAAAGTCCGAACAAGCATCATGATGTAAGCACAGATATCATAATTTGGTTAATGTCACTAATATTGCTCATCACCACTAGATTGCATAGTTTGACAATACAACAATCATAAAACCTGCAAAATTCAATTTCCACATACTTTGTTGATCTGTTAATACCAAAAGCAGAGCTTCATACCATGGACTCCCTTAAGATGTCTTCCTCTGAAATCTCAAATAAGTACTAAAGTACTTATGGAAACTAGCCTGTCATTTCCGTTATTGTGGAAATTACTCTTACTCTGAACTATATAAAGGCCAAATGCAAAAAAAAAAAAAACAAAAGTAGTGTTTTCTAAGTAATATAAATTAAGAAACTTTGGAATTTGTGAAGGTGTTTATTGCTGACTTATATGGTGAAGAAGCACCCAAAACTCTAGCTTCCTCCAGTCCTTGTTCTTGATTTTCACTGCCATATTCAAAAAAAAGCAATAGTGTGGTCCCACAGTTTCTTTCATGGAAGTTAAAACATGAATTGAGTAGGAGTAACCGAGTAAATAGCTCTACTGTCATTTTACGGAAGCTTGCAATGAGGTTGGACAATTACCTTGAAGTTAAGAAACTGAAGAAGGTTTTAGTCCCTGGGTGGCTTTCCTACTGTTGCATTGAATGCAACCACCAAAAGTTGGCATCATTCCACCTGAGCTCAAATTCCTGTTTAACTTGCTGTTGAATTCAAGAGTATAGCTGGTGGGAATGAATTTGGAGTCATTGTCTTCATCTTTAATGCGCTTCTTGGTAAAAGATTCAGGGCTGAGTGATTGACTGTTGGTGTTGTTCTTTGGAGGAACACAATTTGCATCATCGGGCTCAAGGCGCTCCTCCTTAATATGCAGCTTGGCTGGAGCTTCTGGCCTAATGGAAGGAGAATCATCCTTTTGGCTAGGAATTCTAGGTGAACTATTGCATTTTTCTTTCATTGCCTTCTTCCAAGCCATTTTAGGAGGAAGAATAGGAGCATCTTTAGGTCTGGCTGGAAATTCAGGAGGCACGTTAGCTTCATTACCATTTGTCCCAAGTTGAATGTTGTTGCAACAAGTTTCAGACTTAAAGATGGAAATGGTTTCCCCTTTGGGTTTGGGAGGAAATCCAGGAGGAACATCAAGATCATTACCATTTCTGCTGATTCCACTGTTCCGTGGATTTTCGGTCTTCACGATGGATTTGTACTTCCTTTTTGGTGGAAATCCAGGAGGAACATCAAGGTCTTTTGCTACCACTTTGGTATCAACCTTGGCTGCATTGTGCTGCCTTAAACTTGTCCGTTTCCGAGACAAAACTCTGGAAGTCCTCATTCCTCTTAGAACACCAGGAAATGAGCACACCGGAACCGTCACAGTCTGTCTCCACCAATTCTGATATTGGACACTCAAATCGGAATCAAACAGCCTAGCTGGAAGATACAATCTGGAATCCTTACAGAAAGGTTTGCTGTAATTGATCCAGGCAACTTCCAGGTTTCCAACTGAACGAGGAACGACTGCAGGAATATCTTGATCAAGCCCAAACTGCATTGCCACCCGATGTGGCTGATATGTCTCTGCACAATCAATCCCAACAAGAACACCAACTCTCAAGCATCGAGCAAAGGATTCCAGCTCTTCATCCCAAATACTACCAATCTGTACCCATTCTTCTTTTTTGGGGTAAAATTTAGGGAATGACCATTCATCTACAGACAAACAATATGGTCTCCACTGAAAAATGTCTCCACAAGAATTAATAACAGGCCTCACATTTCCTATATCAGACCTTTCTAAATTTCCCCAACGAGCAGCTCTTGGGTCACCGGATTTAAGGAAATTCGGCTTAGGCCGAAGGATCACGAACCTTTCCCAAATCCAAAGCTGAACTAATTGCAATGGTGCCCAAAGGCTGAAGGATAAATAGCTATCATCATCAGGTTTGGTCTCAAACTCAGCAGTCATAGCCAGCATTTCCTTCAACAAGCCCAAATCCTTATATATACTAGCCAAAACAGCAGGTGCAAGAGCAATCCTAATTCCTCTAGAAAGATTAACAGCAATTGGAAAAACATGTTCACCAATCTTACCAAACGCATTGCCAGGGAAAACAAACCTGGAAAGCCAAAGAGAGAGAAAAGCTTCATGCTCCAATTTTCTCCCAGAATCCATGAAGTATTTCAGCCACTCAGAGTGATCCCGCAAACCTTCGTGCAACTTTCTCAAGCCTTTCTCCGCCGCCTCCGCCTCTTTTCCAGTCACCGGCGAGAAAACAGGGCTGCCCAAAACAGAAAGCCCGCCAAGTATCATCATGTCTTCCAACGTAACAGTTGCTTCACCCCATGGAAACACAAACGAATTTGTGTCACAGCACCATCTTTCTGTGACCCCAAAAAGCAGTTCTGTATTCCTGTGAAATTGATACTTGGACAACATAATCGCCTCAAAGATTCCAGCTTTTCTCCATATCCCATGGTGCTTGGACACCATGCTGTCAACCCATTTGCCCCATTTCTTTTCCGGGTCATTCCAGCCATAGAAATTCACTTCTACTATCCACCTGGGTTTGGGTGAAAGCAAAGGGAGCTTAAAGCTGGAAGCTTTAATGGCCGGAACCGTGGGTTTCAAGAAATGGGCAATCCTCAAATTAGGCATACCTTCTGTGGCAGAAGCCATGAGTTCCTCCCTCTCTTCGATTATCTGTTCCTCACTCCATGATGCTGAGTCTGCCATTTCCAAAAAGGTCGAATTTTTCCTTCGAAAACAGAGCAAAATGAAGAACAACAAAAGGAGCCCTTTCTTGCCTTTGTTGGTTTAGAACAAAAATGATTTAAGGATAAAGCTCTGATTTTGTTAGTACTAGTTCAGAGTACAATAAAAGGAGTGTTCAGAGGACAAATGGCAAAATCATGTGGTGAATGGGAGTATTTCAGGAATCTGCAGCCTGGAAGAAATTTTTTGGAGTTTGGGGGCTGAGGGTGGTGGAGGGTGAATAAATAAGATGTGTTCTGGAGTAAAGAAAGAAAATAATAATAATAATAATAATAATAATAATAATTAACTATTATTAAAAAGTGGTTCCAAAACCCAAAAAACGCATTGAAATCAGACTGACAGAATTTTTTTTTTCCTCATTCATATAAATAGATATAAATAGAACTGATAATGTTTTGCAGTGAAATTGTTGTAATCTCGAATTGGTGTTATGTCCTATTCCTTCCGTTGACCGTTCCATTTTATTTTTGTTTAAGAGATTGAACTATCAAAAACAAGACGGATAGAAAATTTTATGAGTTACGGTTTTTAGAGGCTTTACGGCTTGTTTTGCCAACATTTTGACTTTTTATTTGGGTTTGAGATGTGATTTAAAATGTGATTTGAGATAAAATTTAAAAATTTATTTAAGTGATATTTTAAATAAACTAATAATATTTTTAGACCACCTTTACCACTGCCGTCGCCGGCCGACGGTCATCCGACGGTGGCGGTGGGCGACACGGTGGCAGCGGGTGTTGGTGTACGAAAATTGTGTAAAAATAATTTTTAGAATATTTTTTTAAAAGGTAAATTAAAAAGTTATTTGGACAGTATTGTGATTTGTGTTTGAGAGGTGTTTTAAGAAATACAACGAGACAAAAATACAAAATAAGTGTTGGCCAAACAAACCCAGTTTTTTCTTTAAATTGTATCGATGACCATAATGTTTTCAGTAAACCTAAATTACGTGTATAAAATTCGGAGATAAATATGTTAATCTAGTAGTGATGTATACTTTTCGTACGGTACGGTCGTGAAAATAAAACTTAACCTAGCACGTAATACGTTGGTAATTAATTTGAAACTTATCGGAGGATTCTTTTTGGTCAATGTAAATCAGACAATGATGTGTAGGACAAAAAGAATCAAAATAAGCCCGAGTGAGGATATTAAGAATGTCAATCTTTTAATTTAAAAAGAATGAGCAAAATATAATAGGTCTCCAAAATAAAGAGAATTTATGTGATGACCTTAATATAGTGATTCATCATCCTACAAATCATTAACTAGCCGAATTTTGTTGGTTCTCATTCATAGAATGTACTTAAGGGGTCCCAACAACAGGAGGATTGTAATTTCCACTATTCCCCCATATTTACTTCTTTAATTTTATCCTCTCCGTTCCAATATTTTTGTCGAGTTTGCATTTTTAATTTTAGTTTTATTTATACTGAAAATAAAAATACAAATTAGACGATCTTTTTGAGATAAAGTGAGTGATTCTTTTCTTAAAAAAAAAAATCCTTCCAGTGAAGAGGCGTTCCTCCATCTTCGGTCAATTTGCAGCCTGCAAGTATCCCGTTATCCCCCAAATAGTAACAAAATCCTGCCAAGAAAACTGGACCATTGCAACCTTGCCGCCACATAAGTCTTTCTCCCACAACAAATGTCCACCATTTCGCTTCTCCTGGTTTTGGAAGCCTTTTAACAAAGTGCAAGTCGCCTTTCCTTTTCTTTCGAGACATTGCCATGATTGTTCAAGAAGGTGAAGTTTATAGCCCCATACTCGGTTTGTGGAGGACATCCTTACTTGCACGGTGAACGGGTTAAAGAAAGCCTAATCTAACTCGTTATGTTCCAGGAGTAGCCAACCACCTCTAGAGCAACGAATCACATAGTTTTTCAGGGCCTCTGGAATTCTGACAGACAATTTATGATTAAGGTTGGACTCCACAATGTTGTAAACACCATAAAACCTATCCTTGCATGTCAGGCATGGAGGAAAGCTTTCCATCCTCATCCGGATAGTGCCAGAGGAGCAAGCAAACTTTATTGACACGACGAAAATGCATATAGTCGACGAAAGAAAGGTTCCCCGCGATTAAACCAAGCACCTCTTGTGATAGGTCACACAATGTAGATGATCCAAACCTCTGAGCAGTTTCTGATACCAATAACTTCAACCTCTACTTTATTCTTCTCCTGTTCCTCCAAGAAACGGTTTGTTTTCGGTCTTTTGAGTGATCCACCATTTCACTAAGCTGTAGTAGTATATTACTGTAATAATGTAGGTCATCAGAAGGGTATTGCTCAACATTATTTTTGTGATCATGAATGTACTCATCATCATCATCATCGTTGTGATCATCAGGCAGGGCAGGCATTATCCAAAGAGAAAACCATGGCCCCTGAAAAATTGTAGGACAAAGCGAATACGATGTTAATCTTTCGTCTACCACTCTGTAGGAGAACAAGGTTCGATCATTTCTAAAGGTGAAATATATGTAACTCCCTCCATTGTGTGAGCCAACATCTTCAGCAAATTCACCTCCTTGTTGTCTTCTTCTGCTGCTGTAAAGGCAGTGTGAATCGCAGAAAAAAACTGCCCCTCCGTTCAAACTGGGCCTTGATTCTCCTTTCCAGGAATTCCAATAAAAGTTCAATTTATAAATTACAATTGATAATGCATCTTCATATTTATCGAAACAACCCGGGAGCATCAAGATTAGAAGAAGTTCTTGAGTCTCCAAAGACACCAGGAAACTTCTGCTGCCTGATGGTCTATGTTACCCAGATACGGGTGTCGTGGTATCGGGTGCGGGGATCTGAGTGTCCGACTCTGTCAATATTTTAGAAATCTTAGACATTTTAGGCTAAAATGCCACACCCAACACTCATACCCACACCAGTGTCGACACGATACGACACAGGTATTCTCTCCAAATAGAAGAGTCCGTAGCTGATGGTAAACGAAAACTTCTACTAGAACCAGAACTGGCCCCGGAATGGAATAATGTGCTTAGGTTCACGGCGTAACAGTAAATGAATCGCGCAGTTATTGTCGTCATCAATGTCAATTTGTACCAGATCCGACCAGCAAGAGGCGGTGGCGTATATTTTACCATCTGAAAATAACAGGACTACAGAGATAATAATATCCTTGTCCATTAGGCTTCCCAGCTTGAGCTTCAATGGTTTTTGCATAATTGAATTGTCTCCATTCTTTGTCACCACCAACACGGCAATATAAGATCAAAGGGATTTCCGAGACAAACAAAAGCAGCAAACTAGAACTGGGATTCGACCAGTAAGAGGGAAAGATCAAGCCTTGATGAATAGTTTCGCCCTGGAGATTTTGTCTCAGGATAGGCAACCTAATTGACTCCTGAGTCGGAGGACTCCATATAAAGAAGCATTGCTTGTTCCCGATCTTCTGGAGCAAGAGTAACCAGGTGCCGTCAGGGGAACAGTACAAAACTCTTCTGTGACGGAATTCAGGAATAGTGTTGGAGATTGGTGCTGAAGATGGGGATAACAGATCAAAAAAGGTTTGGTTTTGGCAGATTTGTGCCGTGAAGATACACTAACCAAGGGTACCCATGTTTTGATTCAGGCACTGGGAATTGTTGTTGCTCCGCGGAGGATACTCTGTTTCCGACTGATTTACTTGCCATCTCTGCGGCGGGGATGGGTGTACCGGTGAATTCACCCCGGCGGCGGCGGCTGATGTGAACTTTTATTTGTTGCGTGGGTTCCGAAATGGATAATAACAAATTTTACTTCTTTAGAATAAAATTCATCTATTCAAACCAATTTTTCGTTAATCGAAATACCCAAAATTATCTTTCCTTTCAAAATATATACTAGTACCCATGTAAGTATTGGTTATCATCATCAAACTATTTATTTTCTCTACTTAGTATTCCTTTCTCAAAATTAAATAGTTGTGTTAAATCAAACAATCATTTAGGACTAAAGCAAAATTTGCTATGATAAGAATCATAATAAGTATACATATTTCACTATCTTCTGGCTCCGCGCATTGAAGAATGAACACAGCTAGTTATGCAACATATAAATTTCCATTAGTTCTCGATATAGGAGTATTCAGTTCTTAGATTTGAGTATGTTTTATAGAATAGCATTAAATACAAGGACTGCAAACAAACTTGTCAAACCACACAAGTTCCAGGACGATCAAAAAGAGATTCAAAGAGGTTCTTAAACTACTACTAGTCTACTACTACTCCATTGATTTCTTTCAACATTTTCTACTTCAAAATACTAACAGCAACCGCAAACTAGCTATGATGATCTGTGTATTCTTGTGATCCTTGACGGAAAGTTTCAACAAAACGCTACCATGTTTTCCATATTCCCCTGATCTTCAAGAATTTCCTATTTGCAATTACTTTTTCCACAATTGAGCTACTATTTTCTCAAGATTTCTAAGCCGGATATTCCTTTTCTTCATTTCCTTTCTTAACATGGCCAGTCTAACTTTCAATCTTTTGTCATTCTTTCCACTGAGTTGCTGCCGAGAACCGCCATTTGTGTTGGTTTTCGCTACCTCAGGGCTCACCGGCATCTTTTTCCCTGGTAAACTTCCCACATTATTCTCATCATCTGACTTAAAGCAATAGGGATCACCCTTTGCCACTGAAGGCGATGATAACATTTTAGCCCCTGACTGTTTTTCAGCTGTTACTCTATCGTGCTTTCGAAGTGGTATCCATGTTTTATCAACAGGATCCGGAACTTCTTTCTTCACTGAAGATGATACCCTTTTTACACCAGACCTTTTTTCAACAATCACATCATCCTTTTGAAGAGGGAGCAGTTTTTTACTAGCTGGACTTTGAACATCATAAGCTTGCTGCTTGACACCATGATGCAGGGCATCATTTCTAGCACCCTTTTTGTTACTCCATTTTAACTGATGATCCCTCCATTGTTTCCTGAACCTCTCTGTTACCCCTGATTCAAACAATCTGGCTGGAATGTATAGCTTGGCATCTCTAATAGGCCTGTTGTAGTGGTTCCAGGCAAACTCGGCTGTACGATCATTCAATCGCTTGACAAATCCAGGAATATCTTGGTCAAATCCAAATTGCATCCCAACCCTATGTGGAAGATACTGTTCCATACAGTCAAATCCAACTAGCTCTGAAGTTCTGCAACATCGAACCAAAACCTCTACTTCGGAATCCATATCAGGACCGACACTTATGCACTGATCATTTTCCTTGTATAACTTACTAGGATTCCAGTTGGTCAATTTTGGAGCATATGGGCGCCATTCGAAATATTTCCCAGCCGAATCCAAGGCTTTCCCAATATCATCTGCAAACTCATCCATTTGTTTCTCATGCCACCTAGCTAATCTTGGTTGTTCTAGTTGAATGGGATTAGGCTTAGGACTCAACAAAGGAAACCTCTCCCAAACCCAAGCCTGAACCAATCCAAGCGGAGAACACAAGCCAATTTTTGTGGTCTCACTAGCAAATCTACCACTTTCAAGATTGCTTGAAGCCAGTAAGAATTCTTTCAACACACCCAAATCTCTATAAATGCTAGCAAGAACAGCAGGACCAAAAGCTATAGGTTTCCCTCTAGAAAGGTTTATGGCAATCAGGAACAAATCTTTTGCTATTTTATCATAACTTCCGGGAAACACATACCTTGACAACCACAGGATAAGAAATGCTTCATGCTCTGATTTCTCATCTCCACCTCCCCTGAAAGTTTCAAGCCAAGATTTTTCTCTGGCAATTTGACCTGTTTTCCGCTTAATACCTAGATGGGCTTTTCTCAGTTTTTCCTCCAGGGCAAGCATTTCTTCAGTTTCAACCGGGTCGATAACAAGCTGACCTAAAACAGGGAAACCACCCAAAACCATTAAATCTTCCAGTGTAATGGTGGCTTCACCCCAAGAGAACATGAATGTGTTAGTCTCAGGACACCATTTCTCAGCTAGCTTCATCATGAACTCCTTGTGAAGGACCTTGCGTCCTTTAATGTTGATAGTGGAAGCCATGATTGCATCAAAGATTCCAACTTTCTTCCAAGTATCTCCATACAATGGTCTTAACCGGTTGACCCATTCTTCCCAGCCCTCTTGTGGAGGTCTCCATCCATGGTAGATGACGTCTGATGGCCTTGCTACAGATTCAGGGTTGCTCATCTTTGACAAAAGGGGAAAACCAGTATAATGGGTTTCGGTTGAAGCAAGAGTTGGCTTCAGAAAATGGGCTATACTAAGAGTTGGTTCTCCATCTGTTGCCGGAAATGGAACCATCAGCTCCTCTCTTTCCTCCATCATCATGTCTCCTGATGAATCCTCCTCCATTTTTTTGGTTTTCAAAATTCAGGGATATTTCGACTATATTTCGGTTTGATTTAGAAAGAGACGAGTAAGAAATGGGAAATTATGTCAAGAATGTAGAATACGCTGCCAATGGACTAAAGTGGACAGTAAATCTGTCATTCAGGCCTTGGGTATGTGTCCTTGTGTTTCAAGTCTATCGGATCTTTTAATTTCCCAAAATTGGTACCCAAAAAAAACTCTGATTTGTTTGCTTTCGAGAGTTGACAGACATAAAACAAGCGTGAGGAGAAACAACCAATGAAAAAAAGAGAGAAAATTGTACTATAAATTGTTTCGTTATTTTTTCCCTTTTTTTTTTCTTCTCAGACAAATATGGCAGATAAGAATAAGATGCTTTGCAATTTGTTAAAATTTTAGTACTACAAGTAAGAAGATTACCTTAATCAAGTTCATTAGAGAGAGGGAACGTAAGCTGATTTTTAGTCCACGGTGTTAGAATTATACAAGTTTTTAACTAGCCAACTGCACAACTGCATCAAAAAACAGGTGCAAGAAAGAGATTTGTGCTTTTCATTTTTCATTAATTTCTGCAAAAACTTAAACAATCGGCACCATGTGACCTGGTTTCTTGAGAAGCAGCAGTATCAATGAAAGATATGAAAAGCAGAAAGAGACAGACTTTTAGCCTTTAGCCCTTTTGACAATGCAACAACTTCACAGCTAAATGGAAGAAGACACAAGAAACAAGAGGGCTTATCACAAATGCAGCAAAAAATTTGAACAATCCCCACAATCTGAACACTTTGACACTTTCCTCTTACGTCCATGAATCTAATGCACTCATCTTAGCATCTACCTTTGCTGGATGAAATGTCTTTCTCTTTTCATTTTTTCTATTTCTGTTTATAAATGTATAAAAAATTGTATTAAAAAAATTAAATTACGAAATACATAAGCATCTGAAAATGGCTTTTATGTAACAAAATGTTGACTGATGTAATTAGGAGGAGGCCTAAGTTGCTCGACAAGCATATGAAATATCTCAATTCAATAGAATGGCTCTATTTTTGGTGTAACCCATGGTGAGATTGTCACCACAACTGGTGATTCTGCAAGAAAAATAATATCCCTTCTAATGAATCCATTTCTTACATTCCTTCCACTTGAGAACTCGAATCCATGATCAATCTACTCCGTCTAAAACTTATGGCAAGAAATACAAGGCCCTCTACACATATAACTTCCCAGTGAAGGTAAGAATCTCCTTAACCTTTTATTAGTGTTTTCAAGTATAATTGATCTTTCCATGGGAGAGGTATCAGCATTCTTTGCATCAAATACAGTACAGTATATACAAATGAAATGTGGACGTAAAAGAGATTTATCAGCAAGTCCGAGTCAATGATTCATTTCTAAAACCACATTGCTTGTTCAAACATTTCTACTTTAAAATGCAAAACCACCTCGAACTAGCTTGATGATTGATATGATCTCACTGTCCATAACAATCAAACTAGACAAACATTCAACTACAAGTCTAAAAGGTAACATCTTGCCTTTCCTTGATCTTCAAGAATGTTGTTTTTCAATTGAACAACTGTTTCTTCAAGATTTCGATAAGGATGTTCCATTGACCAAATGTCGTTTTTTTTCCTAAAGATCTCCACCATTGGTGTTGCTTTTTTCTTCTTCCTCCTGCTCAAGGCTCACCACCCTTTCTTCCCCTGGTGGTATACACAACATTCTCATATTTCAATCACCATTTATCACTGAAGATGATGATAAAATTTTAGCTCCTTTCAGTTTTTCAACCTCCGGATCATCCTTTTGAAGAGCTACTAATCGGTTACTAACAGGATTTGGAACATCATTCTTCACTGAATATGACAGACTTTCAACACATTTTCAACTATCAAATCAACTATATATTATACTTCACCTGCTTGCTGAATGACATTATGATGCGGGGCATCGTTTCCTGCACCATTTTCGTTTCTCAAATTCAACTGGTGAGCCCTCCATTGTTTCAGATACCTTTCTGTCACATCCGACTCAAGCAATCTGGCCGGAATATATAGCCTGGCATCTCTAGTTGGCCTATTGTAATGGTTCCAGGCGAACTCGGCTGTATGGCCATTCAACCTTTTAACAAATCCAGGAATATCTTGGTCGAATCCGAATTGCATTCCAACTCTATGTGGAAGATACTGTTCCATACAGTCCAATCCAACTAGCTCAGAACTTCTCCAGCATTGGACCAATGTCTCCACTTCAGAATCCATATCAGGGCCAACGATTATGTACTGATCATTCTCCTTGTATAACTTGCTAGGATTCCAGTTTGTCAACTTGAGAGCATATGGTCGCCATTCAAAATATTCCCCAGCTGAATCCAAAGCATCATCTGCAACATTATCCATTCGTTTCTCATGCCATCTGGCTATTCTTGGCTGTTCTGGTTTAATTGGATTAGGCTTAGGACTAGACAAAGGAAATCTCTCCCAAGCCCAAATCAGAACCCAACCAAGCGGGGAACACAAGCCAATTTTTGTGCACACTTTAGGGGTAATATTTCTGGAAGGCAGTAAGAAATCTTTCAACTCACTCAAATCTCTGTAAATGCAAGCAAGAAGAGCAGGACCAAGTGCAATAGCCAATAGGTATGCCTCTAGAAAGATTTATGGCAATACGAAACAAATCTTGAGCTACAATGAAATTATTACTGTCGGAAAATACATACCTTGATAACCACAAGACAAGGAATGCTTCATGCTCTAATTTCTTATCTCCACGTCCTTTGAAAGTTTCAAGCCAACAACTTTCTCTGGCAGTTTGACCCGTTTTCCGTTTTATAGGTTTTCTTCAGTTTTTCTTCTGTGGCAATCATTTCTAGAGTTTCAACAGGGTCGATAACAAGTTGACCTAAAACAGGGAAACCACCCAAAACCATTAAATCTTCCAGCGTAATGGTGGCTTCACCCCAAGAGAACATGAACGTGTTAGTCTCAGGAACCCATTTTTCAGCAAGCTTCACCAGCAACTCTTTCTGAAAGAAGATCAATCTCACGTTAAAAGTGGAAGCCAGGATTGCATCAAAGATTCCAACTTTCCTCCATATATCTCCATATAAAGGTTTTAAGCTAGTAACCCAGTCTTTCCAACCCTTTTGTGGGCCTCTCCATCCATGGCAGATGACATGTGATGCCGTCTTCACATATTCAGGGTTGCTGCCGATTTTTGCCAAATTGGAAAATCCAGTAGAATGGATCTCTATTGAAGCCATGGTTGGCTTGAGAAAATGGGCAATCCTAACGGTAGGCTCCCCTCCATCTGTTGCCGGAAATGGAACCATAGCCTCTTCTCTTTCCTCCATTATCTCCCCCCCCCCCCAGATAAATCCTCTTCCATTTTTTCTGATTTCAAAATTCAGGGATATACGGTACTACTGTATATGTAATATATGTGGGGTTTTTATTTGAAAGAGACTGAGTAAGAATCTCGAGATTCTTGAAGGTGAGGATTTGTTCTCTCACGCCTTCATTTTTTCTTTGGAATGGGTTCTCATTAGCATTGGCTGGCAGTCTGTCATTAATTTTGTGTTTTTAGCTCCAGTTTTACTTCTGGGGAATTGCTGTAATTTTATTATTATTATTAAAAAAAAAAAAGAAAAATAAAGGCTGTAGTCTGTAGATGTGTTGCGGGCTTGCAAATTGCACTGCCGAAAATAGGCAAAAGTACCCTGTATTCTTCTTGCTTTAAGACTCTGTCGACAGAAAATAAAAATAGGGTGTGATAAAAACAATCACTACAGAAAAAGTGATACAGCAATTTGTATAAATTGGTTTAGTTCATTTTCTATTTATTTTTTCCTGAACGAATTTAGGCTGATAAGATCCCTACATTGTAGTAGTTTGTTTACTTTTTAGTAAGTAGTACGTAGTAGAAAAGAACCTTAATCCATAATTTGAGAATGAATGTTAGTATGTTACTAGTACTGCTTTTGGCATTTTCTGTTTGATTAAAGTAACCTAATTTTTCAAGTCCATATTGTTAGGATTATACTAATCACATAGGTATTAGGTATATGACTTGCCACCTGCACACCTGCAAAAAAAGCATGCCCAAGAAGAAAATGAAATTCTTTTCAATATTTTTCACTAATAATGCAGCAAAACTTAAATCAACAGCACATTCTGACCACTTTCTTCAGAAGCAGTTTCAATGAAATAAATGGAATGTTGAAAGAGACAACTTTGAAGTCAATAATGCCAAGTTCTTGGCTTTTTGCTAGCCATAGCCCTTTTGATTTTGAAATCTGAATACAGAAATACTTCTGGGCTCATGCTTCAATTGCTGCATAAAGAAGACGCAAGAAACAAGACTGCTTTACATCGGTACTGCAAAACCAGAGGAAATGAAGATAACAGAACATCTACCAAAACTAAAGGAAACTAATACAGCAGTAACCATTCACTAGTTTATCACATCAACAGATCAAGATGGGATTTTTAATCGATTTTCCTGCATCTTCAATTTGTGTAGGCTCATCCACAGTTACATTAGGACTAATTCTTTTGCCTGATTCGCCGTGCATTTCGTCTATGATGATTGGGGCTTCAGTATAACTGCCTGCAGCCTTCCTTTTAGCTTCTGGCTCATCAATGGCTACCACCTGAGCAATTTCTTTAAGCATCCTTCTTCTTATCTCCATCATATCGATCTTCCTCTGCTGGTTTTCTTTTTCTGTCAACGACAAAAATTGATTCACCATTTCCCTGTGAAGTATGATTAGGTTCACCTGATGGTAAAGCCTTGATTAATGTTCCACTTTCAGGAGGACTCATTGATTCCTTCAACCATTTATAATACCTCTGAGAAACACCACCTAAGAAAGATTTTGGTGGAACAAATATGGGAAGAAATATTTCATGAGCACAAGAAGAATTAGCAGCTGGAAGCTCTTGATCCAACCCAAATTGTCTTGCCACCCTCTGCGGTTGATACTTCTCTTTGCAATCCAAATCTAGTCCACTCAATTCACAAGGCTGCAAGAAATGAAAATATGACTCCATGTCCTTAGTTTCTATCTGTTCTTCTTTTCCCCCGTAATATGATACATGTCTCCAATTTTCATAATCAGCTGCATAGGGGCGCCATTCAAAGTTTTCCGACTGAATTACAGCCATCTTCACTTGGGATACAGTGAGATTTCTAGAGCTTAAGTTGTGCCGTCGAGACACTCTTTCACCGGGCTTAAGAATATTGGGAGAATCGGGTGCCAGAGCATCAGGAAAGTGTTCAAATGCCCAGAGAAGAACCAAATGAAACTGCCCAGCTGCGATTACAACTGAATCGGAAGAACTGGTGATTTTTGCTCTCAGTAAAGACAGATTCTTGTACAGGGTAGGAAGAACTGCAGGAGCAAGGGCTAATTTCCTCTTTCGAGATAACTGGGCAGCAAATCATAAGAACATTCTTCCTAATTGTTCTCTCCGGAAGAGATGGAAAAACATGTTTTGATAACCACAGAGATAAAAATGCAGGATGCTCCAACTCGTTCTTTAGGCCTTTGAAACTATCCTGCCACATAGCAAAGGATGCGTTTTTACATTTCGTTCTTTGAAGGCTCAATTTTACCTTGTTGATTTCTGCTTCAGTCGGAGAAGTCAACCCACTTGAGACAAGCTCTCCGATCATCGGAAATCCTCCCAGAATGTACACATCTTCCAAGGTGATTGTAGCTTCACCCCAGGGAAACACAACAAAAGTATTGGTTTTGGCTTGGGACACCAGAATTCTATTAGCCCAGGTACCACGTTTGTATCCCCTTTTACCTTATACTTTGAGCCCACAATGGCATTATATACGCATGTTTCGTTCCAAGAAGCAGTGAACTCTGGATCCAAGGCTTCAACCCACTCTTTCCATTTTCTCAGTGGATAGGAACAACCTTGTGAGTGACATTTGGAGGCCGGACATTTTAGGCAACATATGATGATCATCAGGAGGGATGGCTTCAACTTCATTTAGATTCTGAGTGCAAGGTTTGAGGAACCTTGCAACTCTTCTACTGCATTTCCCTTATTTAAAAGACAGTATAGCATTCTCATCGTTCCTTTCTTCATAATAGAGATGTTCTTTCTCTGTGTCCATCTGAAAAAGGACTTCAACCGAGCTTCGTGAGAGAGGAAGAAAAACTGGTAAGCCTTGTTTCTCTTGTTCTCCAAAAATGGATTTTTGTTTTATGGGTGATATATGTTGATTATGTTCTCCATCTCTTTCCCCCTCCCCCCCCTCCTTTTTTTCCTTTTCTTTTCCTTGTCTTTCTGTGATGGAGGCTCCCAGTCAACCCTACAGGTTGAACAGACTCCATGTGTCTATTTACATCTTCAATATAGTAACTTTTACATACAATTAAATTGGGAAAAAATTTAAAAAAAATAATATTCTCTATCCAAAATAATATATAAATAAGTTTATATTATCAAATTTTAAAATTCAATATGATTTTTTTTTTTTTGACAAAGGGAATACAAAATAATGGATTTTGGAAATTGTCGACTTTTTTGCCGGGTTTATTAAGAAGATTAGGAGATTAAAAAAAAAAAAAACCCCAAATGAAATAATTTCTCCAGAAAAAAAGACATTTCACAACTTTTAGACATATATGTCTAATAATAATTCAAAACTGAAATAGGAATTAAAAAAATGAATTGTTATATTTTCTAAAGGTCTACATATGTAGAGGGAACAACAACAATGCCAATGGTACAACTTAGCACTTTCAATAAAAGTCTCTATCCGACGCTATATATACAAAACCAATATATTATTATTTTATAATATATATATACGGTCCGGTCCGGATTGACAGACGGTTTGATATTGTCAAACCGTAATCCGAACCGAATTGACCGGTTTTCAATTTTTCAATCTGTCGGTTTAAAAATATAATTATAATTCGCCCGTTAATCTAAACCGATGACAGGATTGAGCGGTTCCACCGGTTTGAACCAAACTGTGAACACCCCTAGTTTAAACACAAAATCTTTAATGTTCACATGCTTAATCAAATAGTCAAAGTTACAATATTGCTGATGTATTTTGTTTTCTTGTATTAAAATAGTATAGTTTTTTAGTATTGTTTAAAGTTCATACAGAAATGGGAAATTGTTCATACAATAATGAGAAATTGTTCATATTTAGTTATTTATTGCTTGTGGCTATTGTTTCATCCTCACTCACTTACTCAGTTCTGATGGGATCATTATTTTTTTTTTATTTTTTGTCGAGCTAGTTAGCTAATCATGCATTTTGTTTGGATTATAAATTGAATGTGCTCATAAGGTGGTATTATCTTTTTTCCCGTTTATGCTTTATAATTTTGTTCCCATATGTTTATATTTTTTTTATCAATGTTCATATAAATATGTTCAAATATTCATACAGAGTTGATACATATGACATATGACGTTTAAAACTATTTACATCGACTTCAAATCTTACACCTTAGAAGTTTATATATTTTCCTATTATAAAACATATTTATCACACATATGATTCATAACATGCTCCATACAGATAATGACAAAGACAATGATGGGCAATGTACAAAGAGGTGGTAAAACCTAAAACTTTACTCAAGAACAAATAAGAAGATATTGAAGAGTCTCCGATAAATAGGGAGGTAATCGTACAATATATAACTTTACAACTTGTTCTTATTGTTTCTTTATTTGTATACTAACTTTTGAATGAAGATATAGTTTTATCTTTATAGTTTTCACTATTTATTATTATTATTATTATTTTGTAATATTGCTTTCACCTTTTTACTAAATAAAACTATCTTTGCATAACTATTGCACATCTTAAGCATTTGTTTCTCACAAAAACTTTTTTGTCATTTGTTGTCATCCTTTTATTGCATTACAAAAGAGTGAGGCACTAATGTCAAGGATTGCTTACATGGTTAAATTACATACACTAATACTAGAGTACATAATACCCTCATTAATTGCAAAAGTATTCAAGCAAAAAGTAATTAATTTCATTATCATATTCCATTACCAAAGACGTACGCATATTTGTCTCTCAACGTTCATACACTTATATGTATTTTTCATACATAATAGTGGTAATGTTCAAACAAAACATGATCGTGTTCCTATTTCATCGTTTTCAAATCCTACCAAATTGAATGATCAAAATCTTTCTTTGTTAAAAATGACTAAAAAAAATTTATGATGAGCGAGTAGTGATTTTTTTTTTAGGATAGAATACTACAAATTTTCTTAATACTCATGTTTTCAGCATTAAATTCGAAAAAAATATATTTTTACATAGTACACTTCATCTTCATACCAAAATACAATAATGTTCATAATGATATAAGCATTACATGATGATACCAAAAAATGATTTAATTAGGGGGGTTCAAAGTTTAAACTCTTTAAGAGAGAAAAAATCTTGGGCATGATCCAGAAGAGAAATTTAGATTTTTTTTTTGAAAAATAAAAATAGATTATTAGATAAGTATCAACTGGAACTAAAAAAAAATCCTCATTATCCCAACTCACCTTAGTAGCGCCTGTAAAACATTGATGCTTTTGGTTCACATTGCAGTTTGCACCATGGTGCATAATATAATTTGCCCTTAACTATAGAGTATTATAATCTATATGATAAACAAAAAAAAAAAAGTTTTAAGAATATAATTGAGTGATGATGTATGATGTGAAAAGCCTATGCGGTTTGTATTGTGTTACAATAGTATAGAGAGTACATATAGACCTTACGCAAATATTTTTTTTGGTTACAATAAAGGAAGCTGAAAGCCTAAATTCTTACATTTCGGGAATATGCAACCCCTATTGTTCCTTATACCGGAAGCAATTTTAAAAAAACATAACTACCTTCAAGCCAATAGTGGGGTTGGGGTAGTTCAATTTGGTACTGCCTCCATTTTATATGAATCTATAATACGATGCTTCCACGTCCATGTTATGGACCCGATTTTTTGTGTGTATTTTCAATATTGACATTGTAAAAAAAAAAAACTGAAAATGTAAATATGAATGTTGGAATCAAATTAGTATACAATGATAAAAAATTGGGGTAATACACAAGAACTCCCTTATGCTATTCAAAAGCGCATGAAACCCCCCCTATGGTTTCGAAAGCACAAGATAACCCCCTCATGGTTTTCCAAAGTGTGTAAAGTGACGGAAAACACTAACACCAGCGGAGAGTATTTCTAGTTCAAATTGTATTAAAAGTGAAATTTCAAATTAGACAATAATTTTGGGACAGAGGGAATAAAACTTATGAGCTAGATAAAGAGTAAAATGAACTTCCTCACCAACTCACAAAATAAATGGTATATATCGAATGTGGGGAAAATTTCCCTAAAATATTCCTTGTCAATGATAGGTTGGGTTAATTTTAGGTTTTTCATTGGCCAATTAGACACACGGGACTAGTTCTGAATCCATGAATAGATGTTTCCATGCTCCATCACTAACCTTGTTTTATTAGCTTAACACTAAATCATTATACCTACTTTGATCCCTTCCGTTCGTCTATAGTGAAGTGAGGCACCGTGTGAATGTCATGAATGAAGAAGGGTTAAACTTAAATCATTTGTGTGAATTTCAGGGATGAAATGGTGGATCATTTTGCCGAAATGATGGGCTACAAACTCAATCAGGAAGGACGTCTGGGAGTTCAATTGACATGCCATAATTGAATACATGAAAGTTTTTGTACACATATACAGGAGCTGTTCGCTTCATATCCAAGTAGTTCTGCTCCCAGAAATTTTTTACTCCTGATTTTTGTCTATATAGTTAAGGTTCACATATCTGTATTCCCTTATTAAGCATAGAAATATTGTGGGTGTTTTGGCGGAAACAGCTCGGTATGAATTGATGTGAATTAAAAACATTTTTTTTTTTTTAATGGTGAGTCACATTCATGATGCACCACAAACCACAGAGACGCTTACATTACTTCAACCCTGTGTGCAAAAAGAGCAGAATCTCTCATTCGGCCTAGCTAAACAGGAAGGTAAATGCATCCCTCAGAAATTAGGAAGTCATCAAGTAGATAATTCATCAGTCTACTTTTAACGTTAATTTGAACTTGTAAATCTTCATAGGGATGCCCAGGAAAGAAAAAAAAGCAAAGCTTAATTGGTGAAGGATGCATCGTACGCGAAATGTTAGGAAGGATTCAAAGGACGCAGGAAGATGGGGTTCGGATCCAAAGATCAAATCTTTGACCTTTTTAATTGAAACCATGGTTTGAAAAATGATGTCTTCAACCCTTCCCTACCAAGAACAATGACCGGAAAATAAAACACAATCCAGTAGAGTTGTCTTCCACCGAAGCAGAACAAACTTTCAAAAGAACCAGCAAGAATCTTATACTGCCAAAACAATATTATTATAATACAAAATGGAGAAATACAACGAAGTCCCTCAGAACAGAAGCTCTCATCAGTGAATATCAGTCCACTACTTTTAAATTAATTATCAAGCTCATCATAGGGACCAAAAAAGAGCAGAAACTTCAACCCAAAATACAAAGAAGAATCTTTAAACTTTACTTTACAGTAACGAATTTCACATGTTGCAGGAAAAAAAAAAAAAAAAAGTGAACTAAACGAGAATAATCGATAACACAATAAAGATTCACAGAGAAAACCAAAAGGCCCACTTTGACTGAGCATCAAACTACTGGAAACACAGGAAAAGGAAAAGAAACCAATTGATGAAAGAAACCACATCTGGTGAGGTTCTTATTTGGACTACTGGAAGGAAGGAGTAGGGAATACTCCGGCGGCGGAAAGTAGATGTGGAGGGGAAATGAACATTTATATATAGTACAGAAGATTGGGCCTTGAGGGCTATAACAGAAGGCCAGAACAACTTGGGCTTTTGCTCAGCATAAGGCCTTTTATTAGTGTTTGTATCGATCTCTGGTGTTTTTATTTTCCCTTTTACTTTAATGGGTTTTTTGTTTTTCTGGTTTAGTTTGAAATATCAAAATTTATACTATTAAAAAGGTAATTTTTGTGTTAGTATATAAAAACATTATCATTATCTAGTTTGGATTTTCATTTTTAAACTAAATTAAAGTAAAAATAGACATCTAAATTGACAATAATTTTGAAACAAAGGAAATATTTTTAGCCCAACATAACAAATAAATCTTTATCAAAAAAAAAAAATACAAATAAAAAATAAATAAATAAAATAATAGTACGGGCAACGGGGTAGATAAAAACGTCGGTCGGCAACTTCCAACTTATAGCATTAGCAGTAGGTGAGAGAGGGAAAGACTGTTCTTTCTTTTTGTTGGACGAAAGGAAATAGATGGAGTCCAAACCCATCAACTTCCTCTCAATTCTCCTACCAATCGCTGCTGTTTTCGTAATTCTCTGCAGTCATGGCGTTAGAGCTTGGACTGGCCAAATCCAGGGAAGGGTGGTTTGTGATGTTTGTGGGGATTCTTCTGTTGGCCCTGAAGACCATGTATTAGCAGGTAAGATTTCTTTGGTTCCTTTCAATTATTTATTTATTTTGTTCCCTTTTGAGAATTAAATTCTATCCATCTGGGGTTTTTGTTCTATTCAACCTTGATTAAAAGAAAATATTGGGCTTTGTTCAATTTTTTTCTGAAAAAATGTAGCTTTTTTTTTTTTTTTCCCCTTTTTCTTTTCGTCAGAATTGTTTTCTTTTGTAGTGTTCAATTGTTGTTTGAAAATACAAATGTAGTTTATTGATCAACTAGATGCGAATTGGAAGCTTTACCTTTAAATTCACAGTCCCGTCTAGGCTGCTGGTGTCTTTTAGGTTTCAGCTTTGGGTCTTAAATGACCATCATGGGACTTTTCTCTGTTTTCAAATTAAGCAGTTAATTACTTCAATTTCCCTTTGTTTTGATGATTTACTGTTCCCTGAACATGAGATTTCGTGCGCTAGCTTAAAATTCATTAAATATGTAAGGCTCTGTTGGAAAATTTGTTTCAATTAAATATCGTGATAGGGCAAGCAATAGTGTGCTAGTAGCAATTTGCTTGCCTTTAGTTGGGTATATCAAAGCAGGATTTAAATGGTTGTGTTTTTTTCATCTTTTTTGATTAATGAAAATAGCTAATCTGCAACATCTTGCTAATTTAGTTATTCCACTGTCTATGTTGTTTGAAGGCCTATGATTATGAAATGTACATTGCCCTACTTGTTAGCATCTTATGAACTAGAGTTTTTTTTTTTTTTTTTTTGGTGAAGTTCTTTTCCGTAAGTGTTCCCCTAGACCCATTGAAGGTTGAAAAGCAGGAACTGTACAACGTGTATGTGTGTCTCTTTTTTATTGTAAAAGTTTAGCTGTTTTTCTGAGGTGAAATGTCCTTGCCTGCACTGGATTTGATTTTATGTGATTTCTGTTGTTTGCAACTCATACTTGTTGTCATTCAAAAGTCACTATTCCTGTGTGAGTGTGTATTTTTTACTACTTTAAATGACTCCATATCTCTACTTGTGGTGACTACATGGCACATGAACAAATCGATCATTCCACACCTTCAGGGGGGCGGGCTTAGAACTTACGTCTGGTGGATGCTAAAACTAGTTTGTCTTTATATACAGATGTTGTCAAAACTAGATTAAATTTTATTGGTATGGCATGTTGATGATGTCTGATAGTGTTCTTAAAGAATCAATGTCAAATTTAAAGAGCTTCAAGTTTTGGCCTTGTGCAGGTGCTGAGGTTGCTGTTCTATGCATTACCAAAGCTGGTGAAGTTCTAAACTATCAGGCTTTCACAAATCCTAAAGGCATATACACAGTGGCAGAGACAATGTCGGAGGCTGATCGCTGGGATGCATGCTTAGCCAGACCAATCAGTAGCTACCATGATCACTGCACAAAATTAGACGGCAATGCTGGTGTGAAGTTCAGCTACAACCATCCTTCTGGATATTCTCATACCATCAGACCTTTTGTATATCATCCTGCCAGTGTGCCAACATATTGCATGTAAAGAAATGTTCTGTATGTTGTACTGTTGTAGAGCTGAATAAAAAATATATAAGAGATGTAATAGAAAGGTACCCCGAGCCTTCATGTATCATCATTGTGCATGATAGTTACTGTGTTTCTTTGTGGTATCCCAATTGTACATGATCGCGGTTCATAGTTTAGATTGCAGATGCATTTGTCTTAGGCTTGAGGCATACATTTCCAAATTTATATACACCTCTGGTTGCCCGTAAGGATGAAAATGTTTCATATTACTGAATCACTAAAAGGATTAGGTCTCCTTTTGTTCTTAAGAGGTTGAGTTTGCTGTTATAACTACAACAAAACTGGTTTTTGCTCAAGTTTGAGACTATTCAGTTTTATGGCAGTAGCTGTATATATATATTAATTATATATGGACTGTAAATTTTAGTCCAGCTGGTAAAATACAAAATAATTCAATCCATGTAATTGTTGTTTTACCTTCGTCAGGGCATTTATTCGATCTTTTTGAAAGAACTCAAGCCAGGAGGATTTTCAAACTCTAGTCTTTGGTCTTCACAGAGGGAAAAACAAAATTGACAGTCTCATCTCCTATTTGTTTGGAGGTAATGTTGAGGTAATCAATCAAAATGGTGTACAGTTTTCTGAATGACCGGCCCAAAACTATATTACTTATTCCGTCCTGAAATAATAATTGTAATTTTTGTCGTGTACTAACTAACAAAAGGAAAAAAAGAAAAAAAAAAAAACAAATTTGCCTTTGTGATTGGCATTTGATGAATATTTGTTAAATTAAGAAACCATATGTTTGACAGTTTAGATTCAATTTGAGACTGACTTTTTTTTTTATTTTATAATTTTTCCTTTGGTAATTAAAAAATTGAGAAAGCCAGATGGTTCACTCCAATTGGTTCAATTGACAAAAAAACTGACAGATGGACCATTCCAATTGGTCCACATGACAAAGCTCTGCAAACATCAATTTCCCAGTCAGAGAATATCAGCGAACCTTGAAAGCGTTGAAACCGTTAGGAAGTTGGAAGGAGACAAACAAGAGAGCGCGAGACAAAGGCGGTGGCAGTGTTCATCGAATCAAGGCACGCATTCAGCATTCTGGGCGTGAAGCAATGCAGTAAAAAATGTTCTCTTTATAATTGGGAAAAAACGAGAATCATCTCTCTTTCTCTCTTTTTCCCCTTTTTTTTTGGATGAGTTTTTGAGATTTATATGGGTTATGGGTAGGAAGAGATCCATTGGAATGAGTCAAAAATCGCGACCAAACTAGATATTTTCTTTTGCGGGTCGCAAGGAAATTTGACCATTGTGGGTTGCTCCGCTGCGAAATCGGTCATCTCCAATACTGCTAATATGATAGGTTGGTTTAATCAGCTGCGAATCGCTTTCGGGGCTTCATTCCTTTGGCTCGTTTGCTTGATTTACTTCACCCAGGTCCGTTTCTCAAGATTCAATTCTCCTTTCTCGTGTTTTGGCTTCCCTTTTCCTCTTCTTAAGATTGTGATTTGAAAAATGAAGTTTGTTGCTTCGGGTTCTCTTCGCTTTTGGATGTTGGTTGGGGGAATTCTGGGTTTGGGTAGTCTTCATGATCAGAAAGGAATAAAATGTGTTTGCATAGTTACGATAGTTATAATGAACTTAAGAAATTTTTCTGTTCTATTAGAGCTAGTTTGTGTTTAATGGAATGACTTCAAATTGTATATTGCTGCCTTAAAATTGGATCACTTAGGCATCCTTTTCTATTATAATCTCATGACCCTTAGAGTTTATTTCCCTGTAAATTCGTCTGGTGCATTGATGATCTTAGCTACCTGTGCATTATCTATCTTAGTTTCTAAGACGTGTCATTAACAAATTATTTATTTGCAACTGTTTTCGGGAGTCTTACTTTCTGAATGATTTATTGAAAGCAGGGTTTTAGATCTTTTGTGTGGACTGCAGTCTCCTATCAGCTGAAAGACAACCTAAAGTTATCACCTTCAGCCTCCCAATTCGTGTCGTCAATTGCATTTTTTCCTTGGAGTATTAAGCCACTATATGGGTACGTCTCCAGGTGTTTCTTGCTAGTTTTAACTTGGCTTATTTTTAATGATTGTAACCTTAGTTTTTTGGTTCACTTGCTGCTTTAGTAAGGGATAAACACGTGTTTCCATGCACCCTGCTTCTTCCTTGTCATGGGAAAGAACAGGAAAAGTGGGAAGTGCCAAAATTCATTTTAACTCACATTTGATTGTTATCACACTCCTAAAGGGTTTTTTTTTTTTTCTTTTTTTTTGAGGAAAAACACTCCTAAGGTTATTATGCCTTTTTATGTACAATATCAGTCTGGAACTATACTTTCAAGTAGTTTTGAAATGGGGCTAGCAGATGTGATTGGATTGATGTTAACTAAATGGCTTTTACTAATGGAGACTAAAGTAGTTATGTTATCTTTGACAGATCTAGTTTTTGTTTCGCCGCTTTATGATCTAGTGACATGATTGTTAACAATTGATCTCAGGATCTTGTCTGACTGTATACCGATAAGAGGAAGGAAGCGGATCCCGTACTTATTCCTTGCCACTTTGCTCTCTCTATTTCCATGGATCGCATTAGGTGTAAATTCATCCTTGAGGAACTCAAGGTTGCAGCTCATGATTCTCTTAACCTTTCAAAATCTTGGCTCTGCAATGGCTGATGTCGTAATTGATGCCATGATAGCTGAAGCAGTGAGACTTGAGAGGTATGTTTCCACCTGTAATTTGATGTTTGTCTGTTTTAAGATATAAGAAGCATTTAGTGAGGGTTATCATTTTCTCTTTGAAGGTTTAAAATATACGCAGACCTAGAAATGTTAAGGTATCTAGATGTTCAAATGTGGACCTTATGTTAGCACTTAGCAAGTTGACGCTGAGCTTTTTGGCAGACCGTCAGATTGTGGAAATAGCTCTTTAATATATGGACACATGGCCGCACACATGAATATTCCCTGACGCCGTCACTTATTTGAAAGGCAAAAGTAAATACCTTAACTGACAGGATAAAGTATCTTGCTTACAGCGGATTGATTTATTCTAATTGTTGGAGTGAAATCCAAATTCAATGAAGAGGATAAGTTTATCTAATTGGAACAATGAATGTCGTAACTCTGAATATTTAACAGAAAACAATGGGTTTTTTTTTGGAATTGAGAAAATAATGGTTGCTGCTTGAGATAGTCTTTTCATTGCTAATCTTTCAAATGGATTTGGTGGATAAGTTACTCTGCACTGCTTAATTTTTTTGTATTCTGTTATAAGAATTTTCTGGTTCTGATTAGTACCTCACCAGCGTCTTTTGTTATGAAGCCTGCCAATATAAAGCTTCGTTTACTTTGTACCTAATTTGTCCTCAATGTTTATTCAAGAACTTGAATATCCAATTCCAAAGTCACCAAGATGACACCAGTCTAGTACATCTGAAGATTTGTTCTCTTTCCTTCTCTCTGTGCATATTTCATGGATTGTTGACATCTATTACCTTTCCATTGAATAGGGCCTCATTTGCTGGTGATCTCCAGTCCATTTCTTGGATGGCAATGGCCTTGGGAGGAATTTTTGGAAGTCTGCTTGGAGGATACGCCTTGACAGCACTGCAGATTGACAAAATCTTTCTCCTCTTTTCTGTATTGCCAACCATACAGTTATTCTCATGTGGTTTGGTTGAGGAGAAATCCTTTCAACCTGAATTTTCTGCTTCAAATGTCTCACACTCTGCTAATGAGAATGGTTCTGCTCATGAGGATGAGTCCTTAGCTGCTAATGCCAAAACTGGTGCCCTCAGGCGAAAAAAGAGCCAGAAAAAAACCAAAAAGGCACCTGCTGATCTTCCAGAAAAGAATAAGTCATTAGCTTCTCGATGGTTTTCATCCCTGAAGATGGCAAGTTATGCATTATTCAGGGCTTTCCGCCAACCAAAAATCATAAGGTAAGAAATGAGAATATGTTTTGATTACTAAATATATTGTGCATATCCTAAGTAGGAAAGCACTTGTGAAAGTGCTCAATATTGGTTTCCATTATTTACTGCTGCAGGCTTTAATTTATATTTGTTTTCACTACTAACTTCTTCTGTGTAACGATCCAGACCAATGGCTTGGTTTTTCTTGGCACATGTGACAGTTCCAAACCTCTCAACTGTCATGTTCTATTATCAATCAGAAGTCTTGAAATTGGATGCATCATTTTTGGGCACAGTTCGTGTTGTTGGTTGGTTAGGCCTCATGTTTGGAACCTTCACCTACAATCGCTTCTTGAAGAAAATGAAACTACGAAGAATTCTTTTGTAAGTAGAACGTCAATAGAAGTAGAATTATTCACACGTATACTCTGCAGAACAGTTGTGTTTACTTTTTACCATTTGTTTTGGATTTTTATTCTTTTGTCCAGGTGGGCGCATGTTGGTTTGGTCTTCTCGGGTATTTTAGATGTGCTCCTAGTGTCTCGAACAAATATTTCATTAGGCATTTCTGACAAAGTCATGGTACTTGGAGGATCTGCTCTTGCAGATGGGATCAATCAATTCAAGTATGTAAAGCTTCTTTCTTATCAATGGGAATATCTGAACTTTTTTTTCATGTGATATATGCTTTTGGGTAACTAACTTCTGTGTATATGTATCATTCTTACCGGCTGAGTTTAAACTTTTTGTGTAGCCTGTAGTTCAATGCTTATTGTTACAATTTACAAGAGTTTAAACTTGGAATTTTACAATGTCTGAGGTCTACGGAACTTGTAAATATTGCAGGTTTATGCCATTCCTCATCTTATCAGGGCAACTTTGCCCACCTGGAATCGAAGGAACTTTATTCGCTCTCTTTATGTCTATAAACAACTTCGGTGCCACGGTGGGCAACTTTGTTGGGGCAGGTCTCGCTTCAATCCTGAGCATCTCTTCAGGATCTTTCGACAACATTACTTTAGGAATTTCAATTCAGGTTCTGTGCACTGTAATCCCAGTTTTGTTCCTGTTTATGATACCAAAGGAAGCTACTGGAATATCGGCGTAGTTCTCAGGTATACTTGAAGTAGATGACATGACCAATTGCTTGGTTTAGGACTTCAGGTTAACATGTTTGGGTTAGAAGCCTGTAGGATTGAAGGGGGAGCATGGGTCAAGAGTGTATACAGTCTGATTTTGTTCTTGCTAGTAAAGGTACAATGTAGAATGCCAAATAGAATAGCATAGAATGGGAATGCGACTAGTTTTGCCCAAAAAGAAAGGAGATGTGCCTGAAATTATTTTCTGTTGATAAAAAATTTTGATGCCATTTGTATCCTAAATAGAAGATTTACTCGATAATAAAGAGAGGAAATGAATTGAATTTATTTCATGGGTTCCCGTTTCACGCACTGCTTGGTTCATTTTGAATATGGGCCCGGCCCGCACCACTTTCCAAATATGAAATAACAATCGATTTTGTCATTTTTAAAATTGGGAGGCCCTCTTTTTTTAAAAAAAATAATTGATGTAAAACTACTTAACGGCGAATGAAATGTGTCGATTGCCACGCCGATTGATCCCAGATTAAATAAGAACAGAATAAATCATAAGTAGACGTTATATCCGTGAGCAATCGAATTTGTAAAGAAAGAATAAAATGTTTAGTACTTTAGTTGGAGTATGTTATTTTTGCTTCAACGAAATAGATTTGTATTACAGAGGGGGGAAAAAATATAAACGTTTATGTACTTTTTACTTGTTATATTTTCTTACTACTACTAATAATAAATTCTTAACTTTATTAGTAAGTTAAAAAGCAATTCCACTTGTTGAATCCTCAACTTTTGTTGTTTTGCATTCTCCCTGTAATATAATACTCTCTCTGTCCTAAAATTATTGTCCAATTTGAGATTTCACTTTTAGTACAATTTGAACTAAAAATGAAAATTCAAACTGGACCATAATTATGGGACGGAGGGAGTATAAAAAAAATCATTTATGTGCCTCAAAGCAGCCCTTGATTTTTGGTGATAAGATAAGGGGAGAAAATTATATCAGTGGCAAGATCAAATAAGGGAAAACATATTGGTCATCCTTTCAAATCATGATGATCCATAAAAAAAGAGTAGTGGGTGATCATTAATTTTTAATTCCTGCTTTTATTACGGATACTGTATATGTGATTGATGAGTAATTTGAGGGATTCATGCTATCTTTAAATCAAACTAATTGGGTTTATATGATTTTTATTGCCTTATTGGTACAATTTTCAACGTCCATAAATTTTGAATGAACAATTTCACTTTTTTTAAGGATGATAATGTCGAGAACAGTGGTCTTAAACAGAAACATTAAAAATTATGGCACCAACTACTTGTCTAAGGCTTTGTAAAATGAGTGTTCGTCGGAAGCACTTATTTTATATTTTAACTTATTTTACCTTTTAAATACAAAATCCAATGGAAAAAAAAAATCATCCAAAGAAATTTCTAATTTACATTTTAAATTTCAACTTGAAACACTTTTTATTAGTTCAATGACCATTTTAAAACTACAAATAGTTCAGTGACAAATTTGGCAGGATTCTGTTGTTGAGTGATTGCTTTTGAAAAAGTTTTTTTTTGCAGTGACTATAATTGACAGTATTTAATTGTTTAGTGATGACTCGTACTTGATATTTTCAAAATGTAGTTCAAAATATTTTTTTCAAAACCAACATCCAAACAACTTTTTGCTCAAAATACCATCCAAACAGCATTTTCATTTCACATTTAGTTTTGAACTTGAAACACTGTCCACTTTTAAATGACAAAATGAAATGTAAGATGACGTTCAAACAAACAGAGTTTGCGAAACTCATAATTTATAAATTTCTCTCCCTAGTCTTAATTTTCAGATTAACTACAAAAATAGAGAATGATAATTTATACAATTATTACATGATCAAATTTCAAATAAGGGCTGTGTTTGTTGTTTTTTTGGTCATGAATTAAAAAGGAAAGAATAATCATTTATGAAAGATTGTATGTATACAAGAATAAAGTTGTAGTGTGGAAAATGGAAGAAGGAATCGTATGAAAAAAAAGGTGGTTTAGGAAGCTTGCTCTCATATCAGAGCCAGGTTTCGATCCTGGGACCTGTGGGTTATGGGCCCACCACGCTTCCGCTGCGCCACTCTGATTTTGTGATTATGCATAGAAAATTTAAATAAATATAAAAAATTAGAATGTCATACCTCGGGCTTTTGACGTTTATTTTGCCGGCGGTAGCCGAGGAAAGCTTATTGTAGACTGGTCCGCTAAAGAAAAGGGAGGGAAACGAAACGATCGGAGAATGAGGCGTAGACCCGGAATTGGTGGCTTGCAGAATGCCGCCGCCGCTAGAGTACGTTGCTTACTAGCTACTTCCGATTTAATTCCGGCCCGAATTCCAATTGTATTCAAAATTAACGTCTTGATTTGTTCGGTACTTTTGGTGCAGGATCAATACCGGTTGCTGGGAGAGAATGTGGCTAAGCTTAGAACCGATCTTATGAAGGAACAGCTCGCCACTTTTCGCTCTCAGCTCGAAGATTTCGCCCGTAAACACAAGGTTCTATTCTGCTCTTATTCCTCCTTTTCGTTTTGATGAATCAGAAACCTTAATTGATAAGAGGAAGCGTAAACTACTATTCTTTTGGGTTTACCCTGGGTCAATAACCTACTTAAAGTTACGTGCTTTCATTGCCCTATTTCGGATTTTGATATTGTTGGCATAGTTCATGATGTAATGGTTTTTTTCACTTTGAAATGCAACTACTGGGCTTATTACATATTAGTATGTCCCGTTGCCAATAGCTAGAAACCATGTTGAAGCTACCAAATACTGGACGTGAAACTCTGAATGCTAATGCGTTATATTTACAGTGGGATCAGTGATGATGATGTTGCTCTTCCGCTAGCTTAATATAGTTTACGAAATCTACAATGTGAATGTGGCAGAAGATATGTTCTTGTTGTCCTATTAAGTGCTAACTTTGAAAAAATATCTGCTTTGGTGGATGCAGAATGACATTCGAAAAAACCCTGCTTTTAGATCACAGTTCCATGAGATGTGCGCTAAAGTAGGAGTGGATCCCCTAGCTTCAAATAAGGGTTTCTGGGCAGAGCTCTTGGGGATTGGTGACTTCTATTATGAACTTGGTTGGTGCCCCTCATCACGATCGCTGAGCTACTGGTTTCTTCTAAGGACTTAGCTTAATTTTTTCTGTCCCAATCATATGTTAGGATTCCTGATCACTGTTTTGTAACCATGTCCCTTAACCCCATCTTGTTAAGCTTCATGTATCAGGCTATGACTTCTGCATATTCTAGTTGCAATATAGATGATCAGCAAAAGAAACCTGGTTGATTAGCCTAGCTACTTTCTGGAACTTTTTTAACTCAAACCACCAGACTTCTACTTAGTTGTAAAACTTTTGATTAAAAGTATCACATTCTCAATCTTTCGAATGTAATTGACATGGGAGTCCTCCAGAGTCTTTCCACTTAGCACTTACTGTGTCTTCTCCAATATTTTGCCTTCTTGCTCATGGGATTTTTGAAGAGTTGGTAAATCTGATGCCCAATCACTTGCACAGAACAGGCACTTCACTTCTATTTATTTATTTTTGGTAATAAAACTCCATCAGGTACAAATATATCTGATGCGCACCTGTCACTTCTTATTTATTTATTTATTTATTTATATATTTTCAAGTGTTCTCGTACTTAATTGTGCAGTTACTGGTTGAATTTTGTATCTTTAGTAAGCAACTTACAAGCCATCTATCTGTCTAGACAGGTGTTTTGATTGTTGATATCTGCTTGTCAACTAGAGCTGATAATGGAGGTCTGATTAGCTTGGAGGAACTCTGTAAACTGGTTCGCCATAGGCGCAAGAGTGCACGTGAACCTATATCTGAGGATGACTGTTTGCGTGCCATTAGTAAGTTGAAGGTATGTGTTGGAGTTTATATCAGGAATCTCATCTCGTACAAATTTATTTGTACCTTGGCAGGACTCTTCACATATATTTTGTTATTCAACACCATGAAATTCCCCAAATGTTCTGTATTTCCTTTTTAACTACCCATCATTTTTTATTTTATTCTTGAATTATGCCATGTTCATAGGATTAGCTTTACCCAGAATAGATTCATAACTTTGCCTGTCACCTTCTTCTCCTGCTGTTGTTGTTGTTGTTCTTTTTTATTATTTTTTTTTTTTTGCCTTTTTATTTTGTGTTTCATATATGAGGACGGTTTCTAGCATTCAGAATCTTCATAACTGTGTATAGTGATGCTCATGCCCAAACATCTTTTTCAGGTACTGGGGAGTGGTTTTGAAGTGATCTCCATTGGAAAGAAAAAACTTGTTCGGTCTGTCCCAACAGAACTGAACAAGGATCATAATGAAATTCTAGAGCTGGCACAGGTTTGCCTCTCCGTGTCCCTAATAATTCTGCTCTTGCAGTAGTATTTTAAAACTCAAATTCTATGGAAATGTCCTTGAAGTTCTAAGGTTTCGTGCCTACTATCTCACTGGAATTTCAGGGTTGCTATATTTTTTCATTTTCTATCCTGAAAGCCAAATATTTTTCTTCGGTACCTTATTTGTTAGTTGATTCATTGCTGCTGCGTTTAATTAGGGCCAAGGCTTTGTAACAGTTGATGAGGTACAGAGAAGGCTTTCATGGCCTTCTGGACGTGCCACTGATGCCCTTGAAACTTTATTAGACGTAAGTTAATGCCACATGTTTGAACTAATTTTTTCACCAGCTCGTCAGCTGCATTTTGGTTGAGTTTTCTGTTTGGAGGTTTTAACCTGCTGTTGTGCAATGCAGGAAGGTCTGGCCATGATTGATGATGGTCATAGAGATGGCAGGCGCAGATATTGGTTTCCCTGTGTTTCGCCCATCTCTTCCTATGCGGGAGCTGACACACTTTGAGGATTTCATCTTTGATACAAATGTGTATTTTAAGTTTCTGAAGATGGACATCATGATGCTCAGAAAAACTACGTAGGCACGTATTTTTCTCTCCTTAAATGTTACTGCAGTGGGAAATGGTTGGAATCTTCTTCTAAATATGTGAAGTGCATCTGTTATGGTTTGGATGGTTAGAAAGGGTTTGAATATACCATCTTTTATTCTTTAAAATTTACCAAGGTTTCCGTGGTTCTGGGATTCGCTGGTTGGTGTCTGACGGCTTATATGCGAGTACGTGATAGTTATTGTTGTACTCACTGGTACGGTAGAAACAGAATGGAGATTGCTTGATTTCCTTGTACAAACCATGGCGAGGTTGAAGCCAAAATATATAATGAGATAATGAGAAACTAGTCTCTGTATTATTTTGTAACGATGGACTGGAAGTGTTTTTAACAACATTTGGATGTTTCATTTCATAAATGCTTGGCTGCTTTTCGTTCCTAACATTCATTTTACCGAAGGAAAGAAAAATGAAAATCATACAAGAACCTCCATCTTTCTCGGAAGAATAATTGGACAGATGTCAGTAACTAGTGTGATGTTTTCCAATTTCATTGAATATATGAACAAATCAAGGACATATTAAAGCTATATATGAAAATGGAATCATTGCAGCACAATCAGAGATGAAGTTTCTGTATCTTCAGTCCACTCAGAGGTAGGTTCACTCCAGGACCGAGGTCGTACTCCCAGCTTGAAGAACAAGACCATTTCCAGGGCTTCAAAGACCTTGTACTTGTCCAGAGCCGGATTCCAGACACCACTAACAATACAGTAATTGTTGTTATAAGGTGCCCTGTGATGAGCACCGTGCATTGATCGCGACACCAACACACCGGCATCCTGCAGGGCAACTACCATCGGAGGCAGCTTGCTCTTTGTGCCATGAGCCCACGCGTGGAACTGCTGGCTAAACATAATGCAACCCGAGCAAACACCAACGAAACTAAGAAGAACCGGATCATTGCAGATAAGGTCTATAGGAAGAACTGTGAAGGTAACTGCCCGAGCAAGAGCATGTAGATTGTTAGCGAATTGACGCATTGTTATTGTCCATGGCCATTTATGATGACCTTGAAATGCTTCTATCTGATTGCCAAAAACAGGGGTCTTTTCGCTGCCATAGTTATCAATGCCCCAGTGATAAACTCCAGAGCCGAGGTCTGCAAGCACATAGCCAAGCAGCCCTGCTAAAATAGGCTCCAGCCATATATGCGCCTCAGCAGAGCCTGTAATCGACTTTGCCAGGGAAATGAGGACAGTAGTGCATCCACCCGCCACCCAAGCACGCTGTGGCCATGTCGATTTCAAGCTGGGATCATTGAGCAACGAAGCGGGCGTGACAGGGGTGCTTGGGTTCAAGATCCGTAGCGATTCAGCAACGAGTAGTTCGGGTTGGCGGGCAGCAGGCTTGACACTGGTGGTGGTGGTGGTGGTGGTTGTGGTTGTGGAGCAGGAGATATGCAAGGAAGTGGGAGAATGCTGGATTTTAGGAAGATGGTGGTGGTATAAGGATCTAGGTGGAGGGAATGCAGCCATTGAAGCAGGTTTTGAAAACATCAGAAAGAAACCATCAGAGCTGAAGAAGAAAAAGGATTGGCGTTTGATTAATAAGAGGTTACGTAAGAAAAGAAAGAGTGCACACAATGGCGAACAGGAGAGTGGTGTTTTCTTATTTTAGTGGCTCGAAATCCCCTTTTTGAGTGTACGCAAGTTTGTGGTTCATGCTGCATGAGATGAGGCTTGTGTAGGATATAAAAAAATTGCAAGGTTGATGTCTACTGAATAATATTGTCCAAGACCTCTCTCTCTTTTTCTTTTTCTTTTTATTTATTTATTTATTTTTTTTTTGTTGAAAAATGTTGAGGGCAGGGGATTCATTGGTGAAGTTAGATGACCTTGCAGTTTTTTAATGGATCTAAATAATGTTACATTATTCTCATTCATTAAAATGTGACAGAAAGAGTAATTTAAAAACCGTATCATGAAATAAATTTCTTATGATTTTGGTGGTCAGGCGATAGAGATATATACCGCATAAAAAAAAAAAAAAGGAAAAAAGAATGGAATAAGGGATCCAGATATGGAGGGGTGATCTTAGAGGAGTTTGCGTGGATGATTACAGGACAACCAGAGATGAAATGCGTAGGGACCGTGGAAGGAAGAATGAAGAAAGAAACAGAAAGATGGGCGATCTCCTTCTTTTCCTTCCTACTACTAAGATCAAAGGACTTAGCAGCCATAGAACAGAACATGTCGCCAAATCTACCACGTCACCCGCCTCATAACCCACCCTTGTTAGGCTTTGCTTTTGAAATTTTACCATTCATGTCCAATACGAAGATGCAAACTCAAAGTTGACAGTGCTTTCTTTGGTAGCCTTCTATGTCTAAAGTCAAAACTAGACAAAAAAAAAAAAAATTGTGACGAAACTTGCAAAACCACATCACGCAACTAAGTAACACAACTTATATTACGTGTTTCATATTGTTATCATTTTCTTTTTCTTTTCCTTTTTTGTTGGTGGATGTCAGACGAAAATCAGCAAAATGCTTCATTTTCCTATTGAGGCCTTTTGCACTTTATTAAAAGAAACTTTAAAATTAGGGGCGACCGCCACTACTGGTCCCCTCTCTCTTCTATTTATAGTCATTAAATCAAACTCAAACGAAGTTAGACTTATATTATTCAACGATCCGTCTTCATTTTACAGTATATATATGGTTTTCAATAATGAACTATGAGATCGATTATTTTGAATTGGTAACTAAGTAAAATTATGAAGGGGCAGTAATAAATCTACACTATGTATAACTTAACACAGGGACCTAATAGATTGAGAAGCAAAATGGAGGGACCAATGTTGTTATTCATTTTTGGCAATACATTACGTACGTCGGCATCTATTGCCCCGTTAGCGTACCCTTTTAGGAATATGCTTTGGCTTTTGGAGGTCCCACTAATGACAATTAGTCATTTTAGCCCTTTCTTTGTATCCCTTTTTTGGTTTTTTCCATTCACAAATTATTATGATGCAACTCAACTTGGATAGCAAACTGATGGCCTGTGTTTAATTTGATATGTATTGCTTGAAACTTTTTTGTTTTAATTTTTTGTAATAATAATAAAGCACTTTGTTCACAGTTACCCATGTGTGTTACTACAATACAAAACTTACGACTCAGAACTTGCAACAACAACAACAACAACAACAAGCCTTTTTCCCACTAGGTGGGGTTGGCTATATGGATCATATGTCGCCATCGCAGACGGCCACAGACACCTCATCTGACAAATTTAAAAATTTCAAATCGTTTTTATAGTTTCTTTCCATGTTTTCTTGCGTCTACCCCTACCTCTTTTAATTTGAAATCTTGATTCTATAGCCTCTACTCCTCCTAACCTGAGCCTCTACCTGGCCTCCTACGCACATGCCCAAACCATCTTAAACGGTTTTCTCTCATTTTTTCGTCTATTGGAGCTACCCCTACTTTCTCTCTAATATCATCATTTCTAATCCTATCTAGTCTAGTATGCCCACATATCCATCTTAACATTCTCATCTCCGCTACTTTCATTTTTTGCTCATTTTCATATTTAGTGGCCCAACACTCGGATCCATAAAGTATCGCCGGTCGAATGGCCGTTCTATAGAACTTACCTTTCAAGCTCAATGGTACTTTACGATCACAAAGTATTGACGAGGCACTACGCCATTTATTCCACCCGGTTTGGATTCTATGTGTTACATCTTTATCAATATTTCCATTTTCTTCTATAATGGATCCTAAATATTTAAAACTTTTAGATGTGTTCATTTCATGTTCTCCTATCTTAACATTTACCATACTATTACTCCTACGGTTACTAAAATGACATTCCATATATTCCGTTTTAGCCCTACTAATTGTAAAACCTTTAGATTCTAACGCCCCCCTCCAAGTCTCTAACTTGGCATTAACCCCCTCCCTTGTTTCATCTATTAGAACTATGTCATCCGCAAATAACATGCATTCGGGGATGGCAACTTGCAAGTGATTAGTGATTTCATCAATTACTAACGCAAAAAGATACGGGCTCAACGTCGATCCTTGATGCAAACCCACTTTGATGGGAAACTCTCCCGAAATTCCTACGGGAGTCCTCACACAAGTTGTTGCATTATCATACATGTCTTTTATTATTTCTATATATCCTACTCTCACTCCCCTCTTTTCTAACACCCTCCACATTACATCTCTATTAACCCTATCATATGACTTTTCAAGGTCAATGAAAACCATGTGTAAATCTTGTTTTCTCTCCTTAAAATGCTCACATAATTTTCTTAATAAATGTATAGCTTCCATTGTTGATCTTTCGGGCATAAAGCCAAATTGGTTTTCCATTATGTTTGTCTCTTGCCTTAGCCTAGTTTCTATTACCCTTTCCCACAATTTCATTGTGTGGCACATTAGTTTTATGCCCCTATAGTTAGCACAATTTTGTATATCTCCTTTATTTTTAAACAAGGGTATTAGTGTACTCTTCTTTCATTGGTTAGGCATTTTCTTACTCTTCATGATGATGTTGAATAACTCTGTAAGCCACTTAATCCCAAATTCACCAAGGCATCTCCATGCCTCTATTGGGATGTCATCGGGACCTACGACTCAGAACTTGATCGGAAAAAATTAGTGGAGAATTGAAATTGATATAAAACCCTGTTAGGCTAATTTTGCTCTGTCAAATTCACAACTTTCAACCCACCAAAACGAGCTTTAGGATCTTCACAGTCCAAACAAGTTTTAGATTCCAAGTTTGGACACTGATGCATACGAGTGTGTCACAATACAAAAACAGAAGGCTAAATGGAGCTTATTATTGCAAGCGACAAGAAGAAGTTGTCAACTGACAATGAACGGGAGAATAATCCATTACAACAATGTAATGATTCAATGATATAGCCTAGATGTTAACGAAACGCCTAATCGCAATCTTCACTAAAAAATTGTGATGAATTTCTTTCCAAAGAACCATCGCTATCTCTTAATAAATGTAATAAATAAATTCCAAAAATTATGATAATTCTCCAAACTGGGCAAACCTCAAACGCAAGCCTTAATTTTTATTTTATTTTTTATTTTTCCTTTTCAAGGTTTTGATTCAGCCGTTTTTTCTTCGGTAATTATCACTTGCTTTAAGAAACTGGGGAGATCTCGATTATATTATGAAGAACGGGGATTAGATATTTTAAGAAAGAATTGGGGGAAAAGGGAAAAAAATCTTGTCTTCTTCATATTCAGCGGTAAACCAACAAAAATCCTCCTGTTTCTGTTTTAATGGCTGTCAGCAACCACCTTCTTAAAGCTCTGGATAAAGTACAATAGCAGTAACAAACAACCTTCGGGGAATCATAACTTTGACCTTTTCCCAAACCGAAAATTTTGTTTCCATGCGCTGATTTGTTTGTAAAGATCCAATCTTTTTTTTTGTTCTCTTTTTGGGGTTTCAAATACTCAAAGACTAAGAACTTCGTTTTGGAGAACTCAACTCGCACCATGCAGATTTTAATTAAGAAATTCACCTCTCTCTTCTGGGTTATTGAGGTTCTTGGGTTTCTTGGGATGTTTTTTCCATTGCAAATTCATGCCCTGAAAGCCCCTTTTCATCCTTCCGACGTTTTGCCTGTTCTCCCAAGGCAAGTCTCATGGCCGATTCTGAACTACTTGAATGGTGCTGCGGACCTTTTGCCTTCGTTTGTTGGGGCTGCTTTGCCTGCCAACAATACCTTGGATTGGAAAGGGGCATGCTTTTATCAGAACACTGCTTGGTTGGAGTTTCACAACAAGACTGGCAGTCAGTTTGGTGGCGGTACTCTGCATCTCAAGGTTCGGTTCTTCTATCATCTTTCTCCCCTTTTCCATTGTTTTTTTTTTGGCTTTTTTTGAATTCTTAATTTTCCTTGCCCAGCTGGTTATTTGGTTATTGTATTTATGTTTCTGGGGTTGCTCCTTCAAAGTTGTTTTGGAAGCATAAAGGAAGCTAAGAATATGCATACCTCTTGTTTTTCTTTGGGAATAATGGAACAAATGTGGATGAAGCCATTATATAATTTCTTATTCTTCTTAGTTTGTTGCTATTCAAGTGCTTGGAAATGGTGGTCCAATTTTAGTACAACTTGACTATCAGAAACATGATCTAGTGGGAAGACTGTGTTTTAATGTTCCCCTTTGGCAATACATGATACGTTGCCTCTGAATGCTGTAGTTAAGCTAGTTATGTTTTCATTGAATGCTAAATTCACGCATCCGCAGTTATGTACTGTTTGTTTGTATTCAATCGCGGTGGTTGGGTTGCTAGATTTTTGTTGGAGTTACATTTAGCGGAATCAGGACTTCTTGGCGGATACTATGGTCGTTAATATTCTTCAGTTTTCAGGACTTTCGTGCTTTTGTCATGTATGGTGTTCAGACCGTCTATATGATGGTGAAACCGTGAAAGTCAAAGATTTTCTGTTGTAATATTCTTTGAATTAGAGATGAAATTACACTTTTTCCTTGTAATGGGGTTTTAACTTTTCTTCCGATTTTCCTCAGATTAGCCATGCACATAGCTGGACATGTATGGATCTTTACATCTTTGCAACTCCATACCGTGTGACCTGGGACTATTATTTTTTGTCCCGGGAACACACCTTGGAGTTTAATGAATGGGATTCAGAGGCTGAGTATGAATACGTGAGTTGGCGCTCAGTTACTTTTTTACACATGGAGTTGCACAGAGTTTTGCTTGCCATTCTAATCTACTTCCTTGCTAATAGGTCAAGCATAAGGGAATTTCAATATTCCTTATGCAAGCAGGAATGCTAGGAACACTTCAGGCACTGTGGGATGTCTTCCCCTTGTTTACAAACACTGGTTGGGGTGAGAACTCAAACCTTGGGTTCCTCAAGAAACACATGGGGGCTTCATTTGAGCAGCGACCCCAACCTTGGGTGACTAATGTCAGTGTTGATGACATTCACTCTGGTGATTTCCTTGCGATATCAAAAATTCGTGGCCGATGGGGTGGTTTTGAGACTTTAGAGAAGTGGGTTAGTGGAGCGTATGCTGGTCATACCGCTGTTTGTTTAAGAGACTCTGAAGGAAAGCTATGGGTTGGGGAATCAGGACATGAGGATAAGGAGGTACTCCCTAAATCTTTTGCAAAGATGCATGTGAAAATAACAACTTGATCAAACGAACTCATAAATTAAGCTCATTCACATTATTCTAGTCCAGTATGATAACAAAAGATTAGTTGCTTAGCAACATAGATAAAGTTAGACGACTTATGCCTGATTTCCGGGTGGCAGATTAGCTTCATAAATGATCAATTTGGTATTTCTGTTTCTATATACATGTTTCAGTGATAAAGTGATTTCCATATTCTAATGGTAGGGGCGAGATATTATTGCAATTATGCCGTGGGAGGAGTGGTGGGAATTTGAGTTAAAAAAGGATGATGCAAATCCACACATTGCTTTGCTTCCTTTACGCCCTGACATCCGGGCCAAGTTCAATGAGACTGCTGCCTGGGAATATGCACGAAGCATGGATGGGAAACCCTATGGATATCATAACTTGATTTTTAGCTGGATAGACACAATTGATGGAAATTATCCTCCACCTTTGGATGCTCATCTGGTACAGAATTAATGTATTCTTGAAATGCAGTTCTAATTAAGGACTAGTACTCTTGGAATATTTCTGAAGGTATTTCCTCTGCACAGGTTGCGTCTGTCATGACTGTCTGGAGTCAGATACAGCCATCATATGCTGCTAATATGTGGAATGAGGCTTTAAACAAGCGGCTTGGAACAAAGGTTTTTTCTTGGACTTGTTATCTTATTCGCTAACTATTCTTAAGGAAATGAGTTATAAATTTTCATAAACAGAGAGGAAGGTTGAGGAATCTATGTAGTGACTAACCAGTTCCCCCTTGAAAGATTCAAATGTTTAAGGAAAAGCTTAGATCCTAATTATGCCATTTGTGTGTGGTAAGATCTGTATGGATATTAAGACCTATGGCTATGGCTGACATAATTTGTGGACCCCAACAGAGTTAGTCCCTCTTGGCTGACCTGTATGTATTTTAAACGAAAGAGCTAAGATTCTAAGACTGCCACTCCTAGATGCTTGTTCAAAACCTTCTAGTGATAAATAAACTTAGGTTCTATAATACTCTGTTTCAATTTGGTTTAGTAATTAATTTGATCATGTGTCCTTATTTTGTTCATGAAGGGCCTCAATCTCTCTGATGTTCTGGTTGAAGTTGAGAAGCGTGGATCATCTTTTGCTCAACTGTTGGCGATTCCGGAACAGGATGATTGGGTGTATAGTGACGGCAAATCTACATCGTGTGTTGCCTTTGTTCTTGAGATGTACAAAGAAGCAGGGATATTTGGTGATCTGAGAAAGTCCATTCAAGTTACTGAGTTTACGGTCAGTTTGCTGAAACACTGACTCTCTTTCTTTGTAGCTGATTATTGTTATTTTTCCACTCGGTATGTTGATATATGGTTGCAAACAAGATTTTACCAAACTGCTCAGTTGGTTGATATATGGTTGGGTATGTTAGTTGTGTTCTCCATTCAGTTTCTCTCTGTGATCTGATCTCCCGAACAGATCCCTTTGAAGAGTGCTTAACAGTTTACTAAGTTATTGTAAAGGAAAAGAGATTCATAGTGCATGGTGTTTATTGCTTTGATCTTCAAGTAGTTTATCTTTGTGATTTGATGTTCAAAAGATTTATGTTACTGATCCAGTGTGGAACCCATTCGAACATCTAAAAATTTTTCTCATTTTGTTTGCAATTCCAGATAAAAGATGCATATACACTGAACTTTTTTGAGAACGATTCAAGCCGCTTGCCTCCGTGGTGCAATGATGGTGACACGGTGAAGCTTCCATTCTGCCAAATCAAAGGAAAATACAGGATGGAACTCCCTGGATACAACAGCATGGACCCTTACCCTCATATGAACGAGAGGTGCCCGTCTATGCCACCAAGTTACTGCAGGACGAAAGGTTGCTGATTAGTTTTAGCTGATAGCCCCAATAGAACGCAGGCAGTAATGTTTTCATATAGTCTTGTAAGTATATCTCTTTGAAGTAGTTTGTCATACGGAATTATACGTTTTTTTACTGACAAACTAGTTTAGTGAAGGGAGAAAAAGAAAAGAAGGTAGAGAAAGAAAGATGTAGCTATACAAATTGTAAATCCAATGTATATAAGATGATGTTGCTTTCTATATATGAATGTCCATTTTTTTTAAAAAAAATTTTTTTATTTCTCCTCTGCTGTTTTCTTTTATGGGGTTGGAGTAGAACAGTTGTGGGGATGACTGTTATAGTATTGGAGGATATCTGAATTCAGGAACAGGGTCTCAACTCTCAGCCATAGATGAAATCTCATTATTGCTACAGTATTAACGAATGCGGAAACAAAGATGGAACATAATGAAATAAACAACATTAATCTGTGTTTTCTTGCTTAGTTCAAATTTGGAAGTATCACACGACATCCTCTGCTCGTTGATTAACCGGATGAATCATAATTTCTGCGGACACCCATGAGATTCTGAACCATTGAGGTCCAAATATAAGCTTATGTCGAAGTTCTTGGGGTTAATTGGACGGGCATGCCTTTAGTAGGATTTGGCATTGGATCCCGTTTGAAGAAGTTGTCGGGGCAGCAGAGTTTCCATTTGAATTTGGTAACCAGATGATGCAATGCAACCAGAGTTTCAATTTTCGCAAACTCGTATCCTGGACATATTCGAGGGCCGGCACCAAATGGAACAAAGCAATACGGAGGAATGGATGCTTGGCTATCAAATCTATCAGGATCAAACTTCTCTGGTTCTTGGAATATGTGTTCGTCTGCATGTGTCATGGACGTAACCCAGAATATCTGATCATTGACAGAAACAAGTTTGTCATTGCCATGATACTGTGAATGGAAAAATTGCTCCTTTGGACTCTAGCAAATGACTACTTTGTAGGGGTTTGATCAGAAAGAAACAAAACAATTTGGTTCTGAGGCATCAGAGATGGCCACATGATCTTACCTGCCATCCTGTAGGAATGATGTAGCCTCCAAACTCAATGTCTTTAACAGTCTTCCTAAAACCTCCGAAGATGGGAGGATAAACTCTCAGTGTCTCCAAAGCGACTTTCCAGGTATATCTCATCTTTGCAAGATCTTGCCATGTTAGGTGCTCTCCTGAGGATTTGCTCTTTGCAATCTCATCTTGTTCTGTTATTTGGAAGAAGAATTAATACGGAACAAGTAAAGAAATCATGTGGTGCCATTCGAAATTTTAGTTCACCTTTAAGAACAGCTTCATAAACTGTTGGATTGTTGGCTAAAACTCTTAAAATAAAAGTAATCAAGACTGAAGAAGTATCATGTCCTGCTGCCATTATTAGCATCACATTGTGAATGATCTCGTCTTCAGAAACCGAATCTTGGCTTTCCTCGCCGTGGATGCTCAGTAAGCAAGAGATGAGGTCCTGATTTGAGGGAGCTCCTTTCAGTAGCTCTTGTCTCTTTTCCTGTAAAAGATCTTTCAAGAGTTTTTGAACCTTTGCACTAGCCTTGAGACTCCTGTTGAAACGAGTGAAAGGCAGATTAACAGGGATTGACCACATCCCCTGGATCATCTCTTGAAACTGCTGAACGTATTCATTTCTCCTTTCTCTGCTTTCAATCCCAAAAAGGAGGGAACAAATTATGTTGAATGTGAGGTTCTTCATTAAAGGTAGTACCTATAACAAGACCAGCTGTGGTTCAGCGAAATAATCAATACTGCAGATCAAACTTTGTAAACGAAAGGTGATTGAATACCGGCTCTTTATGTCACAACAGGGGAAGAAAGAAAAGAACTTACAGTGACCTGCTGCTTCCCTTGCCAGTACATCTGAATGTGGGTTTGAACTTCTTCTTCTATCTTGCCCACATACATCTTCAAGGATTCTGGCTTCAAGAAAGAGGCTAGAGCACCTCTAACCCGCTTATGGTCTTCGCCATTCAGCTCCAAAAGGCATCGATCACCCAGGATCATCCTTACTGACTGTGTCTGGTGGTTAGTCATAGTGTTGCTGTTACTACTGGCGAATACAAGCTTATTGGCATCCTGTCCATATACGAAAACCGTGGGTTTTCCGAAAAGGCTTAGCTTTGATATGGGACCATACTTTTTTACTCTATCCTCTAGCCATTTTTCAGCTGTGTTGGCTCTCATTGCCTGAAGAAGGCCAAGGCTTTGGCCTATTAGTGGCAATCCTAGCGATCCGGGCGGTATCCTTTGTTGTGGTGGTAACTTTCGTCTCTTGAGGATGATAGTAACCAAAGGAAAAAGGATCAAAACAAGGGCAATGAAGATGTTCATGATTGAAAGTGAATCAAATGAATGAATGATGGCGAAGAACTCTCGAGTTTTGGCAAGTTGGGTATCTTATAATGGAATCGGGGTGAACGAAATGACAAAAATGTTTCTAGTTTCGTATCTTTTATTCAATGGTATAAGATGATTCTCATTCACTAAATGACGAATTGGTGCTTTTGGGAAGATTGCTTGGTAGTTGGTATACGGAACCATATAAAGGTCACTTTCTCAATGACAATGAAGACGTTTTCTATTACTCCCCATGTCCCAAAATTATTGTCCAGTTTGATATTTCACTTTTAGGACAATTTAAACTAAAAATAAAAATACAAACTGGACAATAATTATGGGACGGAGGAGTATTATATAATAATTCTGAAGTTGCTTTTGAAACTCCTGAAACCATTTTTCAGCTCTCATAGCCCGGAGAAAACTAAGGCTTTGGCCTATAAGTTGGAATCCTGGCAAATCCAAATAGAAACGTCTTGGTAATCTTCTTTACTCGAGAAAGGAGTAGGGAAGAGAGAATAATGCGTAAGGAAGATGTTCATCAATGTAGTTTAGTTCAGATACATGATCAGTTCAATTCATTGTTCAACAGTGGTAGTTTTGATAGGTAGTAACCTGCAGGCTTCCAGCTTGAATGCTTTCATAGTTCCATCTACAATGGCACCTTAATGTTGATATCGAATACTTCTACATAGAGCAGGAACTAAACGTTTTCCCGCTCTGTGAGATATCTTATCAAGATCATATCTTCTAATTTGTGTTTAGGTTTCATCAACTTCGTGCTAAACTAATTCCATTAACTAAGGGGACAGGGGAACCTATCAATGTCAGCTCAACACTCAGTACGCAATGGTGCTTCAGAATTTCAAGATAGGATCAGAGATCCTTCATCATATAGTGGTAAACTAACACAAAACCGATAGTCAACTTTCTCGTTTGGTGAATCTTCAAGTTTCTGAGCGTGATACAGTGTAAAATCACTAGGTATACGTGAAACAGAGTGGAAATGTGAGGTGGTTAAACCTGATGATTTGCCATTAACATTACAGTGAAGTGAAATACATGTTTTGTTGAAGTCTGAAGAAGTTGTATAGTTACATAGAAAAGCAAGCGCATAAAAATTGCAGACCACAACTTTGATATGAACCCAACTCCAAGTGCAGATGCTCTAGACCATCATTCGGTCTTCGGAGGGAAATGGTTTCCGCCAGTGGCAATTTTGTATAAGTAAAATCCAGTCATAATCCCACTGCCAGAGAGAATGAGAGAATTTACAACCACAGTAGTGATAAAGTGTTAGCAGCAACAACAACATTTCTGTTGGCATGGCAATTTGAGACAGAATTTCTAAGAGTCACTCACGAATTTTACAAACATATGGAAACCGATGAAGGAAGTTATGTGAAAGCACAGTATATAAGTGCATGGCATGAAACAGCAGCCATCTTTGTGACTCATATCACCAGATCAGGCAAACACTTCAAAGAGATGGTGCGAGCAAGATTATACCAGGTAATACAAATATTAATATGCTTTCACATCACGTTATTGAGCAAGCAAGAAAAACAGAAGTGACAAGTTCATTTATTGAGATTATCTATATCACAAGTTCAATAACATTCCATTCCGCTATCGATAGACTTTCACTTTTTAAGTAACCATCTAATCATACAAAAGTTTAAGAACGTTGGCATACAAAATGACATCAGTAAGAGTTGCTCTCAGTTTCGAATGTATATTTACATAGCACAATAAGAAATGCAATCAATGGTATGTCAATACTGCTGCCAGATAAACAAGTAAATGTCCTAGCAGTGATTCTCTGTATGCCTCTAAGCATTTTTCCAGTTCCATTACAGTCTATCCATTAATGGCAGTAAAAGAACTGTATAGATGAATGCAACTTTGGGAGTGCGACAGAAACTAGATTTAAGGCCATATTGGCGGAAAACTGAAGTTTGATAATCAGCTTTAGCAATAAACTTATTATTATGAAGTGTATAAGTTGTTCAGAGGATCCATGGTTAATTGGTTGTCAATATCAAGTGTACTTCATTCATTTCATCTGTCCTAAAACTTAAACTTTACAGGGGAGTCGAGATTCTGCTAAAAGAATAACCAGAATGCATATATTCCTGTGATCAGGAGTCACATTTAGCATGCACACAAAGAAATACAACCAATCATTGTTTTTAATTACCTCATTCCGGCAATCATGCCAGCAGGCATCACCTTTGAAGTTTGCAAGTAGCGCTGTCCCATTACCCATGTTAGTGCAGCAGCAAAAACTGTTTCGAAACAAACAAAAATGTAAGGAAACAAGGGATGCACAAACTACAATGAAGAGATCACCATCATATATTCTACACTTACTAATACTCTGTCTACGACATGGACAAAGTTTGGGAAGTATTGGTTTGATGTAAACATAACAGGATAAGACCAGGTCTTAGCTCCCACGCAAAATGCTCGGTCGCAACTTTAACCTAGCAGAAAACAAAAGCTACCTAATTGGTTCCTGTGCAATAAGTATCTATTTCCCAGCACCGCATACTAAATCCTGGCATGTTTCTCACTTGGTCTCCTGATAACTTTATGTCACAGAGAGTACCACAACCACAAAATCAATCATAAAAGATTCACAGCAAATGGGGTCTGACATTATAATATATGCCCTATAATCAAATTTTCTAATTATCATTAGAACTCAACGAAGAGAAAACGAGCCAAATTGTTTTAGGACAATGCAAGCTGCAGAATTGCACTACATCCTGCATCAATTCTAATCGAGTCTAAAGGCACTCAAATTTTCAGATGAAAGATCAGTGCATGGAACAATTCACAAAAGAAAAGAGTTAGTTATCCATAAATTTATTCGGTCCCTTGGGTTGTTAAAGACATAAACCACAGCAAAATTCAAAAACCAACCCAAGGAATTATATACTACGAGTTCTCCATAATCAAATACCCAGCTAAGAATGCAAAATTTCTCAAATTCGTCCTTCATATTCACGGCTATAAAACACAAACAAGACCCAAAAGGGATCAAAATTTCATCATTCTAAACCAAGTAACACAAGGAACTCGTAAAAACTGCAATGGAAGGAACCCATTACCGGTCTCAAGAATGAAGGCTAAGTAAGAGTTCTTGCGCTTGTGGTAAGCCTGAAGACTGAGATAACCAGCAAAGATGAGGGCCAATCCAGTGCCAGCACCCCCAGCCAAGGAAGCCGTGCTCCCTTTCTTGAGGTACCCGAAGACACCACCAGCCACCAAAATCAGACCGTAGGGAATTGTGAAGCAAAAATCATGCATTTTCACCAACTGGGCTTTCCGGGAAAGATATGATGAGATTGTATGTGTGTTTTCAGATCAAGATGAAAGCCGATTTGATCTTTTGCAGTGTGATTGAATTGAAGAGCAATATTTCGTTGGCTTTTTTTGTATGGCGTTCTATTCTGTTTGGTCAAAGATCAAAAAGCGAGTGTAGAATGCTTACCAACTCCGATCCCTCCTTATTGGGATAGATAGTTTTATATTTTGATGCTTTTTTTCCAACTAATTCAATTTTGTAATGTCAGTTAACACATCACATATTCAGTATTCAATTTTATTACACCCTCCGTCTCAAAATTATTGTCCAGATTGAGATTTTATTCTGAACAATAATTTTGGGACGGAGAGAATATTTTTTTTTTTAATAGAAAATGTCATCCAACAAATTCAAAGCACTCGACATTAGAGATAAGTCAATTGTTATCAAAACAAAAACAAAAAAAAAAAAAACCCCAAAATAATAGAAAATCAAACTAATGAAACTTCTCTCAATCACTAATTTCACAATTCTTTTCTAGAGGTCTCCACTCTTGAAGGAGAATATTATTGGCAGCATATTGCCTGTTTACAAAGGATCTATTCAATTTGGCTAATAGTCAAGTCGTTATTGTTTAATATGATGTCCAAAAAACACTTTAGATTCCAAATTCTCTTGTGTTCACATCTTAAAATTGATACCATGAAATTGTCTTTGATGGAGGGGAAAAATTATATACCTTTCTTGTTTCTATGTCTCTGGTTTGACTTGAATTTAAACTATCTACATCCGCCAAATTTAATTTTTATACATTTTTTTTTTTTTGGAAAACATATAATCATGAAATCGAATTGAATATATGCTACGCGTGTAACTTTTATTTACTTTTTTTGTGATCAAGATGAATTATTGTCGAAACACTTTTAAGTTTACATGATACATTGGGGACAACTTGAGTTTTTAAAATTAGTAAATTTATACAATTTGAATCATAAAATCATTTGAGCTTGATTGGTGTACTGTTTAAGTATTATGTAACTATCATACTGCAAATATGCTTCCATTGTTCCTCAAATTGGCATCAAAGGAAAGAAGTGAACTGCAAAGAAATAAAAAAAAATAGTGAAATTTAAGGGGGCAGAAAAAATATAAAAGCACATTTGGTGTGGCCAAAGTATGATTTTACAGATAATGAAGGACTAATAAATAAGTAGGCTCTATGGATAAAAGTCTAAAACTTGGACGACGGAATTAGTCAGCCACATTCCGTCAATGCTGAAGCTCCTTTCACGGCGGCGCTCAACCTTTGGACCACCATTACTCCCAGTTTCCGGCGTGATCTCTCCGCTGTTCTCTCGCTTCCTAATCTCTTATGCAGAAGATAAAGATGAAGACATTTATGACCCTCCATTTACACCTACACCCAAAACCCCCGTTAAACCCCAGACTCCGCCAAACAAGAAAAATAAGCAGAAGAAATCTAATAAGCCAAAGGGTGCTTCTTCGAACAATGTAATTTCTAAAGCTGACGACTTTCCGGTGAAGTCCGACCTGCCATTTGATTTCAGATACTCGTATTCTGAGACTAACCCGGATGTTAAGCCAATTGGGTTTCGTGAACCACCGAGATTCTCTCCGTTTGGTCCTGGCCGGCTTGACAGGAAATGGACGGGGACGTCAGCGCCGGCTGAAGTAGATGTGGACCACGAGAAGTTTGCCCAACAAAGGAAGGATGTTCTTGGGGAACCATTAACGGAGGAGGAGATTGCAGAGCTTGTTGAAAAGTATCGGCATAACGATTGCTCTCGCCAAATCAACTTGGGTAATTAATTGGTTTGGAATTTTTTATTTTTATTTTTTTTTTATGTGGGATGTTTTAGCAAGTGTTTTTGTGTATGGATTGTTGAAAGAATTCAACCCTTTACTTAAACATGTTTTCCGCAGAATAGTTTATGCTGGTTTGTAGAAGCATTATACTACTTAGGTCTTTACTGATTTAACTGCTTTATGCTCTAAAATGTGGAATATGTCCATTCAATTAATGACTAATAATTAGAGCAGTATGGCTTAAAGATGAAAGAAATTGTACTTAAGAGGAATTCTGTATCCTAAGTTCTAATGAGATATATTGCTCTTCTGAATATGCAAAATGCTATAGGCAAGGGAGGAGTTACTCACAACATGCTGGAAGACATTCATAATCATTGGAAGAGAGCTGAAGCGGTGAGGATTAAATGCTTGGGAGTGCCTACTCTTGACATGGACAATGTTTGTTTTCATCTTGAGGTTTGTGGAGCACAATAATCTTGGTTCTATACGTATTCTGATTAAAATTTTTATCCAGAATTTCCTTGGTTCTAGCTCAAGTAGATCACAGTGACTTTGTAGGATAAATCTGGCGGGCTTGTCATCTCTCGTCACATTAATGTCCTCTTATTATATAGAGGGCGAAACTATGATCCTAAAAGTAGACCAGTGGTCCCGTTGATGCTATGGAAGCCAAATGCGCCGATATATCCTAAGCTTGTAAAGCCTATTGCTGATGGCTTGACCTTTGAGGAGACAAAGGAAATGAGAAATAAGGGGCTCAACTCTAACCCAGTAATGAAACTCAGTAAGGAAATTGATTTTGAACAGTTTGGATCTGTTCTATAGCCACTTATTATTGGTTTTATGAGGATAATACTTTTGTATATTCTGCTGATGATTATAGCTGATTATGCTCCGCAGCTAGGAATGGTGTCTACGTGAATGTGGTGGAAAGAGTCAGGTCTGCATTTGAGACTGAAGAGGTTGTTAGACTAGATTGTTCCCATGTGGGAGCTAGTGACTGTAAAAGGATTGGTGTTAAGTTACGGGTACGTTTTCCCTGAGAAGCAAGCGTTTCATAACCTTCTGTACTCTCTCAATTGCCTGATATTTCTTTTGTTATGTTTATTCTGTACTTCACACTTACTATACCTGTGACAGGATCTTGTACCCTGTCTGCCCATCTTGTTCAAGGATGAACAGATCATACTCTGGAGGGGAAAGAATTTTCAAAAAGATAGCTCCTCTACATCGGCACATGTGACCTAACAGAGCAAGAATTAGGGAACGTGGGATATTTCTTTGTAGTGAATTGGAGCCTAAAAATATGCGTGTTGCTGTTACCCATCCTCTAGAAGGGAAGCATACCAACGAAATCTCCCTGCCTTGGCTGATCACCTAGGAATTCCAGACTTTCCAGCTTTGGAGTTCCAGGTTATTGTGACATGGTTCGCGTGGCAAAAAATTTACTTCCAGCCGGTGTACCTTCTTTAGACTCATGCACGACTCCTGTTGGGATTGAAACTTGTACATTCCCAAACTTTGTGACGTTTTAATTTGTTCATCATTTCGGTTGACATGTTACTTGATAACAACAAAGTAGGTTTACAAATTGTGTAGAAATGTGGAAGTTTTAGTTTTGGCGTGACAAAGAATACAGTGATTTCATTTGGGTTGCAGATGCTATCATGACAAGAAAATCACGTGCAGAATTTGGCGCAGAATACACAATTATATACGTAAACTTTGTAAATGCGTACACAGCATCTTCATCCCACAATACATAATTGGATGACGTTGATTTACACAAACCGAATTAACAGTACAACATTTAATATATCAAATTGCCTCAATCTACGTCCTATATATACTGCTTTAAGGGCTCAGACAACACTTCATTAGCCACCTAAAAAAGTGATTGTTTTAGGGTGCGGCCAAGATCTTTCTCAGCTCATAACTCCTTTCAGCAATGCATCCTGAACCATTTAAAGAGGTTATCCAGACCTCATCGGACTTCACTGGTTCATCATCGTCATTCCTATGCCAAGTCCAAAAAGCGTGCGAGGCATTAACTATCTTCAGCTCACCATGACCAAAACTTGCTTCACGAAATACTGACCACTCAGGCTTTGGATTTTTGTATCTGACATAACATGCCAATACTTGTTAAGAAAATTGAAATCCACAGAACAGTAAGAGCGCAACCTATAAACCAGTTAAAATATAGAACACAAGCAACCACAGCAAATGAACAGAATCAATGTCAAACTTTTCCCTTGAACAAACACAGAAATCCATGCTTAAAAAGCATCCTTAACTTTCTCCGTACTACCAATCACTTTGAACAACATGCAAGGAGAACGAACATGAAGTGGAGAATCAAAGGAAAAATACAATACAGAGGAGAAGGGAAAACAAAAAGAGCTGATCTCGTAAAACAGTTAAGCTTTATTTGCTGCCTAAGAATAGAACGAAACAAATAAATTCTTTCTTGTAAACTTTGTAAAAGGAACACACTTACCGGTGTGCTAAACCTTCTCTGTTTCCTCCATCACCAATTGTTATGTGGACAGCACCACAAGAATCTGATTTGCCACCATAGACACGTTTCTGGTGAAACAAAGCAATGTGTCAGGTCCTCCACAACTTAAAATTTAAATGAGAATATGAAAACCTATAAACCAGTATGATATTACCGAGCGCTCGTAAGCATGGACATGTCCAGCAAGCACAAGATCAACCCCTGCAGAGTAAAGTAAATGCTCCATAGATTCCATCATGTTGTCACCTTCACACTGATGAGCTTCATTACTGTTGTACCATGGCACATGGAATAGAACTATCAGCCATGGTGTCTTCTCACGATCTACCTTTGAGAGATCAGCCTATAGTTTCAAGGATCAACTCATTAGTTAAACCATAGATCACAAATGGTTATTTTATCAAAGGTTTGTAGCCAAACTTCTATACTAGTGCCCATCTGCCAAAGCCTTGTGATGCAGCAAAAACTAGGAAACAATCAATGATGATCCACTAGCAGCAAAAATAAAATTATCCAACTATGTGAAGAATCATTCAGTTGTAACTCCCAAAAAGTTTCCAAACAATAATCAATAACTCATGTGCATTTATAAATATATAACAAAATTTAAGGGAAACGTTAACCTTCAGCCAGCTATATTGGTCCGATGATTCATCATAATCCGTATAAGACCCGAGCATGATGACATGGACACCAGCCACATCAAATGAATAGTACAAATTAGAACCGGATCCACTCTCCTCATAGGGCATCTTCCATCTTGCATTATAAGAAGCAAATTCTTCAGTAATAAGGGGTATGTGCTCCTTTTCGTGGTTTCCTTGTGTGACCATCCAAGGTCTTGTGCTAGCAAGTGGCTGAACCAGCTCACCAAAAGTGTCCCACTTGTGCTGTATGAAATCAGCATATGAAAGGTCTCCAGGGATCATATGAACATCATATTTGCATTTGTCTAGATGATCTAAGGTTGATTTGGTCCATCCAGTCTGACCCAAATCACCAGCCACCGCAAAAGTGATCGGGAACTTAGATGGCGGGGTTTTGAAACGGAATTCAGGACCCTCTCCACCACATTGGTAGTAGTATATGGTATCATCCTCCAATGGCCCAATCACGGTGTGGTGTATCTTTCCTGAGTTGTACAGGAAATAACTATAGGAAGTGCTCTCTCCTTCAGCAAGGGAGTCATACTTTCCAGATTGTTTTCCATACTTAACCACTGATTGAGCAGAGTGATCATCAGTAATCCATGTCACACGTATCTGTTTCTCCCCAGCTAGAGAGATATGAACCTGCAATAAATGGACAAGTAGTAAGTCAAAGATAAGCCATTACTCCAAATTGGAAACAAAGGCCATCATGATGGTAAAAAACAAGGAAAAAAGACGCTTCAAAATAACGAGATGTCATCATCTTGGTTTCCAGCATTAAATGAAAGGATCCGACATCACTTCCCCTTAGAAACATCGTAGTATCTTCTGACAAATTATTCATAACTGAGCCAGGATAGAAAAACTCTTACATTACTGTACACTAATACCAAGTGAGAAAAGCTACCGCCCAGTAATCAATCATTCTCCATTTCTTTTTGAAAAACAAAATTTGGGTAAACCTTTTGGACCAATGTAAATTATGCAATTGCTTATTGACACAATATATACATTACAAAAGAGGGCATGAAATCAAATTTTAAACATAAAATAAACCAATTAAAGACAATTATGGAGAGAGATCAAAGTTAATGCAAACTTTCTTCAACGTAATTGAACCCCCTTTACATTAACAAGGTCAATATAAACAGAACCCAGATGCCCTCATTTTCTTTAGCAGCCAACGTATCAGTAAAATTCCACCCAGAACCAAAAAATGAATTCTTAAAAAAAGATGGGATTTTTGAGTACCACTTCCTTACCTGTTGGGGATGAGAAGAAGGCTTTGGATTCCACGGAAACTGCAGATTCTCCCGAGGCGGAGGACGGACATAATCTGCAGTCGTGGACTTGAAACCCGTCACTAAAACAACTCCAAATGTTAACAAAACTAGCAATAACTTCGGATTTGGCTTCATGATGTTTTTTTTTTTAATCTGAGATTCGGAGTTCAACTTAACTGAAAGCAGAGAGGTTTGGTTTTTATAAACGGAATAGTGCTAATTCTGGAAGAAATCAAAAGAAGGCTAAAAGAGGGAGGTGTGAACTGGTGACGACATTCTTGCCCAATAGGCTAAAGGGTGAGTTTCGCCCGCGTTTTATAACTGTTTTTGTGTAGTAATAGTCGTTTGATTGGTTGCATTTGCATTTGCGTATTTTCGTCATTCAGCCTCACATTTTGTATGTTTTTGTTCGTTTTCTGTTTCTTTGCTTTAGTGCATTGGATCTCTTTTTTGAAAGAAAAAGCAAAAAAAGAAAAGAAAAGAACGGTCTTTATTATAAAGTATTTTGATTTTTCTAAGTTTCACATTCGTTATTAAGAGACATTTTTAATTAATAAAAAAAATTTTAAAATATATTTTCACATTCGTTGTTAAGAGAGTATTTCTGAAAAAGGAAAGGAAAAAGAAAAAAATTTTCCGGATATTCTCATTTTGGGAGCAGAGACTATCAAATTCTATTGCAAAAACTAATCATCTATATTGTGGGATTTCAACTTATAAATGAGTCTATTTTTCAAAAGAATTTTAGATTTTCATCATTCGACTGCCTTTTTCCGACAATCACGCGCTTGGCTTCACATTTCAGATCTAAATTGCAATCTGTCTTGAAAGATTTCACTTTATAATCCATCTTTTGGCTTATGTAATTCGGTGGATTAAAAGCCTAAGTATGCAAATAATTACCTTTTGTTCCATAAATTGACCATCTCATATATATATTTGAAATCTTTGTTTTCCTTTTCTTTGTAGTGAAATCGATAATCGTGTCATCCCAACATTAACAAAAATAATCCACATTAAATTTTCATTTACTTTTAAAAATCCAACATACACTATTTTTCCTTTTAAAGAGAGGGAGTGCTAAAAAGTAACGACATGAAAACCAGATGACGAGCAACTTAATTCAAATCCAAGCACACCATAACATTAATGGAAGAAAAAAGCAGTAAGGTAAAATTAAACCCAAATACAAGTTGTCCCAGACTCAAATCCCCCAACCCCCGGAAAAAGAAAAAGAAAAAGAAAAGCATTAAACTTCTCGTACAGAAGTTCTCCACCTAAAGCATACTTATCGTACAGCCACATCAAAAAGGAAAAACCCATTACAACCCACAAGTAGCAACCCGCAACCCAGTCCAACACGCTCCAAAGTGTTTCGCTCGGAAATTTCTAGCTTCAGCTGCCACCCGCGCCAACATGCCGAGAGTCTCTGCCAACTCACTGCAAATAGAAAGCATCACCCCTTTTAGCAGATGGTATAAAACAGAGAACTCCATCCAAAATCCAAGTACATAAATCACACTAGAAAAGACCAAAACCAGTATTAATTCAGACGCTACACTACCTGTTGTGCCTGCTGATAATTTGAGTACTGGTAGCCTCCGTAGTACATATTCGGGTCTTGGGCAGGGGGAGCATATCCATATGCCTCGTAACCTTGTGAATAACCATAGTATCCACCAGTACCTGCTCCGTTCCACTGGGGCTGCTCCGACTGACAATTAAGACAGAAGTGAGACACAACTCCCAGATCGATGCAAGACAGTTATCATGGAACAATGCAACAGATGCATACCTGTTTGTTGGAAGGGCTACGTCCCCAAGAAAGCCGTATACTTTGACCTCCCAACGGGGTGCCGTTCAAAGCAGCCAATGCTTGCTCAGCATTCAACCTAATTTATTCAGCAAACCACCAAGAAAAGAAAAGACAAATTAAACACAAGGAAAGCCGTTCAACAAAGAAAGACCAAGATATTCTGCGGAATCTTAGGCTGACCTGTTGGTGAACTGAACAAACCCACATCGCTTCCCTGCAGGAATTTTAACATGAACTAGTTCCCCATATTGGCCAAAGACCGACCTCAAATGTTCATCTGTCACGCTGGCATCTAATCCACCAACAAAAATCTGCAGTCCAAACATTAGAAGTCAACTACAAATCCAAAGATAATAAAACAAGCAACAGACTAGCTACCCACTGTTGTATTATTTGGATCACTTTCGCCCTGATTCCCCTGAGAGCTCTGATTGGGTGCTGCAAATGACACAGGACGTTAAGAAACCCAATGAAGAAAGAAACTGTTAAAACTACATAACGACCCACAAACCAGTTAGCATTTCGTCACATGTAAAAATAGGAAAAAAATAAACAGATACCAGCCCACAAGAGAAATAAAAATATAACCCTTCCCGGGCAAACGATACATCCACAATAGAAATTAACCAGCAGCAGCACAATAATTAAAAAATACATCACATAAAACCATAATCAACATAACCACTGGAACAATCAGATAGGCTTTGCACTCTCAGGCAAGTCTAGACTCTTGCATCATTAAGGCACTTAACAACTGTACAGAGCACACAATCCAACATGCACAAAAAGTAGTTGAATCCAAATAATTGAGAAAGATAATAGATTCATCATTTACAAGGAAAAGAAACCAATGTTTACTAATATACCAAACAGGCATGTACATAGGCTGTAGATAGTATGCCATAAAGTTCACCACAAAGTTCTCAGGACAAAGAAAGGAAGCCTCTCTATGCGTTAAGGTCCACATTTGTACCCATATTCAAAAGGATGGTCAGAAATTAAAACCACACATAACATGGAGAGATAATATCAATTGCCCTATCCCTTAGTTAAAGAAAAAATTTGAGGAGTCAGCTTCTTGAAATTTCAAACTTCTAGCATTATCTTTAAGAAATTAAAGAGGTTTCACTGAACCTATGAAGCTGCTACAAAGGAACTAGTGTCTGTTGGAAGTGCAAGTCCGCACAATTTAGTGGACTCAATAAACCATGAAGCCAAAAGTAGCTTGTCTAACAGCCATTACGCATGCAATCCAACTAGATACCACAAATTCTAAATTGCGTCTGCACTGGCACGTCCATCTCGGTTTGAACTCTTATCACTTCTTTACAGGATCGAAAAATTACCGGCTTGATGCCTTAACTCATACAATCAAATACATCTAAACGTCTAGCTCCTCCAACAAAAGACAAATGGGGATGTACGAACAGACCACACATACAAATCCAAAACATGCAGCTTCTAAAACGTGTCCTTGAATATACCGAAAGCTACTAAGTACAATTTGCACCGTTAATGGCTGAAACTTTACCCCAAAAAAAAAAAAAAAAACCCTCTCAACATTAAAAGTGAATTACCTAGGGAGAAGGGAGTAACCAGAAGCTCGTAAATCATAAAAGATGATAAATTAACTACTTAAGGCGGAAAAAAAAAATACTTGCTAAGGGCCTCACCAGTGAAAAAGAAAAAAGTAAAGGAAGTTATGAATTAGAAAGATTAAAAGATAATTTGGGAAACGGAAACTGGAAACGGAAACGAATGAACTGGCTTAAACTCCAAAGTAAAGGTAACCGGAAAGTAAGTTGTCTGCAGCATGGGAAATGCCACTTCAAATGAATTACGGAAGTTCATCACGTAAACAAATTAACTGACCTAAGAGGAGGGCACCCATTAAATTGGAATCATTTCAGCTGAAATCAGTTCCAGGCCCCCATAAACGAGAGCCTCTCTCTTTCCTGCTTTGAGACAACATGAGTTCTATAAGTTTTTGAAAGTTTTTTTTATTTATGTGTGCCGAATTTCCGAAAGATAAGTACTCAAAGGAAATGACTTGGTATATTCCGCCAATCTTCAAGTGCATTAACTGAAAGAGCATTCATATCTCAAAAACGGTAAAGATAAATCTGAAACCATTCAAGGAGCATCACCCGGCACAACAAATCAGAGAGCTAAATAACAAACAATAAGACATCTAAACCAGAAAAGGAGAACTTCAAAATCAATCAAATACACTTATTTTCATCTGAGTGCGAGAAGACATCTCGACATAAACAGTTGAAGCCTTCTTGTTAGCAAATGTACCTTTTTGATATTGCTGAACAGTTGAAGCCTTCTTGTTAGCAGCAGGCCCAATTCTCATGGGCCTAGTTGAACAAAGAACACCATTCATCTCAGACATGGCACGTGTCTGTTCGCTTTCATCACCAAACCTAACGAAACCATATCCCTTGGATCGTCCAGTGGTCCTATCGGTAACAACTTTTGCACCCTTCACTGTTGTGTACCTAGCTTTAAAAGTCTCCTGCAGAAGGTAATCTGTTACATCAGCAGCTAAGTCCCCAACAAATATAGTGAAGTCGGATGATTCATCTGCGCGCTTCTCGCCAGCACCAAGAGTAGCCCAATTCAACCGGTAGTTTTGTTCCGCATTAGGCATGGGGGTGCCATTGTATGATTGTAAAACATGTTCAGCAGAAGCGTGACTTCTGAACTCGACGAAGCCATAGCCCTCAGACTGACCACTTAGCTTGTTCCGTATAACTTTGGCATTAACAAGCTGGCCAAAAAAGAGATCATTTGAAAATCAAAAATTAGACCAACAACAATGTATATACATGCGTGAACACATGTTCATCAAAACCCTTGCACCAAATAAACAAGCCTCAAAAAATATTCCTCCGTTCAAAAGGTTACAAAAGTCATAATTTTTATCCCACTTAATATAATATACAATATTGTAACCGAGATCAAATCATGACATAAACCAGGAAAATTGGTAAACAACGGAATTAGGGTTTGCGTGACTACCTCTCCTGTTGGGTAGAAACAGGCGTGAAGATAATTCTCATCCATCCAGTACTGTAAATCTCCAATCCACAAAGACCGGACCTCGTCGGAGGCAGAGGCGCCACCGGAGGGTGGAGCGACACCGTACTGCTGAGGCTGCGGAGGAGCTGCCATGGGCTGCTGCTGCTGGCCCCACATCTGCGGCACCTGAGGCGGCTGAACAGCAGGCTGTTGCTGTTGCTGATGCGGCATCATCATCCACGGCTGCTGCTGCTGCGGGGCATACTGCGGCTGCTGGTGGTGCTGTTGTTGATCCATTGACATCGGAGGAGGAGCGACACCGCCTGGTTGCATCATCTTCGATTGGGAGAGAATTTGGGGGAAAACCGAACAACGAAGATACGATTGGAGAAAGGTGAAATTGGAAAAGGGCAAAAAACAAACTCAAATAGAGAAAATTAGAGAAATCCGGTATCTAAAAGGAAAAATAGATACGACGGAATTGGGAGGTCGGTGAAACGTAGACCCTAATTAGATAGGGTTCGGAATTTGGGAAAGAGGTGAAATTAGAGCGAGATCGAGATATTTATTGGGAATATTTCTCTCGGCTTAATGGGCTTTTATCGTATGGGCTTCTCAAGGTGGAAATCTTAATTAAAGAATGCCAAAAGCCCACTAACGAAATTCGTTTCAGATTTCAGAACAAAACATAAGCAAAATCTATCCATCTATAATCTATCTATCTATTCTATAGTATATTCTAAGAGAAAAAACAGAAAAAGAAATAAAAAAATTAATCTTAGAATGACAGATATGATTATGACATATAGAATAAGATCATATGTATCATTTTCTCATTAATTCAATAAAAAAAACTTGATGTATTTACTAGAAAAGTCCCCATAACTTTTATTAGTTATAATTTAAGTAGATTTTTACTTATTATAACAATTAAATCCTAACGGGTTTTAAATAATTATACTCTTCTCATCTACATTTCACTATGTCACCACCAAACTCCGGTGGTGTTACAAAAGTAAACAAACATGAACAAGGACGTTCTAATTTTTTAAGTTTTTAAGTGATCGACCAAATTCATGATTTTTTTTTTGTTATACAAGAGTTTACTTTTTAATTTGGGTTTTGAACTGGGTTGTCACAAAAAAAAAGTACTGAAATTTTAAAAATTAATTCATTAGGTCTATCAAGTAGTAAAGTCTTAAAAGTGATCAGCAAGCAATGCAAGATTAAAAAACATTTTCTCACTTAGGCCTTTATTTAATTTTAATCATATAATCATTACATATTATTAAAGAAAAGAAAGATAATCGACACGTGTCGCTCATTGAGACCATCAAGTCTCAATTAACATGTGTCATTTGCTAATTAGTTGATCATTAATCAGTTAATTTTTTTTGTAAATAGTTAATAAATTATTTACTACTCCCTCCGTCCCACAAAAATAATCCAATTTAACAAAAAATCTTGTTCTAAAAAAAAGTCCAGTTTAACAAAAGTCAAAATTCATTGAATTGAAATGATTTAAATATCAAAAAGAGTAGTAGTATGAAAAACAAGGTCCACTTCCTTTTATTTTCATTTTTTTTAGTTTTCTTTTATTATTTCAAATGATTATATCTTTTAATACATGAATAATTAAAAAATGTGTTATATATCAAATTAATCTACGTAACGAGATCTTTCCATCAAGATCTATTGTCAATATTTTTTGAGATAAAAATTTTGATCAAATTTAAGTTGTAAGAGTTTACTTTATATTTGAGTTTTGAACTGGGTTGTCACAAAAAAAAAATTTAAATTTTAAAGATTAATTCATGAGGTCTATCAAGTAAGTAAAAAGTTTTAAAAGTGATCAGCAAGCAATGCAAGATTAACAAACATTTTCTCACTTACGCCTTTATTTAATTTTAATCATATAATAGATATTAATATAATTATAAACTTCATAGATATTACATACCTTCTACATCATTATTAATTTTTCTATAATGTATATAAATAAATCTCGCATATCGTGCGGGTTTAACATCTAGTTATATATATTACAAAAAGAAAATCCAGAGTCAAGCAATATAGAATTAAACCAATTTTTATTTTTCTAATATAAAGAGTCACGTTTTATAACTAAGTCATTACTACATTCTAGGAATATGACGTCCATCCAACAATATTTTAAAGTTGAAACCATGATTTAATCCATGATAATAAGATTTCGAAACAATACAATTTATCTGAACTCACTACCGCCAAAAACTGCCAATTATATTGCTACAAAATTCGGATAGTTTCTACCATCTTTGGAAGCGCATGGGTTCCCCCACCGCTTGCTTTTCAGTTCTCACCTTAAAGGATGGTAAGAAATGGAGGAATTACCGGCGAAGTTAGCTGGGAAGGACAGAAGAGTGATGAAATATTTTCTCAAAAATGTAATTCTTCCCTCCCGAAATTATTGTTTAGTTTAGATTTTTTATATTTAATTGAAAATATATTTAAAAGAAAAAAATCTAAACTGAACAATAATTTTGAGACAGAAGGAGCATTTGGTTATGAGACGAAATTAATTATCTTTTGGAAGAATTTAGGGGTGTTGCACGGTGAATTAATACGTAGATATTTATTCGATTGGGAGAAACACTTGAACTGATCGATGTCGATAAATTTCTGATTTGCTTCCAGATATGAAGTGGTAAATTAATTATTCCCCGGCTCACTTGTTGCCAACCTGATAATGTACATGTCTCCCTCAATCTACGTTGTTGGATAGAAAAAGATGGTAGAAGCAAAACCATGAAATGGATAATCAAAAAAACCAAAGAGCTGATGAACATTTTAGAAAAGCAATTAATGACAAATCAGTATTAAAGACTTACTAAAAAGTCAGCACAAATTTGGCACACAATTAGTACATGCTAAATACAAATTTGCCGTCGGGAAAAAGATCGCCGAAATGGAAGACTTGGTCAGTTTTAAAAGAATTAAAAGCATTCAAGGTAAAGCTATGGAGAGGAGCCAAGTTTGATATGGATGATTGATTACCACAATCAGTATTGAAAACTTTGTCAAAATGCAACACCAATCGAGGTCTTACTAGCTCATGTTGGAATAGACCTGTGCCCAAACAAATCTTCTAAAATAGACGGTACAAATTGAGACATTATTGGCGCATGCTTGAAATGAGGTATAGGCTGAATCAAATGGCATTAAAGGAGCATTCAAGAATGTTGGGCCAGTTTTATAGCAGAAGTCTGGAACTGGCTTCCGACAAGGTGATACAACAAAGAGACGCGGCCCATCAGTTGATCATTTTTGGGAAGTCTTGATGGTAGCAAATCAACACTTAAAAGGGATCAGCAAAAAGGGGATAAAATCAGCAAAAGATATAAAGCATGTGCCAGAAAAATTCCTGGCTGGAAACCAGTCCGCCAAAACCAATCATTCTGTTACTCGCAGATGCCGCACAAAAATAGTTTTTGGGTTGACGCGAAATATCTTTTGTCAGAACCCTAGCTTTACTCGGCTATTTCGACCAGCTTAGCGCAGGTTGTCAGCAGCTTTTTTGGTACCTGTGTCAACAAGCCGGACTGTGTTCAGAAAAAACAAGCACCAAACTAAGAACAAATTGGGATGGAGTCTATAGAACCTACAAGAGGTCAGTAACGTACTTTGAACGACGACGCAATACAGTTACAAAATTCAAGTCCCAGATTGCCCCAGGTAGTCTGCAAGTTTTGTCACATAGTTTCAATTGATCATCAATAAGCAACGGGAAGAAACTCATTAGCTACAAGGAGGTAGAATACATAAGAAAACAAACTACGGTGTAGATAAGGAGAAGGAAAGAAAGCCAGATTACCAGTGAAGGCTCTTGTGATAGAACATCAAAAACTTTCTCCACCACAACACCAGATGATAATGAGATTTCTTCCGAATAAGTTGGATCACTAAAGAATAGCTTGTAATTGCAAATCACCTAGGTTTAAAAGAAATAACTATCAGCTCAGACTGTACAGAATTTTCCGGATCACAGATGCATAGTTGTATCACATACATTGACACTGGAATTATGCACAAACTCTGCAGTGGTATGCTCTTGTGAGTTGGGAGACTAGTGTGCAATGAAATGCAGCGCGTAGCATGTGAATCTACAGTAATATCAACTGCTCCCTCTGGTCCTAATTATAAGGCAAAAAATAACACTCCCTTACAATTAGGACCGGAGGGAGTATCAAACTTTGTTAGCACGGCAAGTTACAGTTTCTTGTACAGTCAAGGAACATTTTGCAGTTAATTCCAGTCATTATAAGAAGTGTTATATACTAATATAAATTTCTTTTCTTTTTCTTTAAGAGACCTTGACAGCTTTAACTAAACAGCCATGGTGCCTTATTATGTATAGATGGAAATTGTAAAGGGTTTTGGGATACTACTGCCAGCATTAAAATAAGAGCACAGAACCCCCAAACTTCATCCTGCAAGCAAAGGGAACAGTCGCAAACCAATTGAGCATACTCTTGTGAAGCACATAAGACAGATGGAAGCCCTTACCATGAAGAATCAAGAAAAGAATATACACTCCTAAAGGCCATATGTAAATCCCTGCTTAAGGCCACCTGAAAAGAGAAAACTTAAACACACGAACCTGAAAAACAAAGTCAGACTCAGAAATCACTCTCAATACAACATTTAGAGTAGTTATTGCACAATACACGTACAAACAAGTTCCCCAGACCCTTTGAATATAGATAAACCTACATATACTTCTAGAAGCACATTAATCTAAGTGAAGATTTTGTTAAAAATAGAGAAAAGTTTCTTAGGAAATATGAAAGAGATGAAGTTAATCAGTCTCCATCAACTTCTATATGTCATATGTAAATCTACAATTATTTGGAGAAAAGTTTCCATCAACTTCTATAGTCATCTCATCTAGGATGTCAATAAAATGGTTCGGCAAATATCATCAAATGTATTTAAGTTGTTTGGTCAATGACAAACCTTACTCTGCAACCATATAAAACTATTAAATATCAGCTGATAGTAGTCCATTTCAGAACAGCTACAAATTTACATGAAACGGACCCAGAAAATTGGCACAAAAGGGAAGTTAAAGGAGTAAATACCAGTGATATGATCTCTTTCAAATCATCAAAATGTGTAAGAAGCTTCAGAAAGAACAACTGCAAGGCAGTCAAAGCATTTTCATCAATGTCTTGGGGACAAACTCTCCCAAATATCTCATCCAAAATCTTGTTTAGATGTATACCCTGGACAAATAGCAAACAAAGAGGGGAACAGAGCAATGACTTCAGTTTGATCAACAGGCAATTGTACTCCAATAATCCCGTTATACACTAGAGTTGCAATGCTGACGTACTCAGGCATGACATCCAGTGAACTCACCATTTCACAATGCAGAATAATATCAGCAAAAGCACCTAAAACCATCAAATACGCATCCAAGTTATCATAGCAAGAAATAACCTGAACAAACACATAACAAATGAGAATCAAAATACACCATAATTATTACTTAACAACAAAGAAATATCCTTAACAATAGTTATAATTGATATAAGATATTTCCTGGTATTGTTGGTAGATCCAATTTTACATGTAACTGGATCAAGATTCCATTTATTCAACATCATAAATCATCAAAGATCAGGATAGCCGGTAAATGATACAAGTGCTTGTCTTTTGAAACTAGAGCACAACCAGAAATATTATTGAGGACGGTACCTCCATGATCTTCTCCACTAAAGGAATCACCTCACTCACTTGGGATATGCTTTCACAGAGCCCGAGTCCAACCAACTTATAATTCAAAAACTGCATATGAAATATTAAAACGTTGCACTAGAAGCAACATCCTGAAAGAAATTCTCAAAATTTAACTAAAGCACCAGTAATGTTGAAGTAACATTTTAACAATCATCGTCACCAACCCGTTCATCGTTGCACTCATATGAAGAATGTCCACGGTGTGAGAACTGATTACACTAACGGGCATCTCTTTTAGTAAATGATGTAGAATGATTGAGACGCATGAACAGTCTCTAAATAAATGTGATTGATCTTTTCCAAGTCCTAGTCCAACAAGCACTTCAGGGACACGCATCTTGCATTGAGCATTAGAAAGAACGTGTCAGCCAGTTTATTGCCGGTATATTGCAGAGAACAAAAGAGGCATTAAAATTGTTCGATTAAAAATCCTTTTCAGTAGAAATGATCATCATCATCAGTCATGTTGCAATATTCATTGTAACATGTGAAGCACACAGGGTTCAGAATAAAGAGAGATTAGAGATGGCTGAATTTCAGCTCATTTTCAGATCAATTGTTTACTAAGGTGAAAAATGTAAGCCAAAAGTGATTAATAATGCTACCAATACCAGAAAAGTAACATAAGGACCCCCTACCCCATCATATTGGCAGAGAATTGTTGTGGACAGGGAAGAGTAAAGCCAGCAGGGAAATATAGGTATGCCTCATACAAGGAATACTAACCTGATATTTTGAATATCTAAATATGCATCTCATCATGGACTCAATAGTAGGTCCCATGAGGCAGACAAGCAACCTGATATCTGCTTGAGAACTTCCAAATTTGATGTCTATCATTGATACAATGCGCTCCATTTGAATTTTCAAGTCATTGATGACAGTGATAAGATACCCTGTTAACAAAAGCACATATGTACACTGAAGGGAGGGGATAACAAATCCAAAACAGCCAAACAAAACTAGATAAATTTAGAAACTGCAAATGACCATTGTAATTGTTAACATGCATAAAAAACAAGCCATTAATGCAATAAAAGGACACTGAACTAAGCAGAGTTTTCTTACATTGATACTGCCAAAAAACAAAAATCCTAGAGTAAAAAGTTGAAACTATCATACATAAAGCATAATTGGTGCATAATTGAATTCCAGTTTGAAGGACAATTAGTGCATGATTAACTTTTTATGAAACAGTCATAATAGGCAAGGCATTCAAGGACCTTATAGGCGTCGAAGAAGTTCACGGACAGATTCAATTTTGGAAAGCCAGTTGACGCAGGTTACTTTGGCATCCTCGCTTATATGGCTGGCTTCAAAGTTATCTGCCAAAGTTCACAGGTAAGGATAGGCAAAAGAAAAAATGAGCAAAAATTTCCTATGTGGTGCAACTTATAATAAAAATCTAACTACAAGAGAAAGCTGATTTTAATAACGGTTCCAGTGATCAGAGATCATTTATGGTTCCAAACAGTAGCAACATTCTACGGCATAAGTATTTTTGGAAAAGCAAACATGCTTTGCAACCACCATACTACTGTAGAAACTAGATGCTATTGTGTAAGAGAAAGAGCGAGGGATTCTGAAGCTCATCATTAAACCTGGCAAAGAGCATATAAATGTTCCGTCTTCAGTGTATTCTGCTTTATGCATAATTCTCTCCCACACCACATCACCCAGATCCATCACTCCTGTAGCTAGAACAAATAGTGTTGGATAAAATTGTAGAACAGATGCATCCATCAAAAGCCTGGCGACCTGGAGGGAAAATATTTCAAAGTCAATTGAAAATATTGGTCCTTTACAAACTCCCATTCTGTGCACATAATAAACTACACGTCCTAATGCGAGCAATTTGACTATCTATCAAAATAAGTGAGCATCCTACTCTGAAACTCAACGGAAGGCCAGCAAAGAAGAAGCGCTAAAGCATCAACTATAACATTAATTAAAAAAAATATAATTTAAAAGATAGAAGAAGAAATACTGACCTTGATTGACAACTTTAGAGATGTTACACGGCCATTGTTGTCCCAAGAATGGGTTCATGTTTAAGTTCATGTAAACAAGTGATATGCTCCTTCTGACTCACAACTTTAAGACCTTCACTAACTTTTTGTGGATCATCCAGTTCCTCAAAATGTTAATGCACTTGGGACTTCTCCCTCACTGCAAATTGTTGTAATGGGACATTAATGACAATGTTAATGCAATTGATCATAATCCTTCAGCACAGTTGCTAATCAAAATTGGCTATTGGAATCCTACAACATACCCTTCCCAACCTACATTAGTCCTTGAGAAATCTGTAAATGAGAGGAAAATGAATTAACAATAGAATGTTTGCGCTGCAAAGATAATATGAAAACTTTTGTAGAGAGGGAGAGAGAGAATTCATCTTAAACTAAATCATATCCTTATTAAAATTTCACTAAAAGGTTACACCCCTGGGTAAGCCTCCTGGGCAGCAAAGGTATTTTTGGTCATTGACTTAGAAGGGGAGGCTTTGTAAAATTTCTCTTAAGTAATTAATTCTAAGCACCCTGAAATTATGCACAACCACTTCATTACAGCATTTTGCCATAAAATAATGACCAAGTATTGCATTTAGAGAAAAAAAGTTCAATCATCATTGCAATATAAATAAGTTTTTTGAATCTGCAGCTTGCACTATGGAATACTGCATCATCTTTAATATGATAAAGTCTATGTCACGTTCATGCATGATAGCCCAAATCGAAAATTTTACTTAAAGACAGCATCCATAAATGTACACGAAAAACTGCCTTGCAGACATCAGCGGAGATTTATGAAGTTGTTAGTTACAGTTAAGCATAAAGGCATCAATGTCTCTGGAGCATGGAGAAATTGAAGCAGCTCCTAAGTAAAAAGAATAGGTCTTAAAGATGTGCATCATGTCAAGGCAGAAACACAACTAAAACAACAAGGATTTGTAAAAAATGGTAAGAGTTACCGATGATAACTTAATATTATAGGCAACAGGAAACTTCTGAAACAGTGTCTTCTGAGGGAAGTCCATTCTTTTGATGGAAACTGCAAGGCAACTCCATCGGTGACCAGACATGTTAGATTAATCTCTTCCTCTTGAGAATGGACAGAAGCAATTTCCATTTTCTCAGTGGTTCCTCGTAGCGGATCTAAAATGGCATCCTCATCCTTTACTTTTACTTTATGCGCAAAACTAACCTACAATGATTCAAAATTTTGTTAATCACTTTTTGGTTACTTTCTCCAACAAATGTCACTGTTCTAACCAAGCACCAAAAACAACAGTAGAAACAGATTCTTCTATCTACTTCCGTAACACAAACGAATTAACAGTTTTGAAGTCAATCAAAGATCTAGCTAAGCTAAAACATTGAAAATTTAAACTCCTAGATACGTTCTGGAAGCCGAATACACTACTCTTTCACTATCATTTTCCCCGCAAATATCATCATTTCAATATTCGATATTCACTCAAATCTCAAGCAATTGGTAATCTTAACAACTTCAGAATGTCGCAATTGCCTCATTAACTTGTATACTACCATATATCGGCCTTATGTTGTTATGTTTCAACTTCAAAGAAAGAGATATGATAGAAAAGGTGTAAGTAATTACACTTCCACGAAGACACATTTCCATTGTTTTCATTCCAGAATTCAGAGGAAAAAACAACAGAAAATAATTGGACGAAAACGATCAGAATTCAGGAGTTATAATATGAGAAAATGAAATTCACCGGCGGATGGGATTGGGAGTAAGTGGATAGAAGGGGCGATTCTGCCGGAGCACAAGAAAGATAACAGGCCTTATCGTCGGCGAGATAATCTCGCCGTCTGAATTCGAGCTCAATCAACGGTTGAAGTACGACAGTGTAAGAGCTCGGCGTTGGTTCAACTCATGTCCCGGTATTCCGTATTCCGTAGTCGGAACCTGAAACACGACGAGGTTCGACTCTATTTCGACGGTGGTGATGAAGTTTATTTGAAAAAACGCAGCAGAAATTCACAGAAAACGCTACGCCTTTGTGTATCATGAATGTATCTATTTACATTTTGCTACTATAATTAATAACAAGTTACAAATATCTCCACCAAGGTTTGAGCAAACCACTAGTTGACTCTCTATTTTTCTAAAATCTACCAATTTGGTTCAACAATTTTATCAATGGAGTGAATGGACTATAGTTTGGGAATACAATAAAAACTACTAAATTAATGCTCTAGAAATTAATAAACTCTATTAAATAATAAACTTATTCATAACAACTAGAGACCATTAGAAAAATCAAATAAAATTAATAAGTTTATAAGATAATAAGTTTTTAGAAATTTTCTTTATATATATATATATATGTATATATATAGGTCCCCCTACAAATCATAAATTAATAATGATCTACAATAAGAAAAAAAACTAAGAAAGTAGGAGATTATTAGTTTTTTCTCTTAAAATTTACATCTATTTTTTTTTTGTTTTTCCTCCAACCAGTAAATATTAAAAAAAAAAAGAGGATAATAAAAATATAGGGTAGTAGGGTTGGATTTGAGTATTTGTTTACTAATAAAACTGAAAAAAAAAAGAAAAATATTTAAATTACTAATATATTAATTTATTGATAAAATAATAAATACTAATTTATCAATAAAATAATAACATTCGTAAATTTATAAAATTTTTTGGAACCAACACTATTAATTAATAGGATTTTACTGTAAGTAATTATAGTTTTAGAGGTGGGAATATAGTGTTAAATAAGTTCCTACTTAGAGTTAGTAAGGAATAATTTATTAACTTTATTAATTATCTGTAAAGAGTTTATTTACAAACTTTTATTTAGAATATTATATATTAATTAGTAGTATTATTTTAGGATTTAAGAAAATAAAATCCACAAATACGCGGCTGGGTGCTTCGAATTCACTCAGAAAATAGAAATAACAATATAAAAGCATAATGATATTATTAAAATAAATAATAGCATCCAAAACAAATTTGCCGTAATAAGACAAAAATATCCTTTTAATTTATCACTTGATTTTTGCCCCTTTGTTCGTCCATAACACCACCGCCTCCTGCCTCTCTCCTCCTGCCTCCTGCCTCTTTTTTCCCAAACCCATCATTAAGTTCTTCAATACTATTTACCATGAATTCAAGCAGAAATTAATCTATAACAAAACTAATAATTTCGAGCTTATGGACTATGAAGTAGACAATACTTCAAGCCTTAATATTCAAAAGACAAAGTATGTACCTAGGATAGTTTTTCAACTTTCATGCAACAGATTAACTTCTCATTGAAAAATTGAACAGAACCCCTTTTAATCTTGATAATGCTCAAAGTATAAAGAAATATATTCTTTGTTTTCCTAAAAGCCGTGTGGCTAAGAATTGGACTCCAAATAGATTGTGGGTGTTTTCATTTTATTTTTGAATTTGTTTAGCAACAGTAGGATGTCAAGATCTTGAGGTGAAAAAACTAATGGGAGTTTGAACTTGAAGTGATCTACCACAAAAATTAAAGATTCAATTTCAAAGCTTTATGTGTGAAATTGGAATCAATAGTGAGCAAAATTGAAACAAACAATATCAAAATGATGGAAACCAATGTACAAGAACGATTTTGTTAAATTTTTGCAGAAAAAAAAGGTGGGAACGATGAACTATTTGGAAGCTGCGAGTAGTTAAGGGTAGATTATGAAACAAAGGAAAAAATTGTTTTGGAGGTTAATAATTGTTTTGGCAATATCAGTAACCATTACAGAATTGTGTTATAGGAAAAAAACAAAATTATGTAGTAGTGTCATGTACAGTTCTTTCCCTCCCTCTTGTGCCATTAAATATAATGCTTATTGATGGAAAATATCTAGATTATGAAAATAGTGAAATGTACGATACTAGGTAGGAAGACACTTTGTGCCAAAGTGAAACACTGAAACATGAAATTGAATAGAATGTTTGAGAATTTAAAATGAGAACATGCATCTTTATTTGGCATTCTAGATGTAGTATTTCGGTGGTTTCGTGCTTTGCGACACTTTTTAAAAATTATATATTTTTTTCTCTTTTTTTAAAAAAATACATCATTCACTTGCTTTTCTCAAAATCTAGACTCCTTTCGTCTTAGAGAACTTCCGGTAGTCAGCTAACAGGGACGATGGACGATAATTTATAGTAGAATTAGAAATTTGTATTAGTGCTGTAAATTTTTATCAAGTAATTAATACTAGATGTTTGGCCCAGGCAGATGTCCGGACGCCCCTTCTAAATTACTATTTTATTAAAATTTAATTGAATTACTATTTTTTGAAGAATTAATTTGGCGTATATATCATTTATGCTATGATTTGGGGCTTAAAAAAATATACCTATAAATCTGAAGTTATAAGGGAATAATAAACAATTAGTTTATAAGGCATTATTCTTAATTGCTGGATTTAGGTATTTTTATTTTTTGTTTATATTAAGCCTGCAAAACTATACGATTGGACATTTGAATTTGAATTAATATATCCATTCGTTTGAAATGTAACTGATCCTTATTTGTAGTAAAACATGTGTTTTTTTTAAAAAAAAAAAATTATATAACTTCTAATTAAAAGAGACTTACACGTGGCAAAAAGACTCATGAAATCTGAAATATGGTGCATTGGAACCAAAACAGATGCATACTTAGTTGCCACATAAGCTTCATGTCTTCTGCTTTAATAGGGTAAAAGGGATTACTACTACTCGGGCATGAGTCTCCGTCATAAATAAATTGAATAATTTCGCTTGAGTTCAATTGAGCTTTTCTTCTTCTTTTTTTTTTAAATAATAATAATTATTATTATTTGAACATTTACGAGTTTATAATTAATTAATCTATGATAGCTTAACATTTAAACCAGATCCAACTATTCATAAAATTTGACAAGATGAAGAACAAACCAACTCCATTTCATATTTCTTTAAACTTGTTGATTGCTTTTCAATTATTATTTTTATAATTTGTTAACATTTTCTATGATACTGATTGCAATTATATATTCTTGCCTCCATTTGCCGGTCTCCTTCGTTCTGCCTTGTATATACTGCTAAGTGGTGACTCCGGCTATCCCTTTGTCGACTTCTGGGTTTCGCTGTTGTGAACCATTTATTTTACTCAGTAGCTCTCAGTATAATGAACGATATGAGTTAGAAGTTATGACCAAAAATTAAACCTTTTTTTTGAAAAAAAAAAACTATAAACTAGCATATATTACTTGAGAATGTTAAGTACAAGGCTCCTACCAAAATTACCTTATTTACATCTCAAAGAAAAAAAAATTGATCACTCAAGTTGTAGAAAACTGTTAAGAAATCTGCTTTCCTTGGCTAACAGTCTCTTGCTCCTGCACTGCTGAATCCTGATTTTAACCATATGTTGAAATTCATTGAATACCATTTCTACATTCCTCTTTTGATTTCTGAAAAGTCTGCTATTCCTTTCCTCCGAAATGCTGTAAATACAAGCTACCTAGGACGCATATAAAATCTTCCTTCGAAACCTTGTTCCCTTCCAAATTTGCAGAATCTCTCTTTGCCATCTTCTCATTTCCATAGACAGTGATCTAATACTCAACCGTTGTTAAATTCTCCCCAGCAATTCGCTTGAATAAGGGCACTGAAAGAACAAAAGTTCAGTTGTTTCCAGCTGACCGGTGGATAAACAGGATCCAACATCTAGAATTGGGATGTTGTACTGTGCCAATCTATCCCAGGTCTAGAATTTTTCTTTCCATACAAGCCAAGAAAGGCATATTTGGGTACTTTTAAACTGGACCAGATTACAGTTGCAACAGACAGTTTATGACCTTCTCCTTGTAGCCACTTATATCCTGATTTTACTATATAAACTCCCCTTCTGTTTCCTTTCCATTAATTATTATCAAATCTCTCCTTTGCTCTATCTCTCATTTTCAAAATTTGTTTCTAGAACCAGCTACTATCAGGCTTGTACTGAATTTTCCAAATACTCTTCTTCTTTAAATACACTTCATGAACCCATTTTAGCCGTAAATCATCTTTATTACTAGCTATCCACCACAATTGTTTAAGAATGGCTGCTTCATTCCATAATCTGGCATCATAAACACTTAGTCCACCGTCAGAATTGCTACGACATACTGTTTCCCACCCTACTAAAGCAAAGTATCTCCCTGACTCCCTTAATCCACATAATAATTCTCTACACTTACGATTAACAGCTTTTGTTATACAACAAGAAAGAATAGACACAGAGGACCAGTACACATGCATGTTCATAAGTGCAGAGTTGATCAATTCAAACCTCCCAGCATAGGAGAGATACTGGGTGCTCTAATATTTTAGCCTTTTTACTATCTTATCTACTACCCCTGGCATTCCGATCGATTCCATTTCCTAAGTGAGAGTGAGACACCTAAGTATTTCATATGAAACTTCTCCTCCTTAAATCCAATAAGATCACGTAATCTTTGTTTCATAACATCATCTATTCCTCCCATATATATTTCTGACTTTACTATATTAGCTTTCAAACCAGACACCATAGAGAATTCAGTAAAAACCTTTTGAATATACTGCACTATTTTAAGGTCATTCTTACTAAATATCATCAAATCATTAGCGAAACAAATATTAGACAATCTCATATTTTTTGCATAAAAAATGAAATTGAAAACCAGGCAATTCAGCAGCTTCTTTTAGTAACCTAGTCAAATACTCCATCAACAGCACAAATAATAGAAGAGAGACAGGGTCTCCGTGTCTAAATCCTCGTTTCCCTTTGAAAAAACCCACATGTGATCCATTCAAACAGAGTGAGAAATTAGTTGTTCCTATACACTCCATTATCATGTCCGTAAATTTCTAGGGAATCCATATCCTTGCGAACATTCTTTTAAGAAGTCCCATTCAACACAGTCATAAGCCTTCTGCAAGTCTATTTTCAGCATGCATTGACTACTAATACCATTTATTCGATACAGTCTAATGAGTTCTTGAGTGATTAATATGTTGTGTAAAATTAATCTACCCTCAACAAAAAGCCCCTTGATTACTATCAACTAGTACATGTAGCAGTAACTTTAATCTGTTACAAATCACTTTAGAAATAATTTTATAAAACATTTTACAACAAGCTATAGGTCTATGCTGGCATGCATTACATGCATTTTCAGTTTTCGAAATTAACACAAGTATAGAGGAGTTAAATTGTTTTAGGAGCATACTAGTTTCAAAAAATTCCTGCACTGCTTTTGTGATGTCTTCTCCTATGATCTTCCAAGTGGACTTGAAGAAGCCACTTCCGTATCCATCAGGGCTAGGACTCTTCGTGATGTTGATACTCTCCAAAGCTTTTCGTACTTCTTCTCTAGTGACAAGGCAGATTAACTGTTGTTGCTGCTTCATTGACAATCTTGGTCCTTTCTGGAATATTTTTTGTCTGACAGAGTTCCTTTGAGATGTTTGCCCCAGTTGGTTTTGAAAATGTTGTAAGAAATGATCCTCTATAACCTCTCAATCCCTTATGATATCTCCCTTCTCATTTGATATTGACCATATCCTATTCCTCATCAAATTCTACTTTAACTTAGAGTGAAAAAATTTGTTGTTAGTCTCCCCTTCTTTTATCCAATCCTCTTTCACTTTTTGTCTTATGAAACTGTCAAATGTCACATAGTTACTGATGTAGTACTGATATGCTTCTCCTTTTGCTTTTTGTATGCTTTCCACCTTAGGTTGCAATGTCAACTGTTTTTGTGCCTTTTCCAGTTCCATATGAGCCTGTTGGATCCCTGAGAATTTTCTCTTGTTTAGTTCTATCAGTTCCCTCTTCAACCCATTTAGTCTCTTCACCACATGATACATCTGAGTTCCTCTGATTTTTCTCCTCCAACTCCTTCTATAATTGTAAGAAAGTTTGGGTCCATTTTCCACATATTGAAGTACTTGAATGGTTTGCGCTTAGGTTGCATCTTCATTTCCATTTGCACAAGTAAAGGAAAGTGGTCTGAGATCAAAGATCACTGCCAGTCTGTTGATTACACCAAGTATACATATTACCTTGTTGTCTGAGGTTTTGTAAGTCACACATATCTAGACATAAGCTAAAAGATTCTATTTCTGCAACTTTTACCTTCTGTCTTCCTAGTTTCTCCTCTTGTTTAAGAACATTGTTGAAGTCTCCAAGTACCAACCATGACTGATTTATAGTCTGACTGGTACCTTCCAGTTCTTCCCATAATCGTAATCTTTTTAGTTCATCATTGCTAGCATACACACTTGTTATATGGAATTCATTTCCACTCTTTTTATCCCTTACTCTGCAATGTACCAGGTGGAACAATCTTTGAAGTATTTGGGTCTCCACAGTATCATCCCACAGTAGCATAATTCGACCCTTTGGGTCTCCATGCTTCCTCCACAGCTCTCCCCCTCAGATACCCCTATAACTTCTGAACATCCTCCTCAGAGCTTCTTCTTAGAATAGTAAACCTGACAGGGGTTTTGACTTATTTCTCTTTATATTTTGTCAACTTTGGTGTCTACAATTCTATATCCACTCCTTTTGCTCCTTCATTCTTCTTTGGTTTTTCCACCTTTTTCAACTCCTTTTCTTCCAATTTTTTCTTAATCTCATGCTCCTTAGGCACCACTACTGTCTTCTGCTTCTTAGAAACCTTAATATCATGTTGCACACACTTCAAAACATACTGGCTTCCATTCATACAAAACCTCTTGTTCATGCAGAATTCCTTTCTCCTCCTCAAAGTATACTTTATTAGGGACTTCCTTCTTAATCTCCATCTCAACCAATACTCTAGCATAATTTACCCTATCTTTGCTATTTGTGAGCTCACCAGTCATGATAGGGTGCCTAGTGTGCTAGCTATACAACTTAAAGAATCAGGATTCCAATATCTTAATTCCAATTTAGGAAACTGTATCCATACATGCACCTTACTGACTTCTTTATAATTAATACCATTATCAACAGTCAAAGGTTTAACTATCACCAGATATCTATTTTCAAAATGATATATATTCAATATTAAAGCCTCTTCTCTAGCATTCGTTGAAATAAAACGAATAAGAAATAGTCCAAATGGTAGTAAAATCACCTTATCAACACCAAATGGGACCCCAGAGCTTCTTGTAGAAGTTTTCCATAATCGGGAATGGTTGATGAGCTCCTAGAACAAAACTGACCACTGAAGGCTTCCAATAATCTGCTTCAATTTGCACCTTCTGGGGTTTAATCTTCGCGACTGAAATCCCATTCACTACTTTCAGTGGTACATACTCAAATTGGGTCCCCGCTTTCCTCAAATTTGTTTACATCGAATGCTTCCCAGTGTCACGGGCTTACTTTTTCAAAGTAACGCCCGCGTGGCACCAATACTTAAACAACTAACGAGAACGTGCTAACTCAGCCTTAAGACCTACAATTCGTGCAAAGCTAGGCAAAGCCTCAAAGAACGTAGGCACCGAATGCTTAAGAAAGCTAAGAACGGTGTAGGCACAAAGAGAGAACGGAGAGCTTGAAGTACGCTTGAGAATGCTTCACTCAAATAAATGATGGATACAATTGAGGGAGGCTTGGGGTATTTATAGGCTAAGTTCCCAAGTCCAAGAGAATTCTAGAGAATTCTATACAAAGGAATAAAATAATAGTTATCTAGACAATTCTACTAAAATATTCTAAGGCTCTGTTTGGTTAGATTGAATTGCAATTGAATTAGAATTACAATACTATTAAATTAAAAATGAGATATTAATATTGTAATTCAATCTCAATTCTCTTGTTTGGGAGATCTTGAAAATTTACTAGAATTAAGGTTCTAATTCCAATTCTTGCGTTTGGATGCATAAAAATTTGGATACTTTAGAATTGAAATTAGTTTGTTATTGTATAACTAATACTAGTACAATTTATACTTCTTGTCAAAAACTTTTTTTTAAAAAAAAATTATTTTATTATGGATATGTATAACACAAAAAAATAAATAAATTCATTATGTACATGTATATTTGACTACTTTGTGGTTGTTTAACTAATACAATTTTTACTTTTTTTGTTAAAACGAATTATTATTATTAATTAATTTGCTATATCAATTTTGTAATTTGTTATGTACACATATTTTTGTTGGAAACAAAAGAAATATTATTACGTATAAGAACTATTAATATGATACTTAAAATTCTCACTTAATACACAAACAAGTAACACGTAAAACATCTTTGTTTTCTTCTCTTTTATTATTTTTCAAAATTTTTAATTTTTGATGTTTTGATTTATATCAAAAATTAAAAAGATTTTTATTATATAACATTGTAAATTCAGTTTATGAATATTGAGGTTCATTTATACATAGATTAACATTAGTATATAATACATGCTTAAATTTTTTTTATTTTCAGTATATAATTATATATGAAATAATAGATACTTAAAACTCAATATATATATATATGTGTGTGTGTGTGTGTGTTGTGCTCAGACTGAAATACAATCATGAAGTTGAAAGTACCTATTATTTCATAATAGGTATTATGAAGTTGAAAGTACCTTTTTTTTACTTTTTAGTTTTTTTTGGTTACAGCTATACTTTTGATTTTTGTGTAAAAAAGATACAACGTTAATTTTAGATTGATTTCGTTGATAATTATTAAAATGATATGTATTAAACAACAACAACAACAACAACAACAACAACAACAACAATAATAATAATAATAATAATGAGACAAACAGCCCAAAAAAAAAAAATGCCAGGAAGCGCTGAAAGCAAAAAAAGAAAAAGAAAAAAGCTGAAAAAAATAAAATTATAAAAAATACATAAAAAAAGGTCAAAAGTAAAAAATTGATAGGACGACCCGTTTAGGTTATAACCCGGAAACGACCCGGCTATGACCCGCTTATTTTTTTTAAGTGTCTTGAATTTGGATTCTAATTATTTGCTCCCACAAAAGAATTGAAAATAAAGAATTAAGCCCTATCTTGAATTATAATTACAATTCTTGAACCTCTATTTTTAGTAACCAAACACAAGAATTGGAATTATAGAGCTCCAATTCCAATTCTTGGTCCCAATTCAGTGCAACCAAACAAAGCCTAAGTGTGGAATTCCATAGAATTCCATAAGCCCCTAGAAAGTCCTATCCCGTTCCACGCCGATCTAGTAAATCTCGGGTAGCTTCCCAACATTTGCAGCAAATTCCGGTTGCTTCTAGAGAATTCCAAATCCATGTGCAATTGACCCGAGAAATTTAGCGTCCTCTAGAACGTCCCGTCCCTTAGTTTGGTTAAAGAAATGCCCCGTTCATGCAGCAAACCCCACAAACGTGGGGAAGGACGGCCTAACCCGAGAGCTGGGAAAACGGGCGTAACACCAAGCACTGCTCTTTGATTCACCTTCAATGGTCTCTTGTCGACATTTGCCAGTTGAGTCCTACAGCCTCTCTTGTTGAATTCCAGTCATCAATTGTTCGTCTGAAAGCCCCTTTTACTTCTCCCGAATTTCTCTAGGGTTTATAGTTTTAGTCGATGTCGACTTCATTTGTTGCAATTCGTTCGTCTCATCTCCTTGTAGGTGTTGAGTGATGCTTCCTATTGTTTGATCTATCACTTTTTCTCCATTCTAAGTAATTCTCTGCGCCGATTTCCCCCCTCGAGGCATAGCAGGCCTCGAGGCATAGCAAAGCGTATGTTAGCAGTGGGCTAACGAGCACCGAGAGAAAAGAAGAAGAGAGAGAAAAACCGACACGTCTAAAATTTAAACTTTGAAACCCGAAAAACGTATTGATCTTAAAAACTTCTTCTTAAAATTAAAGAAGGGAAAGAGAAAGAAAAACGAAAGCAAAATCATTTTCACAAGTTTCATGTAATACTCCCCATTCAAAAATTATTGTACACTTTGGATTTTTATTTTTTATACCAATTCTGATTTTATACCAAAGCAAAAACTTCCTCGAGGAAGTCATCTGGTTTTGATGAGACCGATCTCCACCGCTCTTGGGCTCGAGTCTGAATTTGACTTTTGTGAGATTGAGAGAAATTGAGAAAGTGTGTCTGTCTAATTTTGTATTTAAAACCAATTACAATTCATCAAAATCTAATCTTTAACAAAAATTAATCGGCAAAGTCCACAACCGCCGCCTTATCGACCGAAGAAATTTGCCACACCCAGAATTATCTCCTGCACCCGAAGCCCCTTCAACGCCCAATAGTCAGAATTTAAAATTAACTTTGACAAAGGTAGCAGCGATTCCAAAAGTCAGATCTCAGAATACAAGAAATTGATTTGCAATATGTAGTTCCATTTGGCGGAGGAGGTCGGCGCTGGGGCAGCCAATGCCCTTTGACGGATCCATCACCTTTGCAATTAAACGTCAGGGGGCGGCGGCGGGAAGGGTGAGGGGGAGACGGGATGGTTGTGCGTACTGGGAAAGAAGAAAGGGGGTAAGAGAGAGGGGGCGGCGGCGGGGAGGGGGAGATTTTATTTTTGGGAGGGACCGTCACCTTTGTAATCAAATGTCAAGGCGGCGGCGGGGGAGGGGAGGAGGAGAAATGAAGAGACGGGATGGTGGTGGGTGTTGGGGAAGAAGAAAGGGAAGAGACGGGGCGGCGGCAGCGGGGAGGGGAGGGGGAGAGATGGAGAAACGGGATGGTGGTGGGTATTCGGGAAGAAGAAAGGGGAGGAGAGAGGGGGCGGCCGGGGGGAGGATGTGATTTTTTTTGCTTTTCTTTTAGGTTTTTTATCCGATTTTTTTTTTCTAGAAAATGAACAAAAATTGCTGGATCAAAGTTTGTGCGGCCCACAATTAGGAAGAAAATATTAAAAAAATAAAAAAAATTAACGGAGAGAAGAATTAAACCGTTAAGTAAAGTATGTGAAAATTTTGTTAAATTTATTAAAATTGACGAGAAAAACATTTTAGAAGACTATTTTTGCCAATTAAAAATGCCTAGTGACTCGATCTTGCTACTCAAAAGCTGGGGATGAAAAGTACATTTTGTCTAATTGAAAAACCAAAACTTTTGATTCCTACATCTAAACTGTCCCATAAGTGACCTCGATATAATTCTCATTTCTCAGTTGCTCAGGTCCAACTTGGTTCAATCCAAGCACAATCCAAGTACGTGCTGGTTTCATTAAGGGTCTGCAATTCCTGATCACTCCCTGCAGTACGATACGTCTTGGTGTTCAAAGAATAATAGACCATTTCATGTCTATAAAACATGGGAAAGTAGATTCTATTCGCCACTTCTGGCGTTTCTGCAAGACAAGATATCGATGATGGTGAGCTCAAATATAAACAATACCCTTCCAATGAATTGATTTCTTCCCACGTCTTTTCATCCTTCAGCTTGAAAACTCGAACCCAAGGTTTGTTTCCTTGATCATCGTCACCCAACAGAACGGATACAAGCTCTCCACCACTCTCAGTTAGATAGTTGTGCCTAAAGTTCACGACAGGAAATACAAGGTCCTCCAAAACTTTCCAGCAGAAGGGTGGTTTTCCCTTTTTAGTCAATTTGCCACGCCCAAGTATCCCATTATCGCCTAAATAGTAACAAAATTCTCCCAGAAAAACTGGACTACTTCCACCTGGGGAGAAAACTCGTCGAAGGCCCTGTTTTCCCAGACCAAATACCTGCCATTCTGGTTTCCGTGGTTGTGGAGAGCGTTTAGCAAAGTATGACTTGCCCCGTGTTGTGAATTGTAACATTGCTAGAATCGAACAATGGGGAGAAGATGGCTTTCTTAAGAAGGTGGAGTTCAAAATACCATACCCAGCAGTACTTTCAGGCTTACCCCCTGCAGGGACAACTTGGATGGTCAATGGGTTAAAGAAAGCACTTTGTAGTTGGGACCTCAGGAGTAGCCAACCAAATCTGGAGCATGCAATCTCACACCTTTCAAGGACCTTGGGAGTTTTGATGGCGAGTTTTCGATTAAGGTTGGAATCGACTATATTGTACACATCACTGAGCTTGTCCTTGTATATCAAGGATGGAGGGAAAGGATTCATTCTCATCCCAATATTGCCGGAAGCACAATGCTTACTGACACCACGAAAATACATGTAATCAACTAAAGGTAGTTTCCCTGATATCAAGCCAAGTACCTCTGCTGATACGTCACACAATGAGGTCCTTTCCCTCTTACTTTGTTTTCTGCTTCTTCTCCTCTTGTCGTTCAAGAAACCTGTTGTGTTGCTCTTTCCGTTTAGGTCTATTGGTGAATCAACCAAGGGACTAACAGACACACTGCTCGATTGTTGTTCATCATCCATGCCACAAACACTGCTCGATTGTTGTTCATCATCCATGCCACAAACAGGTACACCAAGAGGTTGTTGCCCATCATCCATAACTGTCATGGCAGGCATAATCCAATGGGAAAGCCATGGTTCTTGCGAATGTTATGTTAAGTAATCATCCTCAACCCTTTAGGAGAATAAGGTTTGATCATTCTCGAAGGTGAAATATATGTAACTCCATAAGGATGCGCCTTCTTGTCTGCTGCTGTAAAGTGAATAGGAACTGCACAAAAACACTGCCCCTCCGTCGAATCTGGTCATTCGTCTCCAAACATTCTTACAAAAGTCGAATTGGTAAATAAAAATCTTTTTTGGTCCTGGATATTTGCTGAAAGATTCAGGGAACATTAAGATTAGACAGAGGTGGCCGCCACCCATTGGCACCAAGAAACTTCTATGCTTCAAATCTAAAGGAAATTTTGGACGGGAATGTTGAGGCATTAGTAGATGGGTCTCGCAATTATTTGAGATGCGGTGGCATATATTGTACCATTGAAACTCACAGGACTGCATAAGTAGTAATAACCTTGTCTAACAGGTCTACCAGCTTGAGCTTCAATGCTTTGTGCATAATTGAATTCGCACCAATTCTGGTCACCAACATGACAATATAACATCAAAGGAATCTCAGTGACAAACAAAAGTACCAAAATCGAGTTGGGATCAGGGGAGGTCACCAATCCTTGATGAATTGTATTACCTTGTAGATCTTGTCTTAGTCGAGGTAGCCTAATTGACAGATCCCTCGGAGGACTCCACAAGAAAAACCGTTGCTTGCTCCCAATCCGGTTCTTTTTCTGGAGCATAAGTAACCAATTGCCATCAGGGGAACAGTACAGAACTTTTCTGTCCCGGAATTCTGGAATACTCTTGGAGATTAAATCTGAAGATGATGATGATAAGTCACAAAAGGTTTGGTTTTGGCGGCGTTCACCGTGAAGATAAACCAGCCAAGGATAACGATGTTTTGATTGCAATATCCCCGGCGCCGGGAATTCATGTTCAAAGGGTCTGTTGTTTTCCCCTGTCATGATGGATATATTATAAATCAATGCCACCGGAATCAGTACGGCGCCCGGTTAGATAAGTGGGATTGGCAGGAAGAACTACCGGAATTTAAGACGAAACGGAATGTTTAATCACTAACTAGACGCCTGCGTCTACACATCTACTCCAACTGGAATTCTATCGTGAAAATCTGGAACCAAAAGCTGCCTTTTAACCTACGTTCCGACTCTGAAGGGATAATTATTGTTTGACCCGAAAAGTCAAATCCTGCTCCTTTGTTCTTTGTTGTAGTCTGTCGGGACTGCTCGACTGTTGAGCCCCTGCGACACAAAATACATATACACTTTCTACATTCTCTAACATGTCGTCTATTTATAATTGTTGATTTTCCAGTCACTAAACTAAACGCTTATTAAAGGAAGGTTTTGAGACACAGCAACACCTTCATCCCAAACTCCCAAATACTCTTTTTATCGTAAAATGATTGTTCTGACAGTACTTTTATTTTCATACAAGTTAAACTAAAAATAAAATTTTAATTTAGTCGATCAGAAATATGAATTTGTTTTGCCGCAAACTAAATCACGCGACAAACTTCCCACTTCTTTGAACGTTCCCAAAAGCTTTCCATGGTATATAAAATGGTAGTCTTATTTGGATGTCGACAGAAATGACCTTACACAAAGCGTAAATATTTTTAATTTTTTTTAATTATTTTACTATTAATGTTTTTAAAAATTATCAAGTAGTTTGGGCTTGTTTGACCAACATTTTGTTTTAGTTATTGTTTTAGTTTTTGATTTGGATTTAAGATAAAATTTAAAAAGTTTTTTAGGTAATATTTTTAGACCACCATCAGACCACTTCTACTGCCACCGCCGGACCGTCGCCAGCTGGCCGGATTTCGGCTAAATTTCGACGAGTTGGCCGGAATTTGACTGAAATCCAGTTGCCGGCCGGCGGCGGCAAGGGGCGGTCCGGCAGTGGCGGGTGGTGGTGGAGGTGGTCCAGTGATGGTAGATGAAAATTGTGTAAAAATAATTTTTGAAATATTTTTTAAAAGATAAATTAAAAAATTATTTGGATAATAGTAGAATTTGTGTTTGAGAGATATTTTAAGAAGTAAAATGCCACAAAATGGTAAAATGGGTGTTGTCCAAACAAGACCTTAGCCTTCTGCTCTAGTAGTTAACCCCCGGCCTCCACTGCGTCAGCCTATGTGGTTTTGCCATTATATACTGGTTAGTGGTAATCTCGACCACTGTGGCACTGCCACTGTATACAAGTTAGTTGTAACTGTAGCCACTGTGGTTCCGATATGGGTTTCACCATTGTGAAACATTTATTTGTCATAACCACACATCAAATAATGAAGAAGAAAATAAATATTTTAGAAAATAAAGTTACTTGTCAACAACTGTATTCCATTTTTTAGCGTAGCAAGACACGATATAACAAAACATCAGATCCCCAAATTGTTGGCAACTTTCCCATAAAATTACATATTGATCCATCTTTTGTCTTGCACAATGTTAAGTGGTTTAAATTAGTGTAGAGAAGATTTTCTCAATGACATACTCATTTCGTCCCAACAAGATAGTCTAGATTAAGGTTTTAGATACAGATTAATTTTGTTGCGACGTCTAGATTAAGTTTTTAGATACAGATTAATTTTGTGGGAACAGAGACTATACAACATAGAGAAGTTAAGACCAAAAAAAAAAAAAAAACTTAGAAACCCCAAAATACCTATTCATCTTAAAATTATTATGTTCACATTTAAAGAAAGAATAAGCAAAACTATTTTCACAAGTCAGACTGTCAGACTGAGACACATTAAGAACATAATGAAAAACCAAAACTTTTGGCTTTTCTACACTTTTCTACACTCACATATAAACAATATCCTCCCAAAGAATCGATTTCTTCCCATTTCTCATAGGTACAGCTAAAAGCGACACTATTGAGTCGAAAATTGGGCCGATTTGTTTCCAACTCTAAGCCCAAAGAAAGTCCAAAAACGGCCCGTCATAAAACACCATCTCATTTTGCAGTCAAACTAAACAAAACGGGCAAAACCCAAGCAACGTCACGTAGCCACGTAGGTCGTAGAAACCTAAGTAAGGTAAAATATCATTAAATATGGTCCCTAATTTATTATATATCCAGCTCCCGATATTTATTGATTTTTTTCTCTTTTTGTCACATTAAAACCATAGGTAATTCTCTATTTATTCTCCTCTATAATCTGTTTGGATCACCGAAACTGCTTTGTAATCTCTATTTTCTTAACTTCCATAATCTCTCTATCTGTCTAAGTAAAATTCTCTCCTAAACCTCTCCAGCGTTGCAGAAAGGTAACACATTTTGTCCCTCTTTTTTTTTTTTCTTCTGAACTTCGATTCATCTACTGCGCTTTGATTTTTCATTTTTCTGTTCAAAGAACTCGATTTTGTTGCTGGAGTTTACTTGTGTTTACTTACTGCTGTTGGGATTCTTAACCATGCGTTTCTGTGTTAATGTGTTCTCTGCGATTTTTACCCCCCTTTTTGAAATTAGGATGTTTTCTGCTTTCCAAGTTAGGGTTTTTCTTTGATGAATGTAGAAAGTTGGGAACTTTTTTTGCTGGGTTGGAAAATTGAATTTGTTGGGTTGGAGGGAAAGTGGTTAAGAATTAAAATAAATGGGCCTTTTCGGGAATATTTTTGTTTTTATTTTGGGTGTTTTTTTAATTTTATTTTGTTGTTATTATTGGAAATTTTAATTTCTGGGTTGGAGGGAAAGTAGCGGCAACTGGCAAATGTTAGAAAAATGAAATTTTTATTTAAGATAATCAAGTCTCTAAAATTCTTACTAATGAACCCTCTGTTTTTATGCTGCATGCAGTACTTGACATTTTGGGAAAAGAAATTTTCACTCTGTTATTGTATGCTTCTTCCTGTACTCATTTTCCCCTTTTTTTTTGGTTTCTAAAGCATCTGTATTTTCTATTGGGGTTTGGGTTTTGGTCTTTGAAATATGGTTTCTGGCGTAATTTTTGCTTCTGGCTTTCTTACTGTTTCTTTGCATGAATGTTTGGTTCTCTCTCTTTGCATGATATATTGGAAGATTATTTCTCTCTTGTTGATCTTTGTTGAGTACGCTACTTTTGGATGTAACAAATGGATAATGAAAACCTGAAAACATAATGGGAAAAAGCAAGATCAGCTCGGGGTGTAGGAAGTAATGAAGTAAGTCTCTGAGCGATTCTGCTTATTGCCTAGATGATGACTGGTTAAGTAATTTTAGTTTTTCATGCTTAGGGAGATAACTTTTTAACTTCACAATGATCTCTCTTTAGTTTGTGCTTATTTTAGAACTACTCATGCTTATTCATCACCGTAAAGTGGATCGCAGTAGTATTCTGAGTAATTACCGTAGCTGAGTTACTTTTTTACTTTTGAGATCAATCTGGTTTTATTTTTCTTTTTCTTTTTTTTTTTTTTACGAGAGAGGGTTGAAGTTGACTGAGAAAACTGTGCTATATCTTGCTACATAGCTGAATGTTTCTAACTTTGATGAAGTGATTAGATTTGTGCTAGTCATCGTTCTTAGCATTCTGCTGAGCAAATATTCCCCTTCTTTTTGTTTTGATGCCTTGTTGGTTGAATACATCATTGAACAAAAAAGAAGAGGTGAAGCCTTGTCCACGAAAAACTTATGTCGTATAAAGGATGCTGATGTATGACCTTGAGAATGTTATTCTTTTCGGTGAATGTTCAACAGTTGGCCTTTTGTCAACAGGGGCCAGACGTGGGTTTTGCAGCGCAGGAAGAGAGTGATATTCATGTGAAAAATGAGCTTAGCAATCCAAACAGAGAGTTCTAATGCATCACAAGTACTACCCGCAAAGAGGAGAAGGGGTCGCCCTAGGAAGGATCGAAGCCTTAATCAGATGGGAGTTGCTCCTGTGCCACCAGGTTTTGAAAGATTAATTGGGAGCAGATCCCGCCAATCTGATACAATCGATAACAAAGATGGTATGGTTGGTCAGGAAGTTACAGGGGTTATTGAGGCCTCATTTGATGCTGGATACTTGCTGGCTGTTCGGGTTGGCAACTCTCGTACCATTCTGAGGGGGGTAGTTTTCAAGCCAGGAGACTATACTCCAGTTACATCGCATAATGATGTGGCTCCTGGGGCTCAGATGATTAACAGAGCTGCAGTTAATCTGCCGTTACATAACCAGACGCAAACCAACTTATCATCAATAGACAGAAACGGCCTTTATCAAGCATCTCCTCAATCAGCAAGTACCGTCATCTCAAAAGGAAAAAGTGTATCTCTGACAGCAGGCCCTATAATTACTCAAGTAGGTGCCAGAGGCAACGTTGTTCCTGTAGTACTGCAGCCTCTGGGTCCCTCTAATGGTGCACCACCTGTAAATCCAGTTAATATGGATGCATCTGCTTCCGATGGCAAAGATGTGGTTGCTGCAGAACCCTTAGCTATGTTCATACCACCTGCTGCATCAGCATCTGCTAGGCAGTTTCAGGTCACCACAAATCAACCGGTGCCTATTCAAGTTCAAGTGCAAGCCGGCAATCAATTTCCTGCAGGAGGTGCTCCAATTCATACTGATTCTTATAACTCTAAGAATAACGAGGTTCCATCTGTTATGAAAGAAGTGGCAGAATCTCAGGAAGTGAACCCGTCTGCCCCTTCATTGGAAGAACAAGTAACAGCATCCCAAGGCTCTTCCGAATCTTCAGAAATGAATCTTGATGATGATGATGAAGAAGATTCATCTGCTGGGACGTCAAATACCGAGTCAGACCGAGAAGTTTCTTACATTAATTCTTCCTCTGTTCCCAATCTCAGTACTAATCATACAACTGGCCGTATGACTGAGCTCTTACAGGTAAAAGTCAGGCTTTAGCTCTATCAATGTTAGATGTAGTCTTGAACTTCTTTATATTACATATATGTCAAGCATTCCTAAAACAAAGACTAAAATCATGCTCCTCAATCAAGGCTTTGCAGGAAACTTATGAGAATCAGAAGTCGCGTCCTGTTCCCTTTACCAATTCTGGAGCTGATGCTCAAGAAAAGGAGAACTCTGAAATAAATCCAGAAAATGAGAGAATAGATGGATAAGTGTTCTGCTGGGAGCCTCTGGAGATCGCCATTCTTCTTGTAAGCTTTCAAATGGTTGATGGGTTTTTCTACTCCGGTGCTTTTAGATGGATGTGTCCTGAAATGCAAACCCCCCTACAGATGAAGGACCATGTTTATTCAGTTTCATGAACAGTGACCAGCTGCTGTATGTTGATAATCGGAAAGTTTTTAAGTTCAAATGAAGGTTGCTTAGGCTTGTAGTGTAAACTTTAGATTATGACCTCAGCTTTGCTGAACCCATTATTCATGCACAACTAGAAAGTCTTTTGCTCCTTTATTCGACGTGTTTGTTCAATTTCTTCTCATTAGCTTCATTCCAAATGTTGTTACTCTTGCTTTGTTGACAATGATCCAACATGAGCAAAGTTCCCACCATTTGGGTTCTTGTGGTTTAACTATTATATCCAGTTCCAGCACGGACAATCTGGATGTTTAGGATTATGCTGGAAGAGTGTGCCATTTCTTCCTCGCGGTCACTATCTGTATAATGTTGCTAGTCATAGAAGTAGCATTACTTCAGGCAGCTCTGCTGCGGTTTGGGGAAGAAAGGTCCGAACAGCCAGTTGGTTGAAGTTCTTTGAAGGAGTTATGAGCTGTGCTCCATTGCCATTTGGTTAATCTTTTCCTCGTCAAGGGGAAGAGAAATGCAGCTCGCGAGAGTGATAAATGCAGAAGGCAACCATTTTCATCAGCATTCTCGAGGAAATATTTTAACATCCTCCTCCCTCATCGCTTTCGGTGACAATTGGAACCCTTTTGATGAATGTTATAATATCAACATCCTTTGATCAACATCCTTTATTCAAAGATTCAAACTGTTTGCGGTTGGCCCGTCCCAGAATCGCTGTCCATGTTAGTAGTGAAGCAGGAACTAATAGCCTTATCAGGGAGCCAATAACTTTGAGATTTGTGAATAGTAGTGATTTGAGACTTCACAGGTTATAACATAGTTAGAAACGCGTGAAACGAGATCAATGAGAATAATGTCTTGCATCAATGAGATATTCATAGTCGCTCCGCCAAAGCAGTGGATATGTACAACTGTCTCGAAAGAATTGTAACAAATATTGACTTAAAATTACAGTGATCGATACAAAAAGGACCAAAAACGGTTATCCTGCGCAATGGATCTTCCTCTCCTCACAGGAAAATTTTAACTTCTGTATACTGCAAAACTGGGTAGCTCCGCTTCTCAACCTATACCTCTCTTCAAACAAATATACATCTAGAGTAAGCCTGTCCACAACTAAGTATAAACCAACTAATTTCCTCTTCGATCGCAATTTACAGTTTTAAGTACTCCCTTGAAAAACAAACTTGAATACTTACCAACCTCCTTACTAAACCATTCATCAAAATTTTTGAATCATGAAAGCAGACAAGAATAATGGAGGGACTGTTGGTGCAGCAACAGAATGATATTTAAGCGAATTTGGTGCCAAAGGAAACATCAGATCCTGGCACTGGAATTGGCCCTGCAACGGGAAAGATAGGAGGTACGACAGGAATGTAGGTGGGCATTGCAAATGTTTGGTGACCATTAGCTATAAAAGGAGGAGTCATATAGAGCTGAAGTGCTTGCATTGCTGCTGACCCTGAAATTACAAAAGGCTACCAATCAGCAAATCTGATAAGGAAGTTAAAGGGGCAAACTTCAAGAAGACCCTGAGCAGATTTTAAAGTATGGAAGACCACAATATAGTAAAATTGAGGCCTTGCTCAAGCATCAAGTTGGCTTTACAACAATCAACTTTCAATGAGAGCATTCCACTACTCCAATGGTCTAATACTCATTTACTATCCAGTAGTCCTACTAGAATTGTTTCCAAAAGAAGCTTACTGACCGGACAGTCTTAAGTGATGACTTATCATCTTATGAGAATAGTACATACTTAAGGTAACAAACTAGAAGAAGATAACCGAACCTTTTCAGAAACGCAATATCGAGCATGGTTGTGAGGGAAGAAAAGAAAAAAAAAAATCTATAGAAGAATCAGACAATCCAGCAGGCTACAGCTACAAGCATTTATTGTAACAATATTTTACTTCCCTAAATGTATGGTGTAAATAATACTTCCTCCATTTCAATTCAATCGGGACACCTTCCTTCTCATGATTTTTCAAAATTCAGTCCTACTTCATACATTAAGATTAAATTTATCTATGAAGTCTCTAACATATCCCCGTTAGATCACTGAAATTTAGAACATTTAATTAAATCCAACTCCCAATCTCACCATATTAACTAGTAACCACTATTCATTAATAGGGACCTATTAGGTGCATTACTCCAAAACTAACCATTTAAATTACATGAACCACTTTTTCTTAATCTCCGTGTTTGTCTTAATGGGCCTATTGAATTGGAATGGAGGGAGGAATAAGTTAACTCCTTAAAAATCCTCACTTGTGAATGGATATTCCTACAATCTTGTCTCTTTAACTTCACCTATACATCTGGCGATGTATAGTAAACCAAAAATGGGCATGTATACCTTATAATTGCATCTTTCTGAAGCAGTTTAAAGTAAAATGACGTGTCAAACCATAAAAACTTTTAGGTCCTTCCCAAAAACTGAAATCAGAGAGAAAATCCTTCAGATAGGTGCTCAGTATTTAAATGCATACCTTGGTGCTTAGGCATATTGATCTGTTGTGGGGCCATCAAGGGGCGTGAAGATACCTGAGAGAAACCGGCAGCACCCTGAGTGACATCCTATCAAAAAACATTGCCAGAGATACTTGTCAAACTACCAAAGAAACACACAACTCTATAGACTAGGTAAAAGAGAAAAGGATAAGAATAGTGAGGGCATATGCATAGATAATGAAGCAACACGTAAGAAAATAGACATGACTTTGAAATTAGTTGAAGCAATCATGCTCCAAATGTACACTGAAATCAATCCAAGTAATCATGATCCAGATGTAGAATTACTGAAAGAAATAGCCATCTTCTCCCATCCAATTTTCTTTTATATAACTTGACCAATTGTAAGACCATAAAATTTAAACTCAAATTACCGAACCCTTTCTGTAGTTGCTAACTATGCAAATAGCTATACACATATAAATACAAGGGAGTAATCGTCTCACATTAGAAACTGGATGTACATAGATGAGTGGACCCATTCTCCCAGCCATCACCTGTATTCAGGAAAGTAACAAGTTTTAATCACTTTGTAATGGTCCAGAAGCATAGGCAATACAGAGAAGAAATTGTATGTATGAAAATATATAAATTTCAATGCTCCTAAAACGTACAGTTTGTGAACTTGGATGCGGATAAGGGGGCCCGGCTTGGAGATGGCTGTACTGACTAGCATATCTAACCGGTGGCATCCTGCTTCCAGTATGCCCAACAAGCTATACATATATGAAGGAAATAAGCAGCATGTTAGTTGGAATAATTAGAAAACTAGAGACTTTGAGTTGGGACTTCTTAACAGAAAACAAACAGATTAGAGTTCAATTTTGATTTATCTTCAATTTCCCGGAAAAGTGTACCATTTGGTAAACAGTTCATCTTATCCAAAAAGGCCAACCCGGAATAAAAAGAGGAAAACATTACAATTGGAACTCTTAGGAAAACTAGATTTTGAATGGAAGCAGTTAAGCATCACTATCAATCACAGGAAAACTAGATTTTGCAAACATGTAAATGTAGATAGTGAATACAGATTATGGGTCAGTGATTTGTTGGATAAAGTTCGCAAAATGTGGAAATACGTACATGTTGACCATACGGTATATCATTGCGGCCATGTCCAGGAAACAGGTTGTTGTGCGCAGCCAACTTGGCAGGAACTGAAGAACGATATGTGACAGAACTGACATCAACTTCTGGTTCGGCAGCCGCAACTGATGCGTGATTCAGATTTGGTGGTGTTCGCACTAAAGGAGGTGTTGGTGTTGCCGATATATGTTGCGCTGGTGACGGAGAAAATAACTTTGCTTTAGGGTTGAGCTTAGATTCCTGAGAAGAAACACGTCTCCTTTTAGAATGCAAACTTCTAACCTAGCAAAAGTTTAAGAGGGAAAAAGAACAACTATAAAATAATTTTTTTAAAAAATGTGATGTACACGTATAAGATTATCATTTACCACGTAGAGAATATATTGGAAAAGGAACAAGGAGAGACAGTCATCAAATGTGTTATCTTCTTTTTAACCTTTATTATTTCATATGCACCATGGAGCGGAGTGGATCCTACCCAATATTCTCCAAGATTTTTCAACTGAACACTTCAAAGAAGATTACCTTTACAATGGTTGCATGATCATGATTTCCTTTTTCTGAAAGAGATTGCCTACTTGCTTCGAAAGTGTGCCTTGCATGAGGATCATCAGGTCTCGGCACTCGGTTCCTAACATAAGAAACAGAACTTGGTGCTTCGACTTTATTTGTTCTGGCAGTCATTTCCTTAGCAGCAGGGTGATTTCCATGAGCATTTACTGCAGGAACAAAAATTTTAGCATATAGAAGTCGGCTCAAAGAAAAAGATCCTAACATGTTTCTAACAAAATCAATAGATCCTAAAAAACTAAAGAGCATAAAAGAAAAGCAGCTAGGACACTTTCCTGTTCTCTTGATGTGATTTGCAGTTCCACCCTAGTCCTTAAACCATTTCTAACCACAGTTCAACCTTGAATATTGCCTAATAAAACTACCTAGTTATGAGTCCCAATCATGTATGAAAATGAAAAAACTTATAAGCTTTGAATAACACAGCACCTCCAGGGACATGAAAACAAACAAACATGTCGTCTCAATCAACTAAAAAAAATGTACAACATTCTAAAACCAAATAGTATCTTAGAGGCCAACTTTACTAATTATCAAAGTGTGTGAACTCACAGCTTAATCTTGAGCCTTCTGCTTGCTCAGCAGGTTCTGCTGGCAATCCACTCTGCATTACATCTGAGCTATTACAACCCTGCCTGTCAACAGTCATTATGTCAAAAAGATACAAGTCATTACTTGCTTTTGGCAGAATAATGTAAGAACTGGATCCTAATTTTTCAAGGAGATAGTATAACAAACAACAAGGAGATAGTGTAACCAATAACAAGGAGGTAGTATAACCAATATCAATGACAACTTACGGAAAGTAACCATTAACTGACACTGGTGCGTCAATATCTAATGTCAACTAGCAACAAAGCATTTACAGATAAACAAAACGAAATCAGGTCCGATGACAAAAGATATGCATTTTTGTTCTCGATAATCTGATATTGACATGCCATAAAAAACAGCCATACCGGGAAGATAACTGAAAATTTCCGATCTATATAGCTTAGTCACAGTCAAAGAAAGGCAAAGATTTTGAAATAGTATAAAATGGCAGTAAATCTCAAGCTAAAACAATTCCACATGATCCAAGCCATTGATGACGACTTTCCTAGTGTGTAATCTAAGACTAAAGCAAAAATTTGCGGTAAGTTTCCATCATATCAACGGCCAACAAGGACATTATACCCAACAGCCACTAAAATGCCAGAATTAGTAGGAATTCAACAAAACCTTGATGGAACAGTGTCCTTTTGGTCCAATCCGGCCTCACTATGATTGCTTGAATTCATGATAATCTCTTCACATTTGGGATTAACAACGCCATCCCCTGACCCAAAATCTGCCCCAGCTTTTCCACAGATACCATCTGCCGGAAGCAATATTTCCTATACAAGGATACATGCAAGTTATCGTGCCTGAATAAAGAACTTCAAATCCCAATTAGCAAAAGCCACACTAAAAAACCTTAGCAATGACTTGAACTAGATCTTCGGATAGAATTACAAGCGTATCTATCAGCTTTCCCTCAGCCACATTCGTCTCCCTGTTGCCCTTCTTAACCCTCCTCGCTTTGTGCAAAACAACAGCTGCACAAAACACAGTATCAATAGCTGAAAGTCCCCATAAACCAGAATCTCTTGATCACTTAAAGCACATGCACATAATAACAATTATATATAACCGAAAATGGAAAAATAAGATAAAAGACACACTCAATCAAAGTTATCAAATTTTCAAAATGCAAAAATTATACCCGAACTTGATCGCATCTAAAAGTTACAGGCTCCAATAATCCATCGATAAAATCACAACCCAGATTCAGATTACTAGTAATTGACAGAAACAATCTTATTGAAAGCCTCGAGAAGACGCAAAATTATCGCTAAAATGGCAATAAAAACCAACCGTATGCATTGTCCACATTGGCAGTGTACAGAGTTCCGGAATAAATCGAGCCATCTTTCACATGGACATCCACCGGATGGCCAATGATGCACATAGTTGTAAACAGTAATGCCTCGTTAACTGAACCTGAAACGCCGCTTTCTTCCCCTGCCGGAATTGCTCCATTTCTGTAACCCATCTCTAGACAGTATTCAACAGTCTCTAACTTTACTTTTTTCTTTCTCGACACTTTGAACCAATGAGTCTGGAGCGGGATTAAAATTTAAATGCTAAGATTCTGTCTGAAGAGGAGATCGAAAGATGCGGTGGCGCCGGTGACGGAAGGGGGGCGGTGGCTGGCTTTCCCTGTTATTTTTCGCCGAGCTGAAGAGGGACTGTTGACGATCAAGGAGGAGGAACACTGAAGTGTGCGTCTTTTTACGAGGTTTTTGAGCATTAAATATATTTGCTAATGAGCCCTCGTGTTTTGACGCACCTTTTTGTTATGCCAGTATAATTCTACTTATTTTTATTTTCACCCTTGATTCTAGAACTTTCGCCTTGACCTTTATACAGTGTACTCTCTTTATTTGTTTTTTCCCTTTGCTCATTTTCGCAGTTTATTCGAGTTTCTCTATTCAAAATTATACATACATTTTAGAGAATCTATTTTTAAAAAATAGAAGTAAGTTTCTTTCTTTTTTTTCAACTTATAAAATGATCATTGTATTTATTAAATGAAAAAGATCAATAATAATAAAATTTTATCAGCTCTTTTAGTGAGGATTTTGTAATATCTATTATTGTCAATGCTTTTATACTCCCCGTCTTAAAATGATTGTCTACGCATGACAACAGTTTTCGAACAGAGGAAATAGATATTAACCAAAAAATAACAAATATTTGTTTACATATCTTTTCTTCCTAAGTTAAGAATTTGCATTTTCCTATTTTTACCTTAATAACTTTTTTAACTCATTGACGGGGCTCAATTTTAAATATCATGTGTTGAAAGATTTAAATTTATGCGCGTCAATATTAATCGGTAATGTGTATATTCATATTGAATGATTTTTGCATACGTGACTCGCAAATAGAAGCCCTGACCAAATGTGTAGTAAAAAATTAATTATTAATTTCTTTATGTTTACGTTGATTAACCAAATATGACAATCCCTGATTTAATGATTAGTTGTACAACATAATCAGCATATGAGTTTGAATTATTATTTAGTTTTGGTAGTTTGAGATAATTTGTTGTGAATTAATTAAAATTTAGAAGTTGATAAGGTTATAATTAATTGGTTCAGTGGTTAAAGTGATCACAATTTTTCACTTAAACTATTTTAACTTAAAATTTAATTATGTCAGTTAGAAAATAACTTATAGAATTTACTAGGGACAAAACCAAAATAATAATAATAATAATTTATTTTATTTTTTTAATTTTATTTTCATATTTTAATAATATCTCAATTTTTACAGACTATTTCATAATTTAATAATATTTATTGAATATTTTATTATTTAAAACTTTTGAAATTTTCAATTTTGATTTTAAACTTAGTTGTTAAACTCCATTAATTTTATTTTATAAAATTTGAATTTGATCTTGTTTATTATAGTTAAACTCCAATTAAAATTTGTTAGTGTTTAACAAGTATAAACCCCTCATCTCCCTAACAAACATATTTTACACTCATCGTATATTTCGTAACAATATTAATAAAGTAATGCATACTCTTACACAATATGTTTTTTTTTCTTACCTATTTACTTTTACAAAATTATTATCATTATTATTACTATTATTGATTTAAAAAATTCCAATGTTAAAATGCCAATCTAATATATATATATATATATGTATGTTAAAATAGAGTTTTCAATTCTTACGTGTCATTTAGGAAAGACTTTTTGGATTATTGTGTCACATATTGTCGCTCTATTCGTCTTTCATTAACGTATAATTTTTTTAACTACATTAAAATAAATTTTCAACCATATACTTCGATGTCAAAATTATTTACTTTATATGTTAGGTGATACATCAATATTGATATTAATTAAGACAAATATTTACACAATCAAAGAAACATAGATTATGATAATGAAATTTAAAGTAAAGATTGTCCCCTATTTTTTTATTCTCACAACTATTCAAAAAAATTAAAACCTCTAATTATTACGACTTCATTTTAATTTTTTTTTTATATAAAAAAATACGTATATGGTTATTACTTGAGTATGATTAGCTTTGCTGAAATATTTAAGTATATTTGGTTAGTTAAGATTAGTTATGTTAGAATATATAAGTATATTTTATTTTTAAAATTTTTATTATTGCTTGTAAAATTCAAAACACCTGTAAATACGCACATTCAATTACCCTATAAAAATTACATCCAATCCTCCAAAACTCTCAAAAAAAATTATTTTTTCTTTGCTTAAAAATAGAGGATCAACTAAGTTGGCATTTTAGATGATCATCAACTTTTATTCTTAATATTGTATGTATTTTTTATATACATTATATTTTTGGACTTTTTTTTGTGTACAACTAGAGTATTTTATAATTATTTGAAAACTGAGCAAGGCTTGGGATAAATTTAGTGTCTGCTCTCATAAGTAGTGTAAATTTAAATTTAGTAAAAAATTGATAAAAAAAAGAAAAAACAAGAAAATTGATTTTGTTTTGTTTCCCTTTATTTTTGTTGGGATACATGCAGTGTGTAAAAACGAATTATGCAATTATTGGCGTTATTTTTCTTAAATTATTACAGCAAAAAAGCAAAAAATGGAAAAAAGAAAGAAATTCTGCAGTCTGACGTTTGAACCCTAAAACCCTTGTTAACCCCCCAGAATCCAATTCCTCCTGCTGAACGCCGGAAACTGCCTTTACGCAAAACATCATCGCCACCGGTGAACATGAGACCGCCTAAACCGAATCCCAAAACTCGCAAGCTGCGGAAACGTCTCTTGGCGGAGGAAGAAGGAGATGAAGTTGAGCTCCTAGAGTCATGGATTGATTCGGGCAAACCTGACTCTGGTTCGAACCCACTTTCCTTTCCGCCTCTTCCCGAGAAAGCTCCCGTGGGTCAACTGCGAGACGGCTCTTTCTCGCCGTACGCCGGCTGCCTAAAATTCAGCCAGTTGCCTTTGTCGAAAAAAACTAAAGATGGGTTAGCCAAAGCTAATTATAAAGATATGACTGATATACAGAGGGCCTCGTTGCCCCACGCACTTTGCGGCAGGGATATTCTTGGCGCTGCTAAAACTGGGTCCGGAAAAACCTTGGCTTTCATCATTCCGGTTAGTATTTTAGCTCTTTGACACCAGAAGCTTTTAGGAGTGAATGGAAATAATTGAAACATGTATTGTTTTTTAGTTTGATTTATTTGGATTAGATGAAAATATGTGCTTTGACATGGCAGAATAGCGGCATAGGGTTCTTGTACCCTCACGTAACCAACATTTTGGGATAAAGCTTATATTGTTAATGATTTGGTGTCAGTTTTATTTTGGCTTGATTTGTATAAACGAGGTCTCGGTTTTGGCCAGTATGTCAACAAAATTGTGAGGTTTAGTTTGTGTTCTCTTGTTACTACACTGTCTTTTCGCAAACATTGAAGCTTTGCGACACCTCAGTTTTTGGAATTTCTAAATAGTGTAGTAATTGAAAATAAGGATTCATAGGGTTACTTGGAACAGGTTCCAATAAATGCAATGATTTTATACTTTTAGATGGATTTCATTGAAGATGAGTGTTTTTGTGGATCATGATGGCAACATAGCGTCCATGGACAACACCACATAGTTCTTGATGCTGTGGTGTTTGATAGCTCTAGATGCTAGTTTAAAATGAAATAAGTTGGCTTTGGATGATATCTTACTTAACACTATCTTATTCCTTTTTTATGTCACTTTGTGCCTGCTCCCTTAAAATTGTAGCTTGCTGAGTGCTGTTGTTGTTTTCAGGTTCTTGAAAAGTTATACAGGGCTAGGTGGGGTCCACAAGATGGAGTTGGATGCATTATAATGTCTCCCACGAGGGAATTAGCTGGTCAACTTTTTGAAGTGTTGAAATCTGTTGGAAAGTATCATGGTTTCAGTGCTGGCCTTCTTATTGGTGGTCGTAAAGATGTTGATACAGAGAAAGAACATGTTAATGATCTGAACATCTTGGTGTGCACTCCAGGACGGCTTCTTCAGCACATGGATGAGACCCCTAATTTTAATTGTTCCGAACTTCAGGTCGATATTTTAATCTATGTTCTTACAATCCTATGTTTCCGGTCTACACATTTACGATGAGAATAAATTCTATTCTTATTATCATCTGTCCTCATTTTTTGACCTTTTGCTTTGCTGGCTTATCTATGAAGTTTGATTTCGTTTGTGTTTTTTGCAGTCCAAGTTGTCTAAGTAGCCTTTTTTCTTTTTTTTTTTTTGGGGGAGGGGGGGGGGGGGGGGTGGGGGTTTACAAACGTAGCAGTTTTGTGAAATGGTCTTTGTGATGCTACCTTCCATTTTTTCAAGAGATTCAGGGACTTGAATCTTAATTTCAGGTTTCTAGTTGCTGTGCTCTTCATTCTATTGATTGAACAGTTATATGCTATGGAATGATCACTGGAGTTTACTTTGACCACCACAATATTAACACCTAGCTCTTTTTGTGGCACTAATTTGGCTTCTTTTAATTATACCCGAGCCATCCTTCTTGTTTTTGCTGCTCTGAGAACTTCATTCTATTTGTAAAATTTATTTCTCTCTTTCAAATGAAAAATATATCAAGAGTGAATTAATCTTAAATATGTATTTTTGGTCAGGAAACAGGTTTTGGTGCTTGATGAGGCAGATCGCATTCTTGATGTCGGATTTAAGAGAGATTTAAATGCAATAATCTCGCAATTACCAAAGCAGAGGCAGACCTTGCTATTCTCTGCTACCCAAACAAAATCTGTACAAGATCTTGCTAGGCTCAGTCTGAAAGATCCTGAATACCTTGGTGTGCATGAGGAGTCAGAAACCGCCACGCCAAGTCTACTGCAGCAAACTGCCATAGTTGTCCCTCTGGAGCAAAAGTTAGATATGCTATGGAGTTTTGTGAAGGCGCATCTTAATTCCAGGATGTTAGTGTTTTTTTCGACCTGCAAGCAGGTTAGTCTGCATTTTATGAATTTGATTGAGCTGAAAGACCACCTTTTTTTTATGCATTTCTTTCCTTTTCATGTTTCATAAATGCAATTCGAGCTGTTATGTTTTCTCTTGTGTGAGAAAGCATCCGATTTTATCCATCCCTTAGGTTTACAATTTAACACTTTCTGTTGAGAGCACATTTGACGCAGGACTAAAACGTAGTGGTTAAGAAATCAGAACTTAGGCTGATTAAAGAGTAGTATGCAGCGGAAACTAAAAGAATCTGTAGGAAAACAAGCTTGGAAATCGCAGGAAAACAGGGATTAAGAGTAGGAAAGGAAGAAGAGAAGAAAACCTAAGAATCACTCTTAGGGCCCTTTGGCGTCACACCGCAGGAATCCTAGGCATCACACCAAGAATTTAGTTGAGTCACACAACTATTGCAAAGCAAAGCTTATTGCAGGAATTTTTATTAAACGTCTCTCCAAAAATCTCCTCATATGAGGTACATATAAATAGGCCTAAAACTTAGCCTAAACCAAAGACAACTAGGATTCTCACCTAATTTCCTTTTTATTCCAAGAAATTCCTGCAGCATAGCTAATATACTAAAATACCCTTTCATAAATATTGATACTGAAATAAATAATTAAATTACTGCTTAATATAGGATTAACTTAACCAAAGTCCCAACACTTTGGCCCCTTCCTTGGATCATGATGATCCTGGGCATAAATATGAAAGAACCTACTGATAGGGTTCTTCTACCGTTCCTTGTCCCCATCATTCTCCCCTGGTTCAAAAAAACTCGACCTCGAGTTCTAAAATGCCTGAGAATGAAGAACCTGACAATCTGAAATATAAGCCATGGCACTGCAGCATATTCAGCATGAGAAAACTTCTTTCGGCCAAATGTAGGTATAAGAGTAGACATTTGGAATGTACTTGCTGGTTTGTGGTCATAAACCTCTCCAAAAATGAAATCAACTTTCGAAATTCCAGGATCATAAACTTTTGAATGGCATGTCTTTAAAACTTGATTCAACTTCACAAATTTTTCATTCGGACTTGTAGCAAGGTTTCCATGAATCAAGTCAGTTGACTTCTCACATGAACCAGAACCTCCCTCCGGTTTAGGATGCAAAATATTTCTTAGTAGGGCTCCTCCTTTAGCTACGTCCTCTTGAATCTCTCCAAGATTGAGAAGTTGTACTTCTTTTGCCTTATTACCAAACGTATTAAGTTGATAAAAATCTCAGGCTTATCAGCGCTCTCAGTAAGCTTACTTTGCTGAACTTTTTGAACTACTTTTTCACCAATACATTCGTGGCTTCTCCTTTATGATCCTCTTTAAAATCCTGAACAGCTCTAGATTTATTTGTAGTTTCCTTAGTAAACTCCTGAACCACATAGATCATAGGATTGTTGTCTTTGTTGAACCACATGATCAGTAAGTTCATCATCGGACTTTTCTAAAGATGCCTCGGCAAAATTCTGAACCTCTGAATCTTCCATTGTAGTCTCTTGAACCGCAAGGACCAGCGAGCTACTGTCTTGAACTAATTGAACAATAGGTTCATCCTTGAATGTCTCTGCAGACTCAACCAAATTTTGATTCTGAACAGCCTCTCTGCACACATCCTGAGCAATGATAATGAAATTATGTGTGAGTCCTGAAAAATCAGGTGGTTTTGGAGGTTTTTCTGTCTGAAAATCAATAACATTAAGACCGGGTTTTCCATATTCAATAGGGCAACTAAGAATTTTCTTATCTTGTTCTACTTGATTCTGTACAAACTCAATTGTAGCTTCGGTAGAATTCTGACTTGAAACTTTTTCGTCCTCCTTAGTAACATTCAGAGCTGAAACCTCAGGAATCACTTGATCACTTTTTTGCTTAGGTAGGTAATACTTGATCATATATTCATCAGTTTGGGACTTCAAAACAACTTTTATGTCGTTGAAGTTAAAGGAGTAGGTGTTGGCTCTACCGTCATGCTCTACTTCCCGATCATATAACCAAGGTCTTCCTAAGATTATATGTGAAGCATTCATGGGAATAACATCACACCATATAGAATCAACATACCTACCTCTTTTGATGTCTACCAAGCAACACTTCATCACAGGGATAGTTATGCCATTAATCCAACCAACCTTATGCGGGTATGGATGTGGCTCTGTTTTTAAATTCAGCCTTTCAACAGTGGATTCAGAAACCAAATTCGCACTACTACCTCCATCTATAATCACTTTCTTGACAGCTTTCCCACAATAAACGAATGTCTGAAAGATTCCTGTCCTTCTTCAATCTTCGTCTCCTATTTTTGGTGCTCTAGAAATTCGCCAAATTAGTGAAAGATAGGACATATCAACATCATCTTCTACCTCCTCCAAACCTTCAGTATCAACTATGTCCATCTCCTCTTCATCATCATTGTACTCCTGCTCATCTTCCTCTACGATTTCTGAACTACAAGGCAAATTAGGATAACCTATGCTATGGGGATTCATAGCTGTTGATCTCTAACCCTTTTGAAAACATAATTCATCAGGAAAATCAATTCCAATCTGATCAAAAAAGTATTAAAAACCCCAGGAAATTCGGCTCTGATGCCAAATGACGCAGGACAAAAACGTGGTGGTTAAGAAATCAGAACTTAGGCTGATTAAAGAGTAGTATGCAGCGGAAACTAAAAGAATCTGTAGGAAAACAAGCTTGGAAATCGCAGGAAAACAGGGATTAAGAGTAGGAAAGGAAGAAGAGAAGAAAACCTAAGAATCACTCTTAGGGCCCTTTGGCGTCACATCGCAGGAATCCTAGGCATCACACCAAGAATTTAGTTGAGTCACACAACTATTGCAAAGCAAAGCTTATTGCAGGAATTTTTATTAAACGTCTCTCCAAAAATCTCCTCATATGAGGTACATATAAATAGGCCTAAAACTTAACCTAAGCCAAAGACAACTAGGATTCTCACCTAGTTTCCTTTTTATTTCAAGAAATTCTGCAACATAGCTAATATACTAAAATACCCTTTCCTAAATATTAATACAGAAATAAATAATTGAATTACTACTTAATAAAGGATTAACTTAACCAAAGTCCCAACACTTTGGCCCCTTCCTTGGATCATGATGATCCTGGGAATAAATATGAAAGAACCTATTAATAGGGTTCTTCTACTGTTCCTTGTCCCCATCAACCTTGCATTGGCTATTTCAATGCAAAAATTGCATCTTCTGTGGTGTATAGCATTTCTCCTCACCCTATGATCTTTGAATTTGAATATGTGTTTTGATCTTGTGCATAGAGGCGGCTGTAGGTAGCTCTTAAAAGGTACATCATCGAAGCTTCTAGGCAAGAAATTTAACACCTAATTTTTCTGAGCTTCTAACTCATGAGGGGATATTTTAGTCCCATGGACCTCATGGTTTGCTGATGTTTGTGCCTGTACAAGCTTCTTCATTTTTGGAATTCTTGACCACAAACCTTGGATATGCTACATTTTGGTAGATTGATGCCACTTGGTTCCCAATATAAGATCAGTGGTGACATTCTTTTTCCAGGTTTCCAAGCATTCTTTGAAACTGCCATATATGCATCCACTCTTTTCCCTGAACTGTTATGTTTTCCTTTCTCATTCATCGTTTAACGTTCTCCAATTTTCTTACCTTTAACCTCCCTTAACATCCCATCCCAACACACACGCAGAGACACAAAACATATTAAGTTTAATTGAATCTTTTTTAACAGGTAAAGTTCGCCTTCGAAACATTTAAAAAACTCCGACCTGGAATCCCTTTGAAGTGTCTTCATGGAAGGATGAAGCAGGAAAAAAGAATGGGAATATACTCCCAGTTTTGCAATCAACATTCAGTTCTGTTCTGTACTGATGTGGCTTCGAGAGGGCTTGATTTTGAAAAAGCTGTTGATTGGGTTGTGCAGGTTAGTTTGACTTGTATTTTTTGGATGGAGACCTAGTACAGAAAAGAAAGTCACTTACCTATTGGTGATTTACTGTCAGGTGGATTGTCCTGAAGATGTTGCTGCTTACATACACAGGGTTGGCAGAACTGCTCGCTACCTTTCTGGAGGAAAATCAGTTTTATTTCTCATGCCTTCAGAAATGGAAATGATTAGGAAATTGGAAGAAAAGAAAATACCTATTCGGATTACTAAGGTTAATTTTCTAGCTCATTGGTTTATAGTTATCAAGTCATTGAATTTTCTAATTGTTAACTTACTTTGCTGTATGATATGGCATGTTTTTTATAACATTTTGCAGTTTCAAACTTTTGAAATGCTTATTGACATTGCTGCAGACAAATGCGAAAAGGTTGCAGCCAGTTTCTGGGCTGCTGGCTGCTTTGTTGGTGAAGTACCCGAATCTCCAGCAACTGGCTCAGAGAGCTTTTACTACGTATCTGAAATCTGTACAGAAACAGCGGGATAAGGAGATTTTTGATGTGAAGAAGCTATTGATTGAGGACTACTCTGCATCATTAGGCCTTCCAATGACTCCCAAATTCAATTTCATTAAGAAAGTCAAGGGAAAATCTTCCGCAGAACTGTCTCTTGTCGAGTTAAGTTCTGCAAAGAAAAATGCATCTGAAGATAATTTTGGCAGTTTTGACACTTCCAAGGAAGATGAATCTGAGGCAGAGGGAGTAGATATTCTACGTCAAAAGCCTACTCAAGATGAAGGAAAGAAAACTGAACTTGGAGCCGCAGGGTAATGTATCTACCTTTGTCTTGTTTATCTGAATTGATGATTCCTTCTTGGATTTTTAGGGTGGTCCAGGCCAGTTAAGTATTTGTTATTGCTTTAGATTAGTTGTGTAATGTGGCGAACTTCCTGCACCTGCCTTGTTTGCCTTGTTTGTTAGATAAGTTCTTTTTATGTTTGCAAACTGCTATGCATTGCTGTAAATGCATCCCCGTTAAGTACACGGTTCTAACCATTTTGAAGTGCTAATTTTTTCGGATTGGTCAAGTCAAACGGTAACAATATCTATTTCATAAGCTGCTTCATAAATATTTCCCATGTCACAATACTGTATCTTATCCTTCATTTGCATGATTAGGCCACCTCCAACCAGGATTTTAAAGAAAAAGAAGTTGAAGATCAATATGGATAGACCAGTTGGGAACAAGGTTGTGTTTGATGAAGAAGGGGACCCTTTACCGCCACTTGCAGGGTTGGCGGTAAAGAGGACCACTGACTCAGTTCAGCTCGACATGAACAAAGGTATATATTGTTAATACAGCGAGAGTATGTCATATTTTTAAATCCCATTGTGGCACCTATCTTTCTTGGGATGAAATTGTGAATGTGTTGAACTTGAACATTTGACAGGATCAGACCAGTTCTCTCTATGAATGTTATATGTGGTATAGAGGAACAAATTGTTCTTATTATTTCTTGAATAGTTGAAGGGCCACTTAATGTATGGGCATAACCATAATGGAAGGCATATTGTTGCCTTGTACTTTTCAAGTACATTTTGTTGCTTCACCTTTTCACTAATGTCTTTGTGATGATTGTCTGCACTCTGCAGTTGTACAAAACTTAAAGGAAAAGAGGAGACAAATGGAGTTGGCTGATAAGGAGGACAAGGCTCTGTACCGTGAAAGTCGAAAAGAGAGGAGAATTAAGGAGAAAATGAAGAGGAAGAGAGGGAGGGAGGAAGAAGAAGAAGATAGCGATGATGACGGAGCAACTTCAGATGAAGAAGTTCGGGAAGACAGATTCAATAAGAAGAATAAGAAGGGCAAGATATATTTCGAGAGTGATGATAGCGATAACGAGGAGACAGTAAAAAACAACAAAAAGGTTGTCAATACGGAGTCAATATCTCTGGCAGAGCAAGAGCAGCTGGCTCTCAAGGTTCTGGAATCCTTGCATTCATAAGAATTCATTCTTCTTGGCTTTTCCAGTGGCACATAGATAAGCCCAAAATTTTGGTTTTAGACACATCAATCATTTGTAGTAGTATTTTTGTTCATATAGGAAGTTATCATGCCTTTTAATGTTTCTCTCCAGGAAATGTCACTTGAGAGAGGGCCTTTTTTGTGTGAATCGAATGTGAATTTTGCTGTGAAAAGCTAACAATTGGTAATCACAGAAATTTGTGACTTGATTAACTAAAAATCTAATTTGTCTATGAGTTCCAAAACGGGAATTATTTCTATTGTTTAATTGCAACATGTAAGAGGTCGTGTATGTGTTGGTGAATCGTGCTTGGTGGTCAAAAAAATGGCTCATGTCAAAAACTAACTTCGGCTTACAATATCAACCATAAGATCAAAGCTCGGGGCAAAGAGGAACACAAGATTAGGATGAGGTCAGACAAGAACACTTGTGCTAAGCTCTTACACAACTTTAGCCCACTAATATACAGCAACCCTTGTTACAATTGACTCCAAGAAAAGTTATTGCTTCTTGTCTTTGATTGCAGCATCACAGCCATTACACCCAATCTTTATGTGCAATATGCATTCCATCTATACTACTCGTAGAGAGGGGACTTTGCAAGCAGGCTATCACAACCACATAATAATCCAGTAAATGTAACTCGAAAAATATGTTAGTTTCAACCAATCCTAAAAAAATTTGCTAAATGCTGTGGGAGAGAAATCAAAACAAAGTAATCAAGAAAGTGAAGTCAGAACAAACCAAGATCATTGCTCAATGAACTTTGGAGCATCCAGCTGCTTTCCTTGTTGGTTTAGAATTGAGACCTTCCATCGATCGAGAATAGTAACTGCAGCATTTTCAATATGATTTAGCAGCGTACCTGGAAACCCAACGATTGGTTCATGAACACAACACCTACTTCACAACTTAAAAAAACAATTTTTATAATCTATAATATGAGGCAGTGCATTAGAAAATGCAGCTTATTCCATTTTTATGTGTGCCCTTTAAAGTTGTCATGGACAAATTTATTCATTGGAGGGTCAAAATTTGTGCTTCTAGCTCATGGTTACGGGATCTGCAGTTTGCAAAATTGCACCAAGTTTGAAGGATACAAGAAGGTCTCTTTTTGTATATATCCAAACAGAGAACAATCATTTAAGGGTGGAATGAGAGAATATTTTACTAGTCAAAGATAAATATTCATTTGTGATTGGATCTAACCTCTAAATCAATGGTCGTTCATCAAAATCACAACCTCAGAGTCTCGTGATGACTTTTGATAATAAACTCTTAAAAAATAATCTTTTCAGCAATGGTTATGGCGAGCTTGAAAACTAGTCCAAGAATTTTCACAGCAATGGGGATTTCTGTTTGTTTTTGAGCTTCCATTTCATTGTAAATGAATTGCGAGGAACTAAGTTTGGGGGACTAACTATAAAAGAGAGTTAAGTTCTAATTCATAAAAAAAATCGATAATAAGCTAATTCTATAGCTAGCACTTGAGCTATTCCATATTGTCAAATTCATCACCGTTATAGTGTGGAGTATTTTTATAATACGTATGTTTTTTGAATCGAACTACGTTGTCGAACAACGTTTGAATCTAACTATTTTTGGAATTTCAACTTAACCAGCCTGACCACATTAGGTGGATTGTATATAATACTAGTAATTAAAAAAATGAAAATAGTAAATGAACAAATCTATATAATACTCCTAATTATAAGTAGTAGATCGTAGATACATCCCACAATTGTGAGCCATACGTAAATATATAAAATAGGCTACTTAATGATGAATTTAATACTCCCTCTGTGGCTCTGTCACACTACAAAAATCAAATATGAACTATTTGTTTGGAAAGGAGAGTATTAATTAATAATGATATCAACCATCACCACGGCCCATCAGAATATCATCTAATGATCTATAAAGATTATTAGTGTCACGCAGGCACAAAACAGTTTCTTGAAAGTAGCGTTTGAAGCTGGGATGGGAATAACCTCCCACACTATTCAAATGCCGGTCATAGCGACCAAAATCATCAAAATAAAGCAAGTTTCCTCCCGTACTACATATATCCGGGAGCTGTCCAGTAAAAAACATCTCAAACTTTTTGGTGCGATGATCATATGAATAAACTGGAGTCGTCGCGCAATAACTGTGGTCGGCGTGTTTCTGAACTTGTACAACAACATGACGATTCATCAGTAGTAACTCCCCAGTTGGTAGATTCCCCACTGCCACAGTATAAACTGCACCACATGCATCAAGTTCTCGAGGCAATCTAATTCTATGCTCGCTCCATTTATCTTGGTTTTCGTCCAACACAAGGAGAGTAAAGTATTTGGGTTGAGTGCCCGGAAAATGGTATCTATGAGCTGGGACCCAGAGAGCCAAATGCCCCATGGATTTGCAAACGTTCCATCCCCCTCTGTGTACCTGAAACGTCGGGAATTCCCCGCTTGGAGGAGCCTCGATGATCCGAAACATGTCTTTCTTGAGATCATAAGATAGTAGGACTGATCTTCGGGGTTGATACCAATATAAGACACCATAACTCGATGACCAGTTTTGGCTTCGTGTACGTCGGGGACATAAGGAAATTTAGTAACTCCAGATGTATTAACGTCAATTTTCATCCACGAAGTTGATGAAGTAGAGGGTCTTAAAGTCATTACCATCGCTTGTATATCCTCTGCTGAGGTTCATCACTACTCTTAACCGAATTGTCAAATGAAACAATTTGTACACTCGGTTAAGTGGATCATACCCGAGATGGAACGTGGATCTCATGTAACGGTTGCGAGACACCACCCGCGGCGGGGGAGTCGCCACCCTCACACTCTCTCCGGTACAAACGTTATAAAGTGTCAATTTTTGCCGACCCTTCTTCTGCCCATAATAAACACACGTGAGACCGTGCACTACTTGGGTCATTTGGTCGGAGAAAGCAGTAGGTTTTAACTCCCTGAGGAAACTGAATTCTTCTTCTTTTGGTGGTTGTTTCAGCGGCCAAGTTGAAAGTGTGGAGTGGAAGAAAGTGATTCGTATGTCATCATCACGTCCACCATTGCGCCTGATTTTCTGCTTGCCTCCAACTCTTTTAGGCACATTACATTATAGACTCTTCTTTGTGGAAAGTAGAATATGAGGCCCGGTTGATGACAACTTCGGGAAGCTTTCAGGAATTCACAACTTTGGGTTATGGATCCCATGACTTGCACACGCATTTGCACTTTCCTAACTGTTTACTGGCCGGAATCCTTTTAAGAATCTCAAAACCAAATCATCTGGCAGAATCGTATTGGCCCGTTTCTTTTTCCGCGCCAATGTTGATGATCCAACTCCTAGTGCTCCTCCTCCCTTCTTCTTATTCTCATTCAAAGTATTCTTCTTCTTCCGGCTGTTTTTTGTGCTATGTTGCTTCAAACCCTTCTTCCCGTCACCACAAATCCCGGTTGTTTTCTTCATCATTAGTTTTCCTTGAAATTAATTTGAGGTAGATTAGTACAAAGATTGCAACCTCTTTTTGTGTGTCTTCACGTGTTCTGCGACTATGTGTGTATACCTTTTCCATTTGGGTTTAATATAAAGTAACACTCTCCAAAAATTTTTATTTTTTGTGTGTAAAGGCAATCTCCAGGTTTAGTTGATCATCTAAAACACTCAAAAAAATAACTCCTGTTCGAAAAATTGATGAGCATAAAAAAAGGGTCTTTTCTTTTTCGACTAGAAATTGATTCGTGTGTACGAAATTTATCTCTCTAGGGTGGCTGCTTTAGGGGGTTTGTGAAAAATAAATTTTGGATTTAGAGATCCATATTTGATTTTATTACAATTTGAAAAAAAAATTATGGAAGATTTCTGGAGAATAAAAATATCTTCTCGGAATTTTTTTTTTAATTTTCATATTCATACATCCATTTTCTGAGTGGAGGACTCTTTTGATAATTGATTTCTCTATTCACTTTTTTTTTATATTTATTTTAAGCAATAAAAATATTTTAAGTAATCGTTCATATGGTACTTGGGAATTTTGTGATACTGCAAACTAAAAAAGGAAGGTGTTTTTGATAGTAACCCTTTTCTATTTTGGAATGGAAAATTCCTCCTATCATTAAGGGCTTTTTTTTTTTAAAAAAAAAGTTTTAATTTTCCGTAGGAGAAGAACAGGAAGGAGAATTAAAGGATAGTTTCCAAAATCAAATTTCCAGAAAAGGAACAAAAAACAATTTCCTAAATTATCGTCAATTTCCCATTGTTTATGTGTTGTAATTACATTCATGTCACCTGAGGTTGGGAATATGGCGGATATGGCCCTTGACCGAGAGGTCAACTAATGAACGAAACCAATTCACCGGAATGGTGATGTCAGTATATTTTCCAGGTTGTACATTACTATCGCCGCCGCCGCCTTAGGCAGCAAAGGAGACAGGCCGATCAATTCGAGGTTAATTTTTTACTTTCTGATTGTAGTGGTCAGTAAAGGGCATTAGAAACTGTATACAGCAAGACGCCATTATTTGTCGATTGCTCGAGGAAATGGGTCAAGGCAACGGAAATGAGACTACAATTTCTATGCATCTAGTGATAATTCTTGTTGAGTTCCAGCTTCTAGTGTTCTACCGTATGATATTCTGGTTTGAGCAATAATGCCTAGCGTTCCGTCGTTCAATGTACATGCATTGTTACCACTTACACTGAAGGTAGCCACATGGCTGAGATTTGAGGGAGCAATTCCTTCCGCAAGAGAAACTCTGTATTGTTTAACTCGGTTAAGTCAAGGCACGATTTTGGGATGATTTTTTCCAAAGAATTTTGCGCCAACCGACTCCTCCATGCTCCGGCCACATTTCTCCTCCAAATTCCATGAGTTTTGGTGTGCATTTCAGGCCAAATTGATTCCATTTCATTACTACCGTTTCTTCCATGCTTGCTGGAATTTCAGCATTTTCAGCTCTGAGTGACCAACTTTTCTTTCACTTTTTCATCTATTTCCAGTCAGAATTTGGATCTGACGTCCGAGATAAGTTGTAGATGGTATTTTGATCTTCGTCACCATATCAAGAATTAAGGCACAAATCCAAGTTGTGGAAAACAGCCTCTGAAACTTGACCAATTATTGCTCAAGTTTCTGGTCAGTTCTGATAACTGAAGTTTAAATGCAGTTTTGACAATTTTATCATCTGATTTTGGAGATGTGTTCTGCATGAGATTCGTAGGTCTATTGACGAGTCCTAATTATAGGGCCCACGACTAGGCGGGCCCAAGTTCGA